ATATAATGTATCATTTTATCAGATATCATATAGTAGAGAATAATATAGACCTTCTATATATTCCTACTAACAAAATGATAGCTGATGGATTTACTAAAATACTTACAGGACCCAAATGGCAAGCATTTTTCAGAGGTCTTAACCTAAAATAAATATAAGATACCTGATCAAAATAAGCTATATATAAGTACCTAAATTGTCCTACTTATAATAGCTTAAGGGGGTGTGTTAATCCAGAATGAGATTTATAATATATTTCTTAAATAACAGAATGAAAATATTAGTCATTCAGGTATTAGGTAATAACCGAGGTATTCAACTAACCGAGGCTGTATGAAAAGCGGGGTAATTGGTCTATATAAGCAACATGACCTACCTCAGTTTTGTAAAGTAAGTAAAACAAAAATATATATCTTCAATATATAAGTTTTCTTCTATATAAATCTTACTAAGCATCCGCCCTCCAATACCAAAGCTTAACACTAATCAGGTATTAAATAAGCTGGACCTAAGATTAAAACCCTATTATCTAATAGGATATGGATTAAATTAATATAAATTACTAGATTTTATATCTAATAAGACTATCTGATCAAGAGATATAAAAATACTAGAAGGTAGATTTAAAGAATTACCTCTTAATTCTCTAAAAAATCCTTATATATCTAAAGATATATCAGATATAGAATCAGCAGATTCACCAAATATATCTGATTAGGAAGATATAGAGGATAAAATAGCCCTAGTAACTAGTAATAATTAAGAAAACTTAATAGATCCTAATAACTGGTGAAGCCTATATAATCAGTTATTAGAATAAGCTTTAATAACTGATATAGAACTAATAAGCTATCAAGAGATAATGACTTATCCTGATAAAGAGCATTACTTAGAAACTTATAATTAGGAAATTAATTAGCTTATTAAAAATAATACATGGACTTTAGTACCTAAACCTAATCAAAAGGTTTTATAGGGTAGATAGGTATTTAATAAGAAGATTAAACCTGATAGTTCTATAAAATATAAGGCTTGCTGGGTAGTAAAAGGTTATATATAGGTATATAGTATAAATTATAAAGAAATATTTATTAGTACTACTAAGCCTGATACTATAAGGATTCTATTATATATAGTTATATATTATAACTGGTCTATAGAATAATGGGATATAAAATAAGCATTCCTAAATACACCTATAGATATAGAAGTATATATAGAATAACCTTAAGGATTTATAGATTAAAAAAAACCTAATTAGGTTTATAAGCTTAATAAAGCTTTATATGGTCTAAAATAATCTGCAAGATAGTAATAGCTATTTTTAACTAATATATTAGTTAAAAAATTAAAATTCTACCAATCTGTTATAGATACTACTATATATTATAAAGAAGATATAATATTAGCAGTATATATAGATGATATATTAGTTTTTACTAAAAATTATTATCTAATAAAAATACTATATCAAAATTTAACCTTATAAGGATTAGAAATATCTAATCTAGATAAGATTAAACACTTCCTAGGAATTCAAATAAAAAGATAAGCTAATAATATATATATTAGTTAAGAAGACTATATATATAATATTATTAGTAAGTTTAAAAAATCCATAGTTAAACCTAGGAAAATATTACTATCTACTAGTACAAAACTAGTAGAAAATATAAGTAAGGTAAATATAAGAGATATAAAATAATTTCAGTAAGAAATAGGATCTCTTATATACCTTACTACATGGACCAGACCTGATCTAGTAATAAGTGTTTACTTATTAGCTAGATTTATATCTAATCCCAGTTAAGAACATTTCAAAGCTATAAATCATCTATAGGGGTATTTATTAAATACTAGTAAATACTGCTTATCATATACAACAAATCAATCTAGTCTAATAAACCTAACTGGTTATATAGACTCAGATTGGGGGGGTAATCTTATAGTAAGAAAATCAATATCAGGCTATATATTTTTTTCTTTATATAAGAACCTTGTAAAGAAAATCAAATAGTATAATCAGCACTTATAATATAGCTTTCCAAACTTTAAAAAACCCCTACTATAAGTAGCTATGAAGCTAAATATATGGCCTATAAAGAAGCTATAAAAGAAAATCTATTTATTAATAGTCATAAAAGAGGGGTATTTATACCAAGTATAGCACTCAGCTCAGTTTACTTCCTTAGTCGCCAGTCTTGACACCTAATCCAGATATACTGCTTCCCATCTTGATATCACGCCTACATCAACCCCTTACACTCTAGGTCTGCACATACAGGCAACCCCGGCGTCCAATCAGGATGTTGATAAGTCTGAGAGGACTTTTTTTGTGACCCTAATGGCTTCTCTGAGCGACTTAGAGATAGATTCGCTTAAACCTAAGTCTTCAACCTTCATCTGCCTTGATAGAAAGAGCTGAAGACCCATGATAACCTGGGGTGTTTCTTTGGCACTCGAAAACATTGTAGTAATGACAGACCTCAGACTGTTGCTATCATAAGCGGCCATTTTAATGCGACATGATAGTTGGGATAGAGCGGTTGCAAGAAGAATCTCCAGAAAAGTTGTCGTTTTTGCTTGCAAGTATGCAAAATTTAGCACCTGTCGAGGCATGAGTCTGTTAAGTCGGTAGAGCGGTTCAAATTCGTAACATACCTTGAGAGAAGTCAAGGACAGTGCGCCATCAGCAATAAGTTGCCCATACATCTTTCCTAGGTTTACAATCTTCCTTAGGTCCACACAGTCGTCATCATTATCTTGCTCCCCATCACTGTCATCTGTAGATGTATTCTTTTCGCCCATGCGCCTAAACAGGCCCCAAAGACAGTACTGCATTGCCCATTTGTAGCGATGTTCAGTGCATAGTTGCTTTGCAATAAGTGTGTAGTACGGATTGTAACCTTTCTCAGCCCCTGCACAATGGATCAAAACCGCCGGGATTTCAAGCTCCTGAGTTTTCTTCAGCTTGAGTTTATTCAAACGCATACATGCGTCTTTGTAATCAGAAGCGGAGAGAATGTTGATAAATATTGTGCGGCGAACATCTGTGTTCATGCGCTGCTCTTTAGCAAGGACGAGGAAATTTGTATCGAAATCGGTAGAGTATAAGCGTTCTTGTGAACCATTATCCTGGCATATATGATCTTCTCCGGTAGTCGCGCTTGATTTCCGTAAATCGTTCTTCCAGCTTGCGCCTACAAGCCACCACTTACCCTCCTTCGAAGAGCCTCTTATATCAGATAGGCCAACGCCGAGAGGCTCGTTGGCCTTGGACCTTGTGTTCATTGTGCCTAATATTTTCTTCATGCGTACAGTGTGCTCCGCAGCTACGGACAAGATGCTGCCAGATTTCTGCCGATTGTTTTTGAGATCGTTGATGGTTTCAATCATGAACTTCGTGCGCGTGGGCAATTTTGTTGCGGTGGCCTCCGCTGCAGATCGCTGAAGAAGGACAACGATGTCTTTTAGTGAAGAAGGATCATCGTGTCGAAGTTGAGGACCACAATTCCTGACAATTTTAAGGAGTAATTCTGTGTTCAACTCAGACAAATCAGCCAAAAAAAGGCGGATATAGTCGAATATGACGTTACTCCCAACAAGCTGGAATGTGTAGAGCTGTGCAAGAAAGGCTATAAGATTTGTGGTTTCCTTCGAGTTACTGGAAGATTTCAGCTCCGCAGTATATACTGTATCAAAATCAGAGACGATGCGCTCTAGAAGTTGCGCCCCAAAGTGAGCTCCAATTAATTTGTATGTGGCAGCGGCAAAGCCAGCATGTAGGATGATAAAGGTGTCCATAAGAGCCGTGCGGTCATGCAAAATGTCCAACAAAAGATCCACTAGAATGGTAGATACATGTTGTCTTGCATTATTTGCATATGCATTCTCAACATCACGTAGAATGCTAGGCATGTTGCTTTCTGATAGACGGTTTACGAGTCCACGCAAAAGTCGTCGAAGTTTTGTCAGATCCTCGACTCCTGTGGCTGCCGTTGTCCGCAGTAATGGTGGTATGTATTTCTCCTCCGTTGCCATGGCAGAAACGGGTGGAACGTAAGGGTTTTCGCGTCGACGCCCATCACGCTGCTCTTCCTTCACAGTAGAGCCTCCACTCCCGATCTTGTTGACATCATCGTTATTAGAATTGTGGCTTAAAGCTTCGTGCTCCAGCTCACCAAACCCTCGGAATTCGACTTCCTGAATACAGTCTTTCTTTACACCCATCACCAAATTGTAATTGGGACTGTCATCTATCTCATTTTTGGCAGTGATGTTTAGGTCGCAGCTCTCTTCCTGCGATGAACGCTCACAATCCGAGCTATCAGTTTCCAGATAATTATCAGACGTTCGCATTCGCTTTCTCTTGTCGAACAGAAAGTCATTGTAATTAGTGCGGTTTCGTTTCTCGACTGTGCCGTCCACGTACTCATCCAAACCGTCCAACAAATCGCCAAAGTCATCATCAAACACTCGAGAGCGTTTTTTTTTTCCTTTCAACCCCAGTTTTTTCTCTAGAAATGCAATTTCTGCGTCGTCTTCGTTTAGTTTTGCCTTCACCGTGAGTGAAAGTGGAGGACAGTCTGACTGTCTCGAGTTGGCTTTTCTCCTTTCTTGTGGTATCGGATTTTGTTCATGAGCCGATCCAGACACTTTTATCTTCACATCCAATGCGGGTGTGGATTTCAGGTCCTCGTTACTGGTTTCTTGATTGCTTCTAGGAGATTCTGAACTTAGTATGGCTTTACCAGGCTCAGATCGATATCTATGCTCTTGAGAGCGATGACCTTTTTGGAGATCTCTGAGAGCTTTCCGCTGCCCTTTTTGACCCGTACTCCAGTCGTGTTTGCGGTGATATGAGTTTTGGCTATTGCTGTAAGCTCTGACGCTCAATCTGTCGAGCAGAGACGAGGGCAGTTTTGGCCCCCTAGGTGTAGTGCGTCTCATGTCTGGGTAGATAGATCGTAGCAATAAATCCGACGCCTTGTTAATTGTCCATAGGGTTGTCACTATTTTCAAGGTTAGAGTTCTGGATGTACAGCCGCAAGGGCCATGCAGAGGAAAAAATGGATGTGAACAGATCACCGGAAAATCTCCGTACAATCTCCGTTATGAGTTTAGCTTCCTACCCACAGTCATCATCGTTCGTCATGAGGACTTCTAGTTGAGGAAGGGAATCCAATAAGGAAGAAATCACACGATGCCTGAAGCTAAGCACATGAATCATGAAGAAGTACGCGGAGAAGCAGTTTTCATACGTCAAGGGCTAACTGAGAATAGTTCTTCGAACAGCTCGCAGTGCTACTTAAGAGTTGTCAGGCCAATGGTCACGGAACTGTGCTACTCAGCCAGAAACGCCTTACGTATGACCAGCGCCCCCCAAATATTCTACCAAAGGAAGGAGAGATAGCCGGTAACTCACTTTGGGACCTTAATTGCTTGAATCCATTACCCCTCATCATCAGGGCAAGCAATGCAGCATCTCCTGAGAAGAGAAAAGCGGGACAGAAAACGAAGATTAGCACGATCGTAAAGCCTGATCAGCTGGAAGCGTTCTACTTTAGATACGCTGATATCTGCAAAAAGAATATGGAAGGCTTGCGGAAGAGAGACAGAAGCAAAAAGAAAAAGGAAAAGAAGAAGATTAAGAAGGAAGGAGAGACTGGCTAAGGCTCTTTTTTCTTCTAGTGAAAGTACGTGGCTAAACTCTAGGAATCATGAGGCGAACAGGTCATGAATAAGCTGGGAAGATCGATGATTTATGAAAAAAGTGAATTTCTCTGCTTAAGTAGATTTGCACAGGAGTTCGGGAAGACGACTGCAAGATGTCGAAATCGCTGTTACACACGTTCGCCTGAGAAGCTTATATGCCTCTGCATTGAAAAATGGAAGCATATGATTTTGATCCGTACCAGCGATATCTTGCTTTTTATTTCACATGTGTAAAGCAGGCGGTTCACGCATAAGTTGTTCGTCTTTGCCCATATAGCCCGTCCTTGTGTGAAGGTGCCTTTGAAGTGATTACGTTATGCTCCCCATACACTTAGAAAATGCCTCCTCTCAATGCTAAGACTAAATGTAATGTTGCTCCCCCCTCTAGGTTGTACTCTGCGGCGGTTTTGTCATCATTCATCTGCTTGCCTCCGAAAATCAAACGTTGCTGTGGTGGGGGTATTCCTTCCTTCTCTTCGACGCGTTCCTTAATTCTCTTGACCGGGTAGTCCGGCTCGATGTCAAGTTCAATCTCTTTGCCAGTGAGGGTACGGACTCTGGTTCTATCTTTTAGCTATGGCATACAGAAGAGAGAGGATGGTGGGGTCGCAAGCGCCTTACTTGATGAGCATTTTGGTAAAGTTAGTAAGCACTCAAGCAGTGTCACAACTCCGATGTTGGATATAGACTCTTTAGCACTTCGTGAATTTGTCTTTGGAGGTGATAATGTTGCTTGTAGTAGTGCACACGCTTCAAGTTGTTAATTATTCTACCTGAATCCTAGGTCGGCGGGCTGGTGTCTTTGGTGCCAAGACCTGTGCACGTTTCAAAGCTTCAGCGTCGGCAAACAGGTATTATATTAATCCGCTAAGAAGTCTATATTTGCAAGCAAATAGGAGAAGGAAAAAATCATTGTAAATTTCAGTGTTAATAGGATTTAATAACTTATTACAACATTCACTTTTTTGTCAGTAGCCTTTTAACGACCTGGGAATACAACGTCTATTCTGATTTTCTTCATACACGCTCATTCTAGGCGACTCGTGTCACCCTTCGAACGGTCCTTCTAGCTCCTTCGCCAACGAGCTGCACGCTTCCCTCAAGCTCCAGAGCTCGGAGAGCATCTAGAATCTCTTTGATATCAGCCTGACTACCACTCTCGCCATCACTAATCTTCTTTGTGATGTCAGAAATCCTAACGTTACCCGTAGCCCCGGATTGCAACATTTCGTCGAGAACGCCAAGCACAGCCATTTTGAGATTATCCTGCCTCTTGCGCTCGCTCGCAGAAACACCCTCAGTTAGGAGGCCCATATCGATCAAGCCAGTCCTCGAATCAGTAGCGGCTTGTTTCAAAGCGCTTTTGATCAGACGAACAGCTTCTTCAACATCGCGGGCTTCTACGACCGAGCTTAGTCGCATTTTTGCATGAGCTTCAGAAAGACGGATCATGGATTCGAGCTGGCGAGTTGTGGCGGTTATTCGACGGTCCTGAGCCCGGACATCAGCACCAAGAGAGCGCATTGCAACGTAACTGTCTACGAGGACTTTTGATGCAGCCTCTGTTATGCTTGGTTGAACGTGCTGACGAGCATAGGATATGTATGCTGTGAGGAATTCGACCGGCTAATCCCAACAATTAGTAACAAGACAATAGAAAATACTCTACTTCTTACCAAGACTTCATCACGACTGGCGTTCTCAGGTGTGTCCTCAAGGTACATGCCCACCATGTGTCTAGCCAATTTCCGGTCTGCTTGCTCATCAATTCGATCAAGCACAAGGTATACCAAGTCGAACCTTGATAGCAAGGTTGGCGGAAGATCTATATTTTGAGGCACTGGTAAATTAGGATTGTACTTGCTTCCTATTGGGTTTGCCGATGCGAGAATACTTGTTCGAGCGTTGAGTGTTGTGATAATGCCTGCCTTAGCGATAGAGACGGTTTGCTGTTCCATAACCTCGTGCAGAACTGAGCGTGTGGCGTCCCCCATCTTGTCAAATTCATCAATACAACAGATGCCCCCGTCGGACAGAACCAGAGCACCAGACTCCAGCACCATCTGTCGCGTTTCTGGATCGCGAGTGACATATGCTGTCAGTCCAACAGCTGATGAGCCTTTTCCACTAGTGTAAACACCTCGCGGTGCAATTTGATGAACATATCTGAGGAGTTGAGACTTCGACGTGGATGGATCACCGCAAAGTAAGACATTAATGTCACCCCTATACTTCGGACTGCCACCTTTCTCGAAGCTCTTGTTTGTGCCACCAAAGAGTTGCAGTAGCAGTCCTTTCTTGACATCTTCCATCTCGTAGACGCTTGGGGCCAGCGAACGAGATAAGAGGTCGTAAACATCCGGTCTTGCCGCTGTCTCCTTGATCCGAGCCTCTTCCTCTTCTGATATCTTGCGAATCTCCCTTGTTTCACCCGCGACGTGTTCGGCCACCTCTTCCTCTATGGTAGTAGTATCTAGTCCGAGTCGGCGCTTGTCAACCTTCTGGATGTGGACGACATCAACGAAAGTTTTGAAGATGTTCTTAATTGATCTTTGCCTTGGATTGATCCTCATTTGATTTGCCTTGAACAATCCAGTTACCTCCACCCTGTCGCCAGGTTTGCAAACATCCACCAGATCATCGTAAACACATAGCGAAACTGAGTGCGGTGTTTGGCCATCCGGCACTTCGTCAGGAGTTTCCTGTAATTTGACGACTTGCTTGTCTGCAAACTTGCTTCGATTGTGTACGATCTGCATTGAATTGGAGGATTCGCAGGCTGCGCGCGGACACTTTGTGGGCTCGGATATCTTGCCACGATCAATCTGAACTGTAACTACGTGAAAGCAGACTGCGCACTTGAAAAAAGCCTCTTTCATGTCGGGTATGATAGGAGTTGTACGAATGACGAGCCCTCTGATACTAACTAGCCTATCAAGGTCTGCAGATTTTATTAGCATGCAAAAAAGAGACACGATCGTTGAAAAGGCTTAGACTCACCTCCTGGGTTCAGATCACGCAAATTGACTGTTTTGTCTAAGCCAAAAGGACGAACAGTATACCTTTTCTCCTCGACTTCTTTCCTGTACATTTCAAGCTTTTTAAATTGCTCTGTCATACTATGATGTTCGACCCCGGGGTTATCTGAGCTTGGCACAGGAGGTAGTGAACTCGAATCGCGCTGCCTACTATTATGCGCTTGGTTGATCAGTGCTCGTTCTTCGTGAATCCTCTTTTCGGCAAGTTCGATCATTGCGTCCTTGATGCATGCGTCGATGACTGGCACACACTCTTCTGGATATGTTTGCAACTGTTGCCATAGTTTTCTGGTTGGAGGATACGCTTTTAGACTTCGGATGTCAAGATTTAAGGCTGTAATATTCAGCTCAAGCATCATCTCGAGCATATCCCAGTATTCCTTGACATTTCCTGGATGATCAGGTCCAAGTTGCTCACCTTGGGCAAGCTCACCGTCCATGATCATACGATATTTCTTCCTGTAGTTTCTGAGGAAGTCGTCGAATGCATGTTTCGTGTCGGTGAGAGACACATTAGTGCCCCAGATAACCATATTATCCATACCGCCAAGTGCATCTGCATCTGACGTGTTTGGGTTGAGGTTTGAAAATGTAGTGGCCTCGGAGATGTCTGCAGGCATGCCATTCTGGTCAATGATAAATTGTCTCCTTGGGCCTTTGGCACCCCAGAAATCTGAATTGATATCTCCTCGAGGTATGATATTCAATGTAGCACTATCGTTGAGGGCTGATCGAATGAACAAAGCGCTACTGCTGCTTTGGAGGTCCATTGAGCGCGTATTGCTATTTCCTGGTCGTATCGGACTTGAGCTTGAGGCATATCGAATTGGAGACGACTCTCCAATATTGGCTTGCGATGCTCTTGGTGTCTGATCGCCGTCTACTTCTGCACTCCTTTGTAAAGATGCTGTGTCGCCATTGATAGCGTCTGCGTCTGGTGCTGGAGAAGACTGGAAGAAAAGTGGAGATGACGCTGACAGCTGCGAAGAAAGAGGGGGAGGTCGCGGAGTACCATTATTGCGCTGCGAGCGCCGAAAATCAGGAGAAGACATAACTGTGATATATTGTGAGCCGATACAGTATGTATTATGGCCAAAAGGTGAAAGTAGCAAGGAGATGAGATATTGGAGAGCCAGCGCGAAACGCGTTGGGGGTCAAACGCGCTAGATGAAAGGGGAAATCTAAGTGATTTGCTCGCTCCTGTCAGCAGCTTTCTCTGTCCAATGACCTTCATTCACGACTCAATCGTAACCATCAAAACATCACGGAATTACATAAACCAAAGCAAAACCTGTCGTCGACAGTCTTTGATCCTCTTTGGGGGCTATACAGACATTATCCTTAATTACATTGTACTCGTGGCAAATATAGTCTGCAAATATGGCACCTCCATCGAAGCTGGCAATAGCGACGTCCGTCGTCCGCCGCCTGATGAAAGAGGAGGCAAGCTACCATAAGGAAATCGAGCAGCAGCAGATCCGAATTCAGACGATGGAAAACAGCGGCGACGGTGAGAATGTAGAATATGAGCTAAAACAAGAGGTATGCGGAATTTTCAGGTAAAGTTGTGATACTAACCTTGCTTGGCAGAAACAAGCCTTGGCAGAGACGAGGACGGTGTTGATATCGATGAAGGGCAAGATCCAAAAAGCCATCAATCAATTAGAGGAAGAGATTGTGTGTGGAGCTCTTAGTAGGCTTTGGAATCCCCTCTGATCAGTGAACTAGGAACAAAACCAGCACGTTGATGATGTCACCTCTGTGGAGGAAGTGGCAAAGGCGAAGGAGATTATCGCAGAGGCGAAGGCCAGATATGCTTCTTGAAACGATATTTAACCAGTGCTATTGGAGAAGACATCTTTGTCTTTAAGCCATTCACTCCAATTGTCAAGGGTTTAGCCTGGGCCTAGAATGTTTAGAGTATTTGCTTGGGTCTAAAAATGTTTTGCACTGTTCGGTAAGCGTTGCTTCCAAAGGGTTTGTTAGAACCGTCAGATGAGAATCTCATTCTTATCGTTGCTATGATCCAAACATGCTTACATGTTGACGATTTGACATTAATGTCCGAAATCGATCGGTGAGAATGTTGATTGTCTACAACATGGTTCGCTAGGCAGCAAATCATTTCAGAATGGAATCTGAGCTGGGCGTGTTTTCTGAACCAAAACATTAATGTTAGAATGTGTATTCTATGTAGTACGATCACCATCGTTAGGTTCCTCCATTTGATCATATGGTGGCAATGGCGTATAATTTCAATAGCGTTCTTGTCTCGCAACATGTCATCTCATGAAAATAGCTTGTTTTAATGTACGGCTTATTGAAGTTGGCAGACACTAACAAAACCTATGCAAGGACTTTTTAGAGCAAGATCGCGAATAGTATTCGTTTATTGATTGATAACACAGAGTTTACGAGGTAGGGACTAGAAATAGCAAGCCATTCAGTCCAAGGAAGTGGTACACGATCAGAGCAATGGCTCTAAGCAACAATGCGAACAAGGGTCCTTGCATTCATCTATTCATGAATTCTGAATTTGGCTTTTCGCTGTCGAAAATAGCTGTGATTAGATTCCTGAAGTCACGAAGGACGTATGATTAAAATCAAGTCCTAGATGCCTGCAAGTTATGTTCTAGACTGCGAAGAGTTGAATCGCGGGATATGGCAAAGTCTGCATGGATGGATGCTCCGATTCCAACCAGCAAAGAGGCGCTGAGTTTAACGAGGTAACGTTTTGCTTATGCTACGGGAGGAATTCTCTTTGTGAAGGCTAAAGCCACCCATCCACCAATCAGGCAAAGGCCACCAAAGGGCGTTACTGGACCCAAAGACTTGAAGCGCACCGGATCGAGAGTAAGGAGATATATTGAACCAGAAAAACCGAGCATGCCGAGAGCCAGGAGGGACATGGCGACTTTGTTCTTCGGAGCAGCACAACTTGCAAAGAGAAGCACTCCTGAATGAATAAGCTATTCAATAATTAGCGTAAAGTAGCTCCGAGGAATTCAGATTGTAAAGGAACTTCACTTGATAATGTGCTGCCGTGCTCCAATTGCTTATCCGTTGTGGATCAGCAATCTTTTTTTTCAGCCCATGAGCGCCAAATGCGCCAAGCATCACAGAACTTGCACCATAAATGCATCCTAATGTCCAGAACAGAGACGGCATTCTGATGAATTCGTGAAAGGAGAGAGAAAGTAGCGTATTAACGAAGGTTTCGGGAGATGCAAAGATCTGATTGATTCATACCTAGGGTAGGGCTGCCCTAAGGCAACAAGGGATAATAACTCTTAAGTCCAACGAACCTTAGCCGAAAGAGCTTGCAACCGTTCTATCATTTAATTAAGCTGTGATACATGTAGAATGGCCTCATTCTGGCTCTATGATTCCGAAGAGAGTATAAATTTTTTGCCCTAGAATGGCAGAATGCTGGGTATCTAACTTTTGCTAAACAGATGATCTCCATGCGGTCAGACTGCTTGCCGTCGAGCAGAAGCCATTCCAGCGAGTCTTCAAGCGCTTAACGCACTCGGATTCCGTTATACTCAAACGCAGCCGACACTTACCGACACCGCCACCTGACGTACCAGAAGATGGGAATGTTGAGACCGAGCCCGCGGACGATTTTGCTGCGCGAGTGAACAGAGAAAGAGAGCGATGGCGTGAAGACATGAAACTAGACTTTGCGGCCCTAGAGAGTAGTATGGTACGCATCCAACTTTTGCAGCGATCAAACGAACGAGAAAGAGAACGTTACGCTTCGAAGAAACTCAAGATCATGGACACTGCGGAAAAGATTAGAAAGTCGAATATTGAGCTTAAATCACAGTTGGAACTCGCACGGCAGACAATGGAGTCGCGCAAGAAGTATGACGAGCTCGCGGACAAGATATTCAGTAACAAGCTACTCAAGTCACGAGAAGAACAAACGCAAATGCATGAAAAGTTACAGAAAGAGATTGCCGAACAGGAGCAAGAGGCAAAGGAGTATGCCCAAGCGGTTAACGTTCGACGGCGTCAATGGTTTGGCGCTGTACAAGCAGCTTTGATGGATATGAAGGGTATTCAGCATCCCGAGCTGCAACAACAAGACGACGAGCTTAAGATCATGGAAGGGGACGGTTATCTAGTGCGTGATGAGGAGCAGGAAAACTCAGGTCGAGAGGGCAGTAGACCTCATTCAAGATCGAGATCAATGTCTGCCGCAAGGGAGACTACTCCCGATCCGACTGAACAGAATGACGAAGCTGCTACTGAGACTGAGGAGATGTCGAAGTTGCTCTCTCAACAGGGTGGAGCGACTGAATTGCAAATCAACCGATTGAACATTGAGGCGATGGGAGAAGATACTGCTATGCGTGAAGAAGTCATAGCTACTCTTCTTGAAAACGCCGAGGAAGGGGAGGCAACTGATTCGAACGATATAATGGAAGACTAGAGTTCAATTCTTAGCAATCAAAACAGTCCTCGCACATTTGACTAGGGGACTTTGAATTGTCTGCTCTTATGTGTGACTCTTCGGAGCTGCACATGACATTATACGTTGTCCCTGATTTGGTGCTCTTAAATTCTTTCTTGAATTCAATTTATTAGGATGATGGAAAGCCATATATCCTGGGAATCTGTATTTATAAACGGAAGAACTTGGGCACAGAGTTAATCCTTTCGGTTACCACAATCCGACCGGCGCGAGCTTAGCTTAATGTGCCAAGCCAAACTGCAGTAAATTAAATCAAATTAAACGCAGGTAGCGATTCGTTGCCAGGCATGAAGGCATTTATCTTCTTCAGCGAGATTTATTTCGGCGCAAAAACATGGACTTTTTATATCCAGCGTCACATCCTGATTATGATGCTGCTAAGCTCACTTGGGTTGCGCCCCACGCTAACTCGCTCAAACAGGACTAGTGATAATTGAAGCTTAGTCTGCGTGCATGTGGTCCAGTGTTCTCATGAGCGAACCGTTGAATCAAATGCAAAGTGAGACAGTATGTGATCACATCATGCTTTCCACGCTTCTGTCTCTCTCTGGGAGTCGCTAAAGCACTTTCAACTTGGTAGAAATTCTGTACATTGTGCGAGTTACGCTTTATTGCTCTTACATTTTCTCTCGTCTGCGTCCTAGAGGCAACCGTACCACGGCTCCTGTGGATAGCGCTACAAGACTCCGGGAAACACTCGGACGCAAGCTTACAAAACAGACATCCAACCAGACACGAGTCTCCATGGACTTGCCAGAACGGCTACGTGAGGGGAGTGACGAAGAGCGTGACATTTGCGCGCCGTGTCACGGCGGAGTTAATCTCAACCAGAGCATATTCAGTTTGATAGCAGCAGCAGGCTCAGCTGCAGGACTTGACGAGATAGCGAACGATAGTGAAGAAGATGGGAGCCATGATGGCACATCGTTGAGCCAGACTGTACCAGCTCTTCAGCCAACAGCTGCGGGCATCCTTATGAACGAGACTTCACAGGCGGAATCGTTTCAACATCGTCGAAGGTCGTCGAAAGCAAAACTCATCAAATCTATAAACAAACTTAAGATGAAGCCCCTACGAGGACGCAAGGGAGCTACCGCCACCAACGATATCATGTCTTCCTCACAGATCTTACAACCGCGTCAAGAACAAGAGTATGAAGAAGACATAGAGGACGCTACGCTTGCAAATGCTCCGCACTTGAGCAAAATACTCCACGCTGATATACAGATGCGCAAAGAGCTGGGAAGAGCTCATGATGGACAACGGACAGCCCAGGACCTTTTGCAGCCGTCGTTGTCACTCGCGGAGCAGGTGCAAAAATTATTCAAGTTTAAAGAAAAACAGGACATCATTGCTGAGTATAGATGTCAACTTGTGCAAAACGTCAATGTCCCAGGATATATTTTTGTCACTAAACGATACATCTGCTTTTACGCCTACCTCCCGCACATGACCTCGAAAGTTGTGAAGACCGGGTACATTTCCAAAAGAGGGATGCACGACCCAAGATACCATCGATTTTACTGTGAACTCAAAGGTCATGTCTTGAGTTTCTACGAGGACCCTGCGCAGATAAATTACCCGCGGTCACTGATAGACATGCGAAGAGCAATAGGAGTGTTTGCCACTAGGGGAGAGAAGGGCAAAGATGAAACTCACTTTACCCTGGAGACAGATAAAAGACAATATCAACTGAAAGCAGACAGCGTCGAAAGCGCCACAGACTGGCTCAGAGTTTTGCAGCAGGAGCTTCTTAATACTCATAACAATGGAGGTCTCATAAAGATTACGTTGCCTATTGATAACATTTTGGACATTGAGAACAATTATATTCGTGGTATGGCGTTCTCCGAGTCACTAAGGATTCGTGTTATTGACAACGACGAAACCTACGCGGTTGAAGAGGTAATAATGCTGCATTGAAGAACCAAATTGATAGCTAACAATATCTTTAGTATTACTTTACATTCGATAGTCATGCTCAGGAAGCTACTAGGGTTTTAAAGCTGATGGTGCAGAGCCATGACGAGCCGAATGACTCTGATATGTCCGGAAGCGAAGAGCGTAGTTCCGGTAGACATAGCCTTGTGGAGAGACCGTCAGCGGTCCCTGCCCATACGCCACCTTTACGGGAAAGTGTTCGATCAACATTATACCCACATTCTCCAGAGATTCGGGCGTTTTCAGGCTCTAGGATCAGCACAGGGTCGAGGAAATCAAGTTTAGAAGTGGAGTCAAGTATGGAATTACGTCGTCGAAGCAATGATGATGATAATGATGATGGGAGAAATAGTGTCCCCATCAGTGGCCGATGCAAAAGGTCACCTGCTTCACCTACTCCAGGAGATTCACAGGAATCTCCATACTCACCCACCATGACTTCTGCTGATCAGGACACGGAATCGTCAGCCGCAATACAATCCCTGGACGAGACAATTGATGATACAAATGCTTCAGAGAGCCAAATTCTTAATCGAAGTGACGTATTTCAAGTTCCTACTCTCTATGCACCTTCGCCGAAAAAGCCGAGAACGGAGACGGACGTGGCCGTCCCACAGCGAGCTTCTCAAGATACTGAGAGGAGAAAAGCAAGATCACCATCCGATGAGCGACTTTCAGTGCCAAAGCGACCAGCAGCTATTTCGCGTGCTGTTTGGGGTGAATTGACTCAATATCAGCATGATGCGCCAAAAATGATAAACTCCAGTTACAGTATTGGGCGTCTGATGAAAGCCGGAATGTCTCCTTTGCAGAGTGCATCAGGGATTGCAGGCTACATTAACAAGCAATCAAAGCAAATGAGTAGCTTGCTAGCAACAGAATCTATGGGTTACTACGAAAAAGTTGCTGGTATGTGGCATGGTGGATCGAGACATTATGCCTCACCACACGGTATGCGCCTAGATGACAACGTTCCGGACAAGCAGGAAGAAGAGCAGGCTATGAAGGATGCTCAAAGATTTCGAGAACACTTTGCTTTGCCTGAGTCTGAGCAACTCTTGGCATCGTGGCACTGCTATGCACAACGAACACTTCCTATGTACGGGAAACTGTATTTAGGTAGCACACATTTATGCTGGCGACCTCTCATGGCACGAACAACAAAGATGAAGCTCCCTTTGAAAGTTATTGAAACGGCATTGAAGGGCACTAGTTATCGATTAGGCTACGCTGGCATGTGTCTAGTCGTCAGCGGAGACGAAGAAGTTTTCTTCGACTTCAACAATGTCGGCCTACGTGATGACTGTGTGGTCAGCATTCTTCTATCATTGCAATCGATTGAGACAAACGCTCACGTTGTGGAGTCGGGACTCTTCTCACAGGAAGAGTTGAAGGCCACCAAGCTAGCTAAAGCAGAACATCAAGCTTTATTGAAAGCCAGACGCGCAGAGAAGATAATGGATGAGTCAGAAGATGAGCACGATGATCTTGCTGAGTCAATGATGTTCGATAACCCTTCTACATCCGCTTTGGATGTTAGACCTCAGGGGTCTCTGAGAATCACATGTCTCACCATCGGTTCTCGAGGAGACGTTCAGCCATACATTGCTCTCTGCAAAGGCCTCCTCAACGAAGGTCATAAGCCCAAAATAGCTACTCACGCAGAATTTGGGCCATGGATTCAACAGCACGGCATTGATTTTGCGCCAATTGAAGGCGATCCAGCTGTGCTGATGCAACTTTGCGTTGACAATGGGATGTTCACGCTCTCCTTCATGCGGGAAGCCACCTTACGCTTCCGCTCCTGGATCGAAGGTCTCATGGACAGCGCTTGGAAAGCTTGCCAGGACAGTGATATTATAATTGAAAGTCCAAGTGCTATGGTAGGCATACACATTTCTGAAGCTCTACAAGTGCCCTACTTCCGTGCATTTGGCATGCCTTGGACTAGAACACGGGCATTTCCACACGCATTTTTTGTGCCCAACAACAAATCTGGTGGAACATATAACTATATGACCTATACACTTTTTGACACTTTGTTCTGGAAAAGCACGTCAGGTCAAATAAACGCGTGGCGAAAGAGGCAGCTCGGTCTCCGTCCTACTTCACTTTCTAGATTGGCGATAAACAAGGTCCCCTTTCTCTATAATTTTAGCAAACATGTTGTACGCCAACCACTTGACTGGAGTGAGTGGGTTCGCATCACCGGTTACTGGTTCCTTGATGAAGAGCAAGGCTGGGACCCCCCGGAAGAGCTTATTAACTTTATTAAAAAGGCAAAAGATGATGGCAAGAAAATTGTTTACATTGGCTTTGGCTCAATCACAGTGGAAAACCCTGCAGCACTTACTCATACTGTCGTACGGGCAGTAGTGGACAATGATTTACGCTGCGTTCTTTCCAAAGGTTGGTCAGAGCGATTAGCAAAAGCGCCTCAACTGGTGACGGCGGAGCCCGACTTCCCTCCTGAGGTTTTGCAGATCAAGTATTCCGTTCCACATTCGTGGCTGTTTCCACAGATGGATGCTATAGCCCATCATGGTGGCGCGGGTACTACAGGTGCAAGTTTACGTGCTGGAAAACCCACAATCATTAAACCATTCTTTGGCGATCAATATTTTTTCGGAAGTCGTGTTGAAGACCTTGGGGTTGGTATTTACATTCGGATTCTGAATGAAAAGAAACTCGGGCGAGCATTATACTACGCTACCCATGATGAGCGGATGAGAAAGAAGGCACAGTATATAGGCGAGCAAATTCGGTCCGAGGATGGTGTTGCGACCGCTATTCGCGCCATTTACCAAGACCTGGACTACGCACGGTCGCTTGTTCAAAAGAAGTCTTCGAAGAGCGATGCCTTTGGTAAAGACGGTCACTTCGATTTTGAGCACGAGATGGATGAAGAGCAATGGACCATTGTAGGTGATGAAGTTGTTCCAGATCTTAAACAGATGCCAAAGAGCATGCACCAGGATCAAGAGGAAGAGGGTCTTGTTGGTGAAGTGAAGAATTGAAAGCAACTAGAAGAAATTAGGCTGACTTGTTAGTCTGGTGATGCAAAGCATGCATAGCGCGGCGTTCGCTTGACTATTCTGTTAACCTCTTATGATAAGGTTGATACCATGGTTGGCAATCGGCAATATAAATGGCGGCTAGAATTAGTATATGTGTGGCATTCACGTCGTCCGTAGACTGATGAAAATGCTCTTATGATGAAAATTGATAGTTTAGTTCTTCACTTCATCATATTCAAGTTTTTCCAAACGGAATAACATAGCTCAACACGTCATGGCTCATACGAATAGTACAAAAAATTGGACGAAAATTCATCAAGTCACGACTTACCTCTCGCGTCCAGGAAATCACGAAATTAATGCTAAACAGTGTACGCTTTTGCAACGCTGAAGAGAGTGAAACTTCAACAACAGTACAATGTACCTCATAGATGCGAATCAAGGGTATGTTCAGGATGAATGCATTCTATTTTTAGACTACATATCATCCTCAGCCACCACGCTGAAAAGGCTCTCTTGCATCGAGCCAAAAAAATTCAGTCCTGTTTGGGGTTCGAACACGTCGCTCGTGTTCCACAAAGCCATTGTCGATGCTAAGGTTCATGCCACGAGCTGGACTACGCCGCCAGCTTCTTTAATCTTGCGCTCAGCTTCCGCGGAAAAGTATCGAGCACGGACAACAAGTGGAATTTCTGGAATGCGACCTTTTCCTAAGACCTTAGCATAGCCGAAATCCAGCAGGTTGAGGACCGGGGCGGTGTCGGCTTCCTTATTTGCGAGATACTTTTCGCGCTGTTCAGCGGGGACTAGGGACCAGAGCTTGTCGAGGTTTATGACCGGTTTCCAGAAATGATTGCCTACCAAGGATATTAGAGTATACTCTAGAATTCTAAATTCGAAATTTCACACATACTTTGCTTATGGAAATATCTCATGCCGACCTTGCCAAAGTAACCTGGATGGTATTTGTCCATGTTCGTCCTGTGGTGGTGCTGACCGCCAGCAAGACCGCGACCACCAGGATGCTTTCGATGCTTGCCAACGCGACCTTTGCCGGCACTGACGTGACCGCGATGCTTCCGCCTGTGAGGTCTATTAGTCTCTCGAACGAATGTAGGGTTCTGCTATGCAATTCACGGCGGCGAGCGGGAAAATTGCATCCATTTGTCTTCTATGTAGCGGTAGAACTCAATGGCGCCGGATCATTCAAGGGAAACCTACGTCTTCGTTAATCTGGTGGGCATGTTGATGGCTTTTTGATTTGTGCGATGGGGGTTCTATGTACGCAACTCACGAAAATCTAAATGAATGTGGGATTGCAGACGGCGCCAGGCTTTAAGGCATCAGATCGAGGCATTAAAAGTCACGTGATTCTAAACTATCAAGTTAACTTAACTTTGTTAATTTTCGGACAATGTCTTTAGTATGTTGCATTTGTCGGTGTGATCGATGAATCTGAGATCATTGATTGGATTGATTGAAGCTTTCTGGCAAGTGCTCGCACATACCACCCCTTACTACCTCGCCTATCCGGCCATCTCTGATCTTAATCAACCAATATACTAGCCTTTTTAGGACGTGACGTCCACTGACAGCACGTGCCTTGCTTTGTCAGCCAGACATAACTCTGCGCTCTATTTCCGGACATTCAGCTCATGAGTTCATCTTTCTCACTCCACCTCAGCACCTCCCACACTGATCGACTGCCCACGTTATCGAGCTTTTTGCCATCGATGCGCATCGCTATCGATTTCCGGTTCCGTTTTGAAGAGCGAAAGTGTTCTTTCTCTTACTCATTGACAGCATCACACTCAGATCTGCACACGCCACTTGCAAAACTTCATGTTTGATTGCAACTGAAGGTAACCAACAGAGCAGCGCGCACGGCACTTGTCCAGCGGGAAAGAGGAAGTCGTGCCAGAATCAGATAGCTTTGTTGGAGTTGTTCTCACTGTTGTGGGAGGCGTCTTGTGTCTCATAAACCCAAGCAACACTGGACTGTCCATTCACCCTCGTACTAACACTACCCTATTCTGCATTGTATCTCTACTCTTTTCAACTTTTCCTCCTTTCTAGCAACTTCAACAGGCCTTCAGTGGCCACAATACGAAGCTTTTTCTTCTTCACCTTCATCTTGGAACCTCACTGCGTTGTGTCTACCGTACACTCTCTGGCCGCAAGCGCACAAAGTTGTTGTCAAGCAAAGCAGCTTTTGCCTACGGTAACATAATACCTTTATTGCTAGCTGCGTTTTGAACGAACTGTCGCCATGACGTCTACAGTCTTCTTCAAATTCAAGTCTCAGAAGGAGCCTCAGCGTGTCACTTTTGATGGCACAGGAATAACGGTATTCGAACTGAAGCGGGAAATTATCACCATCAGTGGCTTGGGCGATGGCACTGATTTTGACCTCTCCTTATATGACGATACAGGTGCCGAAGAGTATACCGATGACACCACAATAATTCCACGTTCTTCCTCTGTTATTGTTCGGCGATTACCCCCCTCTTTGGGACCTGGTCGAGGTAAAGCTTCTCGGTATGTGACTGGGAAGGCGCCAGTCAAAGCAATCAACAAAAATGTGACATCAAATCCATCAACAACTCTTCCTGATTTCAGTGCCGCTACCAATGAAGCAGAGCGACTAAATGCGATCTTCGCTGCTGAAGGTGCGTCATGGGAGCAGCAGCAACAAGAGATGGCACAGCAAAAGCGAGTACAATTCAAGAGCTCTAACAAACGCCCCCTCAACGTTCCTGATCATGAACCTCCACCGAAATATGTTTGCCATAGGTGTGGTCAACCCGGCCACTGGATTCAGATGTGCCCTACAAATAGCGACCCAAATTTTGAGTCAAAGCCCAAGATCAAGCGAACAACTGGTATACCCCGGTCATTCATGAAGAAGTTGGATAAACCTCTGGGTGAAGGAGAGATTGAGGAGGGTTTGCAGGGGGGTACCATCATGCTGGATGCCGATGGCAATCATGTCATTGTAAACCCAGATACGGCTACATGGAAAAAGGCGGAAGCCAAACTAAACGCATCCGCTGCGCAAAAGCAAGAGGCAGAGGCAGCGGGAAGCAAAGAACTGCGGGAACTTGGTCTAGAATGTCCAATTGACAAGAAGCTTTTCGAGAATCCTGTGAAGACTCCTTGCTGCGGCAAGACGTATTGTCATGATTGTATTGAGAACGCACTTGTTGACAATGACCTCGAATGCCCGAATTGTCAAAGGGACGGCGTCTTGATCGATGATCTTACTGTCGATGAAGACATCGCCGCCAAGATTCGAAAATATGAGGATGATAAGATCGCGGAGAAAAAGGCAAGAGAAAAGGATCAAGCTGTTCCGAAAAGTCCTAAGGTTGAAACAGCGGATATAGAGGAATCAAAGTCGCCTGCTGCTGCAATTACGTCGCCGTCGCCAGAGGTAAAAGAACCATCACCGGCACCGTCAAATGCCAGCATAGCAAAGAAACGTCCGGCTGATGAAAGTTTGGAGAATCCACGAAGCCCCCCAAAGGCGCCAAAGTCAATGCTTGCAGCACAGCAGCAGAATATCCCGCCAGGTTTTGACCCGAAATTCATGGAAATGATGATGCAGTACGCTCCGCAGGACTTCGGTAATAGTCAACAATTTCAGAATCAGATTTTTAACCCAAACATGATGGGAATGATGGGCATAACTATGCCAAGTATGATGAGCATGCCTAACGCGATGATAAATCCCATGATGATGATGATGGGAAACGGAATGCAAAGTAACACCTTCAACAACCAGGCTATGGGTACCATGGGTTACAATGACGGCTCGAATGGCATTAACAGCACCTGGCAGCAACATAACGGTGGAGGCTACGCTCAGAACGACTGGCACCAGGGAGCTACATGGAGTAATAATCGCGGATTTGGTGTCGGCTATGGCGGAGGAGGGGAGAATAGCGCCTATGCTCGAGGTCCAGTTAACCCTAATCGTGCACGTGGGCGACAGCAGAGACAGGCACGAAATGATGACTACAACACTCTATGAGTCCATGAATAGGCGCTGAGTTGGTGGGTATGACCATAGTTTTACAGTGCATTGTCTCGGCGTTTCGGAGAGGTATTTGCGGACACGAAGTCACTTGGCCAAGTGCTGGCGAGACTTTCTACGAGGCGGCACTGCCTAAATTTTGGAAGATTTTCTCCGCTGCAGTATGCAGTCTATCACTCCAAAGACGCAAAGAAAATAAGCAAATATCATGTTTCTGAACATGTATGTAGATTCTCTCAGGTCCCACATTTACAGCCCTAGGATCATTTACTGATGTCTTTGAATGAAGATCAAGTCGCTTTCGTCTATTGTAACGTCATTCGGATGTGGAGTTTGCTTTTGGCCAGAACAAATCCCTGGCGACCCGAAAGATCCAAGGGTCCATGACGTAATGCTGAAAGTTTGACATGGACTTGCTCCACGAATTGGTACAAGAAGAGCCTGCTTCCTGGACTGGGATTCTCTCGTTTAGGCATATCAACTAGAGTTTGCTAAGTCAAAATATCCAACCTTTTGAACTTTGTAATCAAAAATACCTGTAAGTTGTGATAGCCACTTCCTCATGGACGCCCTCGCTTGCGACCAGCTAAAGCCTGGCAAAGATCTGCTAAATGGTGCTTGTACAGCCCTGACATAAGACAGAGCTTGATATCTGAAGCCGGTGATCAAAATTCACCACGAAGCATCTACAAAAATGTGAGTGATGTTACTTACATCATGAAATTTTCGAGAGATCTGTCGCATGTTTATATGTCAGGACAGGATTCGGCGTCATTTATCTGCATTGTTAGCTCTGACCTGAATTTTTAGGATGCGAAATCTCAGTATCAGAGGCCGTAAGGGTCGCAGCGACTCGGATGGTCCGAAGCATCACTTCGCCATTTCCACGCTTCGCGGTTTACAGCAGCCAGAATCGTCGAAGAAACTATATAAGCTGATCAAGTCTGAGAACCATGCAATTAGCGCTTACGAAACTGCAGGACGTGAGAGTTTGTCTATTGCGTCTCAATTGTCAGAATGGGGAGAAGACACCGGTGATGATGCTGTTTCTGAGATTAGTGACAAGCTGGGAGTCTTACTTGCGGAGATCGCTGAGCAGGAAGACCAGTTCGCATCAAGCTTAGAGGAATCTCGAAGCATCTTGAAACAAATTAGAAATACAGAAAGCAGCATTCAGCCAAGCAGAGATCAAAAGGTCAAGGTATCCTTCCATCGCTATTCTCAATCTGCAGGAGAGAAGCGCTAATTCACCAAAAGATCTCTGACGAGCTTCAAAAGCTGAAGTACAAGGAGCCAACCAGCACAAAGATTCCAGCACTCGAACAAGAACTTGTGCGAGCTGAAGCTCAATCACTTGTTGCGGAGGCTCAACTTACAAACGTAACCCGCAGAAAATTTAAAGAGGCGTACGCTCTCCATGCGGCTGCAGTGCTCGAGCGCGCCGAGAAACAGGCTATTTTAGCTCGTCAGGCACAGAAACTGCTTCTCTTGCTCGACGATACTCCGATTGTCCCAGGCGAAAGTCATGAGCCTTTTTCAAAAAATGAGGAAGCTAGGCAGATTCTCAGTGACGCGGAGGACGAGTTGAAAGCTTGGCAGCCGAGTTGGGATCTGCCAAAACAGACAGCAACGGGCCAAGACGACATGGCAGTACCGCAAGGCGTTGCAACTGGTAGCATTATGGATGAGAACTCGTCCGGTGAACACCAGACTGATGGAAGTACTGCAGATGCCACGTTCAACGCTCCGGGCACATCACATGCACATACATGAGATGCCTAACGCAAGAGTGAGACGGCTGTGAGTGCTTGGTTGTCTTCGATACACGACATGCCAGGGCGAAGTCTTCGGAGATTAAATACTGTTTAGTACGATAAGTATTATTGTTCTCCAGAATACAGTATATGGAAAGTTTTGAGTTTCCCCACGTCTTAGTAACTCAAGGAAGCGTATTGTGTAGTGTAATCACAGTTATGTTTATGCCCCTCCGAATTTCCACATGGCGTCCATAAATGCGTATAATTGAGCATGTAAAGATACTAAAATTTGGATGCGGAAGATGCATCAAGTCCTTGCCCTTTCGGCACCTTTTTCTTATGCGCCTGTAATTTATCTACCTCACTGGCCTTCCAGAAGTGGGGAGCAACTTCGTTGAGCCAACTTGCCTCGATAGGTGCCACACCTCTCATCCAATCTCCACTTGTGATGACGAGCTCATGGAACATAACCACCTTAGGTTTATACGCTTGATCCTGTGCCGAAAGGACGCTGCTTGGATGTATCTTCACGCTCATGTTTGTCCTTAGCGTCCGATAATGGTGACCATCCCGTTGCAGAATTGCTGTATTACTGAAAAATCCAGAGAGTAGCGCCTTTAGTATCGGCACATGTTCATTGGATCCAACGCTAGAGTCTGGAGGGATTTCAACGCGGTCACAAAGTGCTTCCAATTGCTCTCGCACAAGGCGTGCGCGTTGCAAGGAGCGGTATTGAAGGAAATTTTCACGGCACCAAGGGACGCTGTACTCAGCATCAACCCAAGCGTTGTACACATTCAGTAAGGTGAGGTGGTCGCCGCCTTCCTTGTGGGTAAAGCGTGCTCGTGCGCTATCTGCATGCACCTTTTGATCTTTCGGTCGGAAAAAGAGATTTGCTGATTCATCGAGCATGGCAACAATGGTAAGAACTTCTTGCACACACCCGTACTTGTGGCTAGCGATAAGAGCAGCGGCAAGCCGCGGATGCGAAGGGATTTCGACCATTTGGCGGCCAAGACGAGTGACACGTCCATCACTCGCCAGGGCCCCAAGCATGTAGAGAAGCTCAAGCGACTTGATCAGAGAGTCCGGCGAAGGCGCATCAAGAAAGTCGAAGTCGATAATGTTGTCCACGCCAATGGTTTTAAGAAATAAAACAGCGCTTGTAAGATCACTACGTTGGATCTCGGGAACAGGTTCCTCCTGCAGCTCTGTGTAGAAGTTGTACTTGGTGTACAACCGTAGGCACGTGCCAGGGCCCACACGACCGGCACGACCAGCTCGTTGTTCAGCGGATGCACGGCTAATTGGTGTGGTTTGCAAGGAACTTGTGCCTGTCGAGGGGTTGAACACGTTTTCTTTTGCCAAACCTGTGTCTATGACGTATTTGATCCCATCAATAGTCAGAGAGGTCTCGGCGATGTTCGTGGCCAAGACAACTTTGCGTGCGCCTTCTGGTGTTGGCTCAAATATCTTAGCCTGCATCTCGGATGGAAGTGTCGAATAAATGGGAGAGACAATCAATGGTCGCACGCGATTCCCGAGTTTACGCATGGTTTCCTCGATCTGCTCGACACCCATGTCGATATCCTCTTGACCCGTAAGGAATACCAGAATATCGCCACCGATAGGCTGCGATATGTGTATTTGAAAGACGGTCGTTATTGCTGCATGCAAATAATTTGCCTCCGGCGATTGGGCGAACATCTTCTCAACTGGATGCGTTCTTCCCGGAACGTGAAATATCGGACAATCGTCCAGAAAGCTTGCAAACTTCGCCGAATTCAATGTGGCAGAACTGATGATGATTTTCAAATCGCTTCGGGCTCTGCTCAGGTCCTTTAAGAATGCGAGAAGCATGTCGGTGTCTAGTGTACGCTCATGAGCCTCGTCAAGCATGATGACGCCGTATGCACTTAAGGTTGGATCAGACACCAGCTCACGCAGAAGCATGCCATCGGTCATGAATTTTATCTTGGTTTTATCCGATACTTTGTGCTCGAATCGAACGCTGTAGCCCACCTCAGCGCCCAGTCTCGTGCCACGCTCTTCGGCTACACGCGCGGCGACGGACATGGCCGCCACTCGACGGGGTTGCGTGACACCAATCATGAGACCGTTGTTGATGTTCTCTTCTAGAATGTATTGAGGGATTTGGGTAGTCTTGCCAGAGCCAGTCTCCGATGAGACTATCATATTCTGGTGATCCTTCAAGGCTGATACGAGCTGCTCTCTGTATGCATACATTGGTAACTCTTTTCTTTTTTCCTTGATTGTGGCCTCTTTTTTGAGCTCAGCGTCGAGCTGTTGCTGAAATATTAACATCTCTTTGCTCATGGTCCCGGGAATCTTTCCACCGCTGATGAAATCAAGTTTCTGGCTTTCATCGAAGACATATTCGTAGTCCTTTGCGTTGATGCGTTGAGAACGAAGATTCGCTGTAGCTGTCGCCCTCCGAGTTTGCTCTTCTTCCCAAAGCTGAAGATCGCTGACACCCTCACGTTCTTTATTACGTTTATTGAGCGTCTCGCTCTTACTTGACCGATCATAATCTTGCATGTAAAAGCCGTCACGGTCCTCAGCTACATCGCGGGCATGCAATCGTGCTTCAGCGAGCTCGAGGAGTTCCCTATTCTTGGCGAATTCGCGCAGCTCCCGCTCCGTAAGATCAGGATTTGTACGCTCCTCCTCAGCCTCTTCCTCAACTTGTTTCCTGAGGAGGTAGACTTTTTCGGCTTCACGCTTGCGTAAGTATTGCTGCCTCGACTTCAGTCGAACGTCTTTCATATCCCGTTTAGAATCATCGTCTTTGGTTTCCCCGCGTTTATCCTTGTCCTTAAGTCTCTGCTCGAGTTCCTCCAGCTCTTTCCGGTCACGCTCTCTTTCACTATCCTCAGAAACTGACCGGGTAGGTGGTTCAGACACGGAGTAGTCGACACGCCTGCGTTTCTTCCATTCCGGCTCTTCGATATCTTGCACCTCTTCCTCAGATTGTTCGCCCCATCTTTCATCATAGTCGTCTTTCTTTGACCGAAGCGCGCGTCTTCCCTTACTTTTGCTTATTTCTTTATTTTTCTCTTTACTCTTTTTAGTGCTATCAGTATTCGGTGAAGCCGGCGCGGTGTTGGACTCCAAATCCTCGTTCATCGCGACCATGGCATAGCGCCTTTTCTCATGCTTAGGAGGGACTGCTGACACATTATCTCTCTTCGATGATTTACTGCCCGTGCGCTTGAACAGGTTTTCTGCAAAGACTTTGATGTCTTCTTTTTTACCATCTAGCAGCGTAGATAGTTTCTCGTACAGTTCTGAGGCAGTCTTTGAGCTGGATGCTTCAGCAAGTACAAAGTCGACAATGACCGCATCCGCGCCTCCAAACTTGACCAGAGAGTCTGAGACATACGTTTTGTCGTCCATGATGAACACACTGCCCTGCCCTCGTGATCTTAGCAGCCCGTCACAATGTCTTTTGCTAGTCTTGTGCGCCGCAGTTTGCTTGACAGTTGAATCCCTACTTCGTGATGCGTAGCTTATGGGAGAGCCCAGCCATATTTTAAACTTCAAAGGCCTGTCCGATGTTCCCGCACACAGTGTTCGGTGTCGCAGCGCGCATGGTGAAGCTTGTGTGGCTCATGGTTCCAAAAGGTTCGTTCTTTGAGTGCACTGCCGTTTTCCGCCTAGCGCGAGGTTCGAAAGGACCCCGTAGTCATGAAGAGCAACATATTGCATGCGCAGCCTACACTAATCATAATCACATCAAACAATTACCTCAAGATAAAGGCTTACCACACAAGACGTTTGCAGCTTCTTTCGCGTTCACGCCCACGGCGTACTGTTCTCTACAAAGAGTGCCTACAACTGAACGGGTCGATATGGCAGAAGCCGAATTGCGCAGTGTGAGCAGGCAGCTCCAACAAGCTCTTCACCATAACAACTTCCAGCAGTGTCAACAGCTCTTGTCCAAAGCAAAAATTGCCTTGTTGCATCTAAATGCTCTCATTCCATCACCACAGACGCCAACCAGCCACTTGCTCGCTGCGAGGGAGATGCTGGAACTGGGTGCCATTGTGTCTATTCGCATGAACAACGAACAGTCTCCCGATTCTTTCACTCGCTATTTCCAGCAATTACAACCATTTTACGCGCTCCCAAAATCGCAACTTCCCACCGAGCACAGCCAGCAGAGCAGGATAACGGGATTGTACTTGCTACTCCTTCTCAGCACCGGTGATTACGGAGGCTTCCACACCATGCTGGAGACTTTGGAGATGGCCAAGGGAGGGGCAACCGCAAAAGGTTTGGAGGATGATGAGTTCATCCAGTACCCTGTACGCTTGGAACAAGCACTCATGGAGGGAAGTTATGATCGCGTATGGCAGGAGACAAAAAGCTCCAGTATACCTAGCGAGGAATACGGCATTTTCTCGAGCGTAAGTTCTAATTTGATAGCTTCTTCTTGTTTGTGCTCACAACTACTTCGGCAGTTTCTGATCAACACCATCCGTGACGAGATTGCCTCTTGCTCAGAAAAGGCGTACGCTTCCGTGCCGATCTCAAACGCTAAAAACCTCTTCTTCCTTGATTCAGAAGGCGCCGTGGTCCAGTTTGCCCAGTCACGAGGCTGGACTGTAAAAGATGGTAGAATTTATTTCCCGCATCAGGACAAAGATCTCCTAGCCAGTGAAAAGGATATCTTAAGCGCAAGCGACCAGGTCATCGAAAATACACTGGGGTATGCTAGAGAGTTGGAGACTATTGTGTGATTTTCAGCGCCTGTACCCCCTCCGGTTCTTCACAGTGCAATCTATTTTACTGAATTGCTAGAATCCACGTAAATTCAAAGTCAGTCTTTAACTCGGAGGCCATCATAAGACGCCCAAGGAATTGAAAAGACAAAGAATTGTACAACATATCCGATAGCATCGTTCTTGCATTAGATCAGGACTATCAATAGCAAAACTTGCACATTTATGAGACAGATGGGCTTTATTTGTATCCTTTCAAATTCGTTTCCAGTCCATTAACCACCATCATGGAGCAGTAATCATGATAATTACATCTTGCCGCTTGCATAAGCAACACGTCTTGTCCTCAGGGAGATTTGGCCAGCCATGTCCAGTGATCCCGTCTTCTTGCAAATAAATTCTTGCAATTGAAGACTGTCGCCTCCTATGACTGTCGTATTTTTTTTCATGACATGAGATCCAACTGTCGATGTGGATCTCAGTCCTCATAAATATATCAGTCTCTAGCACATTCATATATGTTTGCTCGCCTGACAACGGATACTTTCACTTGGAACTAGTTTTTTCGGGGACGTCGACGAATCCTGTGAAAGGCCTAGATGTAGATTAAGCTACAGTAGGACAGTGTGAATTCAGGATGCCATCTATGTGCCATTTTGTCATGTCGGCGCAGGTGCTTAAAAAAGGGGGGATTATTTTGCTGTGGGGCAAACTTCTTTATCTGAAGGGTATAACTGAGCACTTGCGAGCTAGATCTTCTTGATTTCCATAACAGTCTTGACACCATGTAGTTCCCGGACAGAATGGAAGCAGTCATAACTACTCGTAGTTGGGGACCCCCTCCGATGCTCATGGACAAGACCGGGAGAACAATAACATCGGACTTGCTGCTGTGGCAAGGGTTAAAATTCCCGAAAAGCAAAGCTGCGACGAAAATGCTTAAAAGATCAATCAAAATTGCAAATGCTAGATCACGTCATCCTCATTTAGTGCATGGCGTTTGAAATGGCACTTGATTGCGGCAGGAATACCTACCACGGGTTGAGACAGTACTCTAAGCACAAGATGTTTCGTGACATTGTGTAGCGAGCTTGGTATAAGGTCGAAGTAAGAAACAACTAGTACAGGACGTTCCACGACATTATGAAATTGTCATTACGATTCGTTCATCTGGTCACTGCTCCACGACTTGGCCAATGTTCCTGATCGCGTAATGTACAGATATTATGACTGAACTATCACTCAGCTATGTCAAGACACTGAGATAAGAATCTGCTTTGTCGCTAGGGTAAACCTTCTATTTCCATCGCTTACCTGTTTTTTCAATTCTCATGTAGGGGCTACGGCTTTGCTTCGAAGGCTGAGTGTGCTCTTAAGAGCTCCGGGTTTTGTGCTGCAAACCCACACACAATCACCTAACGCAGTTCGGGCTTCTTCGCTAAATTCACAATGGGAGGTGGGCCATCAGAAGTTGGATATGGTGGTTGCACAACACCTTGCGGTGTTGCCGTGGAGCGTATGCTTGTAGACTCAGAATGTCCTTGGATTGGTGTCTTCGGCGGAACGGGTGGTGGATGATTTGACGCCACGCTACTGCTAAGGATGCTCGAACCGTCAGGCCTGGAAATGCTCGTCCGGGTCTGCTCGCTGCTAGCCCTCGGCGAATAGTCGTACCGAGAATGGTGGCTAGATGTAGGACGTTCGACGTATATAGCGGGTTCATCTGCCATGACAATAAATTTGTCGTCTTCAGACGGTCGGTGGTACGTTGGACTCAATAATCTAGGGTTTGGATGTTGTTGCATGTGCGGAGGAACGTCTTCGCCCGGAAGCTCAACAGCACCGACAACAGCGGGTGGTGCAGGTTGATTGAGTTGGTTAAGCTCCTCGATAGGCACTTCCCAGCTCAGTCTGTTATCAGGTTGACCATTCAGAGCACGATTCCAACGGTCGTTCGCTCTTCGAATGGCGCCAAGTTTCCGAGCAGCATCTTGTGTCATGTTTTGGACCTCCGGTTCTGCAAGGTAGCGCCTGGTGTTTGTGCTGATCTCGGCGAGACGATTCCACTCGTTCATCCCAAACTCGCCAACACCGACGTCTACATTGAGCCGATAATAATTTTCAAGAGGAACATTACGATCGAACAAGTGTTTGTGAATCATGTACTTGTGTGTTTCTTCACATCCCTCGATTTTCGAAATGAGCCTTCGCCTTGCTTCGGCAAAATCACCCATTCCACTTGACACGAAGCCCTCCCACCAAAGATGTTGTTGTGAGTTCGTACCGTTCGGACGCTTGCCAGTGCCTATTGAGATCAAGACGCCGACTTCTCGACCCGGCCACTCGTTGAGAACAGCTTCGTCTAGGGCAACTGGTGCAGGATTGTATTTGCCTGCTCCTTCGTCCAAAAACACGGACTGTCCTATTTGAATCGGCTTGAAGGCTAACGCAGTTGCGGCGGTCGCTCTGCCGGCTTGCCATATCATGCATTTCTCTTCAGGTGCAGGTTCTCTTCGCGAGTCATACGAACGTAAGAGGACAGGCGGGGCACTCTTACCGGTACCTTTGTAAACTGCCGTGACTGCACTAGATTGAGATTAGTTCAACCATTACGGTGCCATAGACTCAGCGGGTCTCACGTTTTGGTCCTGTTTTCTCTTGCGTCATACAGCAATGCATTGGGATTTCCCCACCTCGCAGCTGCAAACTGTCCACTAAAGTTTCTAATCGGTGTTGTCCCAATCTGGCTATATCTGCTCGCCGAACTGAGGCTTCTCTCAACCCTTGGGCTGTTGGGTGAGTAAGAAGTCCCGGGTCGCATTGGCAAGGCTGGCGACTCGGGTGGACTGTCGCCCTGATCATTTCCTTCGTATTCGTACACGGTGTGCTCCCGCACACACTCTCGTATCGCCTCTTCCAATTTCGACGCCTTGAAAAGTGTAGATCGATAAGGGATCCCGGCGATGGTCTTGTCCGTCTCGAACACACGCTTTGTCATGCGCACATAAACATCCTTGCATGTTTCGATGTCCATTCTTAATCGGCCGAGCATTAACGCTATCAAACCACCGGTTCCTGTACCGACAATAAGGTCAAAGTGCTCGCATGGCTTGGGTATCTCGTTCCGTTTTGGCGCTCGTCCTTCTATCTCGACGAAGGTCCTGTGCATAAGTTCTTGTAGGATGATGAGCATGGAGTAACCTCTGACTCCGCCCCCATCTGCGTCTATCCGTTAGTTGCGATAGGAGACATTCGTCTGTACGGCGATGAACATACCGAGCGACAGAATTCGCAAAGGCGGTCCTCTTGTCGTATCTTTGCGACGCAGGCCGCCGTAGTCCATGACTGAAGACGAATCTTGCGCCCGCAGGCGCTCGATGTGCTGCGTCCTCTGAGTGCTGCGTGCCACGGCAGCGATTCCAATAGCGCTAAAGCTGCCCTTTGCTGCCGCGTTAAGTAGAGCCTGGGTTTGTTTGGTGTCCGAATGCGCCGGAATGTGATGCTGACGTTGACTGGCGATTGCTTTTCAGGTACGTGGCAAGACTCGGATACTGAAGCTGACTGTATGTCGTTGTTCTTTGGGGACGCTGGTCCGTTCGCTGGACTGCCTGGCCGGCACAGGTCTTACTTTTCTGGCTTGGTTAATCGTTGAGTATTTGGACGGCGAAGAAAGACGAAGGATGTGGGCACGACTGCGAGTTTGCGCCGAGCTGCGGGCCCTAACTGTTGCCACAGTTGTGGCAGGATCTCTCTCTCTCATTCGACGGCGCTTCTGAAGCGAACCACGCTGCAAAGGCTGTATGCGAAATGGCGAATGCTGGTCGCTGGTCGCTGGCTGCTGGCTGTTAGCTATGTCTTGGTTTGCCTACGCTCAACAACGTCATTGGCTGCGTCGACCTTGGCCTGGCCTCTGCCGTCACACCCAGTAGGCGCAGCAGCAACCACCACCCGCGGTCGCCGAAAAGGTTCCCGCTTCACCATTTGGCCCAAAACACTGTCGCGAAGGACCAGAGTTCGACGGCGGCTGTCCACCTTTAGTCGGAAAGCTTCTCGACTGCGGGTTCTCTACGACTCAAGCCTGTTCTCGGGCTGGCTCATGCGACGCCGGAATCGCCATTTGTATGTCAGCATGGCATTCAGACAAAAACAGCACGGCTGAATGTCACGCGCGTATCGCGTGGCGGAGTAAACGAGAAGGATAGGCGGCCGCGTTGCTACGAGGCTGATGGGCAGGACGCTTTTTGAGTGACTTGCTGCGAAACGAACAAGGGCAGAGACCAGATGAAAATCAAATCACGTGCAGCCAAACTGGTTCCTTATTTATTCAGAGAATTACGAGTTCTGTCCTAGGAGGTTAAGCTTTCAAGATGCTCTGAGCGGCGTTGCAACGCAACCGCTTCCCCTCTACAGATGATGGTGCAGGCCCTATGTTTCGAAGCGCGCTGTCTGGCCCCATTTTGACAGCATCATAGTCGCTAGTCGTTGTGAACTTGCCTAATATCTCGTCCTTTCTGTCCTATCGCGCTGCTTCATGCTCCGCTCCCTACGATTTGACCTTGAATTTCATCTTGATTCCCATCGAAGCCAGTTCCGAATTCAGGTACATCAAGACACCAGGTGTGCTCACCACGACCACGTCTTTACCTCCGACGTATGATGCGCCTGTACCGTCCTCCCACACTTCACTTTTTGGCTCAAAACCCTGCGCGGGTTTTGCACAAGTCCTGCATCTTGCCATCTGCAACCCTCTGGGTCCTCTTCTTCGGGCACCGCCGGGCATTACAGGCATCGGAGATAAAAAGCTTCCACATGTTTTGCATATCCACGCTTTGGTATGGTCGCTGCAGTTAAATAATCGATCTTGCAAGAGATATGCAGTACCGTGTGCCAACAATGCATCACGCTCCATTTCTCCCACGCGGATACCACCACCCTTCTTTCTCCCCTTAATTGGCTGGCCTGTAAGGCGGTTGTTCTGACCAGTCGTTCGCACCTGATACTTGTCGTTGACCATGTGGCGCAGACGCTGGTAGTACACGACGCCGATGTAGATATCCGCTGCAAGCTCAGTCCCGGTGATGCCAGAGTACATAGGCTCGTTACCGTAATAGTTGTAGCCCGCCTTTTTCAATTGATGTCCAAAATAATCAACGGCAGTGTCATTCTCATCAAATGTGAATGGAGTGCAATCCTGGGCCAGACCATGCAAAGCTCCAGCCTTGCCGGCGAGTGACTCCACAAACATGCCTATCGTCATACGAGACGGAAATGCGTGAGGGTTGATAATGACGTCAGGTTGGATGCCGGATTCTGTAAATGGCATATCAACCGACGGCCACTTCTGTGAGCAAACACCCTTTTGTCCGTGTCGCGAAGAGAATTTATCACCAATAACTGGGGAACGAGGAATACGAAGTTTAATGCTGACGGCCTGCAAAGGCTTGTTTCCATCCTCTGTACCAATCAAACGCACTTCCTCAACGAACGCATCTTCGTCATCTTTGTATCGGTGCGCGATCGAGACGCCATCTCGGTTGACGTACGAATTAGTTGCGGCATCATGCATCACGCTGTGTGATACGGCAAAGACATCTCCCTTTCTGAGCAGCTGTCCAATAGCTGGCAGGCCATCGTCATCGATTTTCAACTTCCAGTCAGATCTCTGGAGGCCGCCAGGGGCAAAACCAAACATGCTTGTTATTCTGGCTGCTTGGGCTCTTGCGGATGATCCCTCTTGAAGGTTCAAAATCTTTGTCTTGTAAATCGTGCCATGACCAAAGCCTCTTTCGTGAGCGGACTTGTTTATTATCATAGCATCATCCATATCATAACCTGTGTAGGATATAACTGCAACCACAGCATTCATTCCGTTAGGGAAGTTATCAAGTCCGTATGCATTGTGTAATGGAGGCCGTACGATTGGTGTTTGTCCAGTTTGAAGACGATATGTCTTGTTATCTGTTCGGTGCCGAATGGCTGTTCCAGGTGTACCCATGGATTGTTTACCCATCTGACATTGGTACATATTTCTTGGTGACTGATTGAAATCAGAAAACGGCGTTTGATTTGCAACAATGGAGAATATGTTGGTAGGATTAATCTCAACGTGTGTAGATTCACCGGATATGATTTCCGGTTCAGTACAGGCGATTGACATGAACGGTTGTTCGAACGGACCAACGTAGTCAGTTTTCTCAAGAGGAAGATAGCGGACCGGCCTATAAAAACGTGCTGGCTGTGAGGCCATGTAGATGCCAGGGTACTGCCCACCGTTGGAATTCGGTACGAAGCCAATCTCCAATTCGACGGGCACTCCATGCGAACCTTCTACTTTCCAGTGCCGTAGGGAATCATGTATAGTCTGGGCTTGCTTCGGTGTACAGAAACCAAGAATGCGACCATCCAGCTGGACTACGATGCTGTCCGTCAACAAAGCTGTGCCGTTCGGTACGGCACCCATTTGAGACACTAGTTCGGGTATTGTCGTCGTATCAAGAGAGTCCACCGCGATCAGACATTGGTGGGCAAGATGGTTGAGGAGGCCACAAGGACCGCCATCGGGCGTGTGGACAGGACATAAGAAACCCCAACTCTCAGGAAGCAGCTTTCGCACGGTCGTTGTTCTGAGCTCTTGGAAGAAGCTACCTCGATGAATCATTCGAAAATGACTGATAAAACGATAAAAGTTGATCTTCTCCGCCACGACTGTGAACCCGGACGTTTGTTGGATATCCAAGCCGCTAGTGCTGTTCAGATTTCCTGTAGACATGAAATAGTCCATCAGCTGTCCAATGTTCTCTCCAGTCATACTCTTGAATATCCTTGAACTGAAGTCTTTCTGAAACTGAGACGACGTGAAAGGTTGGTAGCCGTTGTTTCGTCCCCAGTCAGCCAGGGCTCTCCGCATCGACTGTAGCCAGTCATCTAGTTTCTCTTTTATGATCATACCGTACAGGAAACCGCCCAACAGTACCTCCTGGTTCGAGACAGCATCGGGATTGTCAACGGCGCATTCACCTTCGACAAGAGCATAAAGTTTTCGGATCATGAACAAGAGCATATTAAACTTGTCGAAATCTTGGCTTGGGGTGACATTTACGCAGCCGAGATGAGGCAAAACAACCTTCCGCAGGAACTCGGTTCCCGCTTCGTAGTCTGTGGCATCTTCTGCAAGTCCCAGCACCACTCTAAATTTGCTGCCGAGATAAGACCGTGTCTTGGCCTTCCCATGTAAACCGTACGCTTTGTAAGTTCGCAAGAGCAACTCAACACGATCCATGACAAACTGTTTCTGGCTTAAGCCTTTTGAGCCGGCCGAGCCGACCAGGCCCTCAAAGATTTCGCGATCATTGGTTTCGATCAATGCCTTCAATATCATAACTACGGGCACCAGATACTCGTTTTTCCTCCATGAGAACCGGAAGGTAACATTGCCGTCGCTGAGATAATGCAAGACGTTTGTTTGAGACGTTTGATCTGGGCGGACGGAGCGAAGCTGGATGCCAAACTTAGTGTAGGACGTGCCCCGGTTCGTGAAGGAGGGTCGGATGATTGCCATGGGGAAGTTGCGCTTTCCTGTAATCAGCATCCGTATCAACTTCTCGTTGCCGTTGATGATGAAGTATCCACCAAGCTCCTCGCTTTCTTCCTTTGCCTGGATCAGTTCTGCCGGAGACATGCCTTCGAGATGGCAACGATTGGATCTCAGCATGATGGGCACACTGCCTAGTTCTCGTTCCATCTGGATCCACTCGCCATTGTTGATCTTGTATTCTATCCTCGCGGTCAATCTACCTTTGTACGTCGAGTGCCGTTCACGGCACTCTCGAGGTAAAACTTCTCGCCTCCACACGTTGTTCTTGTTAGAAGCAGGCAAAGTCGGCTTCTGTAAGAAGACCTGGCTGATTCGAACGTATAATTTATTCCGTAACGGCGCCTTCCCTGGCTCCAGCTGCGGATTGCCATCGAGAAAAGTCTTGGTCCCAATTTCCTTGATGCCCTCCTCGATGATACCGCCGGGGGCAAAGATCTTGTTGAACGACTTGATGTGCGGATCGACCGTCGCGGCGAGCATGGGATACGCGGTCTTATCCTTGGGCGGGTTTGTGAACAGCCGCTGCCGTCTGGCGGTGTCGAAGTCGACCGTCCATTCGGTGTTGGTTTTTGATCGGGTCGAAGTACGAGACATGGTAGTCAAGGCCTCGGAGTCTCAAAGAACAAGAGACACCACACGATCGGAGGACGGGGAGCACTCAGTCACGCAGCAGTGGACATTGGGAGTGAAAAAAGAAGGGCAGGGTAAGGCAGAGCAGGACAGAGCAGAAGAGAGCAGAGCGGAGCAAAGGTACGAAACACTAACTCAGCAATAGGCTCGCGAGCGGACGCGAGCTGCTGCGATGGGGGTGTTTCCAAAAAATTTATCTCGACTCACTTGGCTGAACCTGGCTACGCCTGCGGCTCGGGTTGTCCTTTATCGATAAGAGCGGATGTCTTGGCGCCTTGGCGTCTATGGACCCAACCACTGCCGAAGGACCACCCTCTCGAAGCCCTCCACACTTCCTTGGCCGGCTCTTCCTGTTGCGTCTCGCCTGAGTAACGTATTGGTGACCGTAACTTAACCTGGGCCGTACTGAGGTCGAACCCTCCGCTCCCCCCCCCACCACCACCCCCCAAAAAAAACGCATCAGAACAGCAGAAGCCAGCGCCCCTAGTCGTCCAGCCCGCCCGCACAACCTTCACGCTCCAGGCAAGCATTCATTGTCAACTGTTCCTGTCGCGACCCCAGCGCTACATTAAGCCTTTCGCTGTCCCGAACCATCCTCCCACCCTTCGTTCTGAGTGACATCTAGCTCATGATTCGACCCCACATCGGAGCCTTTTGACTCGCGTCTGCCTTGGGCCACTCTGAGGGCAAAAGAGACAAGCCGCGCCCGTCTTCTCTCGCGACCCGCAACCAGTCGCACGTCCCTTCAGCAGCCCCGTGGCTTTCTTCGTCGTGAAATAATATTCCACCCCTGCCCGCTGCGGCCGTTCTTTCACCGTTTGTTTCTGTGTGAGCAGCTACGCTACCGGCTCGCCCCGCGCACGCGGCACACGCAAGGAAATCCTTGGGGCCGGTCTGCTTTGCTTCGTCTAAATCTTCACCCTTCAACTGGCCGTTCTCGATATCTGCGCCCGTCCGCAACCGCCGGCCAACACCATGGCGGGTCTCTTCAGGCGCATCTATGATTGGTTGCTCCGTCTCTTTTGGTAAGTTCAGCCTCACCTTGCTCGTCAGCCTAGCTTGCATGGCTGCATCCCAAGGCTGGCGAAGGAGCTCGACCTCTGACGATGATGCCTTCGTCGTCATCGCCTTTTTGCGTGTATCACCGTCAACGAAGGTATTTCGAACTCCGCCTCTAATCACTGGAGACGTGTAGGGCAACCGAGATGGACATAACCATGATCGGCTTGCAAAACGCTGGCAAGACATCGTTGCTTAGAGTACTAGCGGTAAGTTGGCTTTGCCTCGTTGTTCCGTCGCTACAAGAGAGCCATTTCTAATGGGGACGCAGGGTGGTGAATTCACCATTAAGTAGGCTCTAATTTGTCAGTAATGCGTCCTTTAGTTGACCTTGTGAAGCTCTATACCCACCGTCGGTTTCAACATGAAGCGTGTTCAAAAAGGACATGTGACCCTAAAATGGTACGTTGTGTCTTCGCCATGGCAATTCACGTTGTCACATTGATTCTGTTCCAACATCGCCCTCAAACGACGTGAACGACCGTTGTTGACGGTTGATGTAGCTGGGACCTCGGTGGTCAGCCGCGCTTCCGCTCGATGTGGGAGAGATATTGCAGGGGAGTAAATGCCATCGTGTAAGCCTGTTGCTCCTCTCGCTTGCTATGTCGGCTAAAATATCCTGCAGCTATATCGTTGACTCTGCCGACAAGGAAGCACTGCCCATTGCCAAGGAGGAGCTTCACCTGCTATTGGAGAAGCCAGCCTTGGAAGGCATACCGTTGCTAGTATTAGGCAACAAGTCAGACTTGCCTGAGAAGCTTTCTGTTGACGAGTTGATTGATGCGTTGGAGCTCAAATCTGTCTCTCGCCGTGAAGTAAGCTGCTATGGTATTAGCGCAAAAGAAGAAACGAACCTGGATGCCGTGCTGCAATGGCTGATCGCCAAAGCAAAGTGAGTCAGGGTCGGTATTTGTGAGTACCTATTCTGCCAATGCTGTGTCCATTACCTTTATTAAGTCCACAAAAGTCTACGAGGCTAGCCGAGAATATTATGACGATATACGAGACCATTGCTTTTGTTGAGGTGAACCTTACCTTAGTTCCATACGATTTTACGACAGCGTTAAGAAACACCACATGCCAGCGATGGCCAGAAGATTTCTATGGCGCGAAGCCCATATCTGCTTCATTGGCATATTTAGGATTCACGATTCTTTACGGATGGCCTGAGCTGATTGATGTCAGTTCGCTGCTCGGCAGTACTTTTTTTTCGATTGGATGATAGTAACAAAGCCGACTTGGAGCGTATGACAGCGTAACGTTAGGGGTAGTATTTTTAATGCTCTACATTTGTGGTTACTTTCAGATGGACGCTGTGATCTGGCATGCATCGCAGTCGAGTTCAATATAAGCATCAACCGAAGTCACAGAGCTCTTTGACGTTAACCCAAGCCTCGTAATGTCCTTTTCTGACCAAGAAGTAAGCTTTGGTCATGCTATTTATTCTCTTCGATTTGAACATGTTACGATTGAGGGATAGGTGACAAGAACGTGAGGGATAGGTGACAAGAACGTATCGCAGAGCTAGTCCACCAGTACGTGCGCCGCAGTGAAGCAAGAGCTAGCATGGTTTCAACCATGCTGAGGATAATATTGGGGATGCGTACTCGCTCAAAGATGGCATGTGGCAAAAAGATGAAAATACTTGACATGAAGTTGAAATGCTTGCAAGGCACGGATTGAAGAAAACATCGAGCTCTGACAGGACGCGAGCGTGCCTTTACGCAGGAACTGCTCGTACACTGATGCGTTGGCAATGCATTTGACGCTAGCTCGATTCGGCGAAGGCGTCTCAGGGTGATTGCAGAGTCCGCAGAGAAACTAGTTTTGCCGCTTTGGCTAGGGCTGGGCTGTGAGGCGCTGAGGACGCAAACGCTCTGTTGGGCGCGCGGCGTACCACAGCACGAAGAAGCGTCCAACATGTGACTATTTAGCATTTACACACAGCCGTGGTGAGCGATCTATCGGATATGGACAAGGCAGGAGGACGAAAGGCGTGGTGAGGAAGAGGCTGTGGGACACGGGCGTCCTGAGCCTTGCACCTGAAAGCCTGAAAGCCTGAAAGCCTGAGAGCACCGAGCACCGGAGGACGTTGATCAGGCTGCAAGGCCTTCTGCACGTGATCAGTTTGGCAATTATCGATAAGACCTAGCCTGAAACGGATGGATCCAGGCCGTGTTGCGTAGTGTTGCCGTGGTTGCGTCGCCCTCCCAAGGCGTCAGCACCAGACCCCCGTGTGCGAGGTACCGCTGACCTCACAAGACTCCTCGTGCATCCACCCCAACCGTCCCCGTCCCCCAAGGCTTCCGCATCGTCGCAAACAGGCCCATCCACATCCCATCATCACCCATCTTGCACGTCTTCTCTCTCAATATTTCGTTTCTGTTTTCATTCCCATAATCTACGCTTACTGGTTACATTGTCTCACTATGAAATACTCATCTGCCGTAGCGGCTGCTGCGCTGCTCGGCTCTGCCAGTGCCGGCGTGCACAAGATGAAGCTCAAGAAGGTTCCTCTTAGTGAGCAGCTTGTGCGTGATTGCTCAAAGGCGCTCACGTCGTATACAAGTGCTAATAGAAGCTCCAGGAGCATCACGACATCGGCCAACATGCTCGCGCCCTTGGCCAGAAGTACATGGGCATTCGCCCTCAGAGTCATGCGGAAGAGATGTTCTCGGACACTCGCTACAAGGGCGAAGGAGCTCATCCCGTTCCCGTCAGCAACTTCTTGAACGCTCAATACTTCTCCGAGATCTCTGTCGGAACTCCGCCACAAAACTTTAAAGTTGTCCTCGACACCGGCAGCTCCAACCTCTGGGTTCCATCCTCGGAGTGTGGCTCGATTGCGTGCTACCTTCACAGCAAGTACGATCATGACAGCTCATCAACATACAAGAAGAACGGCTCTGAGTTCGCCATTCAATATGGCTCTGGCTCACTGAGTGGATATGTCTCTAGAGATACCGTGAGAATTGGTGACTTGACCATCAAGGACCAACTTTTTGCAGAGGCGACATCTGAACCGGGCCTTGCTTTTGCCTTCGGCAGGTTCGATGGCATCTTAGGCCTTGCCTACGATACCATTTCTGTTAACAAAATCCCACCCCCATTCTATAGTATGATCGACCAGAAGCTTATTGACGAGCCTGTTTTCGCATTCTATCTCAGCGACACAAAGGATGGCGATGACTCTGAGGCTGTCTTTGGCGGAATCGACAAGTCCCATTACACTGGTGATATCACTTACATCCCCCTTCGTCGCAAGGCCTACTGGGAGGTTGATCTCGACGCTATCACTTTCGGTGACGCCACTGCTGAGATCGAAAACACTGGTGTTATCCTTGACACCGGCACCTCCCTTATTGCACTCCCATCCACTATGGCTGAGCTCTTGTGAGTAATAACCATTGCTGCTTTCTTCTTCGAGTGAAGCTGACGTACTGTAATAGGAATAAAGAGATTGGTGCCAAGAAATCCTTTAACGGCCAATACACGGTTGAGTGCGAGAAGCGTGATAGCCTTCCAGACTTGACCTTCACCTTGACTGGTCACAACTTCACTATCGGCCCCTATGACTATATTCTTGAAGTACAAGGTTCTTGCATCTCTGCATTCATGGGCATGGACATCCCTGAACCAGCTGGTCCTCTTGCAATTCTTGGCGATGCCTTCCTCCGCAAGTGGTACTCCATCTATGACCTTGGAAAGGATGCTGTTGGTATTGCCAAATCTGCGTAGAACCAATAAGGTGGAATGTGGATATATGGATGGTCGGAAGAATTTGGATGATCGCTTTGTGCCATAGTCACTTTGTTTGCTGAAGAAGGATAAAGTTGTATGGGTACGGATAACGGAGTAAAATCGATAAGCTCTCTGGCTCCGTTTCAGTCTTTGATAGTTCCCTTGTATCCTAAATCTGAATATTCTCATATCCATAGTGAACCTGTTCTGTTGCTGAAATCTCACTCGTACACGTATTCAAGCTTATCCAATTCCACGCTGGCAGAATATCTTTCTCGTCAAATTCACCATCTTGTGATTTCCAATTTTTAAAGCCAAGTCTCCCAATTACTTTTCATATGTGTTGGTGGTTATCATAAGTGCGTATTGTGACCGTTGCTAAGCGCGCGCTTAACTTTGAACGAGTTGGCCAAGCTTAGGTGTACGTTCATGTTTGAGCCTACGACACCTATCCACCCGTCGCAAAACAACGCCACTTTTAATCACTCACAATGTCCGTCGATGAGATGGAAGGGGTTGCTCAGGACCCATCAGTGCACTTGCAGACCAACTTCCAGCTCTTGGAACGCGCGGTTGCCCAGTTCGACACACGCTTTACCCTTCGAGCTTTACGAAGCATTTCGTCTTTACGGAAACAGCTTGCTGAGACAAAGCTCGCGCATCTAGACGTAACGAAGCCGACATCTCAGCTGCTTTTAGAAGCCGAGCAGGAACTGTCTGGCGATGCAAGGAAGGAGTCTGTCCCTGAGATCAGGATATACATCGCCATCCTCATTCAGGTATGTAATAAGGAACATGGCTGCTAAGCGATTTCCTTACCTTTTTTAGGTCTACCTGTGGGACTCCAGACGCTATGAAGACGGTGCAAGGTTTTCATATCATCTGGTAGACGAAATTCGTGACCTCAACCGACGCACCCTCGACCCACTCGCCTCGCGTGCCTACTTCTACCTGTCTCTCTTCTATGAGCAGCTAGATCCCAAGCCACCATCAAGACAATCCCCGGTTATCGAAATCAGAGGCAAACTGCTCGCTGCCTTGAGAAGTGCGGTACTCCGGAAAGACACCGAAACACAAGCCTCTGTCATCGTTCTCCTACTCCGCAACTACATTTCCATCGCAGACATCTCGCAGGCAGATGCTTTAGTCGTACAGACATCGTTCCCTGAGAATGCACCTCACAATCAGGTGGCTCGATTCTTGTACTATCTGGGGCGTATACGGGCTATTCAGCTGAATTACACGGAAGCCCACGAGCACCTGGTCTCGGCGACCCGCAAAGCACCTACTAATGCAGTTGCTGTCGGATTCTATCAAGCTTCTATGAAATTTTTGGTGGTTGTTGAATTACTCATGGGAGATATTCCCGAACGATCCATATTCAGTCAGCCGAAGCTTGAGAGCGCGCTTGAGCCTTATTTCAGTCTCGTCAAAGCTGTAAGGTCTGGAGAGATGAAGCATTTCTTGAAGACTGTACAGGAGCATTCATCCACCTTCCACCGAGACGGCACTTACACTCTTATCCTGCGCTTGCGCCAAAACGTCATCCGCACAGGCATCCGTATGCTCTCTCTCTCCTACTCGCGCATATCACTTCGTGACATATGCCAACGTCTGGGCCTTGAGAGCGAGGAATCAGCGGAATTCATTGTCGCTAAAGCCATCCGAGACGGCGTCATAGAAGCTACAATTGACACTGAAAGAGGATTTATGCAGACCAAACAGGCAGGTGACGTGTACGCTACTCGTGAGCCAGCTGAAGCATTCCACGAGCGCATCAAGGCATGTTTGTCATTACATGATGAGTGCGTAAAGGCCATGCGCTTCCCAATGAATCAGCATCGGCTCGAGTTGAAGAATGCGCAGGAAGCTAGGGAGCGGGAGCGGGAGCTTGCGAAGGAGATTCAGGACGGGGAAATTGACGAAGACGATGCTGCAGGTGACTTTGAAGGGTTGTAAACCCGCATGAGAGTCGTTGAATCAGCAAGGAGTTCTCGGAGCCGTTGTAAAATAGAGCTTCTAGTCTACCAATGATTATAGTTCAGCACAGATAGCACGTGAGATCAAATCTATGAACGAAGGATATCAGTATTTTTAATTGTCTCGAATTTTTTTTTGGAAGAATTTTTTTTATTTGAGAAAGTTCCAGCTATCGCGCGTATCTATTCCAAATTTCGCTTCTCATATCGTTTTAGAGATTATGGAACTGTTCCGTTGGCCGCCGATCTTTCACGAGCTCAACTACAAGATTCCAACACACAATCTGAACCATTTAACATCTACCATTGGCAATATGAATTGAGCACAGAATGGTTGGCGTTCCTCGAAGCACCGGCTGTGGGACATGTGTGAAGAGGCGTATTAAGGTGAGCGCAGAGCGTACCAAGTTTGTGGCAGCCTGACCGGGCAACAGTGCGATGAAGGAAAGCCCCAGTGCGAAAACTGTCTCAAGTACGGCAGTCCATGCCCAGGATACGATAGAGAACTTAAATTTATAACCGGGAAACCACATCGAACGAAGAGAAGCTCAAAACCGAATAAATCAAAGTCTCCTCATAGTGATGCCCAAACGAGATTCACCCCAGAGTCTCTTATCAGTTCGTCCTCAATTTCATCAAGATCATCTCATAGTAGTGAAATACCAACCATAAAGCAAGAATGGTCTAATGACATCACTGCGCTCGAACCTTTCGATGAGAAGCTATCCAGAGAGAAGTGTCATCGGCCATTTTTGGATCTCATTTATTCATTATGCGCAACACTACCTCCGCAGAAGCAGTATCAACTGCAGCTGATCAGCTCCCTGTGCGAGAATTTGCCGACTACGAGGAGTAGTGAAGAGATACAGATGATATCAGGTTATTTGATGCATCTACCAGCGCATTTTGGGAACTCGAGAGCGCTAGATGCAGCCGCTGTAGCTTTTGCTGCACAACAGATAGGCACCATCTGTGGCGACAAGCAGATGATAGGCAGGGGACGAGATGCCTATGTTCGTGCATTATCCTGCCTGCAAAGAGCGCTGAATGATCCTGCGGAAGCTACGCGATCCGAGACAAACTCATCTGCACTTCTATTGTGTATTTATGAGGTATGCACTAAATAGCGCAGGGTTTGCTTCAACTGACAAGGGATTTCAAGCTTTTTGCAGGCACTACAGCTTTCAACGTCTGGATGAAGCATGCTGCGGGTTTGTCAAAACTCATCCAGCATCGCGGTGCAGACAGCTTCCGAAATGATCATGATATAGCGATACTTCGTGCTTGCCGCGGTGTCATTGTGAGTTTGACTACTTGCGCAGTTTTTTCTTCTCTCACTCATGCGTGTAGATAATGGATTGCATGTTTTCGGGAAAAGAAGTCTTCTTCAACCAAAATACATGGCGAGAAGTGACCCGAGCTCAGAAGCCAGCGCACATGGACGACGATTTCCATCAATTCTTCGAGCGTTTTATGGAGTTGATGGCTGAACTCGCAGAGTTATTGGCTGACGGGTGGAATTTGAGAGAGGCTACGCGTCTTGGACAACCACTGCCAATCGATGTAGAGAAGATTCATAAGCTCGTCTGCCGTACGACACAAGTCTACACGCGTTTAAAACTTTGGTCTCTAGAGATGGAAGAAAGGTTATCGTCACCGATCGAAGAATCATCCTCAACTAATGACGCACTCTTTCCTATTGTGTATGCATTCAGAACATACACAGCCGCAGGTCTATATGTTAATTATTGGGCTTGCATGATTATTTTGCGAATGATCTTGCAAACATGTGGCTGCGTGCCTGAAGACGCCGTCGATAATCGAGAATTTGCTAACAAAATATGCAGAAGTGTTGAATGGAATTCGCGTGATGTTTGGGCAGGATTCCGACTGGGGTTTCCCTTGCGAATCGCCTTTGAGGCAGCCGATCCAAACGTCCAAAGGTGGATCGGAGAAAAGCACGTCATGCTTTCAAAGACGTATGCTGCATCCAGCTTGGAGGGGCTGCCCGAATATGGCATTATCAAGCATCTGAAGGACCAGCTAGCGTCAAGTCCTTAAATCACGAGCATCATGCATTTTTGACCGTGTATGAAAGCTTTTTTTAAGGTCTAACAATACTCAAATATACAGAACAATGTGCTTGTCTGTTGCTGTTCCTCAGACATTGACGTCCTCCTTCAAAGGCTGACTCCCGATCTCAGATAACTCGATCCGTCTGTCCTTTCGGTTTCCGATGATGGGCTGTGCAAATAGCGACGCCGTGATAAGTAAGAACACAATGGCGATTTCCATGACGAACTCCAACCCGACAGCCAACTTCCAGTCACCAACCGCTGGACTATACTTTATACCGCCAAAATTCCCCAACATCATGTACGTGATGCGAACTGCATAAAAAGGTACCGCTGCGGCTACGCAGCGAAGCGCATGTTGTGCTGCTGGTGGCATGGTGCGAAAGTGGCCCGCCAAAACCAGATATAGCAGGATAGCGATAAGGAAAGCGAAGATGGCGAGGATTATGCATGCACCGCTCTTCATCAGGGTGATGTTAACGAGGCTGCCGGCGAGCACGATAAGGACCACAGCGACGATGATGGGTAAGCGGATCCATTGTAAGAGAAGTTTGATCAGGTGTGGATAGTGAGATGCATGTCGTTGATTGAGACCAACATGGCCACTAAGATAGCTCGTTAGCTGAAGACGGAAGGATGGCTGTTTTTCTTGTGGAGTCAACAAACCATTTCAGAAGCACGAGACTGAACTCGAAGAGTAAAGGTGTGACACCAATCCCTTGGAGAACAATCTCCGTAATAACAAGACCTTTAGCGGCATTTGGTTTTGCAAGATACAACGCAAAGCCAACGATCCGCACTGAAGGCAATATCAGCTTGAACTTGCATTAAAAAATCTGCGCAGTCTGCCCTGTCGTACCTTGGGACAAGATCACTATCAGGTTCCTGATCCAGCCATTAAAGATGCATATGAATACTGTACGTTTTTTGCTGCGGTCCCAGTAATACCACTCCTGGAAGCTACGGATAATTAATCCTACGGTCCAGATGGTCCCCCAGATCACGACCTCAGCAATTGCTGTATTGTGGCGGCCTGGGTTGGTGGGAAGTGAGATCTTGTCAGGAAGATTGAAAGACATGTCCAACACAATTGATTTAGATGTTTGAACAAGATTGAAATAGGAAAGTAAGGTTTTGCTTGTTCGAGGCTTTTGTTGACCAGTTCGATGAGCTTGCTAAAGGAAGTCCACAGGCTACCATTATATACGACATAACCAAAACTTGCGGCCTGAAGGAACGGTGGCTCCGGATGCACAAGAACAACTTGCATTCAACGTAACTAAATCTCGTATTGAAGCGGCTGGAGATCTGAGTTTGATTGGCAGCGAATGTGCTCGTGTGCGAACACCATGATGAAACTGATCAAAGGCTTGGACATCACAAGGCAAAACTGATGAATTTTACAGGCATCATCGGGCTATAAAGCTTATTTCAGTTAAGCGTTTAAGCCTTTACTTATTTGCGTGCTTTGTGAGTTGATGAAACCCCACGTAAGCGCATGTGCAAGGAGCAGTTACTCGCGATATAAATCCCGATTGGGCATAGCCGTCCCGCTGAGGCTCAGCAGCACAAGGACTCTCGACGTACGCACAGCCCCTGACAAAAACTTAACATGGCTGCCTACGTTGATGCACAGCAGAACAACCTCATCTTTTGCCGTCAAGCTAATGCAGCTTGAAAAAATGGATGTTGAAGCGCCTGGAGTTGTTAGTCTACGCTGCAAGGCTGTTGCGTAATTGATTCATCATACTTGTGCTGCAGTCAAGCGTTCGCTACCTTGATATACGATCAGCTTGGAAATAAGATCTCTAGCCACAGTCGATGTATCTGGTAAAAGTTCAGACCAGGGCTTTGGCGAGTATTCTACCCATTGGATTTTCCCCCAATCTGGACAACTCTCTGCGGCCTACAAACGTCTTAGTCTCACATATTAGGTGGCGCAAAGATATACAAACCGGCCAACTTTCTAGCGTAGGGGTACCAAGTTTCATGAAGATGCTCTGAATTAACGTGAGGTCACTCCCAGCATCTCCAGAGTCGAAGAATGGCGTGGATGAGGATGTCACCACCTGCGCCGCGACACAGCCACCAGCCCAGATATCGAGACTTGCGTCATACGAAGAATTACCGAAGAGTATATCTGGAGCTCTGTAACTCGTCGTACCCACGTCGGTAATTTTTTGGTCTGGAGGCTCTGAGTCGGGATCGTTGGGATCCCAGACGATGCCAAAGTCTGCTAGATACGCTGGACCGGAGGGAGTCTTCATTAATATATTAGATGGCTTGACATCACGATGAATGATTCCGACAGAGTGTAGATACATGAGTGCTGAGAAGAGGTCTCGTAAATAGCTGCGACCTTGCGCTTCTGCTATGTAACCTTGCCTAAGAATCATGTCGAGTTCGTATGGCATAAACGGGAATACGAGAACCAGGTGGCTATAGCCTGGCTCACGGAAGGATTCCCATAGCGGGATGATGTTGGGGTGAGAGAGCTTTTGCAAAACCCTTACCTCCCGCTCGGAATTATGCGGTGGAGTCATGCCGATCAGATAAGTGACCTTGAGCGCAACGACAGCTCCCGCAAGTCCCACAAAGGAGGCTGGGTTGTCAACAGGCGCGGTCGCCTTGTATACGTCTGAGTGAAGACCGTCGCGAAAATGCCTGGCATTCTTGTACCTTCCAACCGTCTTTGTTCCGCGCTGTCCAAGCTCTTCGTCCTTATCTATCGAGACAGCGTCTTGGACAGGCTTTGCTTCTTGTCGTAGCTCGTCGAGCAGCTCGTTGCATTGACGATGGTAATCAAGCTTTTCATCACGTGAGAGGAGGGCACGGAATTGGAGGCAGACAGCTTACAATTTCGGAAGCTCGGCCAAATATGGATGCCTCCAGCGTTTTGGCCCTCTGAGAGGCCTCAGCTGGCGTGACGTCTGGATTCGCGCTCTTGTACTCTGCCGTGCTAGTTATGACATGTCAGGATCCATACCAGCGCACTCATGTGACTGGAACATACATGCATTTTTACAATTGAAGCGAGCCTTTCGGAAAACGAGAGGCGGTAGCGCCAGTCGGAGGCGGCGTCCATGATGAAAGTTCTTGGTCCGGGAGCACGAAGAGTATCTGATACAAGACTCGAGGAGAATAGAACGAGAGAAGTGCACTGGAAGGGAGGGTAGGCATTCGAATACGGGGGGCAGAGAGCGAAGGTAGCGAAGGGAACGGCGGAGAGCCAATGAGAACTCGGCTTGGGAGCGGTCTTGGGAACCTGCAAGCTCCGGCGCGAACGGCGCGGTTCAGAGCCGCAGGTGACGATGAACAGCTCGCTTTATTTTCTTTTTCTGCTACATCTTGCCTCGCAGCTGAGTTACCGTCTGTTCGAGGCAGCCCGTGAGTTTGAGGCTGTTGACACGTCGTTTGCCATTGCGACTGGTGGTCGTTCTACTCCCGTTATGTCGACGTATTAGGTCAAGCTCGTCGGGAGCGTGGCCCCAGCATGAGCACGGCCGGCGCCGGCTGCGCTACGTCGAAGGTTGACGTGCCACTGCTCATCGCATGCATAACTTAGCTTTCCACGTACGTGCCGCAGATTGACTGCGCTGGCTGCTATCTCGCTGTCGGTCCCATGTAGTGCCTGACTTCCTGTCTGCTGCCTTTCGCTTTCTACCACATTTTTCCCATCGACAGCCATGGATCTACAGAGGCAGGACTACCCTGCGATGCTGGTGTGTATAAGCCAATGTCAAACTCTCAAAACGCAACACAATGCTTAGAATGGTCGTAGGACAAACTCCAGCCTCTCCAGGCCGTCAATCTGCTCAGCGACCGGCTGAAATATATTAACCGTCTGAATGTTGATGTGGCCGAGTGGCTTCTGGTTCGTGCAACATTCGACCGAATCAACTAAGCAAGATCTAATGAGGCTTAGGAACGGCGGCGCATCGAAGAGACATACGCCACGTCACTTCGTAAGCTTGCTGCGAGAGGATTCAAAGATTCTGAGCTTTCCGATCTGGGGTATGCGGCATACGTAGCGCTGGCATAGTTAAAGGGGGACGGCTGCTAACGTCTGGTCAGCATCTTCCAAATCCCATGGCAGAAGATGATAAACTCGATCGAGGGCGTTGCAAGTGCCCACTACGGTCTCGCACAAAGCATTGGGTCGGACGTGGAGGTGCCGTTAAGGGAGTGGGCGTCCAAAGATCGCGACATGGTGCAAATGACAAACATGGTTGGAAATATACACGCGATTGCAAAAGAACTTGAGAGTGCCCAGAAAAAGTCGGAGAAGCTGAGTAGCAAGGGAGGGAAGGCTGATGCTGGCAAAGTCGCCAATGCCTCCAGCGAGGTCGAAAACGCGCTTCAGCAATGGAAATCGCAAGCACCCTTCGTCTTTGAGCGACTACAGGCCGTTGACGAGGCTCGCGTTGACAATATGCGCGACCTACTCACCCAATACCAGACGAGCCTTATCGAAGCTGGATCTGCCCTCTCCGAATCAGCCGAAGATTCCTTGAACGCACTGCTGAATATGCAGACTGCGGATGAGATCAAAACGTTTGTTATGAAGACAACGAAAACTTTACCCCAATCGCAAAGGCGACTGAGCATGCGGCAAGAACATCCTCCACCTTCTACAACAGATGCCAGCTCTTCCCTTGCCCCTGTGTCATCTGTACCCAGGGACGATGGATCAAGTCATAGATCCAATTCTTGTATGGTTTTTCTTAGTATGAGCCCCCCCAACGCCTGCTAATAGCCTCTAGTCCAAGATCGCCCAGAACGGCCACCAATCACGAGTGAAAAATCGTCGGAGAAAGGGAGCAAGTTCGGTCTGAAAAGGCTAGGCACGGTCATTGCACGACGTAGACAAAGTACGAATCCTTATGCCCAAAGTCGATCGCCAGAGCGTAAGAAATCGTCGTCTGATGTGCGATCGCCGTTCGGCCGCTTTGCGCGCAAAGAACACTCGCACCAACCTCTTGAAACAGTACCCTCACCTCCAAGAACCGCAAACTCTGGGTTCGAAGAAACCCCCGCCAGCCGTTCCTCTAATGCACCACCTCAGATGGAACCGCTTACAAATGTAACATCGGATGGTACGAACGGCACAAATCTAGAGACAGTCCATGAACAATCGACCATGTCGGAGCCTGTGAACGGCACTGCAAATGCACCAGTGGGTGTCCTGCAAGAGCCCTTGCAACCCTCGTCTGTGACATATGAGGTATATTCTCTCTGGCATTGTTGGTATTATGGATCCTAATCAAACTCTAGCCGCCAAAAGATGAACATGGATTTACAATTCCGCCTCCCAGTCACCGAGACCCCATGCAGCAAGCTTTGGCTGAGGCAGCAGAGCAAGTTCTCATCTCCGTAAAATTTTAGAGCAAGAAATAACACAGGCCAGGGTAAATGAATCACAGCCGCAATTCAAAGTCGATATCAAAAACGCACCAATTCAGGAAGATAGCGGCGATACCTCAGCTGCATTTGCAAAATTTGGAAATGCCCTTCAAAGTGTACGATTTTTCGCTCCAATCGTAATAGATCAGAACTCACACTCGGCAGCAAACCCAGCCTAGACGAAGTATGGGTACGATACGGAATAGACGAGATAGGAACACTATTATGATTCCTAATGGGCAGTCTATACCCGAACTACCCAAGGATCCGGCACTTGCAACGCCTCCTGGCAGTGCTCCTTTGCCTGCTGAAGCATCATCTCCTGCTGCGGGTATGCCAATCGAACCGGTATCATCAACAACTACAAATGCGCCGATGGAAGTAGCTACAGCAGCTGTCTTGAGCCTGCCGTCTCCCCCCCTCGTGGCAGCTGCGCCATCAACGGACACTTCCGTAACAGTACCTTCACAAATGAACTCTCCGAACTCTCAGACATCTCCTTTCAAAATGCCTCATCGGAGCACTTTAGCTCTGGAGGACCACACGAGTTCAGACACCCATTCCATTCGGTCCGGCAGATCGTTAGGCAGTACAGTTAGCACAACAGTCAGACACCCAGATATGCACGAACCGGGCCTAAACAGTTCATTCGTAGAAACGATAAATGCGGTGTTCTCTGACGGGAAGGTAACACGTGCAAGTCTAGTTGGGGAGATTGGCCTTTCATTTAATCCCACGGACCTCGACGCGCCCTTCGGTACAGAAATCATACGACTAGAGAACCTGGGCGCGAACGACAAGTTAGCACCAAATCCAGCTTTCATCGACGCTGTTCCAGGTAAGGTTGGTCATTTCAGCGTTGATCTGGGACAGATCACGAAGACGCAAGTAGCATTCAAGTATCAGGTTCACATCACGCCGGAGGAGGCAACTTCTCGTATGCCGTTGCTTCTGCAATCACAGTGGCGCATCGATTCAAAGCAAGCCGATTGCCGCGTATCCTACAGTCTTAATCCCTCTTACCCTTTTGAATCACTCACTTTTAGCGACTTGGCCATTGTCATTCAAGTCAACATTTCTTCAGGCTCGAGATTGCAATCATGTCGCGCTTCTGATGGGTTTAAATTCAGAAAGGAGTCTGGTCTTGTCTATTGGAGGCTTGGCGATGTCGTTCTTACAAAACAAGGTCCACCAAAACCGCTCCTTGCGCGATTTATCACTGAGGGGGAAGTTAGGCCGGGTACTGCGGAAGCGAGGTGGGAGATAAATGGGTCTTTAGGAAGTGGCGTCATCCTGTCAAAGCTTGAAGAGAGCAAAGGCAAAGAAAAAGAAATAGAAGAAGATCCTTTTGCCGATGAGGGCGACAATGGAAGTCAGAGAGAAAGTGAGTTGTGGAAGGACGTTATAGCGATAAAGAAGTGGCGATCGGGCAATTATATGGCTTCGTGAAGGAAGGCAGAGTCCTCATGTCGTGTTTAGAGAGACTGTTGGTGATAATGCGGACACAAGGTATGGAGAAGCAGAGAATTGATCTTGTAAATAAGATATACCAGACGTGATATTGCGACTTTCGTAGCTGATAATTCAATACTAATGGCTTCATCAAAGTTCCAAGGAGTAATGCAAACAACTTTCTCAATAACTTCCGAATTTTTCTTCATGCATGCAGTGCGGGAATTCTTGTTGTCTTGCTCGCGTCTGACCCCATGGAATCCACCATTGGGTAACGACATGAGCTTTATGCCTGCCTTGGTGCCACATCATCATCATCATCATCATCATCGTAGTATGGAACGGCATTATCTAGCTTTTGCTTGCCTGTCCCAGCATCGTAATAGCCAGAACGGGTCCCATTTCCACCGTCCCAAATATTGGCGGAGTCATCAAATGTGAAGTTATCTTCGTTGTGCTTATAAGGCACGCCACATGCTTTGTAACAGGCCTCAGTGCCCTGTGGTAGGGTCAGTCAGGAATGGACGACTGAATATCCTGCGCTATTGAGGAACAAATACCCATTGCGATCCAGTGCCAACTGGCTGCAGCGTCTGCTCAAGCCTATTCCAGACCTGCTTGGATAGTCCGCCTTGGAAGAGAGAACCGATCAGACCGTCAGGGAAATGGGTAGCAGCGTTCAATATATTTAGGGTACCCGGGTCTTCGTTGTTCAACACCGACACCAATTGCGCATTTGAGCAACCCATGTTCATCATGCTATGTACAGACCCTTTCGGGAAAACTGTCATAACACCCGGTGTAAGGATTGTCGAAATCAATTCCGCCCCGTTTTCATTGTACATCCAAGTCTGAGTGGTCCCATGTATGGCTATGGCGATGTTGTCTGCCCTCGGATGTTCGTGCGGCGGCAGAATGCCACATGGACCAAGTGAAATGAGCTGCATGGTCATTCCTGTGCCATACATTAGTGGGCTTGTGTAGGCATTGGCAGCTTTCACAGATCCCGGACTAAATGTGTAGTTTGCCTGAGCCCTGAAGTCAAAAGTCCAGGGCTGTTTCGCATCCTTGAGCAGCAGGAATTTATCTAGGTCTACGGGAGCAGTTTTGAGGGCTATAGCAAGGTCGTCGTCAAATTCGACAAGAGATGCAGCACAATATGCCGCAACAGGCAGAATGTAACGAAGCACGAACATTGCGCTCGATTAGCTAGACCTATGTAGGCCTAGAGGGAGTGATGGAGACAACGATGGGGCTTAGATTGTTATGAAGAAGAATTTCCTGCTTGTTTTCCCCCGTGCATGTGCGAAGATGGATGTAGAAATAGTGCAAGACAAGGCAAAGTACGAATGAATAGCCTCGTCCATCCGTGTGCAAGAGGAAACATATCAGCGTTCCCTGCGTCTCGAAATTCAACCATCCCGCTAGCTGTTTGCCAAATATTTTCTGTTCTGATCATTTTAATCGCAAAATTCATCAATATCTTTTGACGTGACCAGGTGTTCGGGATACAAGACTATCGAAGCCATGATCCTCCATCTCTATTATGCCATCCAGTGCGAGACAATTGAATGTCGTGTAATGAAATGATCCTGGTGGAGCTCTTCACATCTGAATTCGCGTTAGATCTATGCTTAATTCGTATAGTAATGGAGCGCACGAAAATTTAGAAACTAGTTCCCGCGACTTCTCTTCTAGCCGTAAAGGTCGTCGTCTGACGCCTGCAGGATCTATTGCTTTGAGGCTATGCTTTTTCAAGCAAGATCCGCTTCATCCATGTTCCTTGGATTGATTGTCAGCAACAAAGCGCTTGTGGGAGGTATAATTCACGTCAACAAAATCATGCAAGAGCTTAGAGCGAGCTCAGCTCAAAATCAATTACGCACCTGATGAATAAGGAATACCACTGAATTAATGCTAGATGGGATCTCGCCGAAATAGCTTCATCCACGGTGTGAATACGACCAAGTCCCTCAAACTCTGGATCGTAGCCTGGCATGTAACGGAAGATGTGAGGTGATAAGTCCCAGTAGAACCGAGTATCGGTATTTCCAGTCATGAGACATGGCGATACGATCATTTCCTCTCCATATAAAGCACGTGTTGTGCTTGCGAGAATGGCATACGGTGTCATGGGATCTGAACTAGTTGGAGTAACCGGTGCCGGCTCCAACTGGTTCCCCGCCCGGATGGTTATGGACGAAGGCTGTTCATCTGCATCGTTGAAGGCATTGACGCTTAGGTTGTACTTTGCTGCGACCTTATTCGCCAAGGATACAAGTTTGTCTTTAACTACGGTTGTGCGTTCTCCAACGTTAATCCGGTGATTGACTGTTACCTCCGTTCTTTCGGGAAGTGCATTGACTTTGACCCCTCCTCTTATCACGTCCACCGCAACTGAGGTGGTCATGAGGTACTTGATGTCCAATGACCCTTTTGAAGCTTCAAGAGCAAGTTTGTCCTTTGTGTTACAGCTTGCCTTCTTCGACCGCCGCGAAAGTAACTTCTTCAGCTTGGACGGAAATTCGTTCCCATGAGCTGCCCCACAGTGCAGGAGGCTTAGATATGGGTTCTCGTCATGAAGTCGAGGTTCATATAGGTTATTTTCAATCAATGTGACGAGCTCACTCGTAACACCGATGCTATTATGGTCTGGAGGGATAGATGAGTGACCGCCAGGCATGCGGACAACGATGGAGACATCCAAATAGCCCTATTGGCTGCTCTTAGCATGTCTACAATTTTGAGTCAATAGACGCACCTTCTCAGCAACGCCGGGTAGCGCGAAGGTTCTACCCCACATATTGTAGAATCCTGCTCCTTCATCGACAATAGCGGCAAAGCTGTTTTTGCCAAACTTTTGTTGCAAGAACTGGGACAACTCGCCAGCACCTTTTTTGCCGGAGCTTTCTTCATCAAATCCGAATGACAAGACAATAGTTCTCCTGGGACTGAATTTGGCAGCTATGAGCTGCTCTAGAGACTCAAGAATACCCGTCAAAGAATTCTTGCAGTCGGCAGAGCCTCGACCCCATATGAGTTTTCCGTCAAAATAACCGGAGAAGGGGGCATGAGTCCATGATTTGATCGTATCTTCGGGTACTGGTACAACGTCTTGATGTGCCATGAGTAGCAGAGGCTTTAGGGACGTATCGCTGCCGAGCCATGTATAGGCCAAACCATGCGTATTGACCCTGTCTAGATGCATCGTCTGGTGCACCAAAGGGTATGACTTCATCAAGTATGCTGAAAGATCGTAGAAAACGTCCCAGCGCTTGTCTTCTCCAACAGCACCAAGATCATCGTATGATATAGAAGGAATCTGTACAGCTCCTGAAAGCCTGGCAATTGAGCTATTGCGGAACTCCTCCGATCTCAGGTAATCATCCATTTTCGCGAGCTCGTTCGTTTTATGTGCTGGATAGAGTGCAGGGAATTGTGTGCACTGATATTTTTCCCCATTCTCGTGGAAGGGCAAAATGTCGAGGATTGACGGCAGGCTGTCGAAAGAAACATCACGTAATAGATTGTGTCCAACAATCATTACACCAACCAGAGATAACAAGAGGAGGGTTTTACGGAATGGTGTTAGTATTGCTAGTTTGCGTGGATGCCATTGCTTAGGCCCAAGTGTTTCTGATCGCTTCTCGGCCATATTTTAGATTCTCGCTATACTGTATGCAAGAATTTCGAAAAGTTGAATAAGTCTTGAATCGAACATCAAGCGCTTTCGAGGCAACTGTTGTGGTTGCCGAGCTATGATCAATCAGGCAGTTCATTCGGAATTTTGCCGATAAAGCCGAACATCACATAATCTCGCTTTTGTGTAGAAACCAGTCAAGTTTAGCGCAAGATAGAGTTTAAATATGTGCACAATGCAAAAGATCGATAAATTGGGTATCTTTTTACATAACGGAATTCTCGCGTCGCTTGTGGCTACGCACACAGCTTGGAGTGCAAAAAGAAAACTTAAATGAACGATAGTCTGCGCTCAACGAGAAACTTTTTATGCCTGGCCTTCTAGCAACCCTTAACTTACCTGCAAAGTAACCTGTCGTCTTCTCTAATGTATAAGAGAAAGTGAAATTGAGATGAGTATCAAAGAGCATCACTATCTTCGCTTCGTGGTGGCTCCCGGGTCGGGGGAGGCACGCTTCTGGCAAGGCTGAAGTCGAGGACATCGCTCTTCGGCACAACGTACTTACGCAGACACCAGCTAATCTGCACAGCGAGTGGACTCTCTTTTCCGAAAGCATCGATTTGCTTGCCCTTTGTGAAGATGATCTGGTTCTTGGAATCCTCCCGATCGTAAACCTTGTCAGATGAACCGAAAGCGATTATCGCTAACTTAGAGCTGCGCGGGGGATCTTGCGCCGCTGCAAATGCCATCGAGCGTTCAAAACCAGATTGGGCTAAAGCTTGGAGCAAAACTTCATAAGTCTTCCTAGGCAGCCTTGAGGTCGACGGTGTATTTGTAGGCCATGTGGTGATGTTCAGGGTAATTAAGTTTGGCAGATTTCCCAGTGCATTCTAGTGCCGCCAGTTAGTTAGGGACAATGCCTACGAGCTAAACAAAGTATGAATAAACAGAGATTCAAGTCACACACGGGTGATTAGAGTATTCTACGGCTTCTGACGAATGATTGATTCGATCAGAAATCTTGTGAATATTGAATATTGTAAAAAAAAAGGCCCACGAGTCTGCGCAGGACAAATGCGTTCAAAAGGCAATCTCAACTCACCTCGAAAGACTGAAATGCGTCTGAATTGGGTCTGATTAGACTTGTTGTTGGAAAGGCAATAGAGAGCTGTTCAAGCATGCTGCAGCTCTGACATATCTTGTCAAAGTCTTCAAAGTCGTATACAAGCTCTTCCTCCTCACCATCTCCCCGACTAGCGTGCACCTACAGAAAATTAGTCTTTAACCACTGACAGTCCAAACTCAGCGGGTGGGTAGGAATCAAGAACATCCCGATTATTATAAGTCAAGCAGGAATCTGGGATGACATGAGAGCAACCTAAAAGCGAAAGCATTAGCACTTACAATGAGTTCGCGCAATGTCTTGCCGTGTCGAGCAATGCCAGCGGAGGCAGGAAGCTGCTTTGCGTAGCAGATATCCAACGTCAAGATCTTGATTCCAGACACGAGGCATAAGAATCCGTCTAAAGCAGATAGAGCATCATTTTCAGGGTTATCGTCGTGTTTGAATTCCAACGTCTCCAACTTTTCTGGTAACTTGGTCGCTTTGCATAATTGAGCAAACAAGGAATCAGCCCCTGAGCAACCAAAAACTCGCAATGCCTTGAGATTGCGGAAGTCGACGATGTGGCAGTATGTGTCTGCAGCATATCGCAGGTTAATTTTTTGCAGCGTGAAATCCTTAAGAGCCATTGGCTGGCAGGTCTCGAAGGGCATAAGATGACCAAACAAGGTTGAAGTGATCAACCCCGGCGCTGTACTGGAGTCATTGAGTTCTCGACTAGATATTGTTGGTCGGTCTGTGTCGTCATCGAAGCTCGCATGGAGCGTGATCTTTTCCAGCTTCTTTGAGCGCTTCACCAAAGCAGCACACATATCGAGGACCTCTCGAGAGTCCGGGTACAGGCCAAGCTTCCGCACATTCTCAAACAGACTGTCGAAACCCGGATCCTTCTCAAGTTCGGGCAGGACGTTCCTATCTAATGATATGCCCTCAAGCCATTTCATCTTTCGCTGTTTCTTGTATAGCAGCTTCAAATTGTCTGCGGAGAAGGGCGTCCATGGATGCCACGAAAACTTTTCAAGCGTGTCCTCCGGCAGAAATTCGATGAGCATGCGAATAGCCAAATTGGCTTGGTTGACCTGATTGCACTTGTCTGCAACATCAGCTAGGTACAGATCCAACTTCTTTATATGTGGGAGGCCGATATTGCGAGGGTTGATGAAGGCGGTTAGACGGGTATCGGCATGGGAGCCGACTTCAAGCGTGACTTCATGATACAACTCCTTGACAGCCGCTTGATGCAGTTGCTTGCAAGTAAGACACACGTTGACGAGGTCCGTGGGACGGATAATCTGAGGACTGTTAGCCACACGAGCTCTAATGGCAAACAACACAGGCCAACAGCACGCACATAGCTAATCACCAAGGCCTGGATCTCCTTTGGCGTGTCTAGGAAATGTATCTTCCGCTTGGGTGCTGACGACGTAGGCTTGTCTGGCCGAGGTGCAGCGGCGGGCGTTGCGCCTAGGGACACATTTTCTGTGACTTCTATGCCCATGGTGCCCACGTATGTTTGGTCGAAATCTGAAGTAGAATATAAGAGTGGCCTTGTTTGAAATACAGAATGATTGTTTCTGGGTTGCGTCTTAAAGTAGATGTGTCAGTGATTGGTGATGTACGGAAGAAGATAGCTTGGCTCGTGAGGCCGCAGACCGCTGAAGGATTGACCGATTTTCTGTAGAAATTCGCAATGCTCTTCAGCTTTTCTCGAGCAGGACCTGATAAGTGACGGAAGAGAACGAAATGCGACACGATCGAACTACTTTGAGTGCATATGTAATAACATGAAAAACGAACTTATGCTTGGGAATCGCTTCGTTGCAGGGCTCAGTCCGCAGTTTAGCGCCCTGTAGCCTTATAAACTCCGCTGTTTCCTTTTTTGGCCATACGCTACAGGGCGAAGGCGGAAAGCCTTTCAAGCGCTAAGTTATTGCATGACAGTCCGACTTCAAGCTTCAAAAGGCATAAAGCGGTGGTCGGCCAACTTGAACCACGCGTTGTTCCACCGATTGCATGTAAGTGTACTCACGGCTGAACCTCACGAGATTCCGGAGCTCGTGCCCTTATTTACGACATGAAGTCACAACGCTGAGCACTGTTCTCAAACTCACGAAGCGATCTTTAACTCGAGCCTTCAGTTGAAACATGAGACCGTAGTTTTGGCTCTACAGCTCCGACACCTTATGAATTCTATAATTGTGGGGTAATATCGTGTACAGCGTCATTGCCGTCTGCGTTCAAGACAGCTACCTCGCTTCTTCCGTTGGCTGCCAGTGTGAGCCTCCTCACATCCTTCCTCGGATGTTTAAATCATACGGAGCGACATTGATACGCTGGCCTACTCTCGAAGTGTACGCGTTCCGGGTCCTCAGGCACGTTGTGCTTGACTTAATGGCGCGCTGACGATCTGCGGCAGATAGGCTCTGCAGCACCAATAGTATAGACGATTTTGGCTATTCGTCCAAACCGCCTCCTTCTTTTGATGCTGAAGATGTGACGAGTTCTGATTTAGATCTCTGATTCTTATCCAAACACTTTTCATTTGTCACCGGTGACGAAGACATCATGTCCAGAGCTTTGGCGAACGCAACAGCAAGGGACCACCCACCTCTTGCGTGGAAAAGGCTATGAGCTTCTTTGCATCCAAAGTTGGCGCTGGCCATTTATACATAGAGTGTGGCCCATAGATGCTTCCAGAGGCTATTTGTGAGCTTGGTCGGCGACAACTTACGCGACAGCGCATCTGTGGTTCAATTTTTTCCTGATCAAATTGAGCCGACATGAAGAAACAACGCCGCGTGCCCCGTACTTCGCCATGCCCCAATCATTCTTCAGACTCTGAAATCGGATATTTTGGAAGCGCCGAGTATCGTCAGGAAGTTCACCATATGCCGAAAGACGACGCTGGTGAGATAATACAAACCCAAAACTGTGAACAAGCTTGACTTTCCACTTTTGGCTTTGAGCCATTTTTTTTACCACGCTTCGAACAGACTAGAACTAGTGTAGAGAGACAGTGAATGGGTCAGTTGATTCTCCTACTAAAACTTGATGTTATGTGCGGCAGTAGCCTGCCGCCCCGGTACTGATCAAAAGGTATGGAAAATGGAATGTCTTGGACTACGTCGATGTTTCATGCGGAGGCATCATTTATTGCCGGATTGGTAGCAAGAGAAACGCATGCAAGCACGACCACGAGCTACTTGGCTTTCACAGTCGCGAGAATAACTTTCACGCGTTCAATAAAATTAGAACTTGCAGTTTATATGAGCACCTGCGTTGCAGTCACATGTCATTTCCTCTTTGTACGACAAACCAAACTCCTTGAACGATGTAAGTTATGGTCGAAATTTGATGATAATGAGGCCCACTAAGGGATACTTCAGCAAGTCGAAGGTGTTTAAGCTGAAGGAGAAAAGGCACAACTAGATCGATGCTTTCGGTCTTGAACAGGGGAGACTACATGTCCACTTGTGTGCACTTTGCAGTCGTGCAGAATTAAGGTCGATCTCTCCAATTCATACTCACCGACGATCGTCAGGAAATCAGAGGAATCACTTGATGAGAGGAGACGACTAAGAAGGAACTGGTTACTAGCACCATTATCCAAGTTGGTGCACAGCTTGTAGATCAGGGTGATATAGCGAGAAGCCACTTTGAAAAAAAATTTTCCGAAGCACTACTTGTACGCCTAGGCGTGGCTATTTTTGCGGCGGTCAACGTGAATACAGGAAAAAGCAATCTTTGGCACGGACGGACGATGGAATATCGAAGACGTGTGCTGAAGAGTGCAGATAATGCTGCATGCAGAAATTGGGCACCTCAGTACCATTGACCATTTACAGCGAACTCCTTTCAACGACGCTCGCATGGTCCTTCTCGGACCTCCTGTGTTGACTCATGCAAGCCACATAGCTCCGGGTTCTATTGTCGGAGCGGTGATTGACCCGCCTCCAGATGATGCTGAAGATAGCCACTAGACGTGTAGCTCGCATAACCGAGGCTTGCTGAGCTGTCAATATTTTCTCGAAGTGAAGAATTTCGATTCTCAAGGCGGAGAAGTCGATCACAACGACAATTTCCCTTCCAGTACCTTTACGGCCGCGCCACTGAGACGCACTGATTGGATTTTCCCACTGGTATCCGTGGTGACGACTACGCCGATCTCGCTCCTGCGACCCATTTCAACACCTTGTGTAATCTTGTAGCGTGATGTTGTCCCAGGCTTGCGCTGTTGCATTGCTAAGTAGCAAGCCAGCGTGCATGCTGCGCTTCCAGTGGCAGGATCCTCCCCCACACAGCTTTCAATCATGCGAGTCCGCAGACGAATGACCCCGTCTCCAACATCGTCTGACTGCAGCACGTAGAAATAGCATCCGACGAAGGACTCGTTCCTGCCACCGTCCAGTTGGGGTTCGATCGGATACGGTGTTGGGTTGACAAAGGTAAGAGAATCGAGAGAGTCGAGCTCGGCCAGGACGTACGTCATGCCTGCGACGATGGAGACGACTGGGGATTGATCGGGTAGCCTGCCCACTTTGGGCTGGAGCTTCATCAGCTCTGTGCTGCTGTACCGAGCTTTATGGACATGAACATTGTGCGGAATAGCCGCCTCTGCCGTCTTTTCAATCGCATCATATGTCAACTGCACCGGGCCTGCTTTCAAGTTGAATGAGCCAGACACGGTGCGCGCACCGTGGCCGGCCAAAGGCGAAAGCAGATGAATGGCCGTGCCAATGGTGGGATGGCCGGCGAAAGGCAGCTCTTGATCAAGAGTAAAGATGTCCACGACCCATTCGTTCTTGCCCCCGTCCTTTTGAGGATGGACGAACGTTGTCTCGGAGTAGCCAAATTCTCGAGCGATGGCTTGTTTCTGGTCCTGGGTCAGCCCCTCAGCAGGTACGTGGACGATGGCTAGCTGGTTCCCCGCATATTTTTGCCGTGTGAACACGTCCACGGTAACGAAGGTTGCAAGACTCATTCTCGTCGTGTGAGGATCGGCTGGGATGAGAACCTCAAAGAGATGGCTCTTTGATGTGCGCCACGCGTGTCCTGCAAAAGCATTGATTCCGATACGACTCGCTCACTGTGACAAAAATTTATAAAAAAAAAAAATCATGTGCGCCTTACGAGCAACATAAGCGGGGAAAAACCACGCCTTACGTAGCCATGTTCTCAGCAAGGGGAGGATCTATAGCGTGGATCTGTGAGAGCAACTCGTCAGACTCGCTCCCATCGCCACGACTGGGCATTTGATCGAGTGACCGCGGACGGCAGAGTAAAGCTTGGTCATGGGGCCAGAAGGGTTAACGTCTGTCTAGTCTTTATTTACACAAGCATAAATTCGTAGCTCAAGATGCGCTGGACGCCTACGATACCAGACTGGCCTTTGACACACACACACACACACAGTACGGACAGGGGCGCGCGGACATCTCAGCGCTGCTCGAGGTCTACTTCAAGACTTTGGCATCACACGATCGATCGCGAGTGAAATGCCATCAGCGCAGGCTAGCCCTGACAAAATTACACCGACGCCGTCATCTGCGGAGTGAATCTGGCTCTACGCTGTCGCGGTACGACGTTTCGGGACATTTTCCTCTGCTAAAAGCTTTTGTGTGGGAAGGAGATCCTGGCGGGACTTTGTAGCTACAGGTTCCTTTTCTCTCTGGGCGGGCCCCGCCTAGTGCAAAGTACAAAGCTTGCCTCCAATAATGACGAGGAAAATGCAATGTGTGTGCTAACCGTAGCACTGTAAAGCTGTCCCTCGTTGGCCGATGACAACGGGCTGGGATTGAGGATGTGCTGGGCTGTGTCGGTGTGATTTTGGGACTGTCCCGACAGTGTGGGTACAGACAGTGTGCATCAGATTAATTGCAGGAAGACAATTAAGCTCCGTTCTTACTTTTTTTTTTCTCTCCTCTTTTCTCGGATCACTAGATCAATGGCTAGACGTGTCGGAGCTTGGGACAAGATTGCGGGGCCTTTTTTCACCCGATCTTCGGGATGACGGCTACTGCAGGCATTCCACGATCGAACAGCACTGCAAAAGTGACTGCGTGCCGGGCATGAATACGAGGGAAGGGATCTCCAACTGATTGTTTGAGTGTAGCTGGGATATCAGCGCAGGGCGTTTGGCATATACACAGACGACGTTCGAAAGCTGTGTTTTGAAGCCGCATTGGGAAACGTGATTGGCAGGGTGAATCTTTCGTGATCGAAGCCACTGCGCCTTGCCAGCCAAAGGAGGGATGGCTCGTAGAGAAGCTCCAAAGGCTGGGGCATGCACGAATCTACAGAAGCAGGAAGAAGGAAAGAAAAAAAAAACACAAATTCAAATCCCACTTGCTGGATCCAAATAGCGACCCGCAGACAAGTCCACGATTGGTCGCCGTGGCCATTGTACAGAAAAACAACGGTCGAGCTTATCGAGGGAAGAGACGCTCGACGAACCTGGCCATAATTGTACAATGCAGCGCCTCCCAGCAGGAGACAGGATCACGGCGAGGATCCGAGTGAATGGAACCGCTTGGGGGTAACCGCGAACGTGGCTGCATCCACGAGCGTGGGGATCTGGCTGGTCCAGAGTCCGGGCGGGCCAGCCGAAGGCGTTGCAGTTCCGCTGGGAGACGCGGGCTGTGCCAGACGCAAGAGAAAGGAACACGAAGGAGACGGGGCGATGATTCAGGCCAGATTCATGAGGATGCAGGACGGTAAGGAGCGCACGCGAGACAGGAATTGCAGTGAGTTTCGCCGAGCAGGCCGCTGAGTTCCTGACTGTAGCCTGGGAGAGGCGCGGTGCACGCGCATGCTGGCCGCACCCTGCCTGTGCGGAGCCATCAACCGCGGAACCGAAAAGGCCCTTATGCGGTGCGAAAGACGCCCTCTTCTGCGAGCCGTCGCCGGGGTGGTCGGAGAGACGTCACTTGCCATCGGAGACGCAAGGAAACTTCCCGTGGGACACGGCAGGGACGCGCAGCGTTGGCGGCGGCCGAGCCACTGCTGCTGTCCGCTGCGGGTGGAGGCGTGCGAGAGTTTGATTTCATCTGCGCCTGCCGCCTCCGATTGATTCACTGCGGGCTGGGCAGAGGGAAAGGCCTGAGCAGACACGACTCGCCCAGCGCACCGCGGCACAGCGCAGGCAGGCAGCGCGCACGCCAGGCACGAGGGCCTGGAGGAATGTGCCCAGCGCAGTGTCCATATTCTGGCGGGTTTGGGCGTGCCCTGCATGCACGCAGCGATGTCATCCGAGCCCGGCCATGGTACGCTACGCGGCGGGCGGTGCGCTGTGCTGTGCTCCAGACGTGCTAGCACAGGCTGGGTGTTTCTGGCGAGATTCTGGTGCCCAAACGAGTGCACGGCGAAGTGCATCGCGGCTTGGGAGTCAAGTCGGGCGCGAGGATCAGGAGCCGTGCAAGTGGGCGAACGTTACGCAAACCGGGGCTGGGCACCGCGATGGGTTTGGGACAGGAGACGGCGTTGTGCGCGCAGGCTTGATGGGCACGGGAGCCGTAGGTTTTGGTGCGCGGCCGTGCTTGCTGTACGTTGGAGGGTAAGTTGAACGGACCGGCGTGTCTGACAGCGGGAGATGAGAGCGTGCGATGCGTGGTTGTTTGCGTGAGCGAGCGGGTGAGTGAGGGTGTGCGTGTGTGTGTGTGTGTGTGTGCGCGGGGCTTCGTTCGCCCAAGGAGAGCACAGTACAGAGGCAGAGGCAAGTCGCAGTCACAGTCGCAGTCGCAGTCGCAGCAGGAGAAGAGACGGCAGCGATGCCGTCCGCATCAACACCGACGTCCGGAGCAGCAGATTGCACGCGCCCTTCACTCTCCATCTCTCCTCGTCTCCCCCGTCTCCCTCTCTCTCTCTCTCTCCTTTCCTCTCTCCCTCCCTCGCCCTGTCTCTCTCCCTCTCTCCCCCTCGCACTCTCTCCACCCCTCTTAGCGAGGCCAGCAGAGGGCCGTCTGCGCGAGACTCGTTCGGGAAGAAGGCTTAACTAAGAGGAGCCTGACTACGTTAACTCAATGCAAAGCCAACAGCCCCCGTCTCCCCCTCCCCGGCTGCATGGGAACGCAGCGGGCCTTGTGTCGTTCGGGACTAGAGCCTGCTGCAGGAGAACACTGCACGGGCTGATAGATCTTCTACATGTCCTCAACCCACCACCCACCAAAAAGGCCGTCATGATTCTGCTCTCCTCGCCTCGCTGCCGTCTCCAGCTGGCTCTTGATTTCGCTCCCTTATCTCTCCAACACGTCCTGCGATCCTCTCGCTCCGCCCTTGCTTGTGTACCTAGCCGTGGTCTCCGTTTCGCTTGCCTCCCGCCGCCTCCCGTTTGTGCCGGCCTGCCACTCGTTGTCGGCACCTTGACCTGTGGACGAGCTGGCAAAAGTGACCAGTCGCAGCAACATCCTGCTTACTACATGCCACGGACTCACGCTTCCATCTCCGGTTTTGCCGATGCCTGAATCTGTCTGTGTTGTGCATCTCACGTCGGAGTCTACCCCATAGTGTCTTGCCATTCCACCAACCGCGCTCTGGTTCGCCCTCGGGTCTTGCACACGCCAGCGCAGGGCCTTCGCGATCGCTGTCAGATCTGCCATCTGTCCCCATCCCTCGGGAAGGCTCCGCGCGCGTCCTGGAACTATATCAGTTCGCAAACGTCCGCCCCGTCTGCGCAGGCCGGTCTTGCCGCATCGTGAGACGCTGTTGGGGACTCTGTTGACTCTACGTTTGCCAGAGTTGGACGTGTGCCATCCCTCAACCCTCACAAAGGTCGGCTTGCCTCCGTGCTGAGTAGCAAATCCCCGCTTTCCAGGCGTGACCGGAAACGACGCTTGCTTGCTCTGTGGCCGATTGCGATCGCGTTTGCCCCGGAAATTCTTGCCGAACCTCGACAGTGGATGGTTGCCACGGACATCATCTCGCCGTGGTAAACACAACGCGCCAAACGCGAATCTGATCCAGCGCGCCCGCTTCAAAACACACCGAATCGCAGCGCTCGACTTGCTCGGATTGCACATTTATACGGGGCCCGTTCTCTCACGCTGCAGGTTCCGCCCCGCGCTGCTTGACTGTCGTGAGAACCGCTTTCGAATCCAGCTCTCGACATGGCCAGCGTCCGATCCTCCTTCGCCCATTCACGGCAGAACTCGGACCAGTCAAATGCATCCGGCACTTCGTACCAGTTGATCTTGGAGCACATCCTCTCGTATCCAAACACGTACGAGATCCCACTTCGGACCATGTACACGCTGAATTGCGCCCCGCGTGCGCAGCCGCCGTCAACACACCAGAGTCGGGCTCCCTCACCCACGTCGTCTTCAGGATCGCCCACGTCGCCAACTTTCCCGTACGACCAGCAAGCGGCCACGGCGCAGTTCACGTCCGCGTTGATGGACCAGTTATCACAGTTGCCCTTGCACTCGTCCTCCCTCCCACCCGCTTTCGTCACCTCCTTTGTGAACCGTTGCTTCCCGGTCGAGCTCGAGTGTGTAGACTTTCCCCAGTCCCTGACCGCGCTGGACTATCTGAAAGACCTCGAAGTGCGAAGAAGTAAAGAGATTGTTAACTCGTTCCGCACCCTGGACCTCGATCAGTCGAATCTGTCATCGGAGAAGATACACGAACTTCGGAGCTGGAATCCTGCTGTTGCTGACTGGGTAGAGAGCCTGGAAAACAAGCTGCGCAAGGTTGAGGCTTTGTACACGTCTGTCTACATCTCACTTCGCAGATGGGTTTGTTCATCCGCCCCTTCTTTACGCTCTGCGCTCTCGCTAACGAATGCAGATCTTGATAAATGAAATGTGTCTAGAGCCGTTCAGCAAGAACAACTGTCTTGCCATGCTTAACACGCTATACCCACCGGTCATGTCGTCACAGCCGACCGCCAAGCTAACCATAGCCACCCTTCAAACCCAGCGTGAGGGCTTCTTCAAGTACATCCAGACGGTCGAGAAGAGGGGCACCGGATGTCTCGCGACCTTGATGAAGCAAGGACGAAGGGAAGGCGAAGTCAACGGATGGCCCGCGGCGAGGCGAGTTTTGTCGCAGTACCTTGCCTTAGCCAACAGCATCATCAATGAGTGTTGGGACATCAACAACCTGAGATTTAATGTAACACGACCTCTGGGACCTGCGGCGCCTCCTCCTGCAACGCCAACTGCGGGACAAGACTCCGAAAAACGGCATGGCAAGATGGACTCGGGTGTCAGCTTTGGGCCCCAGGGTCAGCAGCACTACAAAAGTGACTCAACAAGTAGTGCCAAGTCTGCTCCCGTACATCGAACCCCCCAAGTCGATTCAATTGGTAAAGGAGGCACCGCCCTGGAACGACTGGCCCGTGAATTTCGTAAGATTCGGCCGAAGCAGAGGTCTGTCAATGAGATCGACGGTTCCAGAAGGCCTTCGTTCCAGACCAGCGACCAAGAGAGTCAATCTCCGACGTCTCCTTCGTCTGTGAAACCCAAAGGAAGCCTGAGCAGATTACGCAAGATGAAGTCTCTTGGCACTCTACACGACAACTCGAGCTCCAACAGCATTTTGGGCTTCTCGAGAGCCGCGACTCCAACCTTCGACCCAAAGGAGATGAAGCGGCATCGAGACGCGTACGAACGACGTGCCGTAGAGATGTCGTTCCCATGATCTGCAGCGACCAACGTTTGTCTTTCACCTTTGTACAATATACTCTCGCAATCCGGGCGCAAGCTTTTACACGATTACATCAGCGCATGTCACGGCTAGAACACTGAATTCATTCTCTCACGAGAATACCAACAAAGCGAAATCACGTCCTCTTCACGGTAGCATTGAGAAATGTTTCATGACTTTTTGGGCCTGCCTCTTCAATCCGGATCACGCATGACATCGGGCGGTTCTACCCACTTCTTTGAGCGTTCCTTGAAGCCAGCTGAAGACTTCCGGCATCCAACTCACCATAACAAATGTATCTTCAGAGCTCGGCATCAATCTTCGTCACGCCACTTTGTTCCTCTGCGATAGCAAGTGCGCAACAGCCAATCTTTACTTTCCTTTCTGCTTGAGTCCTACCCAAGTAGCGTTCTGGCATGGCATGTTCACATCGGCGTATGGCCGGGGAAAAGTCTTAAGTTCTTGTTACAGGTCGTTGACCAAATTTTTTTTTTTCATGCCCCATCAGAATTTTTCGGACGGCTTCAGAAAACGAACCATCATCCAGGCGACGTTATGAAAATTTAACGTTTGGACACGAACATATTTCTTGTACAATGGCATTCACAGGGAGGGTTTCGTGTGTGAGATACACGGCTCATAGTCTATATAGAGTTGCGAGTTGAGCGGCACAAGTTTGTGAACGCACAGCTGAACAAAGAATACATCAACTGGAAACAAATCGTTCTTTCTCCGCGACCATCTCATCGTGACACGCATAACCGAATTGCCTCAAACACCAGCGGTTAGACTGAGAATCTTCCACAACATGCACCATAGGGGGACTTACTTCTCCCCATCGCTCCGAACGGCATGCAGGTGCGAAGAACCCAAGCTCCAGCGCTGCGGTTTCGATGTGTTCCTGCATTTGCCTAGGCCCCAACTATCTTATCCTTGGAGGGGAAAAGGAAAATGACGCCCCATCTTTGCCGTCCCAGATTTCGAGCAAACACGTGTGACGGCTCAACCCGCTGTTTTTCCCTTCCCTTTGAGACCAAACAACGAACCGCCACCCCTGCATTCGCCTAGAGCGACGACGGTGCGAGCGTCGCCCTCCAGCCCGGTGACGCGGCCTCAAGTCCCTCCCTGGCACTAGCGGACGCCTCTGCACACGCAAACAACAAAAGCCAGCGCGCGGGAAGAAGAACGGAAGAGAAAAAAAGGGCGAAAAAACAGAAGGAGGAGCGTGTAAGGAAAAATCGGGCTGCCACAGCTGCTCCACCGGAGCGGTACGAAGCTGGGATCCCCCAGCCATGCCGATCGGCCCGCTCAAGTTTGACTTTCTTATTTTCTTTTGCTTTTTCTTTTCTTTTTTTTTCTTTTTTTTTTTTTTTTAATCCACTTTCCTTGGTAATGGGCGCCGACCGTCCGGACAGATTCTCATTCGCCCATGGCCCTTTTTTTTCCCTCCGTGTTTTTCATTCTCGGGTTGATGTGGGGGGGGGGAGCGAAGACGGGACGGGGAGACGGGAGAAGGGACGGGAAGCATGCGTGCGGGAGAGACACCAAACATATATATATAATTTTTTTTTTCTTTCTCTCTATTCGTACGCGGCATCCCGGCGCGGCAGTAAACGTGGTCGTCGTCCGTCGTCATCCAGCGTGGTAGTGATACTTTTTTTTTTTCCTCTTCTTCTTCTTCTTCTTCTTCTTCTTTTTCTCGCTCGGTCCGAGTCCTCCGCCGCCATTCCTTTCCCCCATCTCCCTTTCTCCACCGTCCGTGTCGGACGCTTACGGGAGAGATGCGATGGGTGGTGGGGGGAAGGGGGGACGGAGAATGGCAGGAAAAAAAAAAGCTTCTTGAATCCTGCGAAGCCGGCGATGGGAGGGATCCTCGTAACGGGCACATCGAGGCTCCGCACGGCGTGCGGTATTTTTAGAGTCTGGCCCATCGTTCATTACCTTGATTCGTCGCCGACGAGAGAGACGGGCGTAACAGCGTTGTGGATTCTAAGCTGTGCTGACGTGCGCATGCGAGAGAAGCAGTCGACAATGCAAGTTTTCTCAGCTTGGGGCTAGTGCGGCTGGTGATTGCGGTGGCGTAGGACGTCGAACACGGGATCTCGTTTCGTTCACTTGAGGTTTACGAAGCAGCGCTGTTCAATCACCTTGAATCTTGTTGGGATGTTGATACACCTGTCCAAAGTGCGGTGGATCATCAACGTGGACTGGGATGTGACGGCTGCGGATACAAAGAGGGGCGCAGACGTGACTGTGTTTGCACAAGCGAAAAAACAAAAAAGCAAAAAGTAAAATTGATTTCTGTAGGGATTGCACGGAAAGGAAGCTACTAAGTTATCTTTCTCTCACGTATGACGTTCCTCTTGACCCGGTCCCATAATTGAATTTAGAACCCTATTAACGCCGAGGCCGAATTGCTCATGCTGCCCTCTTATTGTAGCCATCAAAGACGCCATTGATATGCTGATCATGACTGTTTCGTGCATTTCACTAGCATGTTCATCCCAGAGTCCCAGCGTCACGTCGTACAATATACTTGAAATACAGAAAGTCGTGTGTAAACCTTAGTCGATGTGTCAATCTTGAAGGCCGGAAGAAAAAGCCCAGCGTAGTGCCATGACCTGTGCGAGGTGTTCCCCTTTCAAAGTCGAAACACATCTCTACTCATCGCCTCTCGCCTTTGCTGTCTTTTGCTTCTTGCGTACAGGCCTGGAGTCGGTGACCGATGGTGACGCAGGTAGATCAGGCGATGCAGACTTGACCGCTTCGAATCCGTTGCCGTTCGTGTGTTGTGACATCATTGACGGGTTCGAAACTTGCGTTTTCGGCCCGCTTGCGGCTGATGACACAAGAGGCCCTGGTTGTCTGGCCAAAGATGAAAGCGATTCTGCGGCTGCCAAAGTCGGTGCTAGAAGTGAATGCTGCTGTAGAAGGGCTGGTGCCGACGTTGCCTTAGCCAGGTTTGACATTGGTGGTGGTGGTGGTGGTGAAGTGGCCAACGCCGGAAGAGCATGGCCTATGGTCGTTGTGTGGCTTATCCCTGGAAATGACGCTTCGACTGGTCGAGAAGTAGGAGCATTGTTGTTCTGCGCTGTCGGCGCCGGCAGGACCCTTTTGGGGCCCGGTATTGCGCGGGGTGCTGACAATGAGGTAGGTGGACCACTTTGAGACGGCGCAAAGAGTTGGGGCACTCTGGGTGGCGCGTTAACCCAGCTTGGAGGCGAAGAAGATTGTGTCGGCGCTGTGTGAGCATCCGAACTCCTGGATGCAATCGAGGGGTGTCCAGTCGACGATCCGGTTTGAGACGGAGCAGGTGGTGCTGTCAATGGCGCATTGAATGTCGAGTGTTGATCTGCATAAGGTAGAGGATGATGTGCCGCAGACAACAGCGGCGGAAGCGTAGACGGCGTGCTAGCTGATAATGTCCCTTGCACTTGATTAAGACCCGGGGCAGGTGACGGCCGGAAAGTGTGATAAGGGTTTGAAGGCGTAACAAGGACGGGAGGTTGTGAAGTGCTCGCAGGTGTCAGAGAAGGCGATCTTGCTCTCGGACCTGCATGTGCCGAGCTTGGTAAAGGTGTCATTGACGTCAATCGTGCCGTCGGTAGATGTGAGGGCATAGAAGCTTGTGTGCGCCCTTGAGCTAAAGGTGGGTGGGTCATTGTAGTCGGTCCATATGTGGCCGTAGTCGAGATCGAAGGTAACGAAACACTCGTGATCGGCTTGTCCTGAGCACTTGTCGTCGGCAAAGGACTTTCTCCTCTCATCACAGCTTGAATCGCAGCCTCGACATCTGGGCGCTTCTTCAGTTTGTGCCATTTGTTACGGCAATGAAGACGGCTTCGAGAACCTTTCATGAATGCGCTGATGGCGGTGAAGTTGAGATGATCGATTGGCTCGAACTTCTCCGACACCGTTCTTCCCTGTCTACGCTGGTTCTCGCGTTCCACGCGTGCTTGTGCAAGCATCTGCTTGCAAATTTCGACGAACTGGGCCTCTTCTGCGTCTGTCCACGGCCCGCGCGTGAGTTTGCAACCGTTCTGGGTGTAATTACGCCATCGGTCGCGACATTGTTCTGCACTTCTACCTGGGACTTCTTCGCAAATCTTGGCCCACTGATCAGGTGCCTTAGCATACGCTTCCGCAAGTGCTTTTTCTTCTTCTTCAGTCCATGGTCCTTTCTTTTGGTTATTGCGGAAGACGCGTTTGGCCGCTCTTTGAATTGAGTTCTTTGTGCGCTGAGGTAAAGCCTTGCACACTTCGTCCCAGAAATCTCCTGGTATGTTGCCCTCCCTTGCCTTACCACACACGTAATCATTAGCCAGCTCCACACTAATATTGTGCTTCTTGCAGTACTCGTCGATGGCGTCCTTAAGAAAGCTTTGTTCCATCTTCGTGAAACGGCCCTCGTCGCGCAACTGCGCTTCTTCGTGAGCTGTCAATGGAGCGTTTGGATCAAAGTTTTCGGGGCCAGACCGTGTCTGAACATAGCTTGGTGGTTGTGCATGTGGCGAGTAGATAGTGTAGTGAGTGGCTACAGTAGGCTGTGGTGGCTTCCAGCCATAGGGAGTCGGGGCATGGGAAGATGGTTGTACTGGCTGCGACTTGGCCGGTGTTTCTGTAACCGACTCTTCATCATCATCGCTTTGCGCCGCCGCAACACGCTGCAATAAACCAAGAGCGTCGGTGTCCACGTCCGACTCCGAGTCATTCCCATTGTAATCTCCGTTCTGACCCGCACTCTTGTCCTCATTCTTTGTCGCAGCGATGTTGGACGGTGCAAGCACAGAGTCCAGGGATGAAATTGAATCGGTACTCGATTTTCGTACAGCGCTTACACCTGATTCATCATTTGATACTGCTCGGTATGGAGAACCCGTCTTGATGACATCGGATTCATGTGATGCCGCATGTTCGTTCGAGTCCTTTTGCCGAAGTTTGCTGGCCTTGGTAGCCTTTTCCGCGCCTCTTAATTCTACATTCTTTCTAGAAATATTTTCCATACGAATTTCTGTCTTGGACGTGCGCTTTCTCTTCAGAGTCACCGAATGTGCTTGCGGATGCGGCAAGGTTGGTGAAGGCGGTCGGTCGCTTCCGTTGACTGATGTCCAGCCATTGCTGCGGGCTACGACACCATTAAGATGTTGCGATGTAGGTCCTGGCCTCGTATCTATTGTAAACTCAGTCAGTTCGGACGAACGCAAGCAAACAAGGGCAAAGAGCGTCGATCCCTAGTCGTGTCGGTCTAGGTGAGCGCAGAGCCAAAACATTTGCTCCTGATCAGGCCAAGCAAGAAAAAGGGACATATTGGATACGTACGATCTAAGGTAGACATTTGCGAAGCTTCCTGCCCCATTCTGCAAGGAGTGTCGAGGCATGTGCGGCAGAATGTAGGAGAGGTGGATTGTCTTTGGCACGGGTAACAGGCGGGTAACGCACACGACGGACTGAGTCTAGATGCCTGGAGACCTAAGGAGTGCACATGCCCTGTCTGCTCATTGGTCAGAAGCCGCAACTGGACAAGTGTCACCCGGGGTCATGCTCACCTCGGATTCGTTGGGACCGTGCACCGGAATCAGTGGGAGGGCGGCGTCGTCTGACAGCTCGCAATCCATGTGTTCCGTACATGTGCGGCGGTCGTTCATGTTTTGGAGCATCCAGTCCGTGTTGAAACACCCAAAACCGCCATTCCAAACACTCCAGGCCCCCAAATTGCACAGCTCCGCGAACTGCACGTCACTCCCGTCCCAGCTTGTCAGTTCAAATGGGACTTGACAATCTCCGCCGGAGTCTTGCTGTGGATTTGTGCTGTAGTTTAGTGAGATCTGCTGATCATCCTGGAAGACGTGGAATGGCTCCTTGTTTTCACAAGCAACGGATGTGTCTCCGCAACCCAGGTTCAACAAAGCAATTCGTGATGGGAATAGAAGCGGGGAATGATTCTGGTCAGCTTGATCTGGGAAGAATTGAAAGGTAGACTCTTTTTCGACGGCACTCGAAAGTCGTATTCTGCTATGAAGTACCGAGCTGTGCAATTGGTCTCGAGCCGGTCCAAATTCTTCGCGATATCCAGGCCCATTAAGGGATGTCGGGTAAGAATGGCCGAGCTTGGACCAAATGTAAGTGTGCTGTATCGAAGTTGATCGCAGAGAGTTGATCTGGGCAAAAGAACAAGGCTGCGTTCCAATACCGCTGCCGCTGCGGATGCCCGCGAAGGAAACTGGCTGAGCAGGTGATTCATGGGAGACAAATTCTGAAACTGAAGGAGATGCAGTCATCCATTCCGGCCAGTAGATAGGACCGGATTGTTCGCTTTGGTGTGGACTGAAAATCGTGTTGATCTGGTTCACTCCTGACGAATCTGTCGGGTTGGGCTGGCTCAACTCTCGGAGTTCTTCTCGCTGAGCTGCCCTCACCAGTTCTTCGTTTACAAAGTTGTCCCGTGAAGGATAAGGGTATTGAATATCAGAGAAATGAGGATCCTCTAACTCCAGATTTATAAACAAATTGTTTGTCTGAAGGTCAGATGGCATGTCTGACGGCTGCATGTTCTGACTTGCTAACATTTCGACTGCATCCCAAGATGCAGCAGCATCTTCCTCGTCAATCTGAAGACGACGGAAAGACATTATTCCTAGTCCCGATTTTACTTCATTAGCATGCCACTGCAAACGATACTGGCGATCCTACTTGGGGTCTTCAACTATGATCCTGTGTAGAAGTGGGAAGATAAGGATATTAGTTCTTTGCTGATCGGTCGAATGTCCAAGCTATTTTATTTTACGTTAATTTTTAGAATAGGAAAGGCACAGCGATGGATGACAATGGACAGGAAACGTTTGGAATTGTATTGATCGCATATTGACGGCCTTTCATCTACCGAAGTCCCTCAGATCCAACGGATCAATTACCTGGATTTTTGTTTTGCTTGGCTCTAGAGACACAGAATGGCCATTGTCCTTACGTTTAGAGTCGTTGGGTCCATTGCTAACGAACTCGCTCGATCAAGGCAGATCTAAGAGCTGGCATAATAGAATGGGATCAATAACGTGACTTTGGACGCAACGGCTGCACGTGCTCTTATACACGGCAAGTACTACCTTATTCGCCCTTCAACGAGACAGATTTAGTACAAATTCAACAGAAGGCAGCCAGGCATAAAGTTAAAGTAAGCTGCGTCAGGATGTGCAGATGATACAAGGTCGGCTCGCCCACGCCTACGCCTGTTATGTGCTCAGCCTCGAACGCGGCGATCCCACGATGCCAGGGAAACTCCTCCGGCCCCATTGAATAAAACCCAACTTAGAATGGATGGTTCGTCCGCCGTGACCTCGCGCGCGACAAAGTTCACGCTGGCGAGTCACGCCGTTGCTCGCAGATACTTGTAACACGGGCCGTCGCGTCTGCGGGAAACCCAACCCCACCTTCGGCGCCAGCTTTCATCCAATCACCACCGGCATGCGCAGTCCAGCTTGCAAGAGCCGGCAGTAGTGTGCGCAAGGCAGCCTCGCTCTTGCGCCCTCGAACGCCGGAGTGACTCGAACGTCTCTCCCCGTTGCTTTCCTCGACTCTTTCCATTTCATCGTCGGTGACCCGAGGAACGCACTCTACTGTTCGAGGAATTTTCCGCATCATGTAAGTGTCTCGAGTGCAGATGGACGACATACATGCTGTCTTTGGCTTCAAATAGCGGTGCTGATCGGTGGATTGCACAGCATCAGTCATGGCTCAGCTCTGAGCATTCTTAGGCGGTTGGCAGATTCCACTGCAATGCCCTTTAGGCAGCAACGGAAGCCTCCAAATGGCGGCTCCCGCCAACGTTCGCTCCCTAATCGACTCCGCTCAGCATCAACAGTCAACGCTCTCCGTTCCTAGCGAGGTCACAAACATACCTACAACACTGCGCAGAGATGGCCTTCCAGCGGGCCCATGCAATTATCGAGACCTAAGTGCCGGCCCAAGACCACCAGGCTGTGGCTGCCGCAGATTCTGGCTCGGCCCAGCTGTTGGTCTTCTCGGACTGGACACGCCTTCCAGTCAAGCACCGTGGTGTGCATGTGGTCATCACGCGTGCTTTCATGACAAGGAGGAACTCTCGAAGAGGCAGGATGGGGCTACCGAGCCGTCCAACATCGCCAAGAAAGGGTCAAATAAACACCGTGACGCCTCTGCATCGCGGACAACTGCAGCCGCAAGTCGAACTTGGCATGAGCAGCACGTATCGCCCGTGCAGCTTCTCAATCAGACATTACTGCAGCAACACCCGGCCCCAGGATGTGGCCATTCCGGTCTCCCGTCGATTCCATCCTTTCACTTAACGTCATCGGAACTTCATGGTCACACGAAATGCAATGGATCTATAGGGCTAGGCTTGGATTTTTCGCGAAGGCTTCATTCAACAAATATAGATAGCGAAAGTCCTACAGTCGCGGACGTTGACGACCTTCCGGGTACAGATCCCGTTCCCTCCACCCGCCAGGCATCCACCGAGAACCAGGCCAGCCCCAGCGGAGCGTTCATGCGACACATTGTTGATCAACGTCGTCTTACGGCCCAAGTAGAACCCATTCATGAAGAGAAACTGGCAGCTGCCTTAGGCTCCGGCAATGTTATCGAAAGCGTAACTGAAGTCGCTACCCCAAATGTCGCTGCTGTCCCCACCTTATGCAGTTCAGATCATCTAGTTCGATGTGCCACCGACCTTATAAATGATCTCGAACGTGGAGTTACCGCTGTAGTTAAGGCGCAGACGCAAAACTCCCAGCAATCCTCTGCAAATCATAGACTAGATCCAGTACTACGCAACGAGGCCGAAGACCCGACGTCTACCCTGACTCAAACCACCCAAGACGCAATAGCAGAGATCCCCAACACGCTCCGGCGCCTTGTGCCGCTGCTCAACTCGCTCCGAAACGAAATCAGTCGAAGCCTGGACATCTCAGTCCATGAATCAATCAACAGCCTTGTCAAACGCTTGGATGCGTTGGAAAATGTTTCTTTTCACCAGATCCCTCCAGAACATATCCACGAGCAGCTTCAACATCTAGATGTTCGTTTACTGGACCTTGAATCGAAATTGGATGAGCACAGCCGCTTGATTTCAGCTCTCGACCTAGATGTAAGCAATCAACAAGCCAAGGATCGGAATAAGAGAGCACTCAATGAGACCGCTTCCTTTGTCAGTGATGCCTCTGGGAAGAGTTTGGGTTCAGTAACTTCAAGCGCTTTGATCGCTACTGCTATTGACAGGGTTGAGGCGGCGAAGAGACTGAAAGATGTTGAATGTCGCCTTGACATCCTAGAGGCAATTCAAATGCCCTCCACGAGTATGCCTTGGGAAGTCGAAGTCGTTCTTCTGCCCTGGGGACGGAATTTACGAGGGATATGGTACGATTTTGCTGACATCGTAAAACCTGGAATGACTCAAGAAGATGATGATTGGACGATAACAATGGCGGGCAGAAATGTGTCACGAGCATCGCTCACATTCGCAGAGAGTGGCTGGAGTGATAGAGCTATCGACCATTGGGCGAGTCGCGACCAGGGAAAACTCTACCCTAAAGCATCTGGAGTCAATAGCATTGTCTATCATCGCCTGAAAAGCCGGGGACTAGTTCGAAGCATGACGCTTACATCTCCTGGTGCACGAGATCTCATTAATTCCGCCGTCAAAGCGTTTGGCAGTCTGTTGTATGACATGTCTCAAGCAAAGGATGAGAATGCCATGGATGACGGTAACGAGGAGGGTCTACTAGGCTTTACCTCCCCGTTCATCCCTTTGCGTAAAGTTCACAAATCTTCCTGTCTGAAATTCTTGACGGACGCCGAGCTCGTTTCGCCATCACTCTGGAACGCCGAGTTCCTGGCATCGGGAGTTTTGATGCGTGCTCCTGGTGGCCAAAAACGACTCTTCGTCACTACTCAGGAAGGTTACAAACAAGATGGATGGGATGGATGGACTTGGTCAAGCTTACGGCAGCTACCTCGAATCCATGATCTACGCAAAGAACGCTTGTCGGATCAAGATGTCCCTGAAGCAGATGCGCTGGAGCCCTGTTGGAAGTATCATCACGCCATTGATGAAATCGAAAGTGTCCAGACTCCATCATATAAGATCGATCGGACAGGACGAAAGCGTTCAAGGAGTGCAAGCCATTTCTCCTTCGTTGCATCGGACACCTCCCAGAACATGCAGCGTGACATGACGCCCAGTAGAACATTCAATCACCCGATCACACCAACATCTGAATTTCCTCCTACGCAGGCATCATCCAATTACCGACGCAAACTCAGCGCATTCTCGACATCTTTAAGCGACGCTGCACACTCTGGCCGGGCCTTTGTAAACTCTGTTCCTCAACTTACTCGGCCGACATCTCAGCAATCCAAACGTCGAATCCGCTCTTTTGAACAGATTGCGAATCCTTCGTTGATTGCGGCACTGCCAAGTTTTGTTCCATCAGCTGTAAAGGGATCACATCGGTCTATATCAGCACGCATAAAAAAGCGTCGCCGCGTTGCACGTTCCAAATCTACTTCCTCTGCTGAATTTGCAAATCAGACACCCTCCCATTTAGATGTTCAAAGTTTGCACCCTGAAGTAGATCCTGAGCAGGTGCTTAGACACTTGCGCGATGTAATTCCAAGCGGGGGTGCGATCAAGCCCTTGAGCCATTTCGAACCAAAGACAAAATCTGGGTCAAAAAGACACAGCGTTTCACTTGAGCAGGACGCCGTCCAAGTACGTGCTAATGGAGGTAACGAGAAGCGTGGCGTTACACCAAGTGCATATGCGACACCTTACAGTGGGACGATCACCGGTGTTGGAGACTTTGAGGATGAATACATGCCAAGTGAAAGCGGCGAAGACGATTGGGGTGGAGTCGATGAAGATCGGATCTCTTCGGACACCAATGAACACGAGATAGACGATGATATGAGCGTGGACGAGAGTAGTGCTCCAGATGAGTTGGATGACTATAATACTAATGAAGATGAACCTGACCCGCTCCTGGATGGCGATGACGAGTGGAGTTCTTCTGAAGATGAACTACAATTTGGATAAAACAGAAAATGTTTGGGTCATGATGGCTTTTTGAATGGCAGGTGCGTTTCTGAGAGCGAGTTAGAAGTTGCACAAAAGCATAGAGTTGCAAGTTGTCTTTATATCCACCATCTCGCCTCTTTACACCATTCTGTAGACTATCAACTAATATCTGATACCCCTTAAATCATGTATTTGTTGCTCGCAAAGTTCAATTGGGCCTCAGGAAGCTTACATCTGAATGGACCTCAGAACAGAAACTGAAATGGCGAGTGACATCACTGTAAATTTAGACACGTCCTAGGCAAACCAACTGATCAAACACAACATTCTTGTGAAGACACACCTGTAGATCAAGAACGGTAATTCCTGTCATTTACGTGCCTATGACCTGTTGAGTACGATAATTTTGTCTCAAGTAGTGAGCCTTATCAGCAGCTTTTGGCTGAAGTTTTACCGCATAAAGTTACCTTCTTTCTCTTTCTCTTATGACCTTTATTTGCAATTTTGACCGCTGATGTCTCGACCTAATGCGTCGGCCAATTTTGCCTAATTGAGAATATCCCTTGACACAATTCTGCAGCGTCAACTCGACTGACAGAGATAAAATGTAAATCGCCGAGTGGAAAAACAGTCATTCGGCATTCCATCATGGCATAATTGCCATTCCAGAAGTGATGGCAAAATTCCTCAGGCCGCCGACAACTTGCGGGATAACGCCGATTTGCGCCAGCCCCATCTCGTACAGCGGGGTACCAGCGACCACGGTTGCGCCTGGACCTCCGACGAATTTACCATGGGGCAATTCAGAATCGTCGAGGAGTACTTCTTAAAGAGGCTGCCAGGTCCGCATCTAGATCGATAATGCAGATAAAGTGCAGTAATTATGGCCGGTCCCGTGCGAGCGTCGGATGAGGCAACCTCAGCAATACAGAACAAATCTTGGGATAGAACGAGTTTTATACCGCCACATCATGGATGGAACGTGTTCCCGTTTATGGTTCGTTTTACGAAGGCGAAGAACGCTCTCGGATAATCACGTGCTGATAATCTCGTAGCCTTTGTTTAGTCGTTTGTTGAGACTAGCAAATCGACGACCACCGCTATTAGCGATTCGCGACGTCCGGACGAATGTAGAAAAGACGTATCTGGAGCTTTTATCTGATGTTCTTGCCTTTAGGCAAGTCATCGCACGACGGCTTGGTCGAAAGACCGTTTCCGCCATGAGAGAGGGTAGAGAGATATATGTTGCCGTGTTAGCTCCAGGGGGCTACGAATATGCTGTCGCGGTTCTCGCAGTGCTAGCGCTCGGGGCAGCAGTAGTACCTATCACGACTGCACTACCATTGCAAGAAGCAATGTACTTTGTCAACAAATGCGAGGCAGTTGCGGTACTTGCGGGTTCCAGTGCGGTCGAACTTGGGAGAGGGATTGAAAAGCTGACGAGAGAGGGCCGGAATAAGAACTTCCGATGCATACCTATAAAACCGTCCACCAGCTCTCCCTGTTTGTCTACGGAAGACATGTTAATAAGTACAAGCGGCAGTCTGGACGAGAACGGGCCTGGAGTAGTCATTTTCACATCTGGCACTACAGGACCACCCAAAGGAGCCGTCATGAGACGATCATTCACGCACGACTTTGCTTATCAGATAGCTGATCATTACGGTTTCTCGGAAGGCGATGTGCTCTTGCACTGTCTTCCCGTCCACCATGCGACCGGTATTGGAGTAATGTTCTTCCCAGTGTTGATTGCGGGTGCTACGATCGAGTTTCGCAGCGGCAGCTTTGATGAAGAGTGGATGTGGAATCGTTGGCGTGAAGGTGCCATCAATCCCAAGCGTCGACTCGCATTCTTTTCGGGAGTGCCTACGATATACATGCGTATGCGGCGACATTATCAACAAGTGCTCAGTAAATTGCAGCCCGCCTTGATTGCGGAGTACGTTGCGGGAGCTAGACAGTTTAGAGCGGTATTATGTGGTACATCGGCGCTGCCGCATCCAATTGCTCAGTTCTGGACGGATCTTTTGCAGAATAGAATCGTACAGCGATACGGCGGGACGGAATTTGGCGCTGTGTTTAAGGTTAGACTAGGAGACACGGACGCACCTGATGGTTCGGTTGGCGAGAGAGTTACGGGATATGATGTGCAGCTCTCTAACGGTGATGAGGGTGAGGTGCTTGTCAGGAATCATGTATTATCCCTTCTCCAACATCCACTCGTACGCTAACAGCTCTTTAGCACATGTTTGCCAAATACCTAGGAGATCCAGAAGCTACTGCAAACGCCCATGATGAGGAAGGGTACTTCAAGACAGGTGACAGTAGGTAATCTATGATCGCTTGCCATAAAGTAGACTAATAAATGCGCGTTAGTTGCTCGACGCGAAGGGAAGTATTACTATATCATCGGTCGTGCTTCTCAAGATATAATCAAATCTGGTGGTTACAAGATATCTGCTCTCGATATCGAACGAGAAATTCTAGCGCTGCCCTACGTGGCTGAGATCATTGTTGTCGGAGTTGATGACGAAGAATTTGGTCAACGCGTGGGGGCTGTAATGACACTCCATGAAGAAGAGTCATCATCGTATCATTTCAGAACCGAATACGGTGATGATAGATTCAGATACACGATCGCAGATCTGCGACGAGACCTCAAGAGCAGGTTAGCTAGTTACAAAATGCCCACATTGCTCAGAGTTGTCGAAGGTGATTTGCCGAAGACAGCCAGTGGGAAGATCCTAAAGAAGAAGCTGGGCATGATGTATTTCCCAAAAGATTGGGAAGATATTGCCGAGGTGCAATGCTGGAGACCAACAAGGCCTGGAAAGCCGAAGATTGACCAGGTGGTTGCCAAACTCTGAGACGCCAACATCTTTGTTATTTTGGTAGAATACACTGGGCTATTTCAGATTCATGACAACTACCAGTGCTTCTCGTAGACTCGTCATTCTCTCAACACATCTACTTCGCACGCCACTGTTGAATTTCCGCTTCGCTAATGTGTCTCAGCTTATTCACACTTGGTGCCTCGCCCGTTGCGATTCCCTTGGCAACCTCAATCACGCCGCCAATTATTGTTCGCCGGCTGATTGCGTATTGCGCTGTCACAGCCTTCACCTTGATAAGCACAATTCGAGGATCTTCAGGTCCCCCATCGTGCTTGCCGTCACCCAGGTCGCCGAGCCAGGCCTTCAACGTTGGAGAGTAATACTTTTTAATAGCCTCACGATCCGTTACGATTTCAGCTTTGCCGCTGATCGATGCCCATTCGCCGCTTGACGAGAGGAAAGCCAGGTTGACATCCGAGTCTGACTTCAAGTCATCGGTCTTGCCAGACTCGGAGTTTGCGTGGAAGAGAAAGTCGACTCCATTACCCTCCTGTTAACTGTTATCAGCTCAGGTAACCCTTGAGAACATACACAAAGTACCTTCGCTGCAAGCGCCATGCACCGTGAGGCCAGCAATCCGCTATCAGCAATCCGAGTTGTCATCATGCAAAACTTCTGCTTTTCTGCAAAGCTGACGAGGTCATTAATCCTCTCTTCTAGGGTAGCCTCCGTATCAAGGTTCTTCTCCTTGTACGGATCGGCATGTTGGCTGCCGGTATTGGTGTTCGAATATGACATTGCTCTTTAAATACGCTAAGACAGCTTTCTTGACGAGTGTAAGCTATAAGTCGAACGTGAAAACAGCGTGCTAGACGAAAGTATAAGTAACAATGATGATGATGATGGAAATAATAGGAGAGTTGCTAGTATATGTTCCAACAAATCTTAGACTAGACTTGGCTTTCTATGTCTTCGAGTATGGAGTGATTCGGAACTGGGACTTACAATCACGGACAGGTTGATTAGAAAGGTGCAGTATTTAGAGATTCAGCTTCAGTCGATACTCGACTCTTCTTATATTGAATTAAGGAATGAAGAGTGCACTACGTCATGACTACAACCACGTACTCCGCACAAGCGGTGCTTGGTGGAATACACAGAAGAGACACTAAGATGGGACTGTCATGTTTGATCGCAGATCATGCTTTGGACTACAACGCGGCTGGGCAAGTCCCCAGTTCAGACACGCAGAAAAATTAGGTGGGCTTGCGATTTGATTCTCTTGCAGCATCATTTCGAGGGACATTGGAGCCTATTGGTGAGGCTGAAGGTGTAGGCAGATCAATTGGATCCTGATTTACAAACTACACAGCGGGCATCGAATATTACCAGAGAAGATTGACAACTTCATGACGAAATATACTGGTTTACGACATGTCGACGACTGCAAGATCCACCTACGGTTCCACTTTCGGCATAGCTCACACATGCCTGGTCTTGTCGCCTTATCGATAACAGTTTTCTCATCGCAGGAGCGCATTTGCGACAAACTTTTGTGCTTATAGACAAAAGAACGACTGGTGACTTATGAACTATGCCCAAGGCTGCCCGAAAAAAGAACAATGCAAGCAGTGGCAGTCCTTATGCAGGACAGGCTGCGAAGCCTAAATTGGGCAACAGCATCTTTAAGATGAACACCGATCTTGGGTATCTTTACCACCATTTTCCACAAAGACTCAGTCGCTGATACGCCACGAAATAGCCAGCACATCCTTAAGAATCCTGGCGTTGCAGATGCTATAGTCACCAAGGCGAACCTGAATCAATCGGACGTAGTCCTCGAAGTCGGTCCCGGCTCTGGTAATCTTACTGTTCGCATACTAGAGAAGGCAAAGAAATGCATAGCGGTCGAACTAGATCCGCGTATGGCTGCTGAACTGAGTAAACGTGTCATGGGTACGCCTCAGCAGAAGAGACTGGAAGTGTTGCTTGGCGATGTCATCAAAATGCAGCAACTGCCATATTTCGATGTGTGCATATCGAATACGCCCTACCAAATATCGAGTCCGCTCGTCTTCAAGCTTTTGGCGCAGAATCCCGCTCCGAGAGTGTGCATACTTATGTTTCAGAGGGAATTTGCGATGCGTCTATTCGCAAAACCAGGCGACAAGCTGTACTCTCGATTGAGTGTCAATGCGCAAATGTGGGCAAAGATAGACCACATCATGAAAGTTGGCCGTAACAATTTCAATCCACCTCCACAAGTTGAATCTAGCGTTGTCCGTATAGCACCAATCGTACCTAGACCAGCGATAAGCTACGAGGAGTGGGATGGACTGCTGCGGATATGTTTTGTTCGCAAAAATAAGACTCTTAGCAGTAGTTTTATAGGCACAAGTTCGGTCATGGACTTGATCGAGCGAAATTATAGAACTTGGTGCGCGCAAAACGACGTGGTATTGGATGACGGTCCGATTGAGGAGGGCGAGGAGATGATGGATGTTGAAGAGCAACAAGAGGATGAGTGGCCCGGCATCATGGATATGGATGATGAGGATGATCTGCCCGATTTTTTCAAGGAAGAAATGGCCAGGAGGATCGATGAAAACAAAGAGAGAGAGCTCAAACGAAAAAAGAAAGGCAAAGTTTCTGAACTGGTCAGGAAAAAGGTGAAGAAGGTTCTTGAAAGCACTGGATTGGCGAATACGAGAGCAAGAATGTGTGACCAAAACGATTTCTTAAGGTTACTTGAAGGATTCAACGAAGAGGGCATACATTTTGCATGATATATTCAGCGTTTCTCATATTCATCAGTATGGTGTTGGTGGTTATTGGAATTTGGCATCGAATCTATAGTTTCATCTGAATGCCGTCATTCAACACAGACTAAAGTTTGAAGATGACTAGTAAGTTGCTGGCATTTGTGACAAGCGGCCACCATCCACAACAGTAACCTGGCCATTGAAATACGCTCCACTTCGACCTACCAACCCCAGGATTGTTCCCGCAATCTCGTCATATGTGCCTTGTCTTCCAGCTGGCACTTTATCGTATGGAAACTCCGGTGCTGTACCCGCTGTCATCTCTGAAGGAAAGACTTGAAGCAGATTAGCCGCGCTCAACTAAATGCCAAAGAAATAACTTACTGCCCGGACAGATCACATTTGAACGGATACCCCATGGGCCTAATATGCTGGTTAGAGCTTTTCCTATGCTCACGGCGCCAGCTTTGGAGGCACCGTAAGCTAGACCGGCCGTGATGTAGCGGTTATATGCCGCGATAGAGGCAACAGTGATTATCTGACTCGTTCGCAAGTCATCTTTATCTATGCCCTCGACATCCTTGCGCGAGCGGGGGCGACCGCCAAACTCCAGTTTACCGGACTCCCAACCTCTCTTCGCATTTCCAGCGTCGAGCAAATGCAAGAACTGGCCACTGACCAGTACGACCGAGCTAGTGTTTATTGAAAGTGTGTTTGCCCAACCTGGCCATTGGGCTAGCATGCTCTCTTGCAGCTCATGGATGCTGTTCGCGCTGTACATAGGCCGATTGTCGGGTCCAGACACGCCTGCGTTATTCACAAGTACGTCGAGGTAGCCCACCTCTTTCTCTATCTGTTGGACTGCAGAAGTGACCGTGAAAGGATTTGTGACATCACAGACGATGGGGACCACGTTATCAGTTCCGATCGTTTCAACAGCCTTGACCAAGACGTCCTTTCGTCGTCCCAGGATATAGACTTTTTTTGCTCCTGTTTTAGCCAATACGGATGCAAATGCTAGACCGATGCCTTCCAGCTTGGATTAGATTTGGTAGTCCTGGAAGTTGTAGGGACTAAGCTACTTACCTGTGCCGCCGCCAGTAATGGCAATGACGAGATCTTTCGCTGAGAAAAGAGTCCCGAGATCCAAGCTCTTCGTCACATCCATTTTTTTACTGAAATTGTTCCGATGCTTTAAATGAGGATTTAGGTTTGCCGAACGAATCCGACTTCGGGGTCGGTTGTGACAGTGAGTCAGCTCGAGAGAAGTTTGGGACGACTAGTTTTGGACCTTCGACAACCGACGCTCCTGTTCTCCTCACGTAGAAAGTCCCTTGCACTCAGATGCCAGAAGAGAATAGAGTGGTATATTATGGTACAATGCACGTACATGCAAGTCTACGAGTGGAAGTTCTAAGACCAATTGTATTCTTTACCCATGAGCTTCGAGAGTTTGAAGAAGATGTGGGCGTGCCTTGCCCCACTAATTTATGCTTATTGTCTTATTGGGCACGTTCTCTATGCTTATAATTAGTGAAGAGATCCCTTTTGCGAAAGCAGTGGAGGTGAATGCAACAGACACGAGATTTAACATTCTATAGGTGCTGAAAAATTTCATGGTCAAACGCTCTGGACCTGAATGACAGGTGAGCTGTGAGATTTGATGGGAATGATGGACGTGATGCGTGCAAAGAGAGATTGTAACGCAGTTTCTTGGGGCTTATCGAAGATGGGTTGACAGAAGGACTTGTTTTTGAATATGCTATTGTTATTACTAACCGAGACGCCTCTACAAAGCTTCAACGAGGATAAAATCCTCAGAGATTTTTCAGGCAGACTGACAACTCCAGACCATCATGTCCGTACTTTGAGCAGAGAGCAAAATGCCAAGAGATCTTATCTTATCATTTGATCTCCGCAAATGTGGCCAGTTCAAGCTCCCAGTGCAGCCGCGTCACCACGAACACTGCATCCTTCAATGCTACCTTTGTTCCAGACGGAGCCACGACCTCAATCATAATGAGGTTGCCATCGATGCTGGGCATATTTGCTGCCCTTGCTACCTCTGCTATTTCTGCAACTAATTCTTCGACTCCATTGTCAAAGCAGATTCTCCCAAGTACCTTTAAACCACCCCAGGTCTTCCAGAATGTGAACCTTGTGAGGAATGTAAACCTGGATAAAGGTTACCCTAGGGAAACAATCAATGTCGTGGTGCGTAATATTGACTCAGAGCCGCAAACTGATTACTTCATTCCGTTCGATGCGGACTTGATGTCGAGGATAGGAGGACTGGAGGTCAGGGACAAGAAGGCGGCGTCACAACCGCCATTTAAGACAGAAATAATTGCAATTGAGTCCGGAAGGTACCAATACGACCTTGTTTAGATAATGAAAACTTCTAACTATGTATAGTCAAACGGAATATGTCCTGGTCCATCTTTCAAAGCCACTCGAGCCAAAGGCTGAGATCACCTTAGGCATCACGTACACTGTTCTTTCTGCTATCTCGCCCCTACCAGAAACAATTGAGCAAATGGGCCAACAGACTCTTCTATACAAAACGTCTGCATATGCACCTTCTGCATACAGCACCTTGAAACAGAAGACGAAATTTAAGTTCCCAACCACGAACATTCCAGATTATACTGTCATTCCCAACAAAAACTCAGATGGCGGCGAAGATCCAACGAGACAGGGTAGTACATTTACGTATGGACCGTATGAGAATGTGCCGGCAAGCGCGGTGCAGGAAATCAGTATGAGGTACGAGTTTACAAAGCCTCTGATTCACGTTACATTGCTTGAGCGTGATGTTGAGGTCTCTCACTGGGGCGGAAATCTTGCAACAGAAGAACGATTCTGGCTAGGGAATCGTGCTGCTAGGCTTAAAGATCACTTTTCTCGCGTGCAATGGCAGATGACTCAATATGCCAGCCCGCCAACCACTGCGCTTAAAGAGCTGAAAATACCCCTTCACGTTGGAAGCGTGGATGCCTACTTCACGGACGATATTGGCAACGTGTCGACAAGTCGATTCAGGACTAATTCAAGAGAAGCCCTTCTTGAAGTGAAACCACGATATCCTGTCTTTGGCGGATGGAAGTACAGTTTCAGAGTTGGCTGGAATGGTGGGCTTGAGAAGTATTTGAGGAAGTCAAAGACTGGAGACAGCTATGTATTAAAGGTTCCATTCATGGAGGGTCCTAAGATGAATGAGGGTGTGGAATATGAGAGAGTTGAAGTGCGAATAATCCTGCCGGAAGGAGCTCAGTAAGGTCCCCCAAAAAAAGCGCCAAGATCGATTCGAACTAATGCTGTTACATAGGAACATCAAATTTACGACGTCTGTTCCACTTGTCAAAGAGGAAATCACGATACATAAGACGTTTATGGACACTCTTGGTCGTCCTACGCTCAAGCTTACGGCTCTGAATGTAGTTGACGAATGGCGAGACAGGGATCTCATCGTCACATATGATTATCCATGGACAGCGGGGTATCGAAAGCCACTCACTATTGCAGCTGGCTTGGGGAGCATTTTGCTTGCAGCATATCTTATCAGCAGTGTTGATACCAGAATTGGGAAAAAGCAGGCTTGATTTCCTTAGCGATATGATGATGAAAAATGTACTATCGTGCATCTAGCGTACTTTCTGGCGTTCTGGATTTCTTCTGAGAAACATGTATCAGTAAGACCCGATGTTCCAAATTTATTACAGAAGCCGGGATCAGATTCCTTTTGCCACTGGTTTCGCCGCAGATTTGCCATAGTGACACCGAGATTTTGCCAACCGAACATGCATGAATTCCCAGGCGATGGTGCTTGCCTCCCTCAATTAACGATATTTAAAGATCAACATTGCGGCTAAATACATATTGTGCCAATATGCCCATACTTAGCCATAATGTGCTGTGCATGCTGAGGGAAATGCATCTGGAAATGCCTTGGCACGACGTGATTGGCTGGAAATATATTCCCTTCTCTTCGCTTCTTGGAATCTCTTCACCTTTCCCCATACTGCTTGTTTGGAGCTTCAATTTGACATTCAATCCCATTAATCTTTTGCTTTTTACATGATCGGGAAGTAATTCGTGACTATGGCCTAACCACTATACCCGCTGTTCATCCAGGGATATGACCGAATATTCAAAATCTTTGTGTCTTCCGATAACTCTACTATTGGGATCTTACATGACGCGGCCATGAGTAGTGATCACGACCATATGCTCGAGGAAAACTCTGGGCGTACAAGAGAACAACACGTCTCGAGTCACAATCTCATTGAACCAAGTCTTGCCAATATCCCTGGGCAAGAAGCATTTTCAGTTAACATGTCACAAGCGGAGGAGCGAATTCTCGAGTTACAGCTTCAAGCAGCAGCAGCGGCAGTTGCGAATGATGAAATACCATCAAATGCTCAGCAGACAAACCATGACCATGTTTCTCGGCAACGAAGATTGGGACGAGCTTGTGATGCGTGCAGCAGACGGAAGGTTAAGTGCGGCAATGAGGTACCGTGCAAGAGTTGTGTCGACCTGGATATCGCGTGCACTTTTGTCCGGCCAGTAAAAAGGAGAGGTCCTGCGAATAAAGTTGCAGAAGAGCTGAAACGTACGCGCTATGAACTCACTGAAATGAATCAAATCCCAACTACACTCCCACCAGAATCAACCTCACCGTATTCGAGTTTGGACTCAATCGTCCCATTTGAGACGATACATCGCTTGGTTTACGACTTTTTCACGTATCTGTACCCGATCTTTCCGTTTCCGCATGAGCATCTCGTTATGGATAACCTGAGAAAGCGAGACGACGCCCAGTGCAAATCATTTAATGCTCTAATCTCATCGATGCTTGCTGCTTTTGCAACTTTGTTTCCGCGGAAAGTAAATACTGCTATTGGGCAGCTTGGGCAAGACGGACAGTCGACTACTGTCAAAGAATTCATAAGCCGGTGCATCATTTTATGTGAGCAGTCGCGGAGTCCGCTAATGAGCGAAGAGAACGTGAATGACGCCGCGACTTCCTTTTTTCTGGGCCTCGTATGTTATGTGGAAAGAAATTACCCACGAGTTGAATTGCATCTCACTGAGGCCTTGGCTATCGTACGTTTTCTTGGTGTTGAACGCAATGGTGTCCTGGCGGACGGAAACACTGCAGACTTCGTTACGATAGAGATTAGTAGGCGCATATATTGGGCAGTCGACATTTTCACTAGGTATTTAGTACGACTGAGCTTATGATTAGGGACTTATACTGATCATCCTATAGACATCTTCAACAAAGCGGGGTCATACTCGACATCATTCCACCTCGCCGGGCATCGCAACTTCCGCATCCTCCCCAAGCAACTGATGATTACTACATCTATAAGGACTGTATTCAAGACAAACCACAGGGGCAACTCTCATCGCTGGAGGGATTCAATCTAATTTCTCGTATTTACTCTCTCCAGCAACCTCTCGTCAAATTCGACCTCTCTGATGACCAAATTGGGGAAATATCCGTGCTCAAGTCAGTTCTATTCAATCTCGACATGATGATGTCGACTGGACACCCTGAATTAGCGACCCTGCCTAACCCTAAGGTTTTTCCAGTGGAGGAGGCATTTCCATCCCAGCAAGCCCGCATGCATACCCGTTGGGAGCTTCAAAAAATCTTCCTTAGATCGGCGTTGATATCAACGCGCTTCTACTTTGCAAATCGGCTGGCTGCGATCAGCTCTGAAGATGCAGAACGTGTGCATGATGCACGCGAAAAGTGCTTGCACGAGCTCGCTGAGCTGATGAGTCACGTCACAAAAACTAGTATAGAAGCTATTGCAATGCTTGTTTTACCTCATCTGCATGTGGTACTAGACTCACTTCAAAAAGACAGTGCTGTAATTGAGAGAGAGAGAGAAGAGCTGGACACAATAGTCGGAAGGTTTATAGAGTTGGCGGAGGGTTTTTAAAGAAGTGCTCAGTGTTCTTATTGTACAATGCAAATAGGAGTATGACATGATAAATGCTATCAAATTCTTTGCCACTTATTTCATGTGAGTCATGAGAATCTACTACGTTATTAACTGCTACATGTTACTAGCTGCCATTGACTGCAAGGCTGGTATCTGGCCTTGCTAATAGTTGTTCATCACGTGTCAGGGTCCGTGAAGCGAATGTCGGCTCACCAGCTCTCGACCCCAATTTGTATGCAAACAATCACATTTCTAGTGCTGAGCTTTGAAAATTGTAAGAATTCTGAAATGCCAACAAAAATTAGTCAACCTGGAGCAGCATATTCGTCCCATACAGAGTTAGACATCAGGAAGGGGAAGCGCACGATCGGAGAAGTTGCGTCGCCCCCACGACGCAAACGGAGTCGCAACGCGCTGGCATACACTGAAGTTGACAACAGCGAAGAGCATGCTGCTACACGAGTGCCGAAAGCCTCAAGGAAAACGTCGCGCACACAGTGTGGGAAAGCAGCAGAAGTTCTTGTAAAGAGGAACGCAGAGGGCCAGGTCAAGCTTCAGGAAGAGGAGACGAGTATTGCATCTGTAGCGACGCCAATTCGAGGCAAGGGAAAGAGAAGTCAAGTTAAGGACGAGGTTGCAGATAAGAAAGGCGCTGATTCAGACAGCGCCATTGTAGGCCCGACTAGACATCAGAGAAAAGCAAAGGGCGAGAGGAGAGAAGCAATGCCTCTTGCGTCGCGAACACTAGGCTCTAAGGTGCTCATCGGTGCGCATGTGAGCAGTGCAGGCGGGGTTCAGAACGCCATCCTTGAAAGCGTGAATATAGGCGGCAATGCATTGGCTCTATTTCTAAAGTCCCAGCGGAAGTGGGAGAATCCGGCTTTACGAGACGAGCAAGTCGCCGGCTTTTTGTCCCACTGCAGAGAGCATAAGTACGGGAGCCCTGATCATGCTATACCACCAATAGTTCCTCACGGTTCATATTTGGTGAATCTCGCGCATCCTGATCCCCCGCGTGCAAAGCAGGCATATGATTCCTTCTTGGACGATCTTCAACGCTGTTCGAAGTTGGGTATACGTCTGTATAACTTCCATCCTGGCAATTGCGGAGCCTCGGAGACTCGAGCGCATGCAATTGCCCATCTGGCGCAGCAGCTGAATAAGGCACACAAAGATCCATCATCAGGAGATGTAGTGACGTTGCTTGAGACAATGACCAGCTCCACGAACGTTTTGGGTGCCACGTTTGAAGATCTGGCACAAACAATTGATCTGATCGATGATAAGGAAAGGGTGGGCGTGTGCCTTGACACATGCCACGTGTTTGCCGCCGGCTATGACTTGCGAACGCCGGAAACGTTCAGAGCCGTAATGGACAAGTTTGATGAAATTGTTGGTCTGAAGTACTTGAAAGCGCTCCATATGAACGACTCGAAAGCACCTTTCAACAGTGGCCGCGACCTACACGCAAACATTGGCACAGGTTTTCTTGGCCTCCGAGCATTTCACAATATCATGAACGAGCCACGCTTATGGGGGCTGCCGATGGTGTTGGAAACGCCGATCGAGGTGAAGAATGTTAAGACTGGGAAGGAAGAAGCCGATAAGTCGATCTGGGCACGGGAGATCAAATTGCTTGAATCCTTAGTTGGCATGGACGTAGAGAGCGCAGAGTTCTTGCAGCTAGAGGCAGAACTGCATAGCCAAGGTCAAGCTGAGAGAGATAGAATCCAGGCGCAAGTAGACAAGAAGGGGGCGAAGGCAAAGCGGACAGCAACAGTATCCAAGGCAAATCCTGCGAACAAAAAGGGCAAGAAGGCCAGCACAGGGCGAAGGACTGCTGTCGACAGCGATTCGAGTTGAGATCGAAATCACAAACTAGGGCGTGCATGAACTCGAATACGTGCGAACCTGGAAACGGGCATACTTCTACGCGAATACTTCAAGTGTCGGTTCCTTTCTAGATAGGATGCCGATCCGTGAGGGGGTCACGGTACCTGTAGAAAATACGGCACACAAGACGGCGATGTTTCAGCATTCAAGCACAAGGCGCGCGTGTTTCGGCAGAGGCCTTTGGACGGGTTAGTTGAGTAGTAAAAGCTTCATAGATTAAGCTTTTTCCGTGCTGAACGGAGATGGAATCTGATGGAACCTTGTCCTGTGGTTCGACGCACGTCCTTGCCATTTGAACGACCTCATGCGACAAGCGAGACGCATTTGAAGGGCGTGCGTAAGACATCTGCGTGAATGGGACTCACGCTGGGCTTGTTGAATGAGGAGCAAGTGCAGAGCTCTGCACTGTGTGGAAAGGCAGAGCGAGAGGGGGGCTGCTCGTCACACTCTCTGTGGCACCCATGGCAGGCGCAGGGAACAGTGAGCCATGGACGCGATGGGGGAACGGAATGATTACGTAGAGGTTGTTGCTTTGGACGCGAGGTGTATTCTTGAACCTGTTCAGACAACTGAGGAGCAGGCTGGGCCATCGCAGTCCGTCCAAGAAACGTGGGTGGCGTATTGGCGGTGGTGGAGCTGGAGACGGAGAACAAACCTCCACAGACCCGAACCGCTGTCACGATAGGAACACCTTTGGGCAGGCTCGGGCATGGCGTCGTCCGCGCATAGGTGGAAAAGCCAGGAAAGCTGCACGCTCGCCGGGTTCTGTGCAGGGTAGCAGGCGCCAAAAACCGGGCCCCAGTGTCTTCGAGCGTGGCAGACAAAACTTGATTGTTGTCTCTCTTAGCTGAAAGTGTATGCGGAGTCGGCGGCCCAGACCAGCGGCAGCACGTCCGCCGACAGAACCTCCGTCGCACCACCGGTCGCCTCGTGCGTGTGCGAGGCGAAGACGACGTCGCAGAGAGTGCGTGGGGAGCGGCTGGCGAGACGCCGGCCGCGCTGCTCAAGTTCGCAGAGCTTTGCTGTCGTGTATTGCGCCGGCGCTGGCCCACTGACGATGATGTCGGAGGCGTCTCCTGTGGCCACGCTCAGGCGGACGCTGCACGACGTCGTCGCCGCGTTCTTCCCTGCACGACGCCGCGGCTGTCGAAAGTTCGGTCGATGGAGAGCAGAATCGCCCGTCCCGAGCGTCGCGTTGCTGTGCTGGGCCGGCGCTGCACTGGTCCAAGGCCACCTTGGCTGGCACAAGCCAGCGGCAGCCGTGAACTCTGTGCCCGCTTCCCCCCCACAAGCGTGGGAGCGCCGTTGGCTGTCTTTCTGGTGCGCTGGGCACTTGCTTGTGCACTGACTTTGCTATGAAGTCATCCGTGAGCATCGAACATTCGACCAACAAAGCGCAACGCCATTTTTTCCCCATCGCCGCCAACGCTCGTTTCACCACACGATCACGCAGCCTCGTCCCATCTCTCACCCGTCACGCTCCTTATCCCCCGCCCTTTCACCGTAGCATACCGTTGTCGTTGTTGGTCTCGTTGCTGCTCTGCCACCGCCCGCGACACCCAAGCACACATGGCGGGGCAAGATGAAGCGCCGCAGCGCGAGGGCAAGCTCCTGTTGGTCTCCAACCGCTTGCCGATTACGATCAAGAAGACTGACGAGCCTGGTAAGTTTGAGACCAGCATGTCGTCTGGTGGCTTGGTGAGCGGCCTCAGCGGCATGACGAAAACCACTACCTTTCAATGGTACGGCTGGCCAGGCCTGGAGATCCCCGAGGACCAAGTCGACTCGCTCAAGAAGCAGCTGAAGGAGGAGTACAACGCCATACCCATCATGCTGGACGACGAGCTTGCCGATAGGCACTACAATGGCATGGCGAGTAAGTTTCTGCCGACCTGATCTCGCGTTCGTACATGGCTTACGCCACTTCTAGACGAGATTTTGTGGCCTCTCTTTCACTATCATCCGGGCGAGATTACCTTTGACGAGAGTGCGTGGGACGCCTACACAACCGCAAACCGTATATTTGCAAAGGAAGTCATCAAGGATGTGGAAGACGGCGACATCGTCTGGGTCCACGATTATCACCTCATGCTGCTTCCGGCCATGATCCGTGAAGAACTCGGAAACGAAAAGCCGAACATCAAGATAGCGTTCTTCCTGCACACACCGTTCCCAAGCAGTGAGATTTACCGCATCCTACCTGTGCGCAACGAGATACTCCTTGGTCTGCTGCAGTGCGACCTCATCGGCTTTCACACCTACGACTATGCTAGGCACTTTCTAAGCAGCTGCTCCAGAATACTCGGCCTTCCCACTACCCCCAACGGCGTCGAATACTCGGGCAAGTTCGTGACTGTCGGCGCATATCCAATTGGCATCGACCCAGAAAAGTTCTCGGAAGGCTTGAAGAAGCCAAAGGTGCAGGAGCGCATTGCCGCCTTGGAGAGGAAGTTTCAAGGCGTAAAGCTCATTGTTGGCGTGGATCGCTTGGACTACATCAAGGGTGTTCCTCAAAAACTGCATGCGTTGGAGGTGTTCTTGACCGAACATCCTGAATGGGTTGGCAAAGTCGTGCTTGTGCAGGTAGCCGTACCCAGTCGAGGTGACGTTGAGGAGTACCAGAACTTGCGAGCTACCGTCAACGAGCTTGTTGGGCGCATAAATGGCAAATTTGGTATGTCGGACCCCCTTTCTCTTATCGTATAGACGGACTCTAACGGAGCGAAAGGCACCGTCGAGTTCATGCCAATCCATTGGATGCACAAGTCGATACCGTTTGACGAAATGGTTGCTCTGTACGCAGCCTCTGACGTGTGTCTCGTCTCCTCCACACGCGACGGCATGAACCTGGTGTCTTACGAATACATTGCCAGCCAAGAAAAGAAACACGGTGTCCTGATTCTATCCGAGTTTACGGGTGCTGCGCAAAGCCTCACACGAAGCTTGATTGTCAATCCTTGGAATACGGAGGAGCTTGCGGATGCAATCCACGATGCTGTGACCATGGGTGAGGAACAGCGAAAGAGTAACTACGAGTTCCTCCGCGACTACATCAACAAATACACCAGGTATGTCAGATTTACAATCCACTCATAGGGAAATTTTGTTAACGACTTTCAGCTCTTGGTGGGGTAAAACGTTCGTGGATTCACTAAAGGATGTTTGCAAGGCGAGAGACGCGCGCAACGCAAGCCCTCAGGGACCTGTGTATACCATCGAATCACCGAGAGTCGAGACGAGCAAGTCGGTCTCTTTCCAGCTTGACAATGGCCAAGATAGTAGCAAGTCTCAGCAACATCAAGAATTTATGAAGAAACAGGCTGCTGCTATCGCAGCGAAAGACCTGCCTGCCACTCCTACCCCTGGCACTCCAGTTCAGCGAGGCGAGCTCATTGGAGCGGATGGTAAACCTTTGCCAGATCGAACTATATCACCAGCTCATGCGGGTGGAGAGGATACGAGGTTGAGTGGAAATGGTGAACAGGCGCAAAAAATCGAGAGTAATGGAACGCCAATTGCTCCACAAAAGTCGAAGTCTATGTGATGCAACGAGAAAAGTGGTCACACGGCCAAGATCATGTAAAACAAGGGATGGCCATGTATTCCCTCGGATAAGACTGGTATTTCTTTAATTCCTTTTTTTTTTTTCTCTCTCAGCGGCGCAATGAGACTGGATTTGAGAAGGCCGGGACCTAGAAGGCCTCTGTAGCGATTCGTGCTGACGATATCCTACCTAACTTGAACGGCTTGCGTGGAGTTTTAAGGAATCGCATCACAACATGATAGACGAATTAAATCATACCTGTATGTGGATCCCAAAGCCATTTACCTTCAAGTTTGCAGCTCCATGGGCTCCGAAAGTCTATTCACGTGTATGATCATAACGTGATCGCCTGAGGCAAGCAGATTTCCTACTTAGGTAATCCCAAAAAATGTCCGCAACCTGCAGGAGCTGTCAAAGCATCGTCACCCCGTCAACACTTCCAACCACTTCTTGTTGGCATCATTCACTCATTGAGCCAGTTCCAAGATGGCCAGTATGGAGCCGAGGCGTCACATCACCGGTGTCGTGGTGTCGGCGGGAAAGATGATCAAGACGGTCAAAGTGCGCGTTCCGAAGCAAGTCTGGAACAAGCGCCTGCAAAAAGTGACGATCACCAAATCATTCGTACATGAAAAGGACGGCTTGAGACTGATTTAACAACTCTAGTATTACTCCGAACCTCAGACACTGCTCGTCTCCGATCCTACAAACTCCACCCGTGAAGGCGACGTCGTTACGCTCGAGGGTGGCCGCCGTATAAGTAAGCATGTGCGCCATGTCGTTGCTGGAATAATTGCGCCAATGGGGGTGCCTCTGAGCGAAAGGGCGCATATACCATCAGCTGCCGAGCGATTGGCTGCTGTAGAAGCCAAGAGGGTGGCGAAAGACCTCAGGCAGGCTGCACGAGGGCGATGGCCTGCTCTTGTTCGGGTCAGAGAACGGGAGGCGAGGCAAGCAGCCAGCCTCTCGCTGGAAGAGGCAGCATCATCGATGACTTTGGACTCCTTCGTCAAGATGTACAGAAAAAAGAAACCCGAGGAAGGGGCAGCAGAGTCGTTGGTTCTGGACTTTTTATGTCTTGCCAAGTATAAAGTCTTGCAAGGCGAGGTCCCTTTGCATGCACAAGTTGCCGCGTTAGCAGAAGTTAAGGGCAAGTTAGTCAGGGAGCGGGCCAAGCTGGAAGAGCAGCTGAATGCAGGCATTTTCAAGCGGACGGGCAGAGACATCACGCTCTCTGAGCGGGAAGAAATGTCGAAGCAGAAGTTGCAGCTGTGGCAGCAGATACATCAGATTGAAAGAAGTATATCGCATTTCAACAGCTATGTGAAGGAGGTCAATCCAAAGAATGAGACGAGGAGGCAGGAGCTGAAGAATAATCCGATCGAGTGGTACGATCTGGTCATGATATTGAACATGACTCACTGGGAGCAGAACATCGCTGCGCTTGATTTGTGGGGCAGAGCGATGCTAGAAGAGGCTGCGAAAAGAGATGTTGGTGATATTTCGCGGAGAGCTGGCCTTGCACGTGCAGACTCGAAAAACCTCCGCGGAGCTACATTGCACGAGTCGAACGGTGAGGATCATGCTCTGGCAGCTGCTACGGAAAGTCTTGGACTTGAATCAAAGTTGCAAGACAAGGCCGTCGGGGAATCAAACACAACAGAGCAACCGGAACCGATCGTCAACACGCCTGAGCTTGAAGTCGAAACAAGGCATCAAGAAATGCAATCCGATTTCACCAGCGAAGAGGGACTGTCTCCAAGTGTTGGAGAACCACATGTCGAACACACAATGGAACAGAAGGAAGAAGTTGCTAGGAACCTGCAAGAAGACATTGAAAAGCCATCGGAAGCTGAAGCTCATGTTGAACAGCAACCAGCAGAAGCCGAACAGGAGAAAGAAGAAAGGAAGTCTGGCGGTTTCTGGAACCTATTCAGGAGGAAGTAGAACGGGTCATAAGCAACCGTTGTGTACATTATGTGTAAGATAGCTTGCATGGGGAACGGTAAGCATGTTTTCTCATAGATTGAACTCCTCTAGAATTGTTGCACAGCAGTATTCAGTATATAAAGTTCACCGTAGGTTTAGGGAAGCATTGAAGAGCCTGGAATTGAAAGGCCGAAACTGACTCTCACCTTTCTTTGCAATAATCATGTCGTGTACATTGATCCACAAAGGCTACAGTATTCACAACCGCAAGGACGATGCTCGCTTGGCCAGGACATGTTGACTCTCCTTCACTTTTCAAACAAATTGACAGGAAAGGGAAGATGGACACAAACAAATCGAAATGTCCTAAACCCAGACTGTCGTACACAAGGCCAATCAGACAGGCGGGAAGAACTAATCGACATGAATCAGCGGCTTTTTATAGCCAATTTTGTCGGCTGCAGTTTGCGCATGGGCTTGACAGAAAATTGGCAGCCTTGGCGATCGCCTCTAAGCAAGGTTGAGCCTCTTCAAGCCCGACGCCATAGGCTGTTTCGACTGCAGAATGGCTGAAATACGATGCTTGGCCTTTTTCGAAGATGATAATTCCGTTTCATGACGCAGCCACAATTGCAGGTTTTGGGGTCGGATGCGATTTCGACGCACAACTACGTAAATTGTGCACGACGCACGTAATAGTTTGCGATGCTGCTCTCGCAATTGTTTTTCTCGTGAAGAGGATCGGTCGAAATCAAAGCGAGTCTCGGAAACCCGATGACTTTGATGGCCTGTTTGTTCAGTCCTTGCTTTCGAAGAATCAAAAGATAGACATGGCCCGTCCTTATGTCAAGGTTTGGCTATTTGGATTGCTGCAAGTCCTCTCAATCGTCTTAGCCGATCCATCGCCTAAGGGCGGAAAAGGAGGGGGAGACAGTGACAGCAGCAGCTCCTCTGGAGACGATAGTGGCAGCTCAAGCGGCGGCAGCGGCTCTCACACTGGCACACAGCACGTACTGGTTTCCGGAGACAAGTGGCCGTATCGTTGGCCAGGAAGCTACTACAATGGGAGCATGGTCAGGACTGCTCTCTCAGATTCTTGGATGATGTACTGACGGGAAGTAAAGACTCTAGAAGTATCTATTGAATACTGGCCAGGTTGCTCGGAAGGCCAGCGCGGCAATATCCGCACGAATATGGACGGCATACTTCTTCTTGGACCCGCCAACCAAACGGGGACCTTTGACGTTGTGGATCCAAATTTTGTGATCATGGGATGGGATGCGGGCATTACACCGACGAACAATTGGACTGATGGTGAATACTGGGGTAACGGGGGACCGGGTCTGACTCGCTGGTTCAGTACAGATGTCAAACTCATGTTGAGCCGCTACGTCGAGATATGGCAGGATTCATCCAGTACCAGTCGACCATATGACCTAGGCTGGACTGTCGATTCCAGCAACTCAGGAAATGAGACGAACGAGTGGCACATCAACGGCACGTTTAGCGGAGTGAGTGTTCGCGTGGCCGGGATGGATAGGCAAGTGCTTACCTGGAATAGACGTCGACCACATTCAGCCCACGCGATAACTCAGAGGACAACTGGATGCAGGTCACCACATTTTTGTGCAACAATAAAACCACAGTCGATGTCCTCAACATGCAACCATGGACTCACTCAAACGCTTTGAAAGACTGGCCCTCGACTCGAAACACGACTTTTGAGGGCACCTTTTCGGACAGCGGAGCATCGATCACGTGGAGTGGGAACTACTGGGCAGGTTTCAGTAGCATCGACTACGGTGTCCCCTTCGAGAAGACGTCCTATCCACAAGGGTATTTCACGTTTACTTTCGACGGTAAGCTAGACGTCTCAGAAAGCGACATCTTGATTGCAAGGAATGAATCACTCTCCGGGTACTACAATTCGGCTGGTGACCCAGATTGGGTCAAGAAATACGACAGAGATCTAAACGCTCCGGACAGGACAATCTACTATGGGAAGGGAGACCGCAAAAGCCCTCCTGTTCGATTTGTTGTAGGAGTTGCTCTTGTTACAGGAACAGTTATGTTTCTGATGTCATAGCTATCTATCGCACATGTGAAGAAGTGACTCGGATCTACCTAAAACTGTTGCTCTTTATATTGATTGGGACTGACAATAATTGGCAGCTCCCCTGCAACGGCTACAGGAGCCGTCCTTAGACGCCTGCGCCGACGATCGATCTATTCAGGTCGTCAAAAGCCGGTTGCTTCTAATGATTAGCGATTCAATCACGATGATGTCTTTGAGTCAATGATCTTGTGCCACGCATACGTCCAGTCATTCAGTGCCCCCCAGATTACAGTCATTTTCGCTCACAAATAGTAGAATCTCGTGGGCGTCCACTCTTAATTACATATTCTGTCCTGCTGCTTCCTGACTCAAGTATCTCTCGCTAAGTAATCAGAGTTGCGGGGGAAAAAAAGACCATTGTCGCGGATACAGTAAAGGCCGTCGAAAATGTGTACGCAAGACACATTCGTCTACAACTGCGGCCACTCTGTCGAAGGGCCAGATATTGATCGTTGCAGGAAAGCCACCCAGAATAATCTACCTCGATGTAGCGATTTGATTGAGCAAGAGCTCCAATTTCCCGATCCATGCCCAGACTGCGACGCAGATCGGCGGTTCAATGCGGAAGTCGAAACTGCGTTGCAGCAGTCTACGCGCGAGTACGGACGTGAGCGGCGCTCGACAGGGGTTCTCCGTGGTAAGGACGAAGAGGAAGATCTCTGCAAGCGGATCGGGGACATGACATTTGAGGAGATGAGAAAACGGCGAGAGCTGGAGGAGGCCGAGCTGATGGAGAAAGTTCTTTACCGGAGCAGGGTCGAGTTTGAGCAAGCCCGGGACACGTCCGGTGCTCGGTGGCGACGGTGCACGTTTCCTGTCAGAGATGATAGTTCGCCCGCCAGAGAGGCTCCGTCGAGCGCGGGACGGACGGTCCTGCCACCATCTAGAACACAAGGCCAAGTGGGTGGTGACTCCTGGTCGACTTCTTCGAGGAGATGGCCACATCAGACCTCCCAAGGCGCCCCGAGAGCGGAAGAAGAGCTAGAGACATCCGCTCGTATCCCAGCCTTGGGTCCTAGGATAATAGCTGCCGCATCGTTCACAGCACCGAGCAAAGGTTCTGAAGAGGATGAATATGGAGAAGGCGAACCGGTGGACAAGAAAGATGAAGACGAAGAAGATGATGGTGATAAAGGGAGAGAGGAGAGGAAGAAAGGCGAAGACGGTGCCAGACCTGCTAATATAGAAGCTTTGCGAGCTAGACGCTTGGCCGCGTTCAATACAATATAGCGGTCGTACGTAGAAGTGGTACGCTTCATTTGGGACCATTTCAAATTTCACAACAAGAAAACCATATTTGGACTAAACCTTTATTCTTTCCAGCCTCTGTCAACGTCTGGAGGTAAGTAGCGCTTAGGAAAACTTCGTCGCTTGAACTTCTGTAGGACTGGGCGTTAGAAAATCTGAATCCGGAGCAGTGCCTACTCTGTTGCAATAATAAGACCGTATGGATCTCTGTCCCTTTCGCTTGTCTCAATCGAAACCGATTCATCGTCCAGAATATCCATGAATTCCTTGGGCGTATGCAGCATCTCTTTGCCTTCTCTTCTTACTGCTGTCCACTCTTCCTTCACTTTGTTCATCAACTGATTCCTCAACACGGTGTGAAGGAATCCTCGTTCCGTATTGGAATGGAACAATGTTATGACGCACTGGCCTCTCTCGATTGCGGCGAGGGCATCGTGGTGGGCAAGTTCGCCAGTAAAGAGCAGGTCAATGTCATCTAATCCAGAGAAGAGAGAACCGCCACTTCCAGCACAGATAGCAGCACTTCGAATTGTGATATCTTTGACGCTTTTCCCTTGAGGTATGGCAATAGGAAAGCCCTTTGGATTGCCTACTCCTCTTGCTATGCGATGTATGATTGTGCTGAGCTGTTGAGGTTGATTGAATCGTACAATGCGTCCCATTCCTGCGTCCGGGATGTCCGGTAGATTGCTTGGCTTAATGACACTTCGAGTATGAGCAGCGGCGCCTAGACTCAGATCCGCGTCTTTGATTTTGCGTTGTGAAGGATGGTGCTGTAGCATGTACGTGGGACGTTTTCCGTCCACGAATGGATCTGATTCTTCTGTTTCTGCCGTCTCGTCCTTGACCTCGCTTGGCTCCTCATCATTTGGTCCGCCTCGAGCCGTACCGGTGATGATATCTGCGAGCCAGTCACCTAGACCACCCGGTGCAGCGTCAAATGCCGTATGAGGACTGTATACCTGGACATACGTTAGTCTCTCCACACGCACGAACACGCATGTCCTACACTGATTCCTTCTGCAGCCAATCGAAGTAATGATGTTTGTTGGCTATCATTCAAAGTGATAGCTTTTAAGCCTCTGAATATAATGGGATCTACGCTTTCAGCTTCTCTCGAGCCACAGTCGGTTATGCATTGTTAAGAGACATACGGTATGCGACAATGATCGAGTCTTTTCGCTCGATAGCCTCATCGACGACGGCTTTGGTGAGGTCAACCGCGAGGAGCACCGAGTTCTTTTGTCTGCGCTGGGGATTGAATGGTGCCTCAAGGAGTACTGAGCATATTCGTTAGCGGCGTCGTGCCTGATTTAGGGTTTCTTACAGCCTGTATTATCCCAACTTTTGTCCGCAAGATGCTCTGGATAGCTGTCTCGCGAAATCAGTTATGACTATGCCAGTAAGGAATGAAGAGCATTCCTACAGCTTGCGCATGGCAGATATGACTGCCCTGGAGAAGGGCGAACATGTGGTATTCATTTTTATCGCTCGTCGTAACGTTGGAACAAACATGTGCGTTCGTGACTTGTATAAAACGGACGAGAATGTTTACACGCGCTCAAATGACGTCTTCCCGGCCTTAGCGCCAAAAGTTTTGGCGCCAGCCTTGTTTCCAGCCTGTGATATCTGCTAACGCCCATTTGTTATTTTCTTTGCTTTCATTTACTTGTGCTGCATTAGGACGCCTGAGAGATCATTTCCCCTCCACAACGTGAGTATGTGTCAGAAGTGCAGTACTATCTTGAACTACGTCTTGTCAGGTTTTTTTTACGTAGATGGCACTTCACTCTCAAGTCTTATTTTATTCTAAGCCACAAAAACAAGCCATTCGCGAGCGCTCAAACCCGTCAGCGAGACACAATTGAGAAGATCGATAAATGTTTTGGATCAAGAGACTACTCTCAGCTACTTCACAGCAGGAGTGATTTAAGCCTGCTGCATTGCCCAACCTGACAAAGGAGACCGTCTTGGGCCTGTACATCTTAACATCTCTCTAAAAGCTACTCTCACAGCCCTACGTCATTGGATCAGTCGCACCGAGCAGGTTTGGTGATTGACGAAGACTTGGAGGTGAGTTCACAAGCTGGATTGTTCTTTAGCATACTCTTGGCAAGGCGTCCTCATACATGTTGTGGGTATCCCGCATCCGTAAGTCCTGTACCAAGTAAACGCAATCTTGGCCTCAATTCCAAATCCTTTCATCTTCTAGCATTTTGCAGTGATTAATTTATGATGAATTAGCCCGTTGTTCTGGGTTAAGTCCGGAATACTTCAGGTTCTGGAGTCAGTATTCACCAACAGCGTTGAAGATGATCTTGTTTCACTCAAGATGATTTCGGCCTGCAAAAAATTGCCTCGTTCCATCGAGAGCATTGTGCTCAGTCTCCTCATCGAATTGTCCGACATCCTGGTCGGAGAAATGTTATAGTCGAGGGTGCGAAGCAGCCGTCTACTTCAAACGCAAGCCACAGCCGGTGCTGTTCCTCATTTCGAATTGAAACCCAGAAAAGCGCCCATCTTGCATGGGGCAAACCACCCTTCGAATCAGATTTCGAACCCACTTGCTTCATCGTCAATTCTAGATGTTTGTTTCAAGCCGATCTGAGGATGAAATTCTACTGGCGGAAAGGTTTTGATTGTCAAGGTGATTAGCTGATGTGGCCCTACCATGACGACGTTTCACTTAGATATTATCGACAACATATGGGCATGCTTACCTCCTGCCACGGAATAATTTTTACGCGACTCCATGTAGGCCAAGCTGAGCATCGAGCATTCAGGAATATCGGAGATGAGCGGAGCAAGGTCTGTGATTCTCATGTATGGTACAAGACCTCGCCGTCTCTTCGATTTTTGCACGGAATTCAGTCGCCCAGCTTTCTTTCTAGTCACTCACTAGCGCGATACATTGATAATAATGTTACCTTCATCTCTCGTGGCTCTTGTAGCTACAATTTACTTTCCTACACTCGTTTTCTGCCAGCTGTCGGGGTCCGTTGGGCCACTTACCACAATCGCGACTAAAGCCGCGAAGAAGACTTGCAACGTTCTAGATTATGGCGCGAAAGCAGATAAAGCTACTGACCTAGGCCCACCTCTGGCCTCAGCCTTCGCTGCATGCAAAACTGGAGGTGTTGTTGTTATTCCAGAAGGCGAATATGTGATGGCTACTTGGGTAACGCTCAACGGTGGATCTGCTTGGGCACTTCAATTTGACGGAACCGTTTATCGGACTGGGACAGCAGGAGGCAACATGATTTTCATCGAGCACACGAGTGACTTCGAGCTCTTTAGCAGCACGTCTAAGGGCGCATTTCAAGGAAACGGGTACATCTTTCATCAACAGGGCTCAATCACCGGACCTCGAATCTTGCGTTTATACGACGTGAAGAACTTCTCTGTCCATGACCTTGCGCTAGTAGACTCGCCATCCTTTCATTTCTCTATGGACACCTGTGCCAACGGTGAGGTATACAATATGGCCATTCGTGGTGGTAATTCCGGTGGATTGGATGGCATTGATGTCTGGAGCACGAATATGTGGATTCACGATGTCAGCTCCCTATTGAATAAGGACTTCGGCTTTTTTTTGTTAACGAAGAACTAGATCGAGGTCACGAACAAAGACGAATGCGTGACTGTTAAAAGTCCAGCAAAAAATATCCTCATCGAGAACATCTATTGCAATCGGAGCGGCGGTTGTGCCCTCGGCTCCTTGGGTGCAAATACCAACATCTCCGATATCACTTACCGCAACGTTTACACTTGGTCCTCTAACCAAATGCTGGTATGAGAGTTTCTCACGATGATGGTTAAAATACTGACGTGCCGGGTCGAGTAGATGATCAAATCAAATGGCGGCAGTGGGTCGGTTGAAAACGTGTTGTTTGAGAACTTCATTGGCCATGGAAATGCCTATTCTCTTGACATTGATCAGTATTGGTCTAGCATGTCTACCGTTGCTGGAAACGGCGTACAGCTGAATAACATAACCTTTAAGGTATGCAGAAAGGATTCTCAACTTGAAAGAGCATTTGTGGTTAATCACACAAGCAGAACTGGAAGGGCACAGAAGCCAACGGCGCTCAGCGAGGACCAATCAAGGTTGCCTGTGCTGATGGGGCCCCATGCACAGATATTACGATCGAGGATTTCGCGATGTGGACAGAGACAGGTTCAAAACAATTTTATTCTTGCAGAAGCGGATATGGATCAGGGTTCTGTCTCAAATCGGGCACAGGAGCATCTTATGCAGCAACAACGACAACGGTAACCGTTCCACCATCAGGGTATTCTGCGCCTACAATGGCTGCCGATCTTGCCAGCGACTTTGGTACAACATTGTCCATCCCAATACCTACCATCCCGACCTCATTCTACCCAGGGGTAACGCCTGTGAGCAAGCTTGCCAGCGCCGCTTCGACTAAGGCTGCTGTTCGCTTTGCGGCTTGAATCAGTCTTAAGATTTCTGAATTCTCATAAGATGCCATTTGAGCTGCCCTAAAACCGAATCTCAAATAAAAGAGTCTCGGAACTATATCACTGTATATATCTATAAATTCATATAGCCAGGTCTTTGCAATACGGCATCAAAGGCATCGAATTGCGGCTTTCTAGCTTTCTAATCACTGCCATGACTTTAAACCCTTGGACTTGGGAAAGCTTACGTGTAATGGGTGGTCACCAAAAATTCCACCTGACTGCTCATCGTACGTCGCTATGATTTCTCGAGAACTAATTCACCATGACTTTCTTGATTCTCGTAAAACCACACTCGTTATAACGAATCAAACATGAATACGGGTAAGTTATGGTACGGAAGAAGCGCAGCGGTGCGTATAAACTTCTGTCGTAACGCATATTAAAAATTTCTCGACACCAAGATGCCTGTGGATATTGCAGAGTCTTTTCAGATGGTCAATGTAAAGTGGCATTGTGCGTAAGTCAGATTCTCTTGCTGAATCTACCAATGCACACGCGTCTAGTTAATAATTTTTAGAGGCCACGCCGTCAACGCCGATCTTATGCCAATGTCTTTTCGAAATCTTCCCGGAATCCTCAAGTCTGCGACGGGTGCACGTCAGTCCTGCATCCTGTCATGAATAGAATGCCTTCACCGAGCCGCAGTTGATCGAAGCTGTTTATTCCCATGCCGAATACATGTACGCGCTGACGAAGAATACGATGTTCAGGTTGCATAATTTGTCTCATTTCAATCACATCGTATTCGTATGGCTCTTATCGTATCCAAATGTTTTCAGCGCAACCCTTGATCAGCGATAGGGCAAGGAGCTTTAGTTCTGGTGTCCATATGTCTCTAATGAAAGATTAAGTGAGAATAAATCAGCGAGATGTCAGGCTGACAAGTATCGGTTGGCCAGATTTTGATCTTCTCAACCTTCCTACGACTCGAATTTAGAACTACGGTCTGAGCAGCTTTTCCGGCTTTGAAACCTCTCTCGCCTGATGCCCAATTTTGGCTCATTCTTCGACGTTGGTCTCGTCCGATCAAGTCAAATCTAATGAAATATTTTGTGGTGAATGATTGCGGATCAGAAGCTGCCGCTTAGCCTATATAATGCGAAAATTTACCCAGGCCTTAGGATGACTCCCTACTTTGCAACAATTATCGCCTAAGTATCCGGATGGTCGTGCAGTTCAGCGGCTCAACGCAGAATCCCATAGTTCATCGTTCAGTGGCCATGTCGTCACCATCGGTAGCCTTGAGGAATAATTCAAAATACAATGATGATGCGAAGTCTCATTTGGTACAAGTTTTAATCCTTGTAATTGGGCGCGTCTTCTAGCCAGGGCGATTGCACTTTCACCTGTGGAGTTCTACTATAACGCCACGAGTTCTCAAATAATTCGCAGTAAGAGTCGTATCCTGTGAGCTAGTTCTAATGCAAGCATGATACATGAAAATCTACTACCTTGATCAGTGCTCATAGTCCTTCATGGAGTGACTTTATGCACGACTTAGAGTTTCTTCATAATACCGAAAGTTGTCAACCATCCAGGGTCATATTGTATGACAATCGTGAGCGCGAAGATTGGTGGAATTTATTCTTTCAAGAAAGCCGGCCATTTCATGCTGTGGCTATGTTACGCTCTCGATCTTATACAAGGGCCGATGATTAGTGACCGTCGGTCGAGGATAGCTTATCGTGCGAATAGGTATGTGAAGACCGGAAGTGACCCCGCACTTGATTCCGCCGTAAGGTTCAGAGTTCGAACAGCTTTGATTATTTATAGAACTTGTGTGAGGACTTATTTGCATACTTTTTCTGATCAACGTGCAACATTACGTTAAAGTGAAGACTCGGCAGCTAAAGAAAATAGATATCTAAGTCCTCCAACGATCCGTGGTATATAGCACTATTTCTCTTCAAATTTTTTCAACCGAAATCTTAATGTTTGTAATCCATGATTGAGGAAGAATGTCAACCACAGTAAGACGTGTATGCCTGGACATACACCAAGAATTTTCTTGCTTAAATGGTCTTACTTTGTGGAAAGTGGTGTGCAATGTCGTATCAAAGATTTTTTGGATCTGACTCGGCATCAGCTTCATGACCAAGATTCTCTGCAGCTGCCTTGACTTTGCTGGAACCCGGTCTAGAAACTCCGTTGAAGGGCAAACAAAGCGAAAACAAGTAGAGTCTCCTTGTCCTGAAAAGGCAAGTTCTAGAGATCCGCTGATGTCAGCTCAGGATAAATAAGTTAACGAAGTTGTTAAGTCTAATCTTCAGCTGCGTTAGTCACGACGATCTTCGTACTTCGTATTCATGCTCGGCATTAAGGCCATCCAGAACTCGTATAAGTACCGTAATCGGCCCCAGACTTCCACTTAAAAGGCTCTTCAATTCGTAGAATCGCCTTGACTTTCGCTCTTTCTTTCGTTCTGAAAAAAGCACTTCAATTTATATAGTCTGTTCCGTTATACTTGTGAGCCATAAATCACTTGCTGTCACACTATTGGTCTTTGGACTTTGAATTTCGTGCGCGATGGAAACTAAGGTTGTGCCAATTGTTCCTCTTGGTGAAGTTTTCCATGGCATTGCGGCGCCCAACGACACGAAACCTGCTCATCACACCATAACTGTGCACTTGCCAACATGGAACTTGATGCTCGAATTTGTAAAGAAAGACCCGGCTTTTTTCGCCAAGTTCGTAGATTTCTATCCACGGTTCATACCTCATAGGGATATCAAGCAGGTACGTCTCCAAGTTCTATCCCTTGATACCGCCAAAAAGCTCACGAGCCGAAGCTCGTCGGTTTAATATTGAATTTCATCAAAACGGAAAACACTATGGGATTACCTTATCCAAGTCTGAAGGTTGCGAAAAAAAGTGTCGAGTTTGTAACCGCAAACCCCAGAACAGATAATGTGGATTCAGTGCCAAAGGAAGAAATATCAATTAGAGCATTCGAAATGAACGGCTTACGGATGTATGTAGTGCTTTTCCCTCTACCCAGGCAGCCACTAGTGCTTCCATGGTGGCAAAACACGGGCACTGGAATTTCCTCTCGCTTTGCAGAAGATGCACTCGAAGATCCATCATCCCTGAAAGAAGTCGACCCTGAAAGCCCAAGGTTGCAGTGGAATCAAGAACCAATTCAAGCTTTGACTAAGCGAATTGTCGATCTGATTGAACGTGAACCGATAGTTGGTCCATTGAGAAAGACAAAAGTTCAACCCAGCGACGTGTATCTATATACAAGCGGAATGACTGCTATATGGGCTGTTCATGATTGCCTACTTCAATGGAAGTATAACAAATGCCCGACAGTCTTGTTTGGACTTGCATTTCACCAAACAATTCACATTTTCGAGCATTTTGGACCTGAAATCAAGAACCTTCCTCTAGCAACAGAGTATGACGAGCTCGAACAGTATCTAACAATGCAAGCTGAGAAGGGAAGGCCTGTCCAGGCTGTTTGGGTAGAATTCCCGAGCAATCCAATCCTTGTTTCCGCAGATCTGTGGAAGCTGCGATCTATATGCGACAAGCATAAAGCTGTTCTTGTGGTGGACGAGACGATCTCCGGGTTTTGCAATGTTGACGTCGTCCCGGTTGCGGACGTGATTGTCACTTCTCTCACAAAGACTTTTAACGGATACGCAGACGCTATAGCCGGAAGCGCAGTGTTAAACCCAAACTCTAGCTTTTATGCCGAACTCAAACCAATTTTTGACGAAATCTATGGCAATGACCTATACGCGCGCGATGCACAGATTATACTCGACAACAACCAAGACTACTTCCCTCGCTCCACAACATACAATAACAACGCTGCTATGCTTGCTGATTACTTTTACGAGGAGTCCAAAGATCCAAACTCTCCAGTGGCCAAAGTCTACTATCCGAGTGTAAGCCCCACCAAAGCTAACTATGATGCCTTCATGCGCCCAGCAACCAAAGACTTTAAGCCTGGTTACGGATGTCTTCTTTCGGTGGAATTTGATTGCGAAGAAACGACGATCGCCTTCTACGACAACCTCAAGGTGAATGATGGCCCGCATCTTGGTGCGCATAGGACACTGGCTCTACCATACGTTCGGGCCCTGTATGAAGACCACTTGGAAGAAGTCGCGTCAATGGGATTGAAAAAAGAGCAAATAAGAATTAGCGCGGGTCTCGAACCTGCAGATGAGTTGTTGGAAACATTCAAATTTGCCGTGAAGAGGGCCAGTGAGGTCAGGTCAAAGCGAGATTAAGCAGCTTCGAAGGAACAGATGTTATATATTAATACAGAGGATCTACAGAAGTATTGCCCATTTTGTCTCGTACATGTCGCTCTTTGAAATGCCAATCAAGTATTGACTCTGATTGGGTGCGCTTCAGTATTAAAAACATACGCATTCGTGCCGTTACCTCCAAAGTTAACTTGCCACGGTCCGTCTTCTGCAAATATGAGATATGCATATTTGAGCACTTCCGCGAATAGAAAACTCTCTTGGAAGTCTCCGTACTGAATCTGGGCACCATTGACGCCTTTGAACGAGGAAAACCCGCTGCCGACGCGGGCGGTGCTATTTATGGCTACGAATGCGTCCCAGGCCCAGTCTTGATACTTTGTATCACCGGTGATGCGATATGCATAATAGTACGACTCTAGTACTTCAGGGCGCAGATCATAACTGTCTGTAGTTATGTAAAACCCAGACTTGGCATAAAATTGGGCCTGTGCAGTCGCTGAAGCTGGAAGGCTGCAACTTGCGGGACTTGGAGTACTGTTTGAAGTTGCTGACAGCACTGCAATTGGGCTAGTTGAAGGTACCGTCGAGTCTTGCCCCCGAACCAATCCGCTGGAGTCTTCGAAGTCTTTGTCATGCAACTGCTGTGAATTAGTTACCTGGCGGCGTTGAACCGTTTGGTTGGAAGCGCATGATTCAGGAAGCCAACTAAAGTTTTCTGGACCAATACCCGTGGCATCTTCAACGTAAGTTTCATGCCATGCAGCAGTGAATTGGAGACCAGCATCGATATAGTCCTGCCTTTCTAGGACAAGACCACCAAGGAGAAAATTCCCTCCAATGAAGCCTGCAACTGCCCTGGATATTAGCATGGATCATAGGGTTTACAGATGAACTAGACATACGATGTCCCGAGGAAGATACCAAAGATTGGCCGTCATAACTTGCAACAAAGGTTATATCAGGCCTGGAACTAGGATGCTGAAGTAGAAACTGTATCGTAGAATCCGCAGCAGTCGTCCAACGATCTTTGTATTCGCCATATTTGTTCCTGTCGTAGACCCACATCTTGATTAAATACTCGTAGAACGAATCTGTTCCCCCGCCCCAACCTCCGTAGACGTCAAGAAATTGACCTGTTGTAAAATTGATTGTAGTACCCTCCAAACCAGGAAATGGCTCGTGGTTTGGATCTTGGTAAGTTGGCCTCAGCAAGAAATTCTCTGCAGTCTGAGCCAGAGTTGCGTAATGTGGCTCGTTCAATAGATCCGATAGTCGAGTCCACTCCATCACAAGGGTACCGGCAACAGCGAGGCCTGTAGATTGATCCACCGTTGTTAGCTCACCAGTCGTAATGTTTATCATGTTGTCAGGTATTCCAGTTGCTGTGTTGAAAGCTGGAGCAAGATGATCTGCAAGATCTTTGGCTTGTTGCAAAAGTCCATTCACCAAGTCCTCGTTCTCAATGAGATGCGAGAATGGGCCATTCAGGAGATCGTAGCCTGGATTGTCACTTAGCATGTTCACACATCATAGCTTTGAACTTGACTGGAAACGAGCGCATAATGGGATACATACTCGACAGTAGCCCTCCGAGATATCTAATTGTGGTTTCGAACACGGATACGGTAGACGAAGTCGAACTCCAATTAATTGTAGGCACGTATTTGACAATCTCATCGACAATATTAACAAGTTCCATGATGATGGCAGTGCTGAGGGCATCTACAGCACTTGCACCCCATCCATTCCTACTTGGAGTGAGTTGGAACTTAAACATTGCAAACTATCTGACTGACCTTCCGTTGCTATAACCATTCGAAACAGGGCGAAGTTCATCGTTGGGAAATGCATAACGATAGTAGCCATCCCATGCATGTAGGAAGGCTTCCTTAACAGCGTCTGCACGCTCTTGATTTGGACTGAATTGAACCTCACGTTTGACTTTTCGGCTTTCGCGATCAAGTAGAGGTGATGCTAGACAACATGTTGCCAGTAGTATGCAGAATTTGAAGCGCATGTTCCAACTTTACAGTCAGTGTACCTCCAGACGTTGCTACAGGTGCGAGCAAAGCAAAGCGAGTGGACTACACCAGATCCAAGAGGCGGAAGGCCAAATTAATGCAATTAGAATGGCGAGGATATTGAAACGAGAACCTGAAAGGAGAGGAAAGTTAAACTTCAAGACCGTAAGCCAGCACAGGCATATAGCGTTGAGTGCATACACTTCCTTGGGCAATGAACTCGGAAGGTAACATCCTAAACAGGCAGTAAGAACGGGGTCTTCAGCACATTCCCAGGCCTTAAGTCGGATCATGGGGATCGAATCCAGGGCCCATTTCGCACGAGCAACGGCCAGAGTAGAAGGACAGGTCAAGTGTGGCACAAATCATTCTAATCACAGCCCATACGCGCTGGTTCCGGACTTTAAGATTTGTCTAGGGTACTGTGACATGTTGCGCAAGAGCGCGATCAACGAGCGATCCGAAATGAGCTGGGGCACTTCCGCAGATCAAGATTAAACATTGGAGAGTGTCCAAGAAGAAGATAGGTAATTAATTGGAACTTGCCGATTGACACAATGAGGCTTGAACGAACACTGCGATTAGAAAGGAAGATCTGAGCTGTGTCGAGAAAAGCCAAATATCGAGCAAGCTTTAAGTCAAAGGTCACAATTAAGAGCAAGACATGACCAGAAATGCGTTGAAGACACGGTATGAATAGGATAAAATCTAATGCCTTGTGTCCTCAGGCATAAAACGAGGCTGCAGCTCGCCTCAGATCGGCTTGGTGACGCGCAGCAGCTGTCGCCTGCTTCAGCGAGTTGCTTCAGCTTGCCGTTTCTCTCGTCAATCCTCCTTTCAATCAATAATCATCGCAAAGTTCTATCGCTGAACGCCCAAGGCTGTTCTGGACGTACTTTCACTCAAGCTAAAATGAACGCGCTCGTGTCGCGGTACACGAGACCTCAATTCGAAGGCGAGACCGTGGCGCAAGACGAGGATCATGAGCTGGTGTCATCCGTGAATCCACTCTCTCTCAAATTTGCTCTGCCTCCGATAGCTCAGGTATGCCTTGGAATATGTTCTCGACGTCATTGAAGGGTTGGTGAGCACTAACATGTTTGCATAGCCCTCATCATGGCTACGAGCCATGACTGACGACTATTCAAACCCAAACTGCCCTATCAAGATTGCACACGGAACAACCACACTGGCTTTCAGATTTCAGGGTGGTATCATAGTATGCACAGATTCGAGAGCAACGGCAGGCAACTGGATCGCATCGCAAACAGTCAAGAAGGTTATTGAGATCAACAATTGTTTGTTGGGTACTATGGCAGGCGGTGCTGCTGTATGTCATTATTTCCCCATCTTATGTTCCACTCAGAACCTAACTGGCAGTAGGACTGTCAATACTGGCTTGCGTATCTGGGTATGCAGTGCAGACTACACGAACTACGACAGAAGCGGCGTATCTCAGTTGCGGCTGCGTCAAAGATCCTCGCCAACCTCGTCTACTCTTACAAGGGCTATGGCCTTAGCATGGTTCGTACTTTCGAATGGTGATGTGTGGATTGTCCGAAATAACGAGCGTGAAATAGGGCACAATGTGCGCCGGCGTAACTCCGCAGGAAGGACCGGCCTTATACTATATTGACAGCGATGGCACCCGCCTCGCCGGTAACCTGTTCTGTGTAGGATCTGGACAAACTTTCGCCTATGGTGTGCTTGACGCAGAGTACCGGTACGACCTGACCGTCGAAGAAGCTCTAGAGCTTGGCCGCCGCAGCATCCTCGCCGCTATGCATAGAGACGCATACTCTGGTGGATCTCTCAATCTATACCACGTCAAGGAGGATGGATGGGTTAAGCATGGCTTCAACGATATGAATCCAATTTTCTGGAAGACGAAACTAGAGAAAGGCGAGTTTTCGAATGTGACGGCTGAAATGGACGGCTTTTAAAGGCCGGAAGTAAAGATGGTACTCATACATGGCGTAAAAGGAGCCAGTGTATCATACACTGGAGAACTAAGGACATTTCGCTTCGAAATCAACGTGGAAAAGACACTAGCATTCCAGGGAGCCATGATCGTCGCTAAGTTTAGACTTAATTGCTGGCACAGTACTAGAACTCTTGTCTCAAACTCATTCTCAATGCGACTTCAGCGCATCTTCTCCTTTGGCTCATTTGATCGTTACTTATCGCATTTTCTACGCGTTTTTGTGACGGAAATGATCGCCCAAACCAGATAATCAGCAGGATTTCCACATGCTCAAAGAGTGAACTTATCGATCGAGAGTCCAAAGACGAAAACAAGATCAAGATGTAGCGAAGGTCAGCTTCGGCGAGGTAGGAGATCACCCTTAATGCTACTTACAATCTGTCAATTCCAGTTCCTAGAAGCGCTGCTCGGAGTATCTTGCCAAGTAGCCGATATTAGGACATGTCGTAGTATCTGTGCGTTTTATATTCAATGAATATGGTAGTAATTACGAGCATGTGGACCTTTAAGATTAGTTAATGCCATTATACGTAAGACGAACATATTGATCTAGAATTGGAAAGAGCATGATCAAGTCAAGCATGAACGTTAGTATATTTGTTTCCTGATGATTACAATCTACTTTCTTAAAGGACCAAATTATATAACGGCAAAAGAGGTGTCTCAGTAGTGGCAATACAAGCCTCATCACTGTGTTGAAGACCTGAAGCCACCTTTATTTGCATGGGAATATGATACAATATGAGCTATTGACCTCAAGTAAAGATAATGGCCTACTAGTAGAATGGCTTTTCTCGTTTCGTTACACGAGATGCTTATCCAATACTAAGAAAACAAGTCTGCGCGAGATTTGAAACTGAAGTATGAGACTAAATGATCACAGACATATCTACTGTAATTAAGCAAGAACTCTTTAGACGTCCTAGTTACTGCAGACGTTTAAGCTACTGTGGAGAAGAGCGGCAGCCTCGCATTGGACATAACAACGTCCTCATCTATCATGTTGCTAGGGGCACTAGTGCCTGTAGTCTGCGTGGTGTGAAGGTAGAACTTTGAAGGACGATTGCTTGCCAATTGGCTTCTAGTCGCCGTCTTTCAATATGCTAACTTCAAAACGTCGGCAAGCTCTGAACGCTCGGGACCGACGATCGGATAGACAATACTCCTTGCTATGTCCGGGTTTAAGGTTAGCTCCGACACCTTAAGACGATGTTATTTAAACAGCAAACAAAACTTGGGTTCGAAATTTCCCATATATTTCAGATCCAATCTAATTGAACAAACAAAATGGGCATCAAGTACGACAGCGTCATCGTTTTTGGGCCCACCGGAGCCGTGGGCAGCGCGGTGGCAGTGGAGGCGGGCAAGCGTGGGGCCAAAGTATGGCTCGCAATGAGGGATACCACCAAAGCAATTCCAGGCCTCGAAGAGAGTTCGGGGAAGTTTGAGCGCGTCCAAGCAGATCTTTCCGATGCCGAATCCGTCAAGCGTGCAGTCAGCCAATCCGGAGCGAAAGCGGCTTTCTTCTACCAGGTCCGCACAAAGGATGGAATGAAGCTTACGATTGGAGCAATGAAGGAAAGCGGAATCGAATATGTTGTTTTTCTGTCCTCACTTACCATCCTTCCGGATGATGACATTCGTGCCATCACCCCCGATAAGATCATACCGTTTGCTCACTCCTCTGTCGAGGTGACAATCGAAGATTTGGGATTACCATCTACGATGTTGCGTGCCGGAGCATTCGCACATAATATCATCTGGCAAAATCTTGACCGATCGTCAGAGCCATGGAAGGCAAAAATTCCGATCTCAGAACGGAAATCTGACGGCATTGTGCAAAAAGATATTGGTCGTGTTGGCGGCGCAGTCTTAGTCGAACGTCCCTCTGAGTCACAGAAGGAAATTATTTATCTTTATGGCCCCGAGTTACTTACACGTGAGGAACAGCTGACCATCATAGAGAAAGTGTCGGGGAAGAAAATCGAGACGGAGGTGCAAAGTTTCGAGGAATATGGAAAATACATGTTAACTAAGGGATTCCCTGAGTTCATTGTTAATTACCTGCTGAAGGCTGATAATGGCGATCGCAACGATGCATATTATGCAAACGGGCGTCATGAAGAAGGTGTGGCCAACGTGAAAAAGTACTCTGGGTACGAGGCGACCACTTACGAAGGCTATGTTCGGGAGTTCCTCACGAAAGCTGCTTAAATTTTGCTTGTACATTGTGCTCATAGGTTCTGATAGAAGCACCTTGGGTTCGTGAAGATAACCGCACTTTGCCTGAATTTTTCGTAATCGTTCCTGAATCAGAGAATGCTGGTATCTTGGGTTCCACCATCGAGCAAGCCATAATTGTACACATCCTCCTTAACATATGTCAATGTTTGTTAGAGGCATACTGAACTTAAAAGTTAATCTCAGCCTAAGTCATGCGTTGCGAAGATGTAATTGACACCTGCTGTTTCACGTGTTGTGGATTGTTGTGTGAATTTGACCTTGTATTCACGACATTGAAAGCAAGAAATTCACCGTCGTCTCGTCTATTATGATCCCTAACCTTTCCAACAAACATTATCGTGCACTCACTGCTGTCGGAGAACAAAGTGTGACCATATTCATTGCCTCAGAGTCACAACGATCATGCTATGATGCTCTCGAAGAATGGCATGATTTAGCACAGATTGAAGCAAGTTCGCTCGGGTAGTATCAACAGTTTCGTTGGATGTGGGGGCCTCCGTGACTATTATGTGTCCCGAATCCGTACCTCTGCCGAACTTGTTGCTTTTTCGCGTAGAGACAAAGGATCGGACATCTGCTCGCGTATGCGTTCGCTGGATTTATGCTCGCTCAATGACCTGTGAGAAGCATGGAACGTGGTAACATATCAGGCTTTGGAAATGTGTAGTTTTTTTGGGTTGCTTCCGTGGCAGGTTGCTTCATATCACCTCAGCATCGCCTGCCAAAACTTTCTCACTCACGGCACTCCAGCGTACTACCCAAATATCACCCCTTCTGAGCTCGGCCCGGACGTCTGTACCTGGGATAATGAGTTCCCCACAATTCTTAAGCACCCTCACAAAAACTGCCTTGTCAACATCGGGTCTGTCGATCATGCTGATGCCTCCCGCCGTGTCATCGAGCCTCTGTAATGTTGGTGGAAAGCTGCTTAGGAAGCTCGTCGAATAGTGATTAGATAGAAGTGTTTGGTGATGCTGCAGATACTGTCTTTCATTCTGACTCAGCATCGTCTCTTTTCTATCGAGCGTTGCATAGTGAAGCGGATGTGCGTCGAGTTTGGCGATGCGGCTGCGCAGAAGAGATCTCACGAGGAACTTAAAACGTTCGAGTTCCGTCTGGAGTACTATCAATTTGAAATTTGTTTTGGGATCCATGTTGCCTGTTGCTTGTTCTATGCTTTCAATCTGCTGGCTGATGCGGGCGAGGATACGCTCCATGAGGTCGGTGGGGTATGGCAGTAATTCGGGTGCGCAGCGCTCAGCTACCCACAGTCGGGTCAACTGCTGGAGATCAGCTGAGTCTTGAGGAACTGACTGAGCGTCAATGTCGGCGAGAATGTCATCGATGTCCATGATGATAGCATACCTGCTATCTCAGGTTATTTCATTCCTGGAGCTCTAAGGCGCGTCGAGTCGCGTTCTGACCGTGAAGAAGAGGCCGATGTCGGAAACAGACCATGCAAGTCTCTTCTACGCAATGGCATCAAATGAGTATGAAGTCTTACGAATAGTCGCAAAGAATCGTACAGAGTTCCTCGAAAATCACATCCTTTTATGCTGCGGCTACTCCGTACGGAGTTCTGTCTTCAATCAGATAAAACCAGCCGGTGAAAAAGGCGGGTTACAACGAGCTCGAGCAATGTCCAAAGCAAAATGTAAGGGTAGTTAACAATGCTCAAATGTACGGCGTTGAACCACTAGCTCTTCCATGCTCTAATAAGCTCACCGCGTTTCTACGTTGCAGAGCTGACCTGTACGGAATACGCTGCTATGTAGAATCGCGTGGGCTACTACGAAAAGACATTGGATGATTAATCACTGTCTAGTCATTTGACGGATGTTGCGCGGTCAAATTTACGCACCGAAACAATGATTTTATCATTCGCGACGTTGTTAATGTTTGCAGAGGATGTATTTGATATCGGCTTACTTGCAAAAACACTCGTTTCTACCTCCTACGGTATTGAGTATATGCCCAGTAAAACTGTTCAAAACTAGAACAGTCCCAGGATATCATCATTTGTCTGTTTGCTCTTGCTTTGCAACTGTTGCTGTGGAGGAGGAGGTTGACTCGCACCATTCATGTCCAGGCTTGCAAAGCCGCCCATCAAGTCTTCTAATCCTGCTCCCGCGGTGGAAGTCTGGGCAGCTGATGGACCGTTTCCAAATACGCCTAGTAAGTCATCCATTGTGTTCGATGGCTGTGCTGACGTGCCTGCCGATGGACTAGCCACCCTTTGCGGCGTTCCTGCCAGTCCTTCCAATCCACTCGTTCCCCTCACAGGTGCATTTTGCAGACTCGCGGGTGCGCTGCCGTCAAAATCGATGTCAAGTAAATTCTCAATATTGCTTTGCTGTACTTGGCCACCACTTGCGTTTGCGGCTGCGATGGCGGCAACCGTCGGGTTCTCCTTAGCGAGTTGCTGCTGCTCCTCGATAGCAGCTCTTTGCATAGCTTCGGCGCCAAAGCGGCCTTGTCCGAGAAACGTCTCCGGAGATTTGTGATATACAGACGCAAGGGTGGATAGCTCACTTATAAGCGATTCAAGGAGAGCACTGGGGAGTGATTGAATAGTTGTGGCGATAGGAGGCTTCTCTGATAAGACAACGTTCTAATTTCTGCATTAGCGATGTTACATTTACGTAGGCCAGAAGAGATGCAGACTTTCGTGATTTGGGGATCAGATGAGAGTAGTCTCCAGTAGACGTATGCTCGATCCCTGATATCCGGATTGTCATTCTCCGCAGTTGCGGCCTGGAGTACTTTTTGCACCAATCCTTGCGATTGATCTGGTTTTTTAAGGAAGAGTTTGACCACCGCGGTCAAGATCTGCAATTGAACCTGGCAAGGCCGTTAGCATATAGTTGCACGAATGGAAACAAGTGCATACCTGTGTAAACTCTTCGTTGAAGCCTTCAACAAAGCCGGCAAGAATATCGCCAGCGTTGCTGATCTTTTCTGCATATTCGCCCACAATCCATATAAGCGCTGCTCTGGCGTTTGGTTCATCAAGTTCATCAATACACTGGCATAAAGTTGGAATAATACCTTCGTAGCCAGGGTATTTTCTGAAGATATCTTTGATGACCACAATCGCCTCTTGCACTACATAATTGACTTTTGTAGCTATCAAGTCAAGAAGCGCATTAACGCACTTCTCACTGGCTTCTTCGATCTTGATGGCTACTTGGCCGATCGCTTTCACCGCTCGTCGAACGAAGTCCATATCCACTTCCATCGCGTATTCCTTAAGTTCAGCTAAAAGTTGATCGACATTTTTATCGTTGGCTATCCGGACCATAATTTCGAGTTTCTGAAGCTTTAGATATGGCGGGTCGTTGTATTTGCAGAAAAAAACACGCATTTCTTTGCTTAGGATGTCTGGTTGCTTCTGCAAGAGCAAATCAATATTTCGCAGCGCCACATACTGCACTTCGGGCTGAGATGAGACGAGAGTTACTGTATGACATCAGGATACAGCACCAAGGACAGCGTGCTTCTCACGTACCTAGCGGTGGAGCCATTTTACGCAAGTAGGACCTTGACAGATCGGCGCTGATATATCTCATGTGAAGAAACACGACTTTGATTGCAGCAAGAACAACTGCCGGATTAGCGTGTTGAAATTGCGGAACAACCCTCTCACAAATATGTTCCGACTCTTTCACATCAGATGCCTTGTACTCAGCTAATGCAGTCAATATAGTAATCCTTCCCCATTCAGTGCACTCATTTAATGCTAGCATCATCTTCTTTAGTGTCTGGGGTGTAATTTGAAATGCCTTCGTTTCTGGAGCGGCCTCATTTATCTCTACAAGAGCGCTCACGGAGTTTGCCACGACCATTGGATTAGGATCTCCAACAAGTTCCTGGAGCGTTTCGAGAAAGCCGTTCTCAATACACATCGCAGGATTGAGATCGAATAATTTGGCAACACAGAGCACGGCAGTCTTGCGGACGTAAGGGGATTCGTCGCGGAGAGTTTTACGGAGGGGTTCTTCCATGTAGTCTACCATCTTGTCGACGCGGATACATCCCATAGTTCGAATAGCAAGAGCGCGGACTAGAGGGTTGGGGTCTTCAGAGTCTTGGACGAAGGTGTTTACGGCAAGGATACAGAGGTCTGGATGTGACTTTGCGTAGTTCCTAGCTTTGAAGTCAGCTGCTTATGTCTCGGTTTTGGGGCGGTGTGGAGAGATAGGAATGAACTGTACATAAGATATAGGTAGACAAGCTTTTTTTGATCTAGGTCCTGAGTTGCAATGTTCTTGAGAACGTCAGGGAACAGAGCGGAAACATCTTTGCCTAGTGTCATGGACATGATAGTCTTCTGAATGGCCTCTTTTCGCTCCCAGGCATATTGCGATCTATCCAACTGTCAGCTTTCATTGCGCACAAATCTGTACAGTCCAACTGCATACACTAAGCCAGCTCGCAACTCGAACGTCTCGCCCTTTCTGGGCACCGCGAAGGCGCCTCTTATTCTGTTCACAGCCATGAGTATGGTTCAAAGCTGCACATGCGGAGGTCAAAATGCGGATATCGTTCGAAGAGGGAAAGATGCGGGCAAAGTAGCCTATCGTTGAACCTTGAGCATCTCCATATGCACCTCTTCTAGCTTTGTTGTGTTCAAGGAGTACCACAAATCGTGATGTGTACAGTGCACTCTTGTGTATTAGCTTGCGGTTGTGCTTGACTGTGCAGTTGAGTGTGGCGCTCAATGCAACGCCACATTTTTTTGTTTCCGACAACCACCAGCAAATCATTCAATTCTCAACACCGCAGTTTTCATATCCGAAGCCGTGACTTGAGGTTCATCATCAATAAGTAAACCGATCATTGAGATGGCAGGACAGATATCCCTTTATTGCTATTTGATGTACTAATTGTTATAGCCTTCGAATTTGCCTAACCTCCGACGTCTCTTTGTTGAAGCCCGCACAGAAGCAGAAGAAAGTGCTTACTCTCGAAATGCCGTACGTGTTTAACTTTCACCACATGATTCTAGATTTGACAAGCCATCGCCAGTTCTACAATCTCGTTTTATTCATGTCATCTGTTGCAATTTTTAGCATAGCCGCTCAACGCATGACAAACGCCAAATCAATTCCCAGCTGAGGCATTCACGCCTGTCCTCTCCCTCCACAGAAAGCCGAACCTGAATGGCTCATAAGTCCTATTGAGGACTAGTCCACAGCAATCAATGAGCCTGAAGCCAGCCCAGCATCTCAGCGAATGCTTGTTGTTGCGCCTCTTTGATCTTCAAGTCCGCATAGTCACCGAGCACTGCAAATCCGTGAGGAACATTAGGGTACACCTTTATCTCATGCTCGACGGCGGTTTTCTCTAGCAAAACTTCGCCAGCTTTACGGACTTCATCTGGGAATAGAGGGTCGTCTTCTACGCATATGATGCTCACAGGCACTTTGACAGCCCCAATATCGTCAGGTGTGATCTGTGTGCCATGTGCAATCGCTCCAGCCTTGATAAAAGGCCCATTCCGTGTCCTTCCTTCCGTAGCTTGTCCCTCAACCTCCTGTGGCGCCCAAAGCACACCATTCGGATTATCGCCGGCCAACAGTAGGACGTATTTCGCGCCAAAGCAGTATCCTATCGCATATATACCGCCTCCGTTTGCTATTGCGTCAGCAAACTCTTCGTTCGCCGCATCGAGAACTTTATAGAGGATAGGAAGGACTTTGTCGGGTGTATGTCGAGCGAGCCACATGTCAATAGTGAACGATTTGAAGGTATCAACCAAACCCAACTTGATCTTTTCAATCAGAGGAATATCCGCGGAAGCAGGTTCTTGCACCGTGTTTGGTGCAGCCTCGCCTCCGAATCTAGACCTCTTTAGCTCATGCTATAGGTGAAGGGCAGAGCGACGCACTGGTCGGGCATTATAACGAGAAAGCCTTCTTGGGCAAATTTGTCCGCTTGAAGCTGGTTATTTGTGGATCTGACGCCGGTACCTCCTGTTAGGAGGAGGAGTAATTTCCCAGGATTGTGCGGATAGTCCGCAGGCTTCGAAATGTATGTCTGCGATTGTTAGGAATAACATAAGAAGCTTTGGTAGTCTATGCATACATCTATACCCCCTAGCTTTGACAATTCCTAATATAATCAGAAACATATCTTTTAACAAGAGTTAGACATGACTAACTCCAGAAGGGAGCTCTCCAGCGGCTACAGATCCTTAGTCCAAGCAGATATAGCACAACTAAACAACTTACGAGTAGGTCTGTCCGTAACGCAGTGATTCTGTGTAAGATGAGTGCGATGACTTCGTCAGCATGCTTGAGTTCCGTACCCCCATGCTTGGTCCTTCCTGTGCCACGGAATCTCCCTTGAATAGACTCTCCCTAACAGCGGCCTGACCATCGCTCTCTGGGGCTTTGGTGGCTACGTCTTCGTCTGTCATGGTATGCAGCAAGACCAAGTTATTTGGTTGCAATTGAAAGGCAGTGAGCGATTATGGATTATCAGATCAATTGCAAAAGGCAATTAGCTGTCAATCGAAGTACAAATGTGCGACTTTGCGTCGCTGACGCACTGAGAACATGAGCCCTGCCAGACGTGGGGCAAATTCATGTCACGTGTCGGCGAGCCACTTAACGCGGTCACGTAATTAGCTTCGACGCGTCTGTCAAGACTGCTGCAACAATTCAACTCACCTTTTGCGTGCCTTAACAGACATAACTCACAAAGATGGCAGGACCGGCAGAAAGAGCTATCACAAAAGGCTGTCTTAAGTACGTGCTCTGTCCGTATTTAATTCCTAAACCTAATTCATTTCTGCAGGCAGATATTTGAGCCAGAGAAGCCGCAGTTGCCGGTAGTTCAGTGTCTACAAATTAAAGCGCTGCAAAGCAAGCAGCCAGCCCAAGATGGTCTTGATCGCTACCGTCTCATCCTCAGCGACATAGACAACTTCATTCAAAGCATGCTCGCAACGCGTAAGATCGCGCTTAAAGATTAGGATTTGGAGACCTGCTAATAACATTACAGAGCTCAACGATATGGTTATTAGTGGCGAGCTTAAGAAGGGTTGCCTACTCAGGCTTAACGCATACCAACCAAATCTTGTCAAGGACAAGAAGATTCTCGTCGTCATGAGTTGCGAAGTTCTGCCTGAGTATGGTGAGCCGGAAAAGATCGGCACTCCGGTGGCCCTTGAGGCAGACTCAGCTGGCGCCCAGCCAGGCAACGTATCGGCAAATGGATTTTATGGCAACAAGCCTGCCATTAAGCAAGAGAACACTCAGAGGTCGATGCCGTCACGTTCCGCAAATAGCGAAAGCCACCAAAATCTATACCCCATCGAAGCACTCTCTCCATATGCGCACAGATGGACAATCAGGGCACGAGTCACGCACAAGGCTCCGATGAAGACATGGCATAATCAGCAAGGCGAGGGTAGACTGTTCAGCTTCAACTTGCTGGACGAGAGTGGCGAGATTCGAGCAACAGTATTTCATTCGATTGGCGAGCAGTTTGACGCACTGTACGAAATGCTTCAGGAAGGTGAAGTTTATTACATCTCAAGCCCATGTCAGGTTAAGATGGCCAACAAGCGCTTTTCACAACTGAACAATGACTATGAGCTCACATTTGAGCGTGATACTAGAGTTGAAAAGGCCGAAGATCAATCAGCAGTGCCGCAAGTTCGCTACAACTTTACTAGCATTGGGGATATGTCATCCGTCGAGAACAACCAAACCACGGATGTGATTGGAATTTTGAAGGAGGTTGGTGAGGTCAGCCAAGTCGTCTCCAAGACCACTTCAAAACCATTCGACAAGCGAGAGTTGACCCTTGTTGATGATACATTAACACAAATCAGACTGACGATCTGGGGAGCCCAAGCCCAAAGCTTTGATGCTCCGGTTGAATCAGTTTTGGCTTTTAAGGGAGTCAAAGTCTCGGACTTTGGTGGTCGTAGCTTGTCATTACTGTCATCAGGATCAATGGCCGTGAATCCAGACATCGACGAGGCACACAAACTCAAAGGTTGGTATGATGCTCAGGGCAGGAACGACACTTTCCAGACACATTCAGCCACCCTAGCTGCTGGTAATAGCGTCCGGAGGGATGCCTACAAAACCATTGTTGAAGTCCAGAATGTTCTTGGTCTGGACCCCGACAAAGCAGAGTACTTCACGCTTAAAGCGACAATTGTCTATATCAAGCAAGACAACATCTACTACCCCGCCTGCCCTAGCCCGGATTGCAATAAAAAGATCACCGAACTGGAACCTGAGAATTGGCGTTGTGAAAAGTGCGAGAAGAGCTTTCCAAAGCCACAATACAGGTACATCATTTCACTCAACGTGCAAGACCACACAGGTCAGATGTGGCTCAGTGGGTTTGACGATGCGGGCCGACTCGTACTTGGCAGGACCGCTGATGAGATTGCGGAATTGAAAGAGGCCGACGAATCTAAGCACGTTGAGGCGATATTTGAAGAGGCGAACTGCAGATCTTACATATTCAGGTGCAGGGCGAAGCTTGACAACTATCGTGACGAGCAGAGGTATGTAACCATTACGACGATCGAGCACAACTACTTACACTATGAAAAGGGTGCGATATCAAATCATGAGCATAAACCCGGTCGACTTCAAAGCTGAGAGTGCGAAGCTCGCAGAGATGATCAAACAGTACGACATTGGTTCGGACAGTTTGTTTGTCTAGGATTCACGCTTCCGAATGTCGTCTAGGCACTCGGCGTTTGAGATGTGAGTTTTTGGAGTAGGGGCGATACAGAAGTTCAAAATACTACGTCATCATGGTCAATGGTGGGTACTAGGTGGCTGGCCTAGATGGCCTGCATGGCTGTGACCTTTTATCAAGTAGAACTCTCTACACCCTTTCGAAACGTTCTCTCGCGATCGCAGCTCGTTCTTCAACCGTGCATCTCGTTAGTTTCTGCGCGATCCGTCTGCAACGCTTTCGAAGGTCGACGACCGTCGGAAGCATTTTCAATCTACAATGGCATGATACTCAACGAGGACGCGGGATGTACGATAATCATGATTGGAGGTGACTTTCACGACCTGCTGGGTTTACAACTCTAGCTCACTAATTCTGATGATTTCCATGTCACAAAGACGGCGGTTCGTATGGAGTAGTTTCTTCCCAAAGCTTGTTCTTCGGTTCAAAGGTGTCAGTTCTTCTCGCTTCACACCAATGTGATAGTCGCACGTGCGCTCCAAGGCACAAGTTCAATGTTGGTGAGAATGTAAGTGCTTCAGGCTACGGAGTAGCAAGAGCGCCAACCTCAGCCAATAGACTTGGTGACTTTGTAGCGAAGTCATGTGACTGCGACCTTGTGGCGCAATGCTGATCGTCGCTAGTGACGTTGACAGCCTAAGTTAGTGAATCAGTCTTTGGTGGGGACCAAGCAGCAGCCGACTTACAATAATAAAATCTACCACACAAAAGTACCTGTAAGTGTTTCTTCCTGCCCCCATCCGTGCTGCCACGGAACAAAGCGCATAGTCTTGCACGCCTCCTGAAGCGCTTAAAATGTTTCTTGTCAATCGCTGTACGTCGCCAGTCTCTTCGTTCTTTGAGCCCCTCTCAATCTGTCCGTTGCCGCGTTCTGGACGTTTTTTCTCCCCTTGTTTATTTGATGTCCGCACCTTCAGCAAGGTTCCGTCTGCCTCTTTTGCATTTTCACTAATGCTACCACTGCAGTGAACAAGTGGGTTTTCGGTGACGGCTCGAAAGAAACAGTAATCGAGGTTCCAGAGGGCCAGCTCTATCTTGTCCGACCTCTATCTCCTAAGGGTTACTCGGAGCTTATCTACAAAGACGCCTCCCTCTCGATCCGCCGTACCGCACAAGAATACAACTACCAGCTTGTGGCGACTCGTGTCTTCGAGGAAGGCGAAGAGGAGCTTCTTGAAGAAGACGAAGGCGGTCTGGAAGGCGAGACGCCCCAGAACCAGGACGAGCAGGCCTTTCTGCTTGACGAGGCTCTCGAGTTCCGCGTTACCATACGCGATACTGGCGAGAAAGTTTTCGCGTGGCGTGACCTGGACGGGAGCGCAGGCGATCTCTGGGAGTTTGTCTGCGATTTCAACACCAAACCTGAGACTGTCGAAGCATTTCAGATAGCAGCCTTTCGGTGCCAGTTCGAGCGTAAATACAAACAATCAGCTAACGAGGTCACAAGGGAAGAATTGGAACAATTTTCCTTCTCGAACGAGCCAATCCCAAGTGCAAGCCCGATACTGCCAGCTGCTCACGGTTCGAGGAGTCCCACTAGATCGTCGAGTGTTGTCGATACGAAGTTAAGTACCGATATAACGACTGCTGATGTTATGGCTCCGAAGGCGACATCCCGCGAATCTCGAGCTGCGGACACTGCAGAAAAGGACCAGTTGTGCCGTGAGCATGGAGAGCTTCACATGTATGACCTTGAGACGCGGACTTTCGTGCGACAGGAGGAGCTCGTTGAATTGGTTGTTTTCGATCTCGGAAACTTCAACTATTGGCTCAAAGTGCAGAGCAACGAAGCATCCATAGTCGGACGCGCAGTCACGGACGATTTGGCACCGGTGTTTAACTTTGAATATCTTTCATTTATATTCAATGTTTTCGAGGAGAATGGCAACGCTGTTTCTTGGCTCCTACGTGTCAAGGACCAGCCGACGCTCGATAGAGTCCAGCAAGGCGTTATGCAGGCCTTATGGGAGCATGAGAATCGCACAAAGTGGAACAAGATTTCTGCAGCAGAGCAGAGTTACCTTCTCGAAACGCTTAACGATCTTGAGCTTAATGATGCGCCTGCTGAAGATGAAGAGCCGGAAGACGAAGAGGAGGATGACGAATCCGAAGCTGGAGGTGTGCGTAGTGACGCTTACGATTCGGACGAATCTGCCGAAGACGCCGCTGCTCAGGATAAAGACGGCAATGTCAATTCTTTGTTAGCAGTTGGCGCGAAACACGATCGTTCATTCGTCGTTCGCGGCTCAAAGATCGGTGTCTTTAAGCATACCGATAATAATGAGCTGGAATTTGCTACCAACATTTCGAAGGTGCAGACACCGAAGGGTAAATTGTTTAGTCCTAAGAAGGTAATGCTGCACATGAGCGATCGAAACATGGTGCTGCAAGACCCAGCGAATTCCAACGCGGTATATCGTATGGACTTGGAGACAGGCAAAGTTGTGGACGAATGGAAAGTGCACGACGACATTCCAATCAACGTGTTTGCTCCAGAAGAGGTGTGAAGTCTAACCCTATATCAGAATGGCAAGCTGATGCTAACACAAGAGCAGAAATTCGGTCAACTCACTGACAAGCAAACTTTTCTTGGTCTCTCTAACAATGCCATATATCGTGTTGACCCGCGTCTCTCTGGTAATAAACTTGTCGATACGGACATGAAGCAATATGCTACCAAAGGCATTAACTTCACCACGGTCTCCACGACTGACAATGGTTACATCGCCATTGGCAATGAAAAAGGAGATGTCCGGCTCTATGACACTCTTGGAAAGCAGGCTAAGACAGCGTTGCCAGCTCTAGGTGGGAACATTATCGGGCTCGATGTATCAGCTGATGGTCGTTATGTCCTCGCTACATGCAAGAACTACCTGCTTCTTATCGATACGCTTCAGAAGGAGGGCAAATACGAGGGCAAGCTCGGTTTCGAACGTGCATTCCCAGCGGACAAGAAACCGACGCCATATAAGCTCACATTGACTCCTCCGCACATTGCAGAATTCCAGCATCAGACGGGCAAACCGCTGTCCTTTACTCCCGCACGCTTCAACACTGGCCCGGAAAACAAAGAGACCACTATTGTGACTGCAACAGGCCCGTTCATTATTACATGGAGCTTGAAGAAGGTCTTAGAAAAGCGGAAGGATCCCTACAGTATCAAACGGTACAGTGAGGAGGTCAAGGCGGATAACTTCAGATTTGGTAGTGATAAGGGCATCATAGTCGCACTTCCAAATGAGGTCGATCTGGTGAGAAAGGCGCAATTGAAAAAGCCGACGAGAGAAAGCATCGCTCCTCCGAGGCTGTCGAGTCGTGGTGGAAGGTCAAGCGGGTACTTACGACGTAGCGATGTTGTCAAGGAAGCTTACTAAAGTCATTAAGAAGTAACAGAATCAGGCGCTTTTGGGAGGTTATTGATGGCAATGTGGTACATAGCAACATATTCTCCGGGATAAACACTCACTTGTGATAGCTTTTTTTTTCCACTCCCGCCTGGCACAGATGATCGAAAAACATGGGTTAACGTGGGTGGATGAACGGTGGAGATTGTTGATAGCAAGGTTACAATGAATAGATACCCGGTCTCGTTTCCTCTTCCATTCTTGAGCTCCGATACGTACTTCTTGTCACTCAGCTTGATCTTCGTATAAAGATGTGTTTTTCAGGTATCTACAAGTGCGTTGTCACGGAAGCTGCAGACAAAACAATGATAAGGACGTCGTTGACATTCGGACTGAAACGCAGGCTAAGGAACACTATCGATCACTCTATCCTTGGCTCACTTTCTGCTCATCCTGTGTCGCCTTTGAATGAATCATCTCTGTTTGCCGTGAGATAAGCTTTCTTAGGCAGTCAGAAGCGAACTTAGCGCAAGACGTACTCGTCGGAGGTGTTCGACCTTGCGGCGACTGCGCACGGCAGGAAAAGTCATTCGATTACATTGCACAATTTTGCAGGAACGCGGTGCAGATCGTCTCTGCGTGGTTTCGACGTTGTGGTTCTGCACAAGCAGATCGAAGCGTTCCGTTGTACTACGGTGAGCAACGAAGTGGGGGAGGCGTCCAGAACAACGAACATCTTGAGAAACTCAATGCACGGACAACAAAGCAGGCAATTCTTCCACATGGCCTCGCGAGGAGGTGAAGGATTGCTTTGCACGCTGGCAGGTCTAACGTCAAAGCTGGGGAAAGGACCATAGCACAAGAGGGCGGGACAGCTCTTGCACTCGTCATTCGCGTGCAAAGCTAGCTGCGGCTTACCTCTGTTACACACCGCATATGCAGCGCGCTGGTGACAGCCCCTTGGACGAGGTGCATCGAAAACATGCGCGCTCGAGGAACGCGGAGGATGACGAGATGACAAGCGGCACGTTCAGGTGATTTGGGCAGCATTGGAAAAGAAGGTCGCGTCAGCTTCGTGACCGCGACATACATTGGCGAGCTGGCGGACAGCGTTGGTGGTGAAGTTGAAAGCACGATAATGCGGCTTGAGCAGTGACAGCGGTTCTCACTCTGGGCAGAACCCCGGAACGGACGACCCTGGGCCTTGTGTAAGAGAGAGTGGCCTTGCAGGAGGACATCTGGGCGGAGCGGGTGCGGTTTGACTTGGGGATGGCAGACATGGATTGCCAGCCAGGATGCGCGTTTGGCGCACGGCGCTGTAGGGACTCGGAGGCAGGCAGCGACCTTTGGCTGGCGCGAGATCCGGGCGGAGGACGCTAGCGGGCGACGGAGGTTGCGTCTCGAGTTCAAAGAGAGGACAGAGAGGATGGCCTAGCTTGAAAGAGCCATGTGTAGCTCCGCAAGAGGCCTTTAATCAGGCTGAGCTGCGTTCGGGCCTGCGGTTTCAAGACGCGCCGCCAGTCCGGCACGAAACTAACGCGTTCGGCGCGTCGCGCGCATTTTGGCTAGTCCCAGCACGGCGCGGGCGATCGAGCGTCAGCCGGCCGAACATGGCCAAGGCGTGGACCCAGCCAGAGCGGCTCCAAGGTGCAAGAATTGGCGCGACACAGAGCCGTGGTGCAGCGGCAAACCGTGGTCTGGGAGCATCCAAGTCACCAATGCATGCGCTGTTGAGCCGATGCGCAGAACGGTGGCAACTCGACGTCCATTCGTGCTGGCGTGCTTGGGTCTGGCGGGCTGGCGGGCTGGCAGACTGGCAGACTGGCAGACTGGCCCGTTTTCGACGCACACACGGCGCGAGACCAAGGTCCCGGCGAACTAATTAGAACCAGCACGGGGCGAGTCAGGCAAGCAAAGCCGTCCGACTGCAGAGTCAAAGGACTGCCAGGCCGTGTTTTCGGGCCATCGAGATCGGACGCGACGTGTACGAGGAGCTCCGCGGCCAGGCGGGAGTCCAAGCTGGGACGGGCAGCGAGGATTTGCCGGGCTGTCAGCGCTGGAGTGTGCGTGCGAGAGTGTGCGTGTGAGTGTGCGTGTGTGTGTGCGTGTGTGTGTGCGTGTGTGTGCGTGTGTCTGTGTGATTCTAGTCGAGGTGTCCTGCATGGGTGGTTGCTGCATGACCCCGGCCAAAACTGCAGGTGCGCCCGTCCCGCCTTCAGTTCCAAACGCCCGCTTCCTTCCAACTCGTTCGCACCGCGCCTTTGCACCTTCCTTCCACCTCCACGGTCGCTGCTTCCACCACCGCCTCCACCAGCACCAGCACCACCGCTACTTCCTCCTTGCGCCTGCGTCGAGCATTGCTCCTTCCGAGTCTTTGCACGCTTTGTCTTTTCTCCTGGCCCCCCCTCCTTCCCGTCATGGGCTTCGTCTTATAGGTGCCGTCCTTCTCTAGCGCTTGTCGCGGTCGTCAAAGCAGCTGCGACTGCCGTTCAATTTCCACACTCGCATCTCCCAGCCTTCGATTTTCGCCAGCGCTCAAGACAGCCCTATGCGACAGCGACGACCATAGCCACTGCTCAACTCACGCATCTTATGCTGCGCCATCGCGATTTTCGACGCTTTGCACTTCCTCTCGTCGCAGACGCGACGTCGCCATCCACTGTCTCCAACTCGATCCGTCGCTTCGTCCACTTGCCTTTTGCGCCAGCGGCCTGAGCCTACAACGACGCCGACGCCGACGCTTCGCGCTTTCTCGCATCCATGTACAATTGAAACCATATTGCCTGTGTCCACAGTTGTGCATGTGTTCTACAAACAACGCTGGATGCACCTGAACCCACTCGCCAATCGATACGCAATCGATAACCTGCAACGCTAGGACGCGCCTCCACAGCAGGCTCCATACCCGCGACAACTGCTCCATCGGGTGTCACGATCCACTTTCTCAGCCATATCGTCGTTGTTGTGGTCGTGAACGCGGTTACGGCCAGCTGAGCTTACTGTGGTCCTCGCGTTGTGCATCGTCACCGCTGCTTCACTTGCTCCTCACCTGTTCCGACCGCACCATGTCGTTCAATTCATCTTTCTCGTTTGCACAAAGTGCACACACGTTGCCTCGCAATTTCACTTTCCATTATCGGGACGGCGAGCTGCCGAAGACACCAGAGCCGTCGGACAAATTCTCCCCTCTTCGCACGTCACCTCCACCCATACCAGTCGCGCGAGTAGCCAGGGAACCGTATAGGCTCAGACGCCGCAGAGCTCCTGTACAAGCCGCACAACGGGCAATCCGTGCCATCCATCATGACGATGTGGCTGATGTCATGCGGGAGAGTCAGGATGTACCTGTTCCCAGCATCGAACTTACCGACTCCGCTGGGGCACCGGCGATATTCCCAGAGGCCCCAGCAAGCAAAAGTCGGCTATTTTCACCTCCAAGAACTCCGGTAGCGCAGATATATAACTCGGAAGATACATACGGCGAGGCTTCTAGTAGTCAAGAAGATCTTACCAGACCGTCAACGGCTTGTTCCGGCTTCTCGGAATCGTCAAAGTCGTCAAGCGTCGAGTCTTTCCCTTCTTTTGGTGAGTCTTGCAGTCCCAAATCTCAACATGACCCTTTCTCCACGGGAGCACCTGCATTTGGCATAATATCCTCCCCTCTACAAAAGTACTGTCCGCCCCCCGCGGCAAATACGCTTCCGAGTACAAAACGGGCAGCCTGGACCCAGGAAATGGATGACCATCTTTGGATCACCTACATGCGATACCTTCAGGATCCTACCCATACACCGTTCAAAATGCTTCCAGGGACAGCTCCACCTCCAGGCGTATGCTCGCGCGTGGTCCGTGAGGCAAAGCGGACTTGGAAAGGCCATCTAACCTCGTCTGTACCAAAAGTATACAGATTTGCTCGATGGGGCAGCAATCGTGCTGAATCGCCTGAGGCCAATAATGCCAGAGATGTTGAACGTCCCTCGTTTATGCCCTGGCCACGATCCGACTCAGCTACGCGAAAACGGTTAAGAGATCTATGTAGGCTGAAGCCAACGTTGTCCGCTCACTACGGTCGTCTACTGCATGCTAGGAGTCCTTCACCGTTTTTGACATCCAGCACGGGGCCCAGGTCAACATCTGTTACTCGGGACGGTTCATCACCGCACCTCAACACTGGTGCATTCTCCACACGTGACATGAATGTCTCGCTGGCAACGAGTATCTCCACAACTATGCAGCTCAGCCATCCTCTCGCTCAGCTAAGCAGCGATGCAACACCTACACAGGGCGGTACGATTCCTCATATCAACCATCCACAGGAGACCTCTACGCCACGGCCTCGGGCTACGACTCATCACGACATCTCGGCTGCTCCACGGACTCCTATTCACCAAAAGAGCCTTTCGATGCAAGAAGCTTCTCTTTCAATGCATCCCCGTCCTCTTGCCTCACCCTTCCGACCAATACCCACTAAGGCGAAGGCGCATGAACCTCTTCAGAGTGCCATGGCGTCTTCGTCCTCGATGCTTGGTGCCCCAGTAGAGCTGCATGCCCCAGTCCCGCGACGTAGTCTCTTCAAACGTCCCGCACAAACTGAGCTCAATGACATGATGCATTCTGAGGACCCATACACTCGACAGCATCACCTCATGAAAGAGCTTTTTGGCTCTAATCAGCCTATTGAGGTTAGCCACCGCCGCGTTCGTAGTCGAGGCTTCAGTCTTGGCGATATGACCGCTGCATCTCGGCTTGAGAGTCTCTTTGCCTCGCCCAACGAAAGTGCATTGGCAACAGAAAGTTCAGTACCTGCAACTTCTCGCTCGTTCACACACTCCTTACTTCCTCCACCGTCTTTTGAAGCTCGACTAGGCTCTCCATTTTCCGAGAAGCCCGCCACGAAAACACATTACAATACATTTCCGCGTAATTTTTCCCTAATTGGGCTTGAACCTGCCATGGATATTGTGGAAGACCCATCCGATACGCTTACAGCTGAGTCGGTTACCGGCAATACCTAAATTTCTTGACATCTCATGACCTTTCTGGCTCGCTCCATAGTTTCGAGTCTTTTGTCCACTTTACAGATACGTCTTGCCGCTGCGTCAAATGTGGCTAGCTCATTGTTCAGGCGTTCACTGCATAGCGCGCATCCGAGAGAAAGATGAGTCTGGCGCATGCTAGCCAAGCTCAGCGCACGATTATATTTATGGCACATTCCAAAAATTTGCATTTGCAATTCACGCATATGATTTGCTCTCGTATACCGGGCGACGTGATGCTGGAGCCTCATCAGATAAAACTTTGTCCAAATCACGACCGACATGAACGACACGAAATCAATAAAAACAGCATAGGGACTTTGATTCGAGACTGGCGGCAAAGGCGTTGTGGCAATTGTACTTTAATATCCAAAGGCGCCTCTGTTACATCGGACGAAATTGGTGAGATGGTTACGGGTTTATTTCGACGCAGCGGGATCGAACAATTGAGGCTTTGAATGGATTCTGAAATGTATCTGGATGCCTGATATGAGACGAGAGTACGAATCCTGGCTCAGCTGTATGATAATTTTTGTTGACTGCGAACGATTCACCGGACGATTGATCTCTTGCGAAGTGAAGGTTCAACTATATTCACGTCCGCCATAATTAGAATGCTATCTGATTATCAAACACCGTCACTAAGTGTTCTGGAACGCTGAGTGACACGCAGGTTGTAACCATGGTCATTTCATCACGATGCATGACGTAGCTGTCACTGTTTCAGGGACGTTTATCGGAACCCAATCCATTGCTCGTTGATTGGTTCCCTTCATGACTAGTACTACTAGTGCGCGATAAATGCAGTCTATTGACAACCTCTTCTTGCCCGTCAACTATTTCAAAGTCACGCCCAATCCTCTCCATCACCTTAACTCTTGGGAAAACTCGACGATCAGCAGAAAAGTGAACATGAAAGGTGCTAAAAGTGAAATGCAGCTATGCAACGACCCTACAGAGCTGCGAAACAACGCGGGAGGCTACATGCCAATTGAGAACTACGGTCTTATCGGTAACATGCGTACTTGTGCCATGGTCGCTAACGACGGCGCTGTCGATTTCATGTGCTGGCCGTATTTTGACTCCCCTAGCGTCTTCGCGCGTCTTCTCGACCGCAACAAGGGCGGCCATTTCTCCATTGCCCCCAAATGCGGCATCACTGTTGCAACAACGAAGCAGCAATACCTGCCCAGTAGCAACGTCCTTCAGACACGTTTTTTGCACGAGGAAGGCGTGCTCAACGTGATTGATTTCTTCCCAAGGCCGCGGAATCCGGTATCACCGAGTAAACTCGGTGCTGCGGGAGTCGCGAAAGGCAGAATGGCGGCACCAAATGCTGTGGATCCGTTGAAGCAATGGCTAGTCAGAAGGGTGGAATGCATTCGGGGGGAGGTAGAGGTTGAGATGAATATCTTTCCTGCATTCAATTACGCTCGCGACGCTCACCAGACGACGGTAAGGGGAAGCAAGCAGCAGACTGCGGTTTTTGAGAGTCGAGATCTCAGCTTGCAGCTTGACGTGACAATTGACTGCGGTGAAGAGAGCGAGGAGTGTCCGAATGTGCAATTGGAGCGTGTCAAAGGATTGGGACTTGGTGACGGGATTGTGTCGTATTTCAAGCTCACCGAAGGCCAGGCAATATCATTCATTCTGCGGGAGGTCCCGACCGCAGAAAAATCTTACGAAGAGCAACTGACGACGGCACTGATCGATCATGTGCAGAAGGAGACGCAAGCTTTCTGGTTCAACTGGATATCACAAAGCATTTACAAGGGTAGGTGGCGAGAAGTCGTCTCGCGAAGCCTCCTGATTCTGAAACTACTCACCTTCGAACCCACCGGAGCCATTGTTGCTGCGCCAACATTCTCACTCCCAGAGGACTTCGGAGGAAGCAGAAACTGGGACTACAGGTTCTGCTGGGTGAGAGACGCGTCGTTCACAATCTACATTTTTCTTAGGATGGGTTTCAGATCCGAGGCTGAGGCCTACATGAATTTCATGAGCGACCGCTTCCGATACTCGAGAACACAGGAAGGTGCACTACCGATCATGTTCACCATTCACGGCAGCACGAATCTTCCTGAGATTGAGCTCGACCATTTGGAGGGCTATAGAGGAAGCCGACCCGTGCGCATTGGCAACGGCGCCGTGTTCCATAAACAACTTGACATCTACGGTGAGCTGATGGATGGCATTTATCTGTACAACAAGTACGGAAAGCCCATCTCTTTCGATCAATGGGTCGCCATTCGTGAAATGGTGGACTATGTGTGCAAGATATGGAAGGAGAAAGACATGTCCATTTGGGAGGTGCGAGGAGAGATACAAAACTTTGTGTATTCCAAGATAATGTTATGGGTTGCCGTTGACCGAGCCATTAGGCTTAACGAGAAGCGGGCAAACCTTCCAGCACCCCAACGAGAGACATGGATACGGGTGCGAAATGAGATGTACGAGGAGATCATGGAGAGGGGATACAACAAGGAGATGCGGGCGTTTATTCAGAGCTACGAACACCCCGACGTGCTGGACTCCGCTGTGCTCATCGCACCGTTGGTGTTCTTCATTTCGCCCAACGATCCCCGTTTCACCTGCACATTGGAACGCATCTTGCAGCCTCCCGAGAAGGGCGGATTGACCAGTACCGGCTTGGTCTATCGCTACAACACCTCTAAGTTTGACGACGGTGTGGGTGGGCGCGAAGGGGCGTTCTCCATGTGCACATTCTGGCTCGTGGAGGCGCTGACGAGGGCTGGAGCTTACGATAAGGACTATATCGTGCAAGCGATCAACACCTTTGAGAATATCCTGGGCTTCTCGAACTATTTGGACATGTTCTCGGAGGAGATCAGCCAGAGTGGAGAGCAGCTGGGAAACACGCCGCAAGCATTCTCGCACTTGTCCTTGATCAGTGCCGCTTTCAATCTGGATCGCGCCACGAGCGGAGCTGGCGGCGTGTAAGCTCGGCCCTGTTTGATTTCGACTTTCTTCGTTTGCTGTTCTCGCGGAGTTTGGAGGAGTCATGTGTGCAACGAATTAAAAATTCCTGACCATCTAGGCCACGTTCGTGACGCTTACGCACTCTGTCTATTTTCTACGTTCATTATCTTGCCATTTGCCTTCTAACAGCCATTCGCCAGAGGATGAAAACCAATACCGCATCGAACACCAAGCACGAACCAGCCCACACCTGTGCACCCAGATATTCCGAACGCGGCCTCCTCCCGCTAGAGCCTTGATTCGATCTCTTAATCAATGCACCTGCAATTGGAGGTCCCAACAACGCAGAAAACGAAGCAATACTGAAGCTCATTCCGCTCCTGCTCCCCAAACGCCTTGGATCGGGACACAGCCCAGGAAACGAAGCTGAAGGCAAGGTCACAAGGCCTGCCGAACAGAATCCCCACACAACGGCCCATGCAATCATACCCTTTTGTGTAGCGATAGCCATCCACGTAAAACACATCGTGCCCGCAGTTGCGGCGCAGAACGCCCACGCCATGATAGGCCCTACATAATGCCCAATCGAACCGGTAAGTAATCTTCCAGCCGCACTAGCGGCAATACTATATATCAGAATGTAAAAAGCTTGACTTTGTGATGCACCGAGACAGTCCTGTGCGAAGGACGGAAAGAAAAAGTAGGGGGTAATATAGCCCAAATTCCCCGCGAAGACACTGGCGGTAAACATCAGGAATAGTGGGTCTCTAAAAGCGGCCTTCTCCCAGATCTTTCGCGCTGTCCTGGCACGGGCAAGAGCGGACGTGCCAGTAAGCAAGGCGGGAATAGCAAGGGCGGCCATGCCAATGGAAATGAAAGCTTGGGTGCGTACAGCAAAGTCGAAACCGCGCGATTTGGAGAGGCGATCGAAGGCAATCGTGTATGCTATTCCCCCTGATAAATCTTAGCGTTTCCAGTCGGTAGAACATGTTCATGACCTCTATTCCACCTACCGACCGCGTTCCCGCTCGTAACAATGCCTTGGGCAAGGGATAGTCGCTTCTTAAAGCTCAGTCCAAGAAGAGCCATGCTCGGGACAAAAAGGAGACCAATGCCCAGGCCAATGCAGGCGCCTTGGCTAAGAAAGACTGAGGCGTAGCTTCTGCTGATAGACAGCATGAAAAGACCAAAAATAATCAAGGTATTCCCGACGAACAACATGGGTCTGAAGTAGCCAAGATCGAAAAGCGGACCGCTGACGACACCTGTGGTAATCAGAAACCAGGACTGGATGGTGCCAATCCAAGATATAGCCGACGGTGACATATTTGACAGGAAGGAGCGCTGATAGTATGTCTGATAGGCACCAAAAGACACTTGGAAACTCCTTGATAGCGGTCAGGTGCACCGCAGGCTTCTGTGGCGTCAATGAAATGGTACGTACAGAGTATTGGCATACATGAGAAAGCACCCAAAGACCTTGAGCCAGGCATGAAGACCACCGTCTGGGGGTTCGGCTTCGGGATCAATGGCGGATCTTGTTGAATGAATGGTCCGTCGAGACAGCGTCCTGTTCAGATCTGGCACATCTGTTTGGTCAACTGCGACGTTTTCGAAGCTTGCTACTTTTTCGTCTGCATCGAAAAGCTGGCCGTCGATAGTGTCGTCGCACTCTAGACATGGGCCTCCAGATGACGCGGTAATCGGATGAACTTCCATAGCAAGCAGTGTAAGAATTGTGCAGAAGAGGGGAAAAAAAAAGGGAAAAGAAAAAGGGCTTGATCTTGTCTCGCGACGTTTGGGGGACAACTGTTCCTGGCAAGAGCGGACCGAGTTCAATGGTAAAGGAAAATCAGAGCAGAAAAGAATGACAAGGGAAGCAAAGTCTTACACGAGCAAAAACTGCCGTGCTTAGAAACCAAAACCATTGTGACATCGACGAAGGTCATTCGCGATCTGCAGCGAGACCGGCAGCTTGGTATGCGTTTTGAACCTAGGTAAGCGCATTTACTCCTCACGGCGTGTACTATTCGAATGCAGTCGGTGAAGAATCCACCGACAAGTGCCGAATTGGTTGTTATGATCAAATCTGGAAATGTGAGTTGCTCCACAGCTTTTGAAAAAAAAAATATTGCAACATACATACACTGGATGCCATGCACCGAATGGAGTCGGGAATTTCCTAATGTCAATGCTGGAATGGGAATGTTGGACGAAAAGGTGGAGCATGTAAAGCTTCCTCGGCTTATGTCCAGCTCCTCCAACTCAAATTGATTGGGGAATACGACAGCAAATCTTGCAACGTTCTCATGAGTAAGATTAATTCCAGGGCCTGAACGCCAAGTACTGGCCCACGAGCATGTTCGTTAAGGTTTAAAATGGAGTAAGGCCTCATCTCGACCACAAAGAACGCGGTCCCTTAGGGTGATGCATGCTTTACTCTTCCTCCTGGTAAAGTTGCATATCGATGTCCAGTCTGGGTTGGGCTTTTGCTATGCAGGCCGATGAGCGGAGGAAAAACAAGATATATAGGAGTGTTGCAGAACAGGTTGTCAACCCTTCCGCTGGTTTTCCATGACCCTCATCACGTCCGCCATACTGTTCTTATCACCCTTTCTTTTCTTCGGGCCTCTCTTCCTTTTGCTCCCTCCTCGCCCTCTTCCACCTTCATAATCATCGGAGTCTTCCCCACCTAGCCCCTTCCACTTGCTGAATTTGACCTTCTCCCCATCTATCGCCATGTCTTCAGCATCCTCGAATCTACTGCCACCGAAACCCATATCCATGTCTTCCATATCACGATCTTGACTTGCAAGCATGGCCTCGCGTCGTTTGCGTCGTGCTTCGTCTTCGGCAGTAAGGGCTTGGGAGTCTTCTGCCGCTACATTCTGTGCGCGTTGCGACTTGGCAAGCGCAGCAATAACAGAAGGATCCGAGAGATTGTTTTTGATCGTGCTGAGGACGGAAAAAGAGGACGGGTCGTCATTGAAATAGTTCTTTGTTCCAGTTGATGAGGACACCATGTGTTCCGTATGGGGGCCCCCCTTCGTCTCGGCTTCTGATCCAGAGTTCGAAGCCTCATCTTGATGATCATTTTTATGTGTCGTTGTAGCCTCATTCTCCGATGCGTCACTGTCGTTAAGATCTGCAAGGGGATTGAAGTCGTGTCCTGCATTTTCGAAGATGTCTTCATCGCTCTCTTCTTCCATCTTCGGCTCGAACATAGGAATGTTAACATCTGCACCAAGCGGCTGCTCCTTGTTAACCGGAGACTCCCTCGTCTCCTGGGAAGGACTGGGCTTGAATTTCTTGATCTTGCGCTTAACATTACCATGCTCGTCTGTTGTGATAAGCACTTCTCTGCCTTTTTCGTCAATCTCTATTTTTGGACCATCGCTCTTGCGTATCTTCTTGAAACCCGAACCCAATTGAGGCCGTGCAGCTGCTTTGGCTGCTTCTCGTTGAGCTTTCAAATCTGCCAAAATCTCATCTCGTGTTCGCTTTTGTCCGGCGATTGACGCAGGAATTATCTTCGCCTTTTCGCCTTGTTTGACGCGATCTTCTCTCACTGTGGCGACGACTTCATGCTTCTCCAGCTCTTCAAATGCAGCATCCTCGTCTCCCACATGGTTTTCTTCACTGGTACCGTTCTTATCCTGGAGCGCAAGTACATTCTCACCTCTCCGAACTCTTTCCAGTAGCTTCCTATCCAAACCTTTAACCAAATGCGTCCGCGATATATCACCGCCAGTAATTTCATCTCTCATTCGCTCGAAAGTCTCCTCATCGATCTCTCCATTCTTCATCCGTTCCTCTAAAGCCTTGAGCTTCTGTGCTGTCTCGTCTTCCTCTTCATTCTCTCGCCTCTGCTGCGTGCGATCTACATAGCCGGCAGCTAGCTTTGTGCCCTTTGGTATGGAGGACTTCGTCTTATTCAGCTCCTTTTCGCCACTTGTCTTCTTGAAAAGTTCTGCGCCGTAAGATCGACCTGTCCGCACCGAGGATTTCGGCCTTGCCCCAAGAAGCATCCGTGGAGCGCTGTTTGGTTTGGTAGATCTAGGTGCTTCATTTTGCGAGACGCCAAGGTTAGCACTGACCAATCGTCTAAACTGTTCATTGTTCATTGTGAAAGCAATTAAGAGCAGAGGTAATGAGCGAAATGTTGCATTGCATCCATGTTGGAGGCCCGGAAATTGGTCACGTGGACACCCGTCTCCTGACGCGTGAAATCGCGTAACTCTGCCCGAGCTTTTCAGCAAAGTTACATAGACATTCACCAATACTTCCTTTACGCAATACGCAAGATGAGTTCTAGGCCGGAGCTCAAGGTCGATGATGAAGTTGGCTTCATCAAGTTCTTTCGCAATTTAGCTGCCAAAAATGAAGACACTGTCCGTATCTTTGATCGTGGCGACTTCTATTCGGCTCACGGTGAAGATGCTGTATTTATAGCCAGGACTGTAATGGGAACTCACCATATCGCTGAGAGATCATGCTGAGATGTTATAGGTCTATCGAAGTACATCTGTCCTGCGACAGCTCGGGCGCGATCCAGGACTTGACTCGGTCACCCTTACTGTGACAGTATACAAGAACTTTCTACGCGAAGCCCTTTTCAAACTTGGCAAAAGGGTTGAGGTATGGGTCTCATCAGGCCGCATGAACTGGAAGATTGGCAAGCAGGCATCTCCCGGCAATCTTCAGGACGTGGAAGACGACCTTGGTTCAAACCTCGAGACCGCACCCGTCATTCTCGCCGTTAAGATAATGGCCAAAGCTTCTGAAGCACGCAGTGTGGGCGTCTGTTTTGCCGATGCGAGTGTCAGAGAGCTAGGCGTGAGCGAATTCTTGGACAACGATCTCTATTCAAATTTCGAGTCGTTGCTCATCCAGCTAGGTGTCAAAGAATGTTTAGTGCAATTAGATCCTTCCGGGAAAGATGTCGAACTCTCAAAACTGCGCCAAATCGCGGATTCGTGTGGTTGCGCGGTCTCAGAAAGAAGCTCGGGAGATTTCGGCGTCAAAGATATCGAACAAGATCTCAGTCGCTTGCTTCGAGACGGAAACATGGCAGGAAGATTGCCACAGACCGATCTGAAGCTCGCCATGGGTTCAGCTGCAGCTTTGATTAAATATCTCGGGATCATGACTGATTCATCGAACTTTGGACAATACCAACTGTATCAACATGATCTAGCGCAGTACATGAAGCTTGACGCTGCGGCATTGAAGGCCTTGAATCTTATGCCAGGTCCAAGAGATGGACACAAGACGATGAGTTTATTCGGACTGTTGAACCACTGCAAGACACCCGTTGGAAGCCGACTGCTTGCCCAGTGGCTCAAGCAGCCATTAATGAGCAAAGTCGAGATCGAGAAACGACAGCAGCTAGTTGAAGCCTTCGTTACAGATACGGAACTTCGACAGACAATGCAAGAAGAGCATCTTAAGTCTATACCTGATCTGTACAGGCTTGCAAAGAAGTTCCAACGCAAGAAAGCAAACCTCGAAGATGTAGTGCGGGCCTATCAGGTTGCTATTAGGTTGCCTGGCTTTCTGGGCACCCTGGACGCGGTAATGGATGAACAATATAAGGATGCACTGGACGCAGAGTACACTTCAAAGCTTCGGGAATACTCGACCGCCATGGGCAAATTGTGCGAGATGGTTGAGACAACAGTAGACCTGGATGCACTCGACAATCACGAATTCATCATTAAATCTGAGTTTGACGAATCTCTGAAATTGCTGCGAAGGCGAATTGACAAATGCAGGGCGGAGATTGAGAAGGAGCACCGGCGGGTTGGCAAGGACCTAGATCAAGACATCGAGAAAAAACTTATGCTTGAGAACCACCGTGTTCATGGCTGGTGCCTAAGACTTACCAGACAGGAATCGTCATCGATTAGAAACAAGAAGGGCTACCAAGAGATAAGCACACAGAAGAACGGCGTGTATTTCACAACCAGCAATCTACAGAATTTGCGACGCGAATTTGACCAGCTCAGCGAAACCTACAATCGCACACAATCTGGTCTTGTCAGTGAAGTTGTCGACGTAGCTTCATCATACACTCCCGTCTTTGAGAAGCTGGCTGGCGTCCTTGCTCATCTGGATGTTATCGTCTCCTTCGCACATGTATCGGTACATGCTCCGTCCGCGTACGTCCGGCCAACTATTCACGAGAGGGGTACCGGAAATACTATTCTTAAGGAAGCACGGCATCCATGTATGGAGATGCAGGATGATATCTCGTTCATCACAAACGACGTATCTCTTGTTCGTGGTCAGTCCGAATTCCTGATCATTACAGGCCCTAACATGGGGGGTAAATCAACCTATATACGACAAATCGGCGTGATTGCATTGCTTGCCCAAATCGGCTGCTTTGTTCCTTGCTCTGAAGCAGAACTTTCAATCTTCGACAGCATACTTGCTCGTGTCGGTGCTTCCGACTCCCAACTGAAGGGTGTATCAACCTTCATGGCAGAGATGCTTGAAACGGCAAATATTCTTAAATCAGCTACTCGAGAAAGTTTGATCATTATTGATGAGCTTGGCCGTGGCACAAGCACCTACGACGGCTTTGGTCTCGCATGGGCTATATCAGAACACATAATTCGCGAAATTGGTGCGCTGGCACTCTTTGCAACACACTTCCACGAACTCACCGCACTCGCCGACACGTATCCGCAGGTCAAAAACTTACATGTCGTTGCACATATTGATGGAGAGCGCGACAAGCGGGCTGTTACGCTACTCTACAAAGTTGAACCTGGAGTATGCGATCAATCATTTGGTATTCATGTTGCGGAGCTGGTCCGTTTCCCGGAGAAAGTGGTCAATATGGCGAAGCGCAAGGCTGATGAGCTGGAGGACTTTAGTGGAAAACATGAGATTAGGAGCATGGATGCTAGTAAAGAGGACGTAGAGAAGGGGAGTGCCATGCTTAAGGCGCTACTGGTGGATTGGAAAAAAGAGACCGATGGAAAAGGATTAAGTAAGGAAGAGCAGATCTTGAAGATGAAGGAGTTGGTGAAAGCGAACAAAGATTTGCTTGCCAACCCTTTTTTTCAATCTGTCACTGCTTTGTAAGGTGTCATAAGAGCAATACAGCGTGACTCACGCGTACATGTTCGCAGGAATTATTCGTCGCCTCAGAAGGCGTGTCCGGAATTGTAACGATAGCTGGATCGAAAGGGATACATCACTAGTCATATGGCATGTTGAACCTTGTTTACAATAGCATGAGCTCTAACTTTAGATAGCTCATGTCCGAATTATTTAGCTGGAACCGTTTGCATATTTTTTCCCAGTATTTGGTAAAAATAGTCGTAGTTTGTTGCTATATTGTTTCTTGGCATCTTACGGCCTGGACATGCCAAAACTAACGCCGAACAGTAGGTTTTATCCACCAACTAAATATGTAAGCCAAACCATACATGGTCGTTAAAACTACAAAATATGTTTGCGGTACCCATCCAACGGTTTGCGCATATATCCCCGTCAAAATGACAGGTCCAAAAATTCGCGCGAGAGCATGCAACAGACCAAGGGCCCCGAGTAACTGACCCACTCTTTCTTTCGGAACATGTTGGGTCAGAGCCGCTTGCAAACTAGGAGAAGCTATACCGCCAACACTGGTGACCGCTCCCGAAAGGATGAATGGCAAGGACGTTGGACTCGAAGCATAGCCCAAGAAGCCAAGAGTGTCTGCCAAAATCGCAGATCGAATGATGTTCACCTGGATAGAGTCGGTACCTTCCGGCGACATTTCGTCATGAGGTCGGCTATTAGGCGCTGTTGTACAATGGTCGCACAGCTTTTGCCGCGAGCGGAAGATGGTCGTAACGGCAGGTATTACGACCAATAGGCAGGTAACCCTACAGCTGTTGACAATGGAGGTGAACTGAGCTTGATGCCATGCATCCCAGCCGAACATGTAATTCGAATAAAGAAGAATAATTCCTGCCGCGCCCAGACCAATACCAAATACTACCGTGTCTAGGACTGCGAGTAGAATCAGATTTCTCCGAACCAGTCTAGGAGCATCCGAATAATAAAACACATGTAATGGTTCGAAAAGTCGGTAAGGAGAATAGGCACTCAGCCACGATCTTGTGGCTCTCTGAGCCCCTTTCTGGGCGTACTGTTCCCGAGCGGCGAGCTGACGCTGCTTCGGGACAGACTCTGGAATCACGAGCAATGACAACAACATGAAGACTGTATAACAGCCAGCAGACATGAAGAACATGATCGTCGTGTTGCCGGTCAGCTTGATCACGTAGCCAGCGATGATGGGACCTATGGCTATGCCAAGAAATAGACAGCCATGGAGCCAGCCGAAGACCATAGTACGTCTTTCAGAAGAAGTGCAATCTGAAAAGTATGATTGCGATATGGCCATCGCTGTGATGAAAGATCCTGTCGCTCCATCGAAGGCTGAACCCAACAATATCCAGTTCACAGATACCACACGAGGGAAGCTAGCGGCAAGAATCGTAATGAGTTCGTTGAGTATCATGCCACAATTGATGAATGCGAGGACTGGCGTACGTCCGTAACGATCTGAAAGAGATCCTAGTCTGGGTGCAATAATGGCTGTCAATGTTCCACTAATGGCGCTCATGATGAGCTTAAAGGTGGCAGTTTGAGACTGGATCGCTGCGACTCGACACCGCTCATTGGGCTGACCCGGTGAGACCAAGCTCGCGTCGAGATCGAGCTCGTCGACGGCAGGATATTTGGTTAGATAATCCTGGCAGATGAGCGACAAAACTAAGTTGACGCGAGGGACTAGCACGCCACCGAAGGCGAGGGCCGAGATTGCGAAAGGCGCAAGAAGCCAATACACCTGAAGTGATGATGAGTCTGTGAGTTCCCATGGAGGCAGCGTAATGATTTACAGATGGTCGCTTGCGCCAAGGTAAGCTCTCTAACGGACTCGCTCGTAAAGCACGTCTTCTGTCCGCCGACTCGTCACCAAGCAAGGGCGAGCTTTCGTCATAGATCTGTCGGTCAGCCTCATTCAAGACTCCTGTGTCATTGAGCAAGTTCGTCGCATCGTCAATGTCCGCGACGTCGAGGAAAACTGCATTGCTCTTTCCCCCATTGCAATCGTCCATCAGGGTCGGTAGCGAACGAAAGCAGCGCGAGACGATTCCAGCTTCCTTTTGGACAGGCGCATCAACAGAAAAGTGTCCGTCAGAAAGACGAAGGATCAAAACAATGGTAGAAATGAGAGTTTGTCGGACGGAATCAAGGGCACGAGATCACATCCCCAACTCGGTAGGAATCCATGATGTCGACTTGCATGATGTCTACGCGTCAGATTGAGGTTTCATGGCGCTAATGGCGCGTAGCATACCAGACTGCCCAACTTACACCACGAAGATACCTTGCTTTCTGGACCTGGCATTTAACTACTTGAATTGCCCACTTTTGCTTCCAGGGCGGGTGCGCAACATTAAATAGAGATCCAAACAGCGAGTGTCACGTGACCCAAGACGAACGATGGTGAAGGGCTTACGAAGATGTATGACAATCACCGTTGAAGCGGATCAAGAGATGTAAATCACTGAAAAGCGCTTCTTGATTTTGGCCCACAAGATAAGCATGTACTGGTTGCAATGCAGGTTGCAACGTTTAAGCGCATGCTGGGGGGCTTTCTTGTTCAGAAGTGCTAAGCTTCAGGGCCGAACCGCATGGATTAAGCCTTAGGTGAGATCTCAAGAGGCTCTCGGCATCGAATGCAGGCTCATGGATGTTCAAGCCGACGCGAGATTGGCGCAGAGGGCAGAGATCAATCACGTGTTCTGGGACTCTTCGTGTCAGTGTAAGTAGAAGAGAACACCACGGTTGGAAGCTGATTTAACAAAGGGCAACAGAAGGAGCAAGAGCTTCATTCCCGGATCTCGACAAATTGCTCTCTGGTTGTTTCAGCTCAATCATAGGCATAACCAGGAGATGAACCCACACGTTCGCTTTGACTTTCGTTGGCATGCAGGAGGATGCGGCATGACTGTTGAGTCCAACACCCTCCTCTCCTGTATCGACCTTCAAAGCACTTAGCACTTCGAAATTGACTTTGCTGCACGATGTTGAAATACTGCCCTGCACACGCTGGAGTACATGCGGTGCGTGCTTGAGCGTAGTCAAGATACAAACTGTACATACACTTGATCAAGTTCCCCAAATCCAGCCCCTCAAAATAAAGAAGCCAATTAACGGCACAGTAAACACGATAAATCCGCTACGTGAAACGGAGTGAACGGAAGGCAAACGTATACGAACCAATCCGACAGGTCGGTCTCTTCACAGCCTCGTTTTCGTCAAAATCGCGCATCGTCGTCAGCCACGGACGGGCCAATGCCAGTAAATAAGCTTTCTAGGCCTTCACAGCCTCCCGCTTACCCCAGATCCGATTTTCGCACAAGTATGTACAGACGATAACGAGACTCAACGCTCGAATGCATCGCTCGTCGCTGGCCATGAACGTTCCGGCAGTCAATCCGCGCAGAAAGGCGCTTCTGATCGGGATCAACTACACGGGCTCGAGGCATGAGCTTCACGGATGTCAGCAGGATGTGCGCAACATGATCCCTTTTCTGCAAGCGCGAGGATTTCCGGCCCATGAGCCATACATGGTTGTGTTGGCGGATGACCGAGGCGGCAACTACTACCCAACTGCGCACAACATCCTCGCGGCGATGGACTGGCTGGTCTCAGAACCTGGATATTCTTGTTTCCTACATTATTCCGGCCACGGGGGCCAAGTCGTTGACCCGTACGGTGACAGACCGACGGGATTTAATGATACGATAGTCCCAGTGGATTTTGAGAGAGCCGGACAGATCGACAGCGGAACGTTGCATCGGCATCTTGTGTCTCAGCTGGCACCCGGCTGTCAGCTTCACATTGTCTTCGACTGCTGCCACAGTGGTTCGGCAGTCGAATTACCATATGTGTATCGCAGCGACGGTGACGGCAGGGTCAGCTTGATTGACAAGTACGTAAAACCCGGGTGGCATATGATCCTTTGCTTAAGCATCTCAGCTTCCGACAAGGTGTTCGCCTCATGGAAGCAGGATCGCATTTGATCCGAGGTGGGTTCAACTTCTCTAAGATCGGAGAGGCAGCGGAGCTCTACGCTGGTGCCCAAAGCTTCTTCAATGGCCTCAAGTACATGAACACGGACGAGGACGGACTGGGCGAAGAGCATTTCCACAACGATTGGAAGGCGGAGAACAAGCGCGTGATCATGTTCTCGGGATGTCGAGATGAACAGACGAGCGCAGACGCGACCATTGGCGGCAGCCATGTCGGCGCGATGAGCTGGGCGTTTTTGGAGAGCATGAGGAGATTCGGCAATCAGAGTTATCTACAGATTTTGCAGAGCACGCGCCAACTGCTCAAAGCCTCGCGATATTCGCAGATTCCTCAGATGAGCGTTGGACAGATGATGGATCTAGATCAGCCACTATATCTGTAGAAGGCTTCGTCTGTACCGACATTGCAGGGCGTAGCCTCGACTGCAGTTGATCCAATGTCAGTGTGAGAGCTTATGCGCTCGGCATTCCGGAAGACAGCGTAAGCCACCAGGCCTGCCTTTGGCGAGACAGGCCACACTATGTGGAATGTGAATGGTATACTGAAAAGCTGACGAACACTATTGATCTTGTACCCATAGTCTGCCGAACCTCTGCAACGACCGCGACGGCCCTGCCGGTTTCTGTCCCGCTGTTTTCTCTTTCTTCCCCCATGTTCTTCTTCTTCTTTCAGTACGAACACCAGCTGGGCAGTGCTGGCAGTGGCAAGACACGGTCGCGCGTGGCAGCGGAGCCATGCTCACCCAGCGTGAGAGCAGAGCGTGAATGCAGTGTGTGTTGTTTGAAGCTGGGGGGATTGTTCAGCAGACTGCGCAGTCGCTTCGCTCGAGAGCGGCGGAGGAACGGGCCGCCTGCTTCGAGCAACAGCTCCTCCGCGCGGTGATGTAGCAACGTCTGTCATACGTTGCGCCGTTCGCAACACCGCAGATTCAAGCGTATTGTTGCCAGAGTGTTGCCCGTCCGCCGGCGCATGGGGCATGTGTCGCAAGCATCCCTGGCGTGTCGTCAAGCGCGCTCAGGGCGGACGATGCATCGTCTCCGCGCGAGCGAAGAACGAGCACCGTAGAATAGCCCTGTAGAACTGGCGGCAGAACGCGCGCAGAACCGTTGCAGGACGGGCCATTCCAAGGTCTTCTTGTCCGTGTGGCAGCAGCACGCATCGCCGTGGAACTTGCCGTTCAATCTTCGATTCGTGCCCATTGGAGCCGCTCGCCTAAGCGGTTTTCGATCCACAATTACATCGGTGGCGCCGGAAGTCCCAAGCCCAAGCGGCCCTGGCGACTCGCTAACCCGCTGCTCGTCGTTCCCTACATCCACAGTAGCGGCTCTTAGCACATTCGTGCAAGATAACATTCTGCTGGACAGTCGGCGACGTCTTCCCAGATCCCACAGCGACTGTTATTGCCTCTGGGCTGGAGGTGCAGCAACCACAGCGCACAAGGAGCCGGCCTGGCTCCGTCGCCGCTCTTCGCTCATACGTCATTTGCCTGCTTCAGTCTCGAGAAGGGGCAGCGAACACGCACACACTCGCGCCAGAATTGATGCGCTTCTGCTGACCTGCCTCCCGCGCCGCGCAACTCGACGACGATCACGCGTAGTGCTTCGGTTGTGCGAATGGAGGAAACCGATTCGAGATGACGGGGTCGGTGCCATTTCGACCGCAGCGCAATGCAACATCACCGGCTCGTATCGACATATCGTCTCTGCCTGCAGACAGCGAGCGAAGGTCGCCTAGACACTCTCCAGCCGTGACCGGAGAGAGAACGCCGACTTCTAGCAAGCCTATCCCTCCCGCCGACTCTGGTTCTGCCACGCCAAAACATGACAGCGAGGTCTCGGAAACGAGCGGCAGCGCGGACGCTTCCATGGATGAAGAGGAGGAGGCGCAGCAGCGAACGTCGCGTAAAGAAGGGCAGTTCGCGTCGAATGTCGACATGGAGCGTCTGAGGAAGTTGAGGGAGGCGGTGAATGAGAAAATGCGACAACAGGCGATGATGGGCATGCCGGTCCGCACCGCTGCTGGAAGTATCGTGACCCGTAGATTTTCACCCATCAAGGAGGAGACATCAACGACGCCGACAATATCTCCTTCTCTTGAAGCTGCATTCTCTTCCAGTCCGCTCATTGCGGGCGTGCCGACGGCGTCCACCGAGTCCACCGAGTCGGCAAAGACAATTCGTGGTAGCGTGCCTCCGACCCCAAGCAATCCTCCACTTCGGACGCCCTCATATCCTTTCCCATATGTCCCTGGAACACCAAGGGCGTGGAATTCATCGTTCCACAGGCCATTTACCACACTATCGCCGACCGTGTCATCGATGAATATTCACGACCTTACACCAGGTGATAGAACTCTTTCAGAAGTTTCAACTCCAGCAGCGAGTGCTTTCACTTTCTTGCCTTCCGCCGCGTCGCCACGCCAAGAGACGGGTGGTGATCAATATCCTGCACCCAATCTTTACGATTTGTCCATCGAACTGAATCTCGAACCCGGCTTGCACGCCTGGTGGCAAGCGGTAGCGCGCGTCCTCAATCGAGAATATGCTGCCGTGCGAGCGTCCCTTTCAGTGCCTGCCGATGCTGGAGAGCTTGAGAACGTTCCGTGGGGACAGATAGCGTCGTACAATGAATTTGGTCCACCCAGCGTTAAGCCAAATGTGAAGGCTCAGGAAAAGAAAAACAGTGCTTCTTCGGAATCGTCTACGAAATCCAGCACGCCGGTGACGCAACGACTTAGCAAGGATCAGAACAATAAATCTTCAGCCACGCAACAACCATCGCCTGTTCCAGTACGACCGCCGATTGTCTCGCGACACTCATACGCTGGGTTTGAGAAGGACAGAACAGAATTGTCGACACCAACAGCCAGCGCGGCTCCGATTGAGCGACCTCGTGCGCTGCTGAGGACAAAAAGCCTAGCCCCTCAACTGTCTTCGCATACAGAGTCCCTCACCAGGCCATCGTTCGCACCATCAAGTCAGGAAACACCGGGCCAGTCATCAACGATGAGCGAACTTGACTTCTCCAGTGTAGATACCGACACCCGTCCTGGCCCATATGTGGCAGTTTTACCTATGCTTCAGGGGTTGAGCCACGAAGATCATGCTTTGATCAACTCAACCTACGTAAACCGCATCATTACCAGGGGTAAAGTCGTCGCTCTTACCCGCGAGTATAGCTCATCGGCAGCCGTCTCGAGTGTGATACAACCACCGCCCATGCCAAGCGGCAAAGTACACAACAACGGCACGGCAATGCCAGATACCCTGCACGGAAGCATGAAATTCCCCTACGATCATTTTTCAAAAGAAACTCATCTAGTGCCATACGAGGAATTCGAGCAGTTCCCAACATCGCCGTGGGCGCAGTCACCTGCGCCTTCGCCCGCTATCCAAGCAGATCCTGAAGAGAACCCTTTTTTCGCGTCGCAAAACGTTGATGAAAGTTCCTTTGATCCTAAAGGGATGACTCCTGACTACTCTATAACTCGACAGGTAGAAGCGATTGGGATCGACAACGCAAGTACGGTCATACACGTTCCACTTGTCCATCCAACGTTGTCGCAGCAGTTACCAGCTAGCAGAAGAGCCTGCAAGAAGTCGAAAGATGGCTTCGTAGACGACTCTTCGATGGCTAAAAAAGCACCGATCGCTATCCTATCCTTTTTGTCTCCAGTCGTCCCATATCCACAGCATTTACTGCAGTCGATCAAATTACTGTCCCTGCATTTAGCTACTAGCTTTGGCATGGCACAACAATATACAAATGCTCAAAGACAAGCGTCCAGTCTTATACATAGAAGGCTGCATTCAGGCCTCAAGGTCGGATTTGCTCCGTTCGCAGCTGATAGGGAAGGCTTGGAACATCTGATTAACGCTGAGTTTGATCACCCTTCAACAAGCTCTGTTACCGGAAGCATAACCAGCCCCTCGGACTACTCAGGCAGGTCTCGAACAAGTCCGGGGGGCTCTATACTCGGTACACCCGGATGGGATGCATCTTCGCTATTACATGGACGCAGATCAGCGGGCAACACTCCTGGCCAGAGTGCGGAGATGTCAGACAGCTACTTCGATTCTCGACAAAAAAGCCCGGTGATTCGCAACATGAGTAGCGGTGGTTTAAATCAGATGCTACAAGACGACATTCGCTCAAGTTCCAGAAAATCAAACGCGGCAGAGGATCGAAACTCACGGAAGAGCAGCGATCATCGTCGACGAACTATGAGCCAAGATGAGAAATCTCTTGTAACCCCACAAAGTCGTGGCGTGGTCGGCCATAAGCGTCAACCAAGCAAGAACAGCGCCCAGCAGGCGTCTGAGTCGGTTGATCGCAGGCCACATTCATACCTGCACTCGTACGGCGCGGATTTTGCAACCTCTTTCCAAATACTACCCTCAACGGCAACGCCAACAGGGACCGGACCTGGACCATCTGTATCTTCGTCCCAGGAGCGTAGCCTCCAAGACATGTTGCCTCCCTCCGAAAGATTACTCCGAACCATCATCGATGCACTTCCCGTCCAAATTTTCACTGCTGCTCCCATCACAGGGGAGTTGACCTGGGTCAATTCTAAATTCGTTGCTTATCGAGGCAAAGAACCAAACGATATCATTCACGACCCATGGCAAGCCATTCACCCGAGCGACCGGAGCCATTACATGGAACAATGGCAACAGTCGCTCAGTACGGGCCAGCACTTCTCACACAAGGTTCGATTGCAGCGCTTCGATAATGTCTACCGATGGTTTTTCGTCCGAGCCACGCCGCTCAAAGACAAGAAGCAAAACATCGTTCACTGGACTGGAACCTACATGGACATTCATGACCAGCATGTGGCAGAGCAAAACGCCGCTCGTCAAACCGAAACAGCTGCTTCGGAAGCCAAATATCGCGCGCTTGCCAATTCAAGCCCTCAAATTGTGTTCGCCGCAACTCGCACTCGTGGTGTAACGTTTTGCAATTCTCAGTGGCTGACCTACTCTGGTCAGACGGAGGCGCAAGCACGTGCATTGGGCTTCATGGACCTTGTTCATCCGGATGACTTGGTGAAGTGTCGGTTGCCTGTTTTCAATGAGGACGGAACGGTTGCGGAAGTGCCAACCACGGTACCTTTCGAAGTTCATCGTTCTGATACTGGCCTCACATCGTCAGACGATTCTTCGGACGCGAAGACAGTGACAAGTCCAAGCGCTACACCTACTTCACAGCTAGGACAAGCGAGACTTTCGAAACTCGCAACGACGGGGATTTTGAAAGTTTCAAAAGACTCTGATGGTCGACCGTCGTACTCTACTGAGGTCAGGCTGCGAAACAAAGATGGCGAATTCCGTTGGCATCTCGTGCGTGTCTTACAGGCACAACCTGTGCGCAAGGACGACGACGGGGAGGAAGAAGAAGAAGAAGAAGAAGAGACATGGTATGGAACCTGCACGGACATTAACGATCACAAATTGCTTGAACAAACTCTTAAAGAGGCTATGGACGCCAAAACTCGGTTTTTGAGCAACATGTCTCACGAAATTCGAACTCCTTTGAATGGCATAACCGGAATGGTGAACTTTCTCATCGACAGCCAGCTCAGCCAAGAGCAGCTCGAACACGTGCATATCATTCGAAATAGTACAGAAGGTCTTCGAGATCTCATAAATGATATTCTTGACCTATCCAAGGTTGAGGCTGGCATGATCAACTTGCAGATGGAATGGTTCCATGTTCGATCGCTGATCGAGGAAGTCAATGATCTTACCTCTTCCATGGCAATCGGAAAGGGTCTCGAGCTAAACTATCTCATTGAAGAGAATGTGCCGTCAAGTGTCAAGGGCGATCGATTTCGCATTCGCCAAGTGCTGCTCAATGTCGTTGGAAATGCCATCAAATTCACCCAACAGGGCGAAGTGCTTGTCAAATGCGAATTGGCAACAGACCATCAGGCTGAACTGACGCACGAAGAGGTTATGTTGCGGTTCTTCGTCATGGACACAGGCTCTGGATTTACAGAGGCGGAAGCAGAGTTCTTGTTCAAACGGTTCAGCCAGATTGATAGCAGCAGCACCAAAGTCCATGGCGGAACTGGTCTCGGCCTAGCAATATCGAAGCAGCTAGTGCAACTCCATGGCGGTGACATGGGCGCCCAAAGTGTTCCTGGTAAAGGCGCCACATTCTTCTTCTACGCGAAATTCCGACTTCCTTCAGAAGAAGATCACCCGCCCACTCCAACTGGCACGCCTGGGTTGATATCGACATTAGGAACCCCTGGATTTGCACCTCCTGGACGACCGATTGCGCTGCCACCCCACTGGTCACCGCAGCTCGCACGAATGGATTCTGATTCAAGTGCCGTCAGCGCCCAATCCCCACTGCGACACGAATCCACGACTTCCTCTGGAAGCTCCGATCCTTCGATTATGACAAGCAGGACGAGCATGGTCTCAACACGCTCCTCTGTGTCGTCCCTTGCCTCTGTACAATCCCCGCCCATGGTACTTGAGATGCCTCCTAGGCCGAAACCTGAACGGTCAACCTCCTCCGAAGAATCAAGCAGTCCCGACTCGAATAATTCTGTTGTCTCAGCATCCACAGTACGCGCGCGAAGCAGCTCATCGGTCAGTCCAGGCAACAAATCTCCCGTCCCTCCACTACTCTTCTCAATTCTCGTGATTTGTCCCCTCAAGTTCAGCAGACAAGCCATTGTGAGGCACATAGAAACTACGATCCCCCAGAACTCTCCTCATCATATAACTGCACCTGAAAATCTAGAGGAGTGCAAGCAGTTGCTTGGATTGTCGGTAGGATGCGACTCGGTCATCTTTACACACGTAGTTCTTATCTCGCACGAAACGAACGACCTCTACGTCATTGCCAACCAAATCCTGAAGTCGAGCTCCTATTCTGCTACAAATCTTATTATCATTACAGATTTCACTCAGAGGAAAGAGGTGGAGGAACAACTTGGCGGATTTGATCACAAACAGCTTGTTGATACAGGCAGGGTACGATGGATATCGAAGCCTCTCAAGCCGTCAAAGTTCGCCGTCATTTTCGATCCACAGAAACTACGGGAGTTTAGCGCAGATCGAACGCAAGACAGCGCTCAAGCGGTGGTCATGAATCAGAAACAGATATTTGACGAGATGAAGAGGCGCCTTGGCAATCGAGGCATTCGCGTCCTCTTGGTTGAGGATAACAAGACGAATCAAATGGTTTGCGCCCTACATCTTCTCGTTGAGTCATGCTGACATGCTCGGAAGGTTCTTCAGAAATTCTTAAAGAAAGTGGAGATCACTGTCGAGACCGTTTTGGACGGAGTCGAGTGTACCGACGCAGTTCTTACGCATGACCACGGCTACTACTCCATCATCTTGGTAGGTGGATAAGCATCAAATAATGTAAACTTCCATTGCTAATATTCGACAGTGCGATCTCCATATGCCGAATAAAGACGGTTATCAGACCTGTCGCGAGATTCGCAAATGGGAGCGCAAAAACGGCTTGAAACATCTACCCATTATCGCGCTGTCTGCAAACGTCCTGGGGGACGTCTATCAAAAATGTGCAGAAGCGGGCTTCAACTCCTACGTCACGAAGCCTGTCGACTTCAAAGAGTTGAGCATCGTTATGCTAAAATACTTGGATCCGGAAGATCCGACGAAACCAATTGAATTCATGCGTCGTAGCCGGAAGTAAAGCACCATGGCAGTCCATGATTAGGCGTGGACACGGTTACAATTCTTAAACGCATTTGAGCACGGCATGTAAGGTCTTTGGAGCATTGGGGATCATCCGGGAACGACGGTGGTCTACCCAGAGAACATGGAAAGGCGTTCTGTCTCCCGACATATACACGGTTTTTAATTATGGATAAATACAACTAGATCTTACTCAAAGGGACCTACCTGCGACGCGTTGTGAGAGGAGGTTGCTAATTATCGATTTTGGATGGCTTGAGAAGGTGCAGATACGCACTCTTTCGGGGTGACAAATCACACAAATGTGAACAGAACACGCATGTTAGCCACGAAAGCCCAGGCCATCGGTAGAAGATGAGATTACGAGCGTCGGAACAGGAAGCGAATTAATGTGCGCCATTGTCACCTAGCGCTTGTCTATACCTTTTGTAGTCTTGTAGAATAGTCGATACCATCCTTTAATCTGCATTCGATCACATTCTCCAAAATGATTACAACAAGCCCGAACCAAGGTTTTGTGCGGCCCAACGTTTACATTTCACCTAGCTTAACGCCCATCGTCTCCATAAAGTAGTTCTCCTGCATCTTTCGGAGCACCACATCAAAGTCCTTTGGTCCCCCGAATTCAGCTGCCAAGTACCTCGTGATGAAGTAGACGTCGAAGCCCTGCGCCTTTAAGAATTTGATTCGAGCAAGCATGGACGGCGTCCAGGTTCCGGGCCAGCAGGGAATCGGCATGACGCGGGGGACGGATCAGAAGATCTTGCGAAAGCCGCCTAAATCCTTCGGGGGGAGGGTGGGGGAGTATCTGATGAGGGTATGAGCGCGAGCGTGATAAGCGGGGGTGTGAGTGTAAGTGAGAGAGGGGGGAAGAGGATGAGCGTCTCAACGGGGTTGGTCAAGCCGCTGTTGAATCGAAGGAGATAAGAAGGCTGAGGTCGTGTGCGTGCCGGATGACAGACGGAAACCCTTTCCCAAAAGCGGATCTCTGCGTGTCAAAAAAAATTTTTTTTGTTTTTATTTCCTTTCTTTCTTTTAGATTTTTCTTTTCCCAAGTGCTGAAAAGAAGAGCAGGGAGGGCGGGCATCGCGCGTACAAGAGGAGGAAACGGCCGTTTGAGACGAAGACGAGGTTGTGATATGGCGTACGCGTTTGTTTGGAGCAGGCAAACGAGCAGGTCAACGGCAGGCTGGGGCCCTTCCAGTCATTAAAAGAAATTGGTTCGTCATTCCCAAGGGAGGCGGTCTTCTGCACCCGCGATACATGCGCTGTTGCGGAGCCTTTGGCAAAAAGATGCTAGAGCGGACGGGCAAACGGGTCGTTGGTTCGAGCACCGTCGAACGGTGTCAGATGCACAGGTCCGCCGCGTGCCCGTCTGTGAAGGGCTTGCCTGGCCAGAACGCTTGAAAAGAGAATGGGGCCCGACGTCGAGCTGGAGAGGTCAGCCCGCGAAAGCAGGATCAGCGGGAGGCCTTCTTCCCAATCTCTAGAAGCTCGCCCAGCGTGACGACCTCCCAGCCGTCCCTCTTGAGCTTCGGCAGGACCTTCTTCAGCATGGGCACCGTCCACGGCCTGCGGTCGTGGCAGATGACCACCGCACCCGGACGCACCATGCTGAGGATGTGTCTTGCGTTGAGCCACGGATAGGGCACCTGGGGATCGTGCGGGTAGACGCTGCCCAGCGCGAGGCGATAGCCCAGCTTCTTCATCAGAGCGCGCATCGCGTCGTTGAACAGGCCCGAGCCGGGCCGGTAGAAGCGCTGGTTCGTCGCGCGCGGGATCCCCGCCGTCGAGTAGGCCAGGTTGATCTTGGACTCGACCTGCAGGATCTCCCTCTGCAGCTGCTCGACGGGCAGCTCGCGCGCGGGTCGGTCGTGCATCGCGTGGTTGGCCAGCTCCATGCCGCGGGACGCCATCTTGGCCAGGACGTCCTCGCGCCCGTCGACCTGGCCGCCGATGACGAAGAAGGTGGCACGCGCGTCGTTCTCCTCGAGCACCTTCAGGATCGCGTTCGTGTGCTCGCTCGGCGCGTCGTCAATGGTCAGCGCAATCACTTTGCGCCCCCGAGGTACGTCGATTTCCCAAAGCACGTCCGGCCACCGTCGTCGGAAGTAGCTGATCAGCAGTTTTGGAGGCTTGTAGATGGCATAGAACGGATAGATCACGAGGAAGACCAGAAGCATCAGTAGCAACAGCGTCAGCATCCTGGAGCGTCGGGCCCGGCGACGGAGCTTGGACGGCAGTCGAAACAGCAACGATAGACGCGGCATGGCACGCAGTCCTGTATCATCTTTGGTGAAGGAGCTGAACCATCGCGACAGCGGGCGAATTTCCTCTCCGTCGATTCTCCCTGTCGTATTCAGGAGTTCAGGGCTGTGGTGGACAGATACGATAATCTAAAACGGCTTAGTGTGTTCCAAGAAGAGTAACATGGCGTCCGTAGCCAGACCCCAAGATCCATAGTCAGGATCACGCTTTGTGGAACTACAGTCGATAGCTTCAGGCCGAGCGTTTTTGACAGCGTTCTTGATTGGGATCCTGTCGTAATTTGAACATGGCCGCCGTATTCTTAAAATAGAACTTCTCTATTCATTAAACTGTCAAAAGCATGCAGGGAGACAAATCGAGATTGTAGAACTATACTAGCATTGTGGTACGTCAAAATAAACCCTTCCCATACCGTCGTTATCGAAGTTCGTAACATTCATTAAAACCACTGCCATTGAAGAAGCAATGGTGTCATCAAATATCCGGCGCCAACAAGGGAAAAGTACAAGAAGAAAAGACTTCATCCTTAGGTCTAACCGCCTCAGCAAATTACTACTTCACAACGCAGGAAACGCTCAGACATAGAATGCTCGTCGTGATTGTGCACGCACCATTAGTTTTTTGTAGTTGTAAAAGGCAATTTATTGGTAGGAACAGAAAAAGAAAAAAAAAAGGGGGGGGGGGGGGGGGGGGAGGAAAGAAAAAGGTTAAGCAGAATCTCAAAGATGTGAGGAAAACTACCGTCTCCGTCCGCCACGACCGCTAGAACCGAAAAGATTATCCGCAACGTCCTGAAAGAAAGTTGAATGCAGCAGATCTTCGATCTTATCGGCCAAGGGATCCTCGCCTCTTTCCGGAAGACGACGACCTTGCTCATCGAAGCGCGGGGGAAGATCTTCAGTGGAGTCAGAGTCGCCTGCGCTGGAAGGAGATGAGTCACGAGAACGTCGTCTGCGCTTGCGACTGGGCTTGGAATCGCTATGCCGATGTCGACGTTGATCAAACTCGTCTACGTCGTCGCGAGAAGCTTCGGGACTTTCGTTTGGAGTAATGATATGCTCGCTCTCAACAGGATTGAGGTCAAAGTAGACGCTTTTCCCGTGACTTTGTTGTGCAGGTGATATTGGTTTATGTGGTGGTGCTGGGGAGTTCGGTCGTGTTGACCCAGGAGTGACTGTTCGGGGTGAGGCTTCACCGTCTAGACCATCTATTTGGGTTATTAGCATTAACGGCTTCCTCCTCCTCACAACCTCTGGACATACCAGGTCCAGCATGGAAGTGAGCAGCACGCGGTGCACTCACATTTTCAGGGGCTCTTGGGTCCTTATTTTTTGGCGAATATGGGTCTTGATGGGGCGTAGCAAAATTGTCATGGTGTTGCTGGTTGTATGGTTGAGCATAAGGGTCATCTCGAGGCAGAGTTGGTCCAGTAGTAGGGCCATAGTCGGCAGGGTTGTAGGGCGGAACAGGATTAGAGTAGTATGCAGAATCATTAGGATGATTCATCGGGGGGTATCCCCCCTCAGCAGCATTAGGAGGTGGGGCGAAGTGGTTGCTTGCTGGATAGTACGGGCTATTGGCGTCTGTGGTTGAAGTATATTCAGAGTTAGAAGCGGCGGCGGCTGCTTCCTCTTCTTGACCTGCAGGTACTGTTAGCATTGTGGCATATAGATAGTGCATGTTTTACCTACGTCGACGCTCTCGCTCGCGCCGCCGCTCACGCCTCTTTGTAAGCTCGTGAGCGGCAACGCCAGCAACACCAGCCGCCGCAGCAACCTCAGCTAGACCTTTGCTCCGACTACGGCTCCTGCGGTCGGCGCTTGAGCCGGAATGTGAGCGGTGTCGGTGATGATGTCTGCCTCGCGAACGACTGCGGTGACGATGGCTATCGAGCTCCGACGAAGAAGAAGGAATCGGGTCACCGCCATATTCTACAAGAGCAGTGTCACCGGCGGCTCCCCTAAGGGTATGACGTGAGACAGACCTTGACCTGGATCTTGATCTGGATCTCGACCTAGAGTATGATCTTGAGCGTGATCTAGACAGCTCTTTCGCCTCCTTTCTAGCTTTCATATTCTCATACAGGCCTGCCACCGCAGCGCTGCCTAGACCAGCAGCAACGATAGGCACGCCTTGCCGGATTCTGCTTCGGCTGCGGGATCGACGGCCGCGAGAATGATTTCGCGCTGCTTGGGCGATGCCTGCGGCCGCGGCGCCCACAAGGCCGGCTTGTGCCACGCGTTGATTTCTGTGCTGAGGATCCATATGCTTGCCTTCCGAACTGACGGATCTGACAGAAGATCTGGATCTGGATGATCTCCGGCGGCTTGATCGGCTTCGATGACCATCCCTCTCGATGATCGTGGTCTGGCTCTTGCTGTTGTTCTTTCCCGCAGCATATGCGAGGGCACCAAGACCGGCCAGTGCAGCCACGCCTGCGATCGTCCTTGCGCGCGGAAGCGACCTGCTTCGATCGCGGTCTCGATAGCCATGCCGAGATCGCGATCTCTCACGGTTTTCGTTCCAGCGCGTCAGAGCTTCAGCGCCAATCCCGCCCAGCGCACCATAGCCCACAACTTGGCCAATGCGGCTGCCTGGAGAGCGACCTTCACGCTTGCGGTGGTGTCGCACAATCTGGGAAGCAGCGATACCAGCGAGGACGCCCTCGGCGATGTGGCGTTTGTGGTGCGGGCTGTGCTCGCGAGAGCTGTAATCGTCGTACTCTCGTCGGATATAGACGGCGTCGTCATCACTGTAGTATCCTCTCTCGTCCTCGCGTCGCCGGCGCCACTCCCGTTGGTCATCCACACGGTCGTCATACCTTCGTCCGCGGTCGAATTCTCGGACGCGGCGTTCGTAGTAGTAGTCCTCCTCGTCCTGGCGCGGTCTGGGCCGCTCCCGCTCGACGAGCTCGTACGACGGTTCAACCCGCTCTCGCACGATGATCTGTTGCGGCTGCGAAGTCTCACGGATGACGATCGTTTGAGGAGGCGGGGCGGGTCGCTCTTGAATGATGATCGGCTGGGGTGTCGGCTGCGAGAAGTACTCGGTCGACCTAGAGTACTTCTCGAGCGAGTAAGGGGTTTCGGGCGGGTACAGGTCTTTCCTCGACGAGACACGGGTGTCCGGTGAAGATGAACGAGAACGCGAACGGCGACGGATTATGATTCGATCCTCCTCGACCCCGCGGTGCGAGCGGGGTGGTGAGTAGTCCCTCTCGCGCTCGACGATGCGATACTGAACTCGGTCATCGTGGTCGCGATGGTCATGGCGTTCACGGATGGTGACGCGAGTGTCCTCAGTGTCTTCCATATCCTCTGGGATCTTGTACCTCCTGATGGTAGTGTAGGGACGGTGGCTGCTCCTGGACTCGGTGTCCCACTCGCGCTCCCGCTCCTTGACGACGACGGAAGCCATGGCGGCAGGTGCGATGGGCGTCGCAGCGTCGCAGCGTCGCAGCGTGCTATGAGATCAAACAGCAAGGGCCCAGTGCGTGTAGAGACGAGCACGCAAGGCTGATGTGGCCGTCCAAATATGCTTAGAGTGTGAACGTTCGACCACTCGGGTGGTGTGGACGATCGCAAGCTCGCGATAGGCGGGGTCAGCGGACGTCACTGAGGGTCGAGGGACGCTAGAGAAGCCAACGGTGTCTCGAAGACGCACGTAGAAGGCAAAAGAACGCAGACTGCAGCTCGAATGTCAGAAGGGAGACTGAAAGACGGAAAGGTCGGCTGGGATGGAAAAGGACTGAAAATGATGGCGCAAGACTACGCGCGGAGGTGAGCGTCGCCTGACTGGAAACGTCGCAGTGAAAGAGTTGGAATTTGAGTTCGGTTTGGGGCAGAGGCTGGACGGGCTGACAGCAGGCGAGCGTCGGGTCTCTTCGCCCTTTGACTGGACGAGGGGCGAAGTTTCAACGCCGGCCACGGCACGGCGGAGGCGGGCCGGGCTATGATGTCATTGAGGCCTGCTGATTGCTCCCGCCGGTGACTGAGGCACCAACCCATGCGCGGGCCACCCACCACAGACCACGAGTGACCACGACCGGCCGCGACTGACCACCGACTGACCACCGACTGACCACCGACCCTGTCCACGGCGCCGCGTTGGTGCGCTCCGAAGTCGTGTCGACTGCAAGTAGCATTCCAGCTCTCTGCCTGCCCGTCGTCATCGCTACAGACGCCCGCGCCTGGTCAACTGTGGTGTTCTTCTCCACCCCCCTTCCCAAGTCATACCAGTACGCCCGCGTCCTTATCCCGGTCGGGTCCGCCTAACGGTGCACCCGATATCCTAGAGGTGCCGCACTTTCTAAGGAAGCCCATCTTTGCCCATGTCCAACTAACATGCCGGCGGTCTGCCCAGAGCGTCGTCCGCCCGCGCCAGTAGAAGCCTGAACTGCATAGCCACCCTCCCTCACGCTTACGCTGCCGTACTAACACTGACCGGCTAGTCGACGAGGTCTGGAGCTCCTGCGAACGGTGTGTCATAAGGCTGATTATGCTGTGCTGGTCACAAGGCTCTGGTCGCAGTTGGACGCCCACCATCACTTCGCTCCCTCCTTTCGCATCGTTCTCGGTGCGGTCCGCATTCTACCTCGCCTTCACGAATGCGATGCGAAAGCCTCCGAGTACTCACCTTGCCTTTTACCCTGTCCTGACCATGGACTGCCGTCAGAGGACTAGCTCGACCTGTGCATAGAAACTTCCCAGCGCCATGCTTCGACTCTTAAATGCCTGACCCTTCATTCAACCACGACCTTGACCGGAGCTGGATAGCAAGACAAGCAAGAGCAAATTAATATGTCCGACGCGCGCTTGCTCTAGCCAGCTTTGAATGCCTTGTGCAGAATGACACATGCCTCTTGGTAGATCATGAATCATGCCTCTCGCACTATATTCGCCTGGGTGCTCGGCGCGAATATTGGGGGCTATTAGTGTCAATGGCAGAAATGCGTCAGGGACCTCCCGCTTCTGCTAATCACTTCGTGAGTGGTGTGAAGAATAATACTCTTTGTCCGCTCCACACGCCTCTCCTTCCTTCTATCTTGCGTTCGTTCTATGCCTTTACGTCTGCTTGAGCACCTCCTATACCGCGTGCCATCGTGGCTACCGAATCTGCGGTGGTATACAAAGCGTATGTTAAGGCTACAGTCTAGCCGAACGAGAGAGCAGATGCGCGATAGTCCCACCTAATTTCGGTGGCGGGAACATGCCGTACGGGACAGGCCTGACACTCTGCTCGTGGAGAAAAGGACCTCCGTACTGGGGTTATCAGCAGTTAGAACCTTCAATGATCCATGTAAAGACTCGACTGGCCGGATCTGGAATGTGCCCTGCGCACGTGTGATGGCTTAATCAAGGCGACTAGGTGGAAGGAAGAGAGCATCCCTAGCATCCTTGGGAGGCCAGATCCTTCCTCGCGTAAGTCACGGGCGTCTTACTGACGAAACAGTCTAACACAATCGTAATTAGAATGACAAGGATTTCAGCTTTTGGTGACTACTCGTATGATTAACAACCACTCCGGCTGTAAGTGCGTTTAAATACTCTGAGGAATGGCGTTATTCATGACACGTGCCTCGGCGATCGACTGTTCGCAAAGTAGTGGTAAGCTGAAGGTTCACCAGGCACGGGAATCTGTAGTCTGACCTGTTTCGGCCTTGATTCCATATATGTACCATCGAGACTTCAATTGATACTACGAGGCTACCAAAAAGATGTCATTGTAACCACTGCGGTCGATGTGACCATTGGCTTGCTTGGAGAAACAGGAAATACACATTACTTAATTTTGCAAGTCGGTTAGGTGTAATTGCACTACGAACAGAAGATGAAGCACTGAAACGTATATGCTGGATTCAGAAACTTTGTTCTGTTGGAGAAACGGGAAAAGAGTACAAAGAACATGTGGAAAAGGTCGACTGGAATGGGTTGGAGGGGGGAACTCGAAGCTTTCCCATTGATCCAGAACAGTTGACTATCCACAGAGAGCTTTCGCTCAATAATGACATGCGATCTTTGAGAATCACATCTGTCTGAAGAGGTGGCAACGCCACCCACGGCATCTGTTGCCTGACATAGGCGACGCACAGGCCACATCGTCATGTTTTGACAACAAAAGATCCAACTTTCCACTCGCATTACTTGGCCCTAGCAACACTTTTTGCTGTTGAGCGCCTCACAACGGGCCACGTCGCTCTAGAGGTTTCACTGTTGCGCTCATCGTCAACCGTTCCCTTGCGCACGGTCGTCTAACTTGCTGCTTCATTGACGCCATTCAGAACCCTGCTTATCGCGCCATCAAAAACCTCTTGCATCATGGAGGAAGACGACCTGTTCTACCTGGCACCAGGATTCGACCCGGCAACGCTGACGGTCCCGCGCCTGCGCAACGTCCTTCTCACGCACAACATCGAATATCCGTCGAATGCGAAGAAGCCGCAGCTGCTGCAACTTTTCAATGACGAGCTTGTCCCACAGGCCAAGAAGTTGCTGGCGGCGTCGAAGCGGGTAAAACGTTCGGCAAGAGGCATTGAGGATGTTCCATCAAGCCAGACCAGCACGGTAGATGAGGACGAGCTTCCACAGCCTGAGCCTGCTCCTACGCCTGCGCGACGGGGTGGACGGCGAAAGACGAAGCCCGTGGAGGAGGATCTCTCGTCAGAGGCTACCTTGATTGCGCCTGAGTCTACAGCGAGGCCACGGAGAACGACCACAAGAGCCACGCGGTCGATGGAACCTGAACATCTCGACCCTGAACCTGCGACAGCTCCAGTCCCAGCGCCGAAAAGACGAGGGCGGCCGAGCATGAAGACGCCGAAGCAGGAAAGTCCCGATCCCGAAGCATGGCACAAACCTGCAGAGGACAGTCCTTTCACTATGGACAATCCGTTCCAGAGCGGGGGAAGTTCGCCGCCACCGCAAGCGCACGGCGCAGACCGGAGAAGACGCACAATCGAGCCTTCGGTCGGCACAGAGAAACGGAAGAGTACATCCTCACGACGGAAGACTGATGGTGTCGTGGCTTCTAAGTCAGAGGCTTCCGCAAAGGGCTCGGCGTACGAGATTCCTGTGGCGACTATGAAGCGAAAGAAATCGCCTTCCGCTGATTCCGAGCTCGTCCCTGCCGGGGAAGAATTTGCTCCTGATGAGGCTCTAGAGTTGGCTCAGCAAGAAGCCTCTGGTCAACTCGTGCGGCCGCCCCGCAGAAGAGAAGGTGGTTCCGGCTCGTTCATTCTTCAGGGTCTCCTATGGCCTCTTGTGATTAGTGCTGGATTCTTGGGCACTCTTTGGGTCCAGGAGAAATACAGCGTAGGCTACTGTGGTGTCGGAAACGAGCCAAGGATGGAAATAGCCGGCAAGGAAATCCCAGAATGGGCAGACTCGCTACGACCCCAGTGCGAGCCATGTCCCCAGCATGCGTTCTGCTACCAGAATCTAGAAACCAAGTGCGAAGATGGCTTCGTGCTTCAGCACCACCCTCTTACGCTTGGTGGAAACCTACCGATCCCACTACCTCCTTCGTGTGAACCGGACACAGAGAAGACTCGCAAAGTTCAACACGTTGTGCAGAGAGCTGTCGACGTGCTACGGGATCGAAACGCTGCGTACGAATGCGGAGAGCCTCTTGCGGGAGAAACCACACCGCTGAAGTCGGCCGCTATCTCTGAGGAGGAGTTGAAGGCTACTCTATCCGCCAAACGCACCAAGAAGATGTCTCAGGAAGAATTCGACGCGCTGTTCGCAGAAGCAATCCCCGAGATCATGAATCGCGACGAGGTCGTCACTGTCGAGAACACAGGGTAAGTCCTCGAATCAATTCCGGGCGCGTCCTTCGTGATCTCAAACGCTTATCTGACAAGGGTCGGCGCTAATAGCTTCGTCTTCTCTACAGCGGAACCAGATATCTTCGAAGTACTTCTCGGGCCAAGCAGTCGCTCGTCTGTGCACTCCGAACGTCCATCCGTCTCCTCCTCATCGACCTCGGGGCTGGACTCCGACGAAAGCTGGCTGAGTATTTTTGGTCCCTTGCATTGATCTTCATGGTTGCGGGCACGTCATTCTACGGCAAACGCAGACTCGAGTGGCGACGAACTGAGGAAGAGTGGGCCAAGGATCTTGCGAGGCAAGCCTTTGACAGGTTGAGCACGCATGCGACGTTGCACGCCGAAGACCCGGAAACATATCCCGAGCCTTTCTTGTTGGTCAGTCATTTGCGAGATCAGATTCTCAACGAGGACATTGGAAAGAAATGGGTGCAGGACCTTTGGGCCAAGACGATGGCCAAAGTCAAGAAGAACTCGAACGTGAGGGAGCTGAATCAGGAGATGAGGAAAGGAGACTACGGTCTGACGTGGGAGTGGATCGGGCCGCTAGCTGCTCTACCGGACACCGCAGCGAGCAGGCGCATCTCAGGATACCCCGGTGGAGGCAGAAGAAGCACAGGAAGACACAGCATGTTACCGCCTGCAAGTAGCCCGCTATCAGGGTTGAGCACGATGCCAGCGGATGACGAAGGCCGGGCACCAGAGATGTCCGAGCGCAAATGGGAGGAAAGTCGACCGATATATTAAGGGCCGGGTCGAACCGTCCTACTTGTTTTGTTTGTTTTATATATATCTTTTCTTCTCCCATTTTTGTTTTGGTATACTGCGGATGTTGGATTCACGTCATTGATACCATGTTGGACTGGCACCTCTGCCAGCTTGATGAGCAAACTGGCTAATGAACATGAGTTTTTTGACTCGCGCTACTTTTGCACTCTTTTTTTCTTCTTTTGGGGGGGATTCATTCCACGTTAGCCTCATGTACTACCCCACTAGATGCCTCGTTTTGCTAAAATACATAGAAATACACAGTGATGAATCGGGCATGCTCAGGCCTTCGGTTCGTGCCCGGAAGGTACGCGTGGAACTGTCGGATAAGGGGAGGGCGTCTAGGGTGCTGTCGGAAACGCACCATTTCAACGTTCGTCCTTTTTGCGTCTAAACGGCTATCCAGGATCATAACGTCACCTTTACGGGGAGGGTTTTTTTTTTCTTTTCTTTTCCTCTTTTTTTCTCGCTCAATTTCGTCGAGCTAGTATACCAGAAATCAAGAGAAGGGGAAGAATAACCAACTTCCCTTACGTTTTTTTTACGCCCTTTTGAAACGCCTGGCGCGCTTCTTGTTTGGCATTCTTACGTCCAGACGTACGAAAGAAAGGGGCGAAAAGTTCGAAGATGCCCTTCCTGACGCTTGGCTACAAGCGCATACACTACACGGACTTCCGGCCGGAGCCAGGTCCGGCGAGGGAGACGTTCATCTTGTGCGTTGTGCCGGGCTTGCGCACGTTGTAGCGTGACGGTGACTCACGAGGTTGTACAGCATGCACGGGCTGGGCTCGAGCCAGAACTACTACGTCGCGCTCGTGCCGGGCTTCGTGAGGGACGGCTTCCGGTGCGTCGTGTTCGACAGCACGGGCGCGGGGCGCTCGCCGTACACGCAGATCGAGCAGAGCGTCGACAGTCTGGCGCAGGACGTGATCGGGGTCCTGGACGCGCTCGGCGTCGGCAAGGCCGTCGTGGTCGGGCACTCCATGGGCGGGATCGTCGCGGCGCATCTGGCGACGACGTGGGGCGACCGCGTCGCGGCGACGGTGTGGATCGGCCCCGTGTACCCGACAGCGACCGTGGCGGAGACGTTTGCGAGGCGGATCGAGGTCGTGCGGAGGGAGGGCATGGAGGCGATGGCGAACACGATCCCGCACGCGGCGGTGGGGAGCAGAGCCACAGACGTTGCGAAGGCCATGATCCGCGAGCTGCTCCTGGGCCAGACGGCGCAGGGCTACATCAGCCACTGCCGGGTCATCGCGAGCGCAAGGCCGCCGGCCTATGGCGAGGTCCAGGTGCCGGTGCTGGTCGTGGCCGGCGAGGAAGACAAGTCCGCACCGCTGGACGCGGTGAAGAAGATGTACGACGAGATTGGCACGGACGAGAAGCGGCTGGTTGTGATGGAGGGCGTGGGTCACTGGCATTGTCTCGAGGCGCCCGAGGCCGTCGGCAAGTGCATTCTAGACTTCTACCACGAGATCCAGTAGTCGTGGTGGTAGTCGTGGTCGAAGTCGCGGTCGGGGATGTAGTAGTAATATAATAATAGTAGTAGTAGCAGTTCTACAACCACCACCACCACCACTACCACTACCATTACTACTACTACTACTACTACCACCACCACCACTCGCACCACTCCTACGACCACAACCAATGTACAGGAGCAGCGGTCGTAGGAGCAGAGCCAGGCCGACACGGGTGTCGAGATTCTCCGACGAGATCTACGATTGCCGGGGCGCGAGGGTCCTGGAGCGTTCACATGGCCCAACAACGGTGTTTCAGGAACGGTGACGGTAACTGCTAGGGCACGACAGACAAGGACGGGTTCACCATTTCAGTCGACAGCTCGTCTCAGAGGGAACCATGGGTTCGCCTGGGACGGGTTCCCGCTGGCATGCCGACCAGAGAAACTGAGCGTGTGCATGTGCGTGTGAATCATCGCGGAGCCGTGAGTGCTCAAAGGCGGGAGAAGTTGCTCTGGCGGCCTGCAGAGCGTGCTGGCGGCGAGCGCTGAGACCGCGAGCGCGATCACGTGAGAGGGAGGTGTGTGCGAGAGGGTCGCTGCGTCCCGGTCGCGGACGGCGCGCGAAGTCCAAGAGCGTGTGACCGCGATCTGACCCGCGGATCTGAATCTCGCTCGTCCCGCCCTCCGCGCCGTTTTTCTTGCGGTGCAAGTCGCAGGTCGGGGCCAGCACCTTAATTTCTCGTTGACCGGGGAGAGCAGCGACGGAGACGAAGCTTAGCACTGCTCACAAGCCGTGCGCCGTCGTTTTCACAAGCAGACACGTGTGCGACGTGACGGTCAGCGACAAACACACAACCGCACACGCAAATCAGTCGGCACCGACAACGGAAATTTCCGCGCTGGACATTCCTCGGTCTGCCAAGACTGCCCGTCGCTGCGACACAACACACGGCCGACTTCGACCACGGCCACGACCTCGACCACGACTGACCATGGCCATGGCCTTCCCGCGTCGCTTGAGCATCCTATCGTCGTCCATCCGTCCTCGTTGTGGGGTCCCCTTCGACAGCTGTGAGCAGGATGATTCCCGACACGCGTCGCGTGCTCTCTCTCCTCAAGCACAAGCAGCCACGAGCACATGTCTTGCCACCGACAACTGACTTGTTTCACTCGCCGCGTCGGCGCTCATCCCTTTGAGCAAGCTGGCACAGTCCGCGCTATGCTGCACGAGGCAACGCTCGATGCTCCACAGGCACCTGCATGATCATGGGAAGGGTGCGCAGCGCGCCTCCTGATCTCATCATCGTCAACGCTCTCCAGATTGGCTCTCCTCGTCCCGAGCGTAGCTACTTCGAGGGCGCTGCGTGTAGCCGGCGCTCTTGGCAAACTCCCACGCGCTGTTTTGTTTTACGCTGTGCGTCTGCAGATGGCGTGCACTCGCGCGAGCCCACAACATCGCCCGTGCCGACCTCGCTGCAGTTTCATCGGATCGTCCCAGCAGCTCTGATTCGCGCTCGTGCTGTCAATCTTCCACAGTCATGGGTGAAATTAAGTTGCTTTTCCATGAGAAGGCGATCGTCTTTTGACTGCCGCCGCTCTGTCCGCATGTGATGCTCCCGCAATGAAGCGCCTATATCTCGCCTCCAGCAAACGCCTCGACCCGCACCGAGCGTGTCCAGATTCCTCCGTAGTCTGCCCCGACTCCACTGCACTTCTCCTGTTGTCATTACGTTGCGCTCTGCACCTCGAAAGTCAACTTCCCCATTCACCTCTAGACCCTTTCGCTACCGCCCTTGCACAAAAAGAGCAGTGGGCGGTGAAGGTGGTGGCGTTTTGGCGGCTCCCGCTGCAGATGGACACCCCAGTCCCATGACTGTGAACTGGTTTCGGCAAGCAAAGCCTTTGGGGAAACGGTTGATCCTAGTTGCAGGCTCCCAACAGATGGTCATTATTATTTCACCGCTAAATAACACGCCGGCTTTATAAACCACCGTCAGTACCTCTCCGACATCACTCGGCCTTTAGCTCCCCAGATGTCCCCAGATCGGGGACAGGAGTGTTCTTCCGCAGCGGTGCGGACCTTCGGGCAAAGAAAGAGCGAGGACAACGCAGACGGCGGCTTCAGGCCTTCGCCCAGCATTGATGCCACAGTTCCTGAGGAGGACGTTCTTGCTGTCCCGGACTTTTCTACTTCACGACCCATAATGATCACTTCGCAAACCAGTCACAGCATTTCCCAACATCAAAATGATAATGCCATGGACAATCGTTCGCACGGACAAACAACCGCTGCGTCCATAAAATCGATGTCAAGCACAGAAAACTCGCGCAGGGACTCCGCTATCTCGGCCACCAGCCAACACCATCGACGGCCAAAGACAGCTCGGTCAACCTCGAAGCGTTCCGTACGCACCGTCGCTGGCGACGAGCTGCCACAGACCATGTCGCATTCGGGTCGACATCGACCTCGCAACCAGCGCTTCGCGAGCTCTGGTTCGATCCACCTGCCAAAGACCAACATCGAGGAGGCGCTTGCTCTCCATGCTCGTAGCTGCTCTCTTTTCGCCGGATCGTCCAGGCCATCGACCTCGTATGCTCCAGCGCCCTTGGCGTACAGTCCATACACCCATCCGACGCTGTATCGCAGTCTGAGCTCCGCGGACGGCTTTTCGATATCTCAGTACCCTTCGCATCCAGTCTCGCCCTATCGGACCCCCCCTGAGTCGTCTGGCTTTGACGTTGCTGATGAGCAAGAGCAATACTACACCTCCTCATTTCCTCCAACCGTGATGCACTGGACTTCGGAAGAAGCGCGCTTGAGGGAGTACGCCGCCATCGATCGCGCCAACAGCGGCGTGCGCGGGCTGCTCAGAAAGTTCTTGCCCAAGTGCGTGACCAAGGGCCACCCCAAGTTCTACGACGAGAAGGACGGCTCGGACGCCGGTAGTGTGAGGAGAATCAGAATGGACGTCCCCAACGAAAAACAGGAGCGCAAGACGACGAAGCTGCCCCGCCACCTCACGTCTTGAACGTATACCACAGCGCCGATGCTCTACAGAGCTTTTGTTGCATTTTCGTTATTCCAGTTTGTTTCGTGTTGGCATCAAGTTTTTTCTTTCTTTTTCTCTCTTGCATAGATACACCGGTGGTACATGAAGCAGTATGCATTAAGATACCCTATCGAGCGAAGGAGCATTTTGAAAATTGGTAGATACAGCGACGATAGAACTGTCAATAGTATAACGTTTAGTGCCTCGCACACGATGTTTGGGGCTCACCACATTCCTCAACTATCCGTTACCCTGTTCCTTTCTTCTTTTTTTTACTTTAATGTTTTCTTTCACGTTTCGCTTCATCCAACGCAAATTTCCCTCACTTTTGTCCCCCCTCCTCTTCCCCCTTCTTCCCTCATCGTACTCTTTACAAACGCGTCCATGGCAAGGAGAGGGAGGGAGGGGAGGCTATGGTAGAGTTGATGAGCACGTGACCAGGCGTCCGTGGTCGCTCAGTTATCATTGTTCCAAGTCATGAGCGCGCACACACGTCACACACAGACACAGACACACACACACTCACAAACATGTGTGTGTGATCGTGGAATGCTGGCCTTCGCACTTGTGCAGCTCTTGCTTCGCATTGTAACACCGCGCTAGGCGGATCCCAAGGGAACATGAGCGAGCGGAGCGGTGTCCGATCTCGAGGAACGGCTTCGTTCCCACACCTTGGAGGGGGGACGGCGGGCAAGCAAGAAGATTTTGGGGGGGGGGGGGGGGGGGAAAAGGGAAATAGAAATAGAAATAGAAGAAAAACATCGAAATTGATTTGACTGCTTCCGTGACTTATTTTTTTTGGTGGGGGGGGGGGTTTAAACAATCGCGTTTGTACGCTTGGCCTTGCTCTTCTGGCGTGCGTCAAGTGGATGCGCACTTGATCGCCGTGGCGAAGGAAAAACAGAACAAAAAAAATCCGTTTCATTCTTTTCCTTTCGCCGCGATTGTTACAAGAGGCACCGGCTGCTCTCGCACTCGTAAATTGTGCGCGTGCGCGAGTGTGTGTGTGTGTGTGTGGTGCATGCTATTAAGGCATCCTAGTGCGAAGCATAAAGGAGAAATAAATCATTATACGTCGAAAATATGCACATCCCCTGAGTGTCAGAGCCGCGAGCGCCTCTCTACCTGTAAACTTGTCATGTCTCCTCCTCGGAGCGAGCCCACCAGAAACATTAGCGTCTCTCTTCGACATTACGTATCGTACACTCTGCTCTCCGCCACGCCCATCTTCTCGCCACGTCAGCTTGTGCTACGTAGAGGACGCATCTCGCCTTATGGGGCTGCAAAAAGTTTAAAATTCCGCAAAGTCGGTTCATGCAAAGAAGAAAGAAGAGAACGTCGTCCTTACGACAGCACGGTGGCCGGCCTGTTGAGTGACCGATCTTGAAGGGTTCGGCTGCTGGCTCGGAACGCGCGACACATGATAGGCCGTGGTGATTTCAATGCGTTTGTGACCCCAAGTTCCTTGCTTGATTCGTGCTTAGTACCTTCGAAAAAAAAAGAGTCAGTCGGCGATTACTAGTGGAGCGAGAAGACAAAGGCTGATGGTGCGGGCTATTTGCGGTCCTGCGGTACAGAGGCGATTACCCACACGACCAAATGCAATTCCTCTCCGCACTATTACACTAGAACTGGGCACGAGGGGGACAGACGAGTCGGGAATACTGTCTGGTCCCGCTGCTTTCCAGTCTCATCTGCGGATGGTCGCAACTAGAAAATCTGATTGGGATCGACTGACCTGTAGCCTGAGCTCCTCCGTCTCCGATCTCTCCTAGGTGGCGGGTCGCTAATGCTGCTGCCCTCCTCAATCACTTCGACGATGTCGTCGCCTTCCACTCTGCGAGGCGGCGGGGGTCTCGACCCGCGCCTGCTCTCCACGATGCGCTCGTCCACTATGCTTTCTTGCCTGACGCTGGACGGGCGGTATCTGTCACTCCGCCTCGTCTCCTCCACTATCGTTGTGCGTGTCCGCGGGCTCCGTTCTCGAACCTCTATCCGCTCGCTGGTGGTCCCGCTGCGGCGAGAGCGTCGCCGGCCTGAGGACCGGTCGTCACGGCGAACAACGATCTCTTCCTCGCCTGTGATGGTCCATGTGGGGGCGTTGCCAGACAGGAAAAAGAGGAGGAGGATGATCAAGACGAACGCAGCGACGGACCCGAGCACGATGCCGGCCACGGCAGCAGGCTGAGGGCCATCGATCTTGTACGAAGTCGGTATGACGGCCGTGCCGCCATTGCTCTGTCTTCGCAGGAGCCCGGGCGCTTGCTGCTGCTGCGTTGACGACGATGACGGCGACGCGATGCGCTTCGCTAGGCGATGGGCGAGGTGAGTCGCGTGGGCGGAAAGCCGCGGCAGCAACGCAACATGAGGAGCTGCATGCAGTACGGGCGCCATGGTTGGGCGACCCGCGTTGCAGAGGGAAAACCAAAATCCCCGATCGGTCAGAAAGTCGGTTTCCCGACTGGTGTCTTGTGTGTAGGCGCGAAAGTGCGAGAGGCGACTCGGTCGAGCGAAGTCTGGCGGGAGAGGCTAGGGAGTCCTGTCCGACGCCCAAGAAACGCGTTGCCGGATGCGGAAGCGTGATTGGCCTGCTGGGCGAGAGTTTCCCGCCGACGCTGCTTGGGCCGTGTAACGAGCGAAAGGTCGACGAGAAGGACGGGGTCGGCGCAGAACAAGAAGGGATCGCGCAGACGTTTGCACGGAGCAAGTCGAGGTGAGGGGGTGGAGCAGGATTTGACGGCGTGGTTGGGCAAGGCGATGCAAGCGTGAGAGTTCAGGCTCGGGCGTCGCGCGCACTCGCCTGGCGCAAGCCGACGTAATCTTGGACGACGAGCGTTTTCGCAGCACGATGGCTGGGAACCGCGCGCCGGCGGGCCAGTCAGGCGACGCCGGCCTGCCGCCGCCTGCCGTCATTGGCTCGTTGCCCGCGAAGCATTTTGGCTGCCCGTAATCGTGGCGCTCACGGGCCATTCGCCAATGCTCTCCGGCCAAAGCTGCACTCTCCACCGTCGGTGCCCGCGACTGCATACAAGACTCCTGCGGCCTCGTCGGAGGCCTTGCCGAGGCGTCAAAGCCAATCAATCGAATCAGCGTCGCCGCCGGAGTTGTTTCCGAGGTATTCGCCGCACAAGCGAGCGCCTGTCGCGCCTCGGTCATCGAGTCGCTATCTAGAATCACATTCAAGCCAGCACCTCAGGCCGACGCAGTGGCTCGACGTTGACGAGACATTCAAGTTGCACAACGGATCTTTCTGTGCAGCTGGTCCGGATGCGCGTAGGCAATGGTGTATTATTCAGCAGTGAGACTGATCTGAACCATGTCTATATGTCCGAGTCGCCGCCGTCGATATAAACTGCTGGCGAAGCGAGAGAGAGAGAGAGATTACAATGCTAAACCTGTGAAGCCAACACCGCATTATGCATGAGAAGCGCAGCGTACCTCTAGCCTAGCAAAACGAGGTCGCAGTGCCAGATTTTCCCCCACCGCCGAAAGTAGAGCTTTTGATTCCAAAAAATTTGGTTCCGAAAAAAAAAACACGGAAGAAAAGAAATGCGTACACCGACGGCTCGTCCCGCCTCACGTCGACTGCAGCACAGGCCTGCTTCTAGCCATCGTTCTTTCGGGGATAAAAAATAATCGGCGCGACTTCTTTTCATGTGCCCGCCCATTCGCTGATCACCAAAAAGTTCATTAAGACAAACACCCTATCCGCTGTTCTTTTCTTGGGCTCATAAGCGCGTGTTCATTGTCCAGGCGAGAAAGGAAGGAAGGAGGAGAGGACTACCCGCCGGAGACGGATGCTTCAGGTGCTTGTGGCGGCGACCTCTGCGGCGGTGGCGGATTCCTTAACTCGGGGGGAAGGCGTGCATAAGCGTGGGTGATGTTCGGTCCGCTCTTGGGCGGCGCCAGTGGAGCCGTACTTTGCGCTTGCTGGGCTGGCAGACTAGAGAGCGGCGGCGATTGCGGCAAGGGAGGGACTTCGTTTGGCGAATTGGGCTGCGAGCCAGACATGTTGCTAATGCTTTTCATACTAACAAGCCAGTGAGAATAGGTTCGGTGCGACAAGATGAAAAGGCATCCAGATGAAGAGCCATACCTCTTAGACTTTCTTAGCACTCCGCCACCGAATAACTTTTTGAAGCTGCGAGATGTGCTGGGCCTGCTAGTCTGAAGTGCGCCGTTAGCATGTGCTCACGCTTGAATTGGTCGAGGATCGCGTCTGCTCACCTCGCTATCATCCCTCCCCCAACTCGATCTATTCGTTCCAGAGGCCTTGTACCCATTCACCCGTCCATTTGAATGCAAGCCGTTCAACCCGTTTACCGTGCCAGTCAACGTGTTCGCCTCCGGTGGACTCCACCTTTCTACATCACCACACACGACCACGAACCAACTAACCTTCTCTCCTGGGGCTAATTTATCCCTTAGATCCATCATTGCTGTCCACGCATCGTTAGGCACGCCTTTGCCACGCACTTCGTCAAACTCAATGCCTAATTTGACCTCATGCACAACGTCGCACACGTAGGCATATGGCTGTGATTTGGACTCGGCACTCTCATCCAAGGGATCATACTGCTCGACGAACTTCAGATTAGGCAGCGACGGCATTATCTCCGGGTATATGGTCTTGAAGTTTTGAAGCATCGTCTCTGTGGTCCGGGGCGCCATTAGCCATTCTGCAGCAGCGTCGTCGAGATTCTGCAGGATGATGTGAATGCGAATCAGAGGGCGGGGCCATCGAAACCCATGGCATATGTACGTCGGCATTATTGCTCACTCCTTCGTTCGCAGCCCAGATGCGCGTGTCAATCTTCGCCGAGTGTGTTCGCGTCGTCTACCTTCAGAGTTCTCGCGCGCATACATGCGGACGGCGTGTGGGGAAATTCATGAGGAATGGTCTGATGATGGTTCGCAGCAATTGGTCCCCCTCGTGGTGTGCCACGAACGACGCGAACGCTCGAGGGGACCGCAGATGTATTTTATCGCTTAGGTATACAAAAAAGCCGCTTCAGAAAGGTATCAGACGGGTGAGGCGGGTGGAGCGTAAGTCGTATGGTGGGCGACGCAGGAAAAGCTTGGTGTGGAGGACGAGATGGCAAGCGGAAGCGGAGGGGATCGGACAGTGGCAGTGAGAGCAAAGACGATCGGACTTATGCACCTGCTTGTGCTCAGAAGTTTGCAGGATAGCCGTTTATGCGACGTGTATGCTAGCAGATAGCGCGCGAATGGCGAAGGCACAGGCGAACTAGTACCGTGAGCGGATTCGAAGGGTCCAGACGCTTCTGGTGGGATGCACTCCACAGGGGATCATCCACGCCTCCTTTCAAAGGGACATAAAATCGTACGCCAAGGTGAAGCGCCCTTGTGGCCGCAAAAGGACTCTGGTTTGGAGAAATCCAATGGTCAGACAGGCCGGCAGCGTCGCTAGATGTCCACGCACGTGAAGAAAGATCGTTCGCGGTATGGCTCCGCCTTTCTCCAGGGCCATCTGCCCGCGCCGACACACGGGCAGATCTCGGTCGATTCGTCAATGCACACAGTAGTTCTAAGATAACGCGTCCATTTCTGGTAAGCGTGTATCATTTTGTGATGCCGTCGACGAGGCTTGGACGTCGCTTTCCGTCGCTTCGGCCGAGAGCGCGATGAGGCCCGTCGTCTCCGTCAAACACGGACTCTTGCACACGTAGCCAGCCAGAATCAGTCAACTTCTGTTGACTGATCCAAGTACGGGACCTGCTGGCTTCAGTCTTCAATCGCCATTTCCGCTGTCATGCTCGTCTTTCAGCCTATGATTTCGACCTGGGGTCGCTGTCTTAGATCCGATTGAGATCCCGATCGTGCGCAGATTCATTGAGCACTGTGCAGCATGCGTCTGGTGTCAACACCCTTCTTCAGCTCCTTTCGTTGCCTTCTTATCCGCCTTTCTTGTTATCATTTTCAACACGCCTTGTTGTGAGAAGCATCCCACTAGGTTAGACAAGCGAGGTTTGACTGTCCGGAAGGCATCAGTTGATTGGAAGGACCTAGCATCTCATTGAAATATCTTTTCACGCCATAGGGAGAGATGCCACCTAATGTTGTAATCGTTCAACTCCTCGTCAACGTTACGTCTAGCTATGTCGAGTGCCACGGTCTCGAGTGCAATTGACTTCCAGGGACCTCAACAACTCATACCGGTGTAATGTCAGCTATTAGGCCATATCTTCGCCTTCGAAAAGATTGAAACGCCAAAAATATGGACTAAGGAGAGCATCATATGCCTTCATGAACGCTTTGTGCCACGCCAAAGAGTATGTTCCTACACCGAGTCATTGCGCACGGTACTTTTTCACATAAAAAGGGGCCAAATATGTTTGGAAACGTAGGATACACCATAACTTATCATTCTTACCGCATGCTGACCAAGCTACGAGAAAAAGAAATCTTGGTACGGCTTCGTCATGTTTTCTGGCGATCTCATTACGTGGAACAGGACAAAAACCCCCCCCCCCCCCCTCCCTTCTTTCCCATCGCGAGCATGGCTTATTGTAACGTTCGCGTCATCTCATACTTGATCAACGAGTTTTTATCTAAACTTTGTGAGTTAGTATCGACAAGAGGCAGAAGCAGCAGGCGCAGGGGGTGTTTCACTCACGTCGGTCACGATCAGCCTCGCAAAAACTGCATTTATCGCAGGCCATAGCAAGTGAAGAAGAAAAAAAATATGTGCGGCTTCGTCTCCAATAATTCCGGTCATCTTGGCAACCCCTGTCATGTCATTGCGATGACCAGACAGAGAAGATGCCAAACGAAGAAAATGAGTGAACAAAGGTTTCTCGCCTTCTGGCATGGTTCGCATTCAGTCGTGGTAGTCGACCTTTTCCACTCGCTTCAGACATCAGAAAACAAGACTACAAGAAAGGTATCCGATCATATCGAAATGTCTGTGCACAGAGAAGATCCACGGACCGCCCTTGTCTGCAATCGTGACATTGATGCTTCCATAATCTTTCTTCTGTATACCCTCTCTGATAAGACTTTGAAAGATAGAGTTGAATTGGCTACAATACGTGCTATGATGACCAACTAGGGACTCGGCTTCCCCCCGTTATAACGAGGGACGCAACGTTGTATCTATTCTGCAAGAGGCACAGTAGACTGGCTTGGAAAGTCATCGCACATGTATTAGGGAATTTGTACAACTAGCTGGAACCCATAAGCATATGGCACTTGAATCGCTCCTCGCCGCGAATCTATTCAGTTTGTCTATATGTCAACGCTCATATTCATCAACCTGTGCGAATGGGTGAATGATAATTTCACTTCACTTTTCGGCGATCCAGCCGCTCGGACCAAGTGTTCAACTTTTTTAATCTTTACACCAGCCATATGTCATTACACAATTGAACAGAAACGCTTCACTGGGGTATGAAGAAACCGCTTGAAGGGGTTTATCCAAATGTCTTCGTAACGACGATGCCGCGGGTTGGTGAAACGTGACCGCCTTCATGCCCGGTAGAGGGAGGAGTCACGTCTTCTAAATAGGACACGTTGTCGAGTGTTGCATCTCTCGACACGCGGTGACATTCACTCCAAACTTTTGGAGAGTTTCCCTGTAGCTCCACATCCGTGTTTGTCTCGGAGAAATCCATCCTTCCATAGCTGGATCGTGACCGCATCTTGTCCTGAAGCTTGCTGGCGAACTGGGTCGGATTGCTCTTGGTCCCGCTTTGGGCGTTATAAGTCGGTCGTGAGCGGTTCGAACCGTACTCGCCGATCCACTTTGGCACAAAGTGTCGAGCAAATACGCGGAGGGCTGGGAAGGAACAACAAACGATAATCAGATTCGCCTCAATGGCCCTGTCCACCAAGAGTTAGCTTTATTCGAAACAATTGCGTCCTGGGCAAGGCTTCATCTAAAATCCTGGCGTCCGTAATGACTGAACTTACACCCACATGCCGGGTAATGCAATTGCCCAAGGTTGATCTACTGTCGTGAGGGTCGGCAGGAGAAGCACCAAACGAACGATGCTTGTGATAAAAGTCCTTCCATATGTTAGCAGCTCCATATGACTCAAGATTGCTTCGTGGCCCTACATAGATCCGATCACGAAAATGAACACTAGCCCGAATTTTTGGGCACGTGGCATTTGCAGACGCCATACCAGCGGTATTGGCATCACTAGCAAGATCATGTCGGTGCTGATGTTCGATATTGCTACTGACAAGTACAAGGCTCCTCGATTGACGCAAGAGCCTTCTGTAATCGTAGCATTCCAGGCCTTTGCAATCGGATTACAAGCAAATATTAGTGCCAATATGGTGGCGACATTGTAACCAACTACGACGACCATGGTAATGATACTTAAGGTTATGAACCACCGAAGCCGTGACATTCGATAGTAAAAGAGCAAAAGCGAGAACTTGGCCAGACCCTGACAGATCAGGTACAGAGATGCAGATGCAATAACCATCTTCAGTTGCGTCAATAGAATTTCACGTCTCGCGAGGTACGGACTTACAACAGAGAACTCATTGTACTGCGCAATCGATTCCTCCCATATATGCACCTGACGATAATTTAGCACTGAATAGAACCAATTTTAGCCTCTCTTGCTCCACATGTCAGGAGGAGTCCCACTACAGTGGAGAACCCCATCGAAACATGGGGGGGGGGGGCTAGTTCGACGCGAACTTTGTGGTGTTTGCAACACATACAGATCCGATTTTCGTAGCCCAAACATCTGATCGCGTCAGTTTGCAATCTCCAATTTTCTTCGAGTCTGAAAACCTTACAGACTTGGATCATCTGAACCGCAAAACCGAAAATCTAAGCTCGTCAGCTCTGAGATCTCGGGTAAGATAGGCTAGTATTGTACATAGGATAGTGTAAAACACCCTGTCAACCATGCATCAGCTTCGATATGAGAAGTCGCAATTGATGAATTACGCACAATCTTCTGCCTTGAATTCCCGCACGATACGAATCTTGGTGTACAACCTCATAGCAAGAAACATCGTCGAGATAACCAAGCCAACTCCGGTCACCCAGTAAGCAGCCGGAATGCCTCGTCTCTGGGGGTGCTCAAAGTCCACATGGTATCCTGAGGGTGCAGGTACCAGAGCAACAATTGTCGAACTTGGGGTCGCAGACATATTGTGAGGAACTTCTCCAAGGCCACAACCCGAAAGCGTTCGACACCGAGTTAAAGTAGGAGTAGAATGGACAACCGCTTGAGGCAAGGACAAGAATAACACGGCATATCTCACTGAATATCACCGCAACTCAGCCCGGATGGTGGAGAGCAGTAGGTGTCTTTCTTGCTCAGGAGATGATCGTCAAAGCGATTTATGCCTGTCTGGACTCGCCAAATCAAATCCGGGGAAGTGGGTGGTGCAACCCGTCAAGCCATGAAACTACCCGTAAGGCAGCCGCTGACACTAACGACCTCTATGGTTGTTGCCCCAGCTTCCAAGGGTAAAAGCTCGTCAACTTATTAGGGGTTCAAGCAGTTCAAAAAGCGCTAAAAGTCTAGACATGTAGACGGAAGCTTCTACTGCAAGCTGCCACAGACACTGCGCAACAGCGAACGACAAGATCACCGTAGACTCATCCCCTAACTAGGTGTTTTACCTCCAAAACGGTGTCTTGTTCCCCCGGGTGTCATGAGACGAAGCTCTCTCGAAAGCTCGCGAAGGTCTCTATGCTTTCGCAATTCACGCCACAAGTAATGTCTACAAGTAGCAGCGGGCGGCACATCGGAACAAAAGATCTGACTAGGTTCATTACGAGGCTATGACGGGAGCAGGCTTAGGTTGCGAAAGGTACGACAAGGCAGGAAACACGATTGGTACCGGTCCAATGGAGAACGCGCTGACTCAAAAGCACAAGAAACATTTTGCGGGACAAAGCTCTCGTCCTCCACAAGAAGGGTTTCCCCAGGTGCTTAGCGGAAGTTGGGTGCGGATACGGGACCGCGCGCCGGACTAGAACAGCATAGCATTCTCGGCCCTGCAGGAGGTGGAAAGGCCTGAACCTTGAACCTGAACTCGAACGCTTCATTGCCAGCAAATTAACTGACTCGGGTGTGAAGGATTGCTACAGTGTCCGGCGAGATTTCTGCGTTTATTGACGCACGCTAAACTTCAAGGAACCAATGGAATGAAATCACAACAGCTGTACGGAGTACGCTCTGCGAGGGACTCCCGACTGTGATACGACCTCGGATTGGTGGGCAGAGATCGGACTTGCAAGCATTGGTCCACTTATCTGCGGCATATGCCATCATTTCGAAGAGAGCAAGCAGGAGATAGCTTTGGTATCTAGTGATCAGACCAATTTCGAACGTACGATTCTTCCCGAGGAGCAGGTTGTCCTCTTCCTAGCTCGATTCTCCCGCGAATTCTTCACCCTGTCAGGATTACATCCTAAGAAAGCCAGGTCCTCCGGCCCTCTAATCCACCTCATGAAGTCTATCGAAGGTTTGAATTCAGCCACAGTCCAACTGTTGCGTTTTCCTCGTTTTGTCGTGCTTGCTCAACACTAGTAAAACCTCACCGTGGAATATGCCAGAAGATGAGAGCGTTCGACTTCATTCAAGACCGCCACCAACTGTATATAACAAGCGGTTGCAATCCACATCTAATATTAGACTCATAAAGAGTCATGTCAGTGCGTAGTGGATACGAAAAGATTGTATGTTGCTTCTATCCTCTTAGGGGCGAACTCTTCTTTAGGCTGCCGCCTCTTCTGTAGCACATCCTTCAGCAATCCTGGCCAAGCCGCCCGTAAAAGCTTTTCCTTCACATAGGTATCCTATCAGGCGAAAACAAAGTACTTTGAATTACATGCCGGGTTATAACTCTTCGTCATATCAACATTCTCATTACAGGATCATCGTTCGACTTTTGTGCGAATTTAAATTAGCGACGGCCACATTCGCAGCGTTGAACTGACATGAATACGTGCTTAAAATCTTCGCCAATAATCTACGCCACCAGGATACGTTTTATCAGGAGGCAGTCACCTGGGAAACGCTTTAGCTTAATTCTTCCTTATGTCCATGTCAGAAATAATCTGGATTGCTTAGGTCTTCTTGCTTGCTCGGCTACATATTCCCGAGCTTGCAGAAGCCACGATTGCGGCTCGGATCAGGAGTGTGCACAATTAAGTCTGGTTAGGGCCCTGCGTTCGTTGATTAGCAGCTTGCCAACTAAGACTGAAAGGTTCGGCCTACTCTGAGCCTCGCAGCCACGTATTGAACTCACCATGCTGGTGGCTTTACCCTTTTACCCGCAAACTGCATGGTCATGATATTCTCGGGAGTAGACCAAGGATTCAAGAACAAGGATGAACTCTGAGCCACGACCGGCCAATGTTGAAAGTGAGGGAGAACATAAAAACGAGGCCAGCGGTTATTGAACTCATATCACCGATGGAAGAGTTCGTTTTGAGTGCCTGCTGTCATGACTCTCCTGCTGAAGTCAGTGAACTAAATTTTTTTCACGACCACTTGCACTACTGCTTTCTAAGATATTCTCAAGAGATTTTTAGCAATTTTTACTTATGCAGAAAGTTCAAATTCGCGCTAAATCTCTTGGAATACCAACGAGAGAGCACACTCTCTTGTCCTATAAAACCTCGTGAGTATTTGCTGCTGCCTCGGAATGAGCAAATTGGATTGTGTCTCTTTGTTCTGAGCTTGAAAAGCAGCTTTAAAGGTTGAAGGACTCAGCGAGGATTACGACTGGATGTTCGACACTCATTTTTTATCTCCATTGGCTTACATTAACATCCAATTTCTCTGGTTGAGGCTTGTAATCGACAACATACTTTGCGTTGGCATTTTTGACTAAGGACCATCTACATTGGAACCAGAAATAAGCAGACTACAGAAACCTGTAAAACTCAGCAGGGTTTCTCCTCTACTAGATTGTCTTTAAGGCCGTCCTTCTCGTTTGAGCTTTTTGCCATTGGCTTAACGTTGGTCCTATCTAGTATAAGTGCTTACGTTATACGACGTCGACTACTTAAACATGAAAAACCACTCACTAAAATAAGTTTCTTTGCATATCTCAAACTTTTAGATAGATATTTCTATTCCAAGGTCATAATAATGTGGAATCTCTCGTCTCGATCCCGGGTTCTGCCAAATATGGCCGTTTTTATTGGCGCCATCCCATTCTTTCTCGGTACACGTTGACATTAAAGCACTGACTCCCTGATACTAAATGTTATACAGGGTCGGTGTGCCTCGAAGCTCCTGATGAATTTAGAATACATTGCAGAGGTTCTGGTGTGAGAGATTAGCTGATGATTCTAATAGAGTTTCTGGACTTCTCAAGCCGCAAAGCCTCGTCACATCTGTCGGATTTCCATCTGCGACCACAACGTCGGACCAAAAGCTCGCAGACTCGATCACAAGACTTTTTGCTGCTCGTAACGTAGTAATCGGATTATTGTGTACTACAATATGGTATAGAGGAGATTGTAAACTATTGGGCATGTCAATGATTATTATCAGCTTCAGCGCAGTTGTTGACGCTCTGGTAAGCCAGAACCTTATTGGAGGAGGCATGAGCAATCATTTGCCAGTTGTTCCCATTGCGGTTGGCACTGGAGCGGGGCTGCTCGGGTGGTTAGGATGAATTTTCGACATTCCGAATGTGTGCTAATAACACCAACGAAGATTGTTGGACATTTCGAAGGATGTGGATTGTTGGAGACGTTTACCTCAAATTATCTTCGTAGAGCCCTCTCTGATCAGATGCATCAGTTTTATGACTAGAAAAGTCCGTACATCTTGTAATTTCAAGCGGCCTGGAATTGACGTGATCAGCATTTTCTCTTTAGGGCCCCAAGCCTGCCATCTCTGGCTTGGGAAACTGACGTAGTGGAATTGGTGACCGAACTTGTCCCACATGCCTGCCAGTCAACCCAGAAAATCCTACTTGTGTATGGGGCAGCACAACAAACGGACAAATAAAACACTTGAAAGAGCCATTATTTTTCAGCCAATCCTCTCATTCTTTAGAAACAATGTTCAAAGATATCCGCCAAAATTTCGAAGACAAAGATAACAAACCAATACATGTGATTTGGCGAGACGGAGCTGATCCCCAAGAGTATGAACGTGCACGTGTTTCAAGAGTCTTCAACTTCAAAATACCAGATAGGCACCCACAAGCCATTGTAGATGTACATGAAGAGTCTGATATTGTGGAAGCTTTGAAGCTAGCCAACCAGAGAAAAAGCCGTGTCTGCGTTCGTGCCGGTGGCCACAGCTGGCCCGTTTGGAGCGTTCGAGACGACGTGATACTTCTGGACCTAGGCCATTATCATGAGACTACTTTGGATGAGAGAACAGGGATTGCCTGCATATCTCCTAGCACTACGGGCCTAGATCTGAATGTCTATCTTTCCGCCAGAGGTCGGATGTTCTGCCCCGGACACTGTCCGAATGTTGGTGTGGGCGGTGCTCTCTTATGTGGTGGGATGGGATGGAATTGCAATGTAGGCTCCATTCTGGACCCTAAACAATCTGTGCTCACAAAAAGAAGAATACGGGGTTTGCATGTGAACAAATTGTTGCCGTTGACGTGGTCACAGCGAATGGTGATCTGGTTCGAGCCGATGCCCGTCAAAACGCCGACCTTTACTGGGCCGCCAGAGGAGCAGGACCATACTTTCCAGGAATTGTTACTCGATTTCACGTGCAGACACGGCCGATTCCACAGTTCATGCGTTCGTCTCGATACATTTATCCTATGAGCAGCTACAGAAAGGCGTTTGGGTGGGTTTTAAATGTGGGTGCTAACTTTTGCGTGCATGATAGACCAAAATGAGAATGCGCACTGATATAAATAGATTGCTTCCGAATTTAAAGGAGGCATTGAGGCTGTCGCCATTGGAAGTTATCCGGTAGATATGGATGAAGCTGCCATCTCGATTAATTTGCTCGCCTTTGGAGAGGATGAAGCAGACTTGAAAAAGTCCTTAAAACAGATAGATGATACTCACCCTAGAGGGACACTTGCTCGCTACTTTTTTGAGGAAACAGACTTGAACATGGAGTACGGGCACAAGGCGAGTTCCTACCCAGTGCATCACCATTACTGCGTGGATGATTCATTTCTTGAGAGCAACGCCAATGTCGTCGAGGTACTGGAGAAAGCCTTTATGACGTTGCCGAACAAAGAGTCGCTAGTGCTCTGGAACACAATGGTGCCACAAAGTCGAAGAAAGCTTCCGGATATGGCGCTCAGCATCCAGTCCGATCATTACTTCGCCATATACGGTATATGCAAAGATGAGCGTGATTACACTCTTTGCGAAACTTGGGTACGCGAGGTTATGGTGGAAGTCAGTAAGCATGAAGAGGGCGTGTACCTAGGAGAGTTTGATCCTCAGGTTCGCTGGTCGAAAATTTGGTGCAAGGAGCAAGCCCAAAGACTCAAGAAGATTATACTGCAAAGAGATCCTGATGGCCGGTTTTGCGACGAAGCCACATTAAATACGGTCTTTTAAGTAAAACCCATACTCGGATTCTAATCGCTTGGCTGTCCAGCTATAATTCCTACCGTGTGACTTTCTCCGGAGTTCAGCTCACCGCATTGTGGAAATGAGACAGGGGTCTTATGCTATCTAATCGAGTCTATAGTTCCCATCAGATCATCTCGACTCTGTTTCTGTTCCATGATCTGTCAATACAATTTCTTTGATTTTGTGTTGTCTAAGCAGCCAGATAATTACCTTTTGCTGAATGGGTCACCCTTTATCTCATGACACGCGAATGAGAACAGTTTCCCATAATGTAGACGAAAGGATTTTCTGGCCTTTTTTGTAGACTTGTGGCTGCTGTCACACGCATGCTGAACACAAAAAAAAAAGAATATCACATGCAACAGTAAATTGACCATTCTCTACCTAATGGCTTTGAACACTGCAACAAGTTCTCTTGCCTCTTAGCTTGCCAACTCACCTCCTGCTAAGAAGGAGACCATACGAGGATACAGTCATTCAAGTTCAAAATGCTTGATAATGACTCCTCGCTGAGCAAGAAATTCAGGTGTTATCTGAACTCCACTTGAGGAGTTGTCCGGACTTTGGGACTGTCTGTTCAAAGATTGAGCCTCGACTCGAGGGTCAACCTCGAATATCTGTTCAGTTTCAATATTTCTATAGATCCGTACATACTCAGACGATACGGAATCATACTTCAGAAGTGACTCAAACCGCTCTGGTAGAGGACCGAGGAAAGCCTCTGCCCCCATTAAACCGCAAGCATAGCATTCTCCGACAACGCGATAACGTTTATTCTTAAGTGGACGTAAAACCAGAGGCATAGGGCAGCCGAGAAGGATGCAAACCTGGTCGCCGGGTTTGGCTTCCTTTGGGGCTAGTCCGATGTATCCTTCAACCGCGGTGAAGAAAGACCTACCTTGACCAAAGGTCCAGAACCAATCAAGCAACCTGTGTCCGCCAGTTCCAGTAGACAAGTCTTCGGCCGTGGGGTCAGCTGCGTTTATCAGGTTTTTTAATATTGCCTTGGACTTCTCGAAGTTTGGGAAATGCGCCAATGGTTGTAAATATTCCTCACCAAAGTACCCACAACAGAGGGTACGACAGTAAGCATCCAGCAAACTACCGTTATTGACATACGAGCCGTTTAACACATCGGGTGGCGCGTAATGAGCTACCGCTGAAACAAGAGTCTTGTTGGACGAATTCTGAAATAAGATTTCTTCTGTTGTTTTCAGGGTAGCAGAAACTGTTCCACAGACACGTAAGATACCATTTCCAAGATACGATGCCACTGCCTCAGACTGGGCGTCCGCGTTGGCGTACCACAATGGATCAGCTACGTTGGCAACTGACCAGTCTGGAACCCATGAAGGCATACTAGGCGGCCCATCTTGCATTTCACAAGAAGCCAAGATTTTGAGGCTCTTGAAATGCTCAATATAGCGAAGCACCAAATTCTGATAGACTTCAGCTGTCGTCAAGGAATAATCAACCTCAAGCTTCATATCTCTCTCGGACTTCTGAAGGATGCTTAACATGGCGTAAATTCTGTCCCTAGGATCTGAACATTTACAGTGCTTCGTTTGGCGCAGAAGTCGACCAAGGGGAATAGCACTGGCATCGTCGCTCATCTGGTAGATCATCTCGATCCTGTTGTGGAATGGTACGGCCTTGGCTCCAAGGTGCTCGCGTTTCTTCGCCTTTTGGCGTAAGCAGAAAAGTGCATTGCGGAAAGATTGCCATCTGATGGTTTTGAAGCCACACATAACAATAGCATCTGGGTTTGCTAGCCGGATCTCCTGTCTGATCCATAGCCTTTCGAACCAGGGACGATGCAGTAGGAAGTAAAGTGCAGAAAGCTCTTTCTCTTCATAAGGCAGGAGCTGTGTTAGATCTGTCCATTGGGGTTCGTCAACAGCTGACAGAGACGGCCGCATCGTAGCATTAAGCCAATCAACGTCGATTTTACGACTCAACTCGTCCATCAAGTCTAGAGCATAAGTACTGTCTTGATCTTCAAGGCCGAGCCAAACCACAACTCTACTAGCCAAGCCATATATGTCTCTCATCAGTTGAACTTGATGTCCCCGTTCTTTCAAGTTTTGCTGGTCGATACAAACTGCGTCAATCCAAAGGACCCGTGGTTTGTCCTCATATCGTAGGTAGGGCAGAGCCTTTGCAAGGTTCACGGTGATAGAAACATAGGTGTCACCAATGGTCCCCACCCGAAGATCAGCCAAATTCTCTAAAGAGCCCCACACATATGAAAGTGCTTCAAAATGGGGGATCGAAGTTCGTGATATATGTGTTTTGTGTAGCGAAACGCATAGCTGATCGGAGAAGCATCCAGGGTGCAACGTCAAAAGTCTGATTTCCGAAGCTTTTGAATCGAGAGGTTCATACTGGTAAGGAGCCATGACTTAAATGCCTTCAAGTTCAAGAAATGTCTTGCTAACTGTCGTTGGGAAGTTGAATGTCGTCGCACATCAATCAGGCTGAGCCCATTTCAGACTAGGCTGCAGCCAAGACGTGATGAGTACTCTTCCAACGCAAGAGGTCCACTTGGACTCGAAGTACGCTGTAAGCGTGGAATGACGACATTCCAAGGCTGAAGACTTTGTTACTGCCAAAGAACAAGTCGTAGTATCCTTTTCATCAAAGTATAGCAAACCAAAAGATTGCATTTCACCAGCGCAAAGAGCTTTTCTTCAGCGATCGAGCGCTATCCTTTCCCCCAAACTTCTGAGCTTGATTCGCTTTCCTTAACCTACACGACCTTGCATGGACATAGAGACGAGCAAAATCGAGGAGGCTTTTTTTTCGCGTTTAGCTTTTCTCGATTCCAACAATTTTTTCCCTCTTACAACGAGAAATTTTCGTTTTGATACGAAGAGAAACTCCGATATGATAAGATAAAGATAAGATCCGAAGTTTCTCCCCGAGCGGAGCTTCACAAGTCATCCAATCGTCCAGCGGAACCGCCGCAGAGATGCTCCAAAAGGTAACTCAATGTAAAAGAGGCTTTACGGGACGGACACTTTAGTGCTGGATCCACAGGTCAGTGTCACAAGCCCTTATCGCGTTTTCGGCGATGCGTCGGATGGAGTTGTATGTACATGCGCCTGACGCTTTGGCGACACTCATTTTGAATATATAAATGCAAACGTGTCGGGCACGATGTACCACTTCGTTGCACCAAGCATATTCGGCCTGAAGAAGTCAACAATACTTTCCAATTCAACATCCTGACTTGGTACATTTCACATAATCAACATGTCTCAGTCGGACTCAGATCCTTCGGGGCACTCACATCCGCGCCATGAGCTCCAGCGAGTGGAGACCCAATCGACGTTGCGCGAATTGGGCCTTTCGCCTGTGATCCCCACGGTCGATGTCAACTACCCGGAGGTTGGAAGACCAGAATCGCCCGTGTTTCCTGAAGAGTACGTTGTCGAAACGGCTACGGGTCTTGTACCCGAGCTTTCGTTGGAGCAGATCCGTTCGAAGCCTTTGGAAGACCCTTTAGATCTCGAGAAGAGGGCGACCGCCGAGTTCGTAACCTTCACGATCGGCGACAGCGAGAATCCGCACAACTGGTCTCGTGGTTTCCGATGGTACATCACACTCGTGGCGTCTCTACTAGTCGTGTGCATAGCCTTTGGATCGTCTATCGTAACCGGTGGCCTGGGCCTGATCGAGGAAAAATACCACGTCTCTCTCGAAGTCGCTACCCTCACTTGCTCCATCATGGTGTGCGGCTTTGCCGTCGGTCCACTCCTGTGGTCTCCTCTGTCTGAGATCATCGGTCGGCGACCTGTATACATCATCTCACTCACGCTCTACACCATCTTCAACATCCCATGCGCTCTCTCTCCCAACATCGGAGGCCTCCTCGTCTGCAGGTTTCTGTGCGGCGTCTTCTCCAGCTCCGGCCTCTCTTTGGCTGGCGGAACCATCGCTGACGTATGGAACATAAAAGAGCGCGGTATGGCGATCGCATTCTTTGCTGCTGCCCCGTATTGCGGCCCCGTCATCGGCCCCATCGTCTGCGGCTGGATCGCTGTCGGTACACACCGTCTTGACCTTTTCTTTTGGGTTAATCTTGCATTCGCGGGTGCGGTAACAATCATGGTTGGCTTGATCCCCGAAACCTACGCACCAGTCATCCTCAAGCGACGGGCCAGGAAACTGCGAGAGGAATCCGGCAACCCGAACATCATGACGGAACAAGAGAAAGTCAAGCTCACGTTCAGCCAGGTCGTCCGCACCAGCCTGATCCGACCAATCACAATGATTCTGACCGAGCCTGTTCTCGACCTGATGTGCATGTACATCGTTCTCATTTATTCCATGTTGTACGCCTTCTTTTTTGCGTACCCGATCATTTTCGGCAAGCTGTACGGCTATAACGATGGCCAAATTGGTCTGATGTTTATTCCAATCCTGATCGGCGCGGGCTTCGCCCTTTTTGCTACCCCTATGGTCGAAAAACAGTTTCGCCGTATCTGCGCAGCACGAGATCCGGAGCCTGAGGATCGGTTGATTGCCGCCCTCATCGGTGCACCTTGCATTCCTATATCTCTCTTCATACTTGGCGCCACGTCTTTCAAGCACATCATCTGGGTTGGCCCAGCCTCTTCTGGTATTGCATTTGGCTTCGGCATGGTCCTATGCTACTATGCTGTCAACAACTACATCATCGACTCGTATCAGAACTATGCAGCTTCCGCACTCGCAGCAAAAGTCTTCTTGCGTTCGGGCGGTGGCGCAGCTTTTCCACTGTTTATAACTCAAATGTATGATGCGCTCGGTCTGCAGTGGGCATCATGGCTATTGGCCTTCATCGGCGTTGGCATGTTTTTCATCCCATTTCTGTTTTATTTTTTCGGTGCCAGTTTACGGGCGAAGCTCACCAGGCATTGAAAGCGTGTATTGCCAAGATGCATATAATAATGATGGGAAGAGCAGAATGCAAAGCTATCGTGTTGTATTCTTACGCATTAGGTCGGTGTTAATCGTGAGGCAATATCAACATTCTAAGCAAACATTAGTATTTTTCATTCTTGTTTTTCAACACTGACGGACTGTCGACATAAGAACATACCAAGAAAGCATAAATGGTCAAAAACGGGCCTGTTGGGCTGTAAGTGCAACCCTAGTATTTCACATTTGATGTGGTGCCTCGCTTGTACATGGGATGCGATTCACAGCCAAAGATTGAGAAGTCTAAGTGGTTGCGAATTACGAATTGCGCCACTTACAGTTATTCCAAGCTCTTTATCGAACAGCAAAGCGGAAGCAGAAAATCCAGTCATGATGTTTTAGACCATTGCATTTGACACACATTTAATCACTCTGAATACAAGAAGGTCGGTGATAGCAGAGGAGAATAAAGAACCCATCAGAAATACATTTCACAATTTGAACTCTTTCTCTCCCACTGCTTCGCTCCCCTTCTTAACCAGCAGAACTTCATCATCGTACTCATCAAACTTTGCTTGGTCATCTTAGCCAGACACCTGCAACTCACTACTGCTGTCCTTTACACCGTACATTAAGATTACGCGCTGCATCCTTGCATCTCTCTTTCTCCTGCTCGCTTTACTTCATCGCAACAAAAAGGGTGAGAGCATTATGTACAATACCCTTTGAAGAAAATAAAAAGATAGAACCAATTACAGGTTCATAATGAAGCGCAAGAATCGCGAACGCAGAACGCGGACAATGCAGATGCAAAAATATGTTCTTGTAGCAGGAAGCCGAAGGAGCACAAATGTCGAGAGTGCTGACAGTATCACGCGTGATGACGATGCCGTAGTAGTCGACCGATTGTGTCTGTGTGTGCGTGTAATTGATTTTTTTTTCATGGTTTTCGTGTCGTTCTTATATGCCGCGTCTTGAAAATGATGTTTGCGCAAAGCGCGCATTGTGTGGGCCGACCTATCGACTGCAAGGAGATGTCGAGCCTCTCTTCTCGTGTGAGTTGGATAAAGCGAAATGAAATAAAGAGTGTGTAAGTGGAGAGAAGCTGAGTTGCTTCTCCACCGATAGACTTAAGGATAACAAGTCGTCGCTTATGATGTCGGAGACGACAGAGATGCTTTGAAAGAAGAAAATTGGCCGCAACAGTGAATTGGGGTCTCAAATGGCCAAAGGTGGTATTCGCACAACCAAGTAAAACGCCCCTGGACGATCCCGAAGGAGAGAAAAACACCAAGATGCTTAAATGTCGAAAACGCGAGTGCTTGATCAGAGCTGAAAAATATCGCTCGAACGCCGCAATGGGAAAGCCGGACTCAGATGGCGGCCAGGAAAGAGGTTGCGGGATACGGACGAGCGATCGAGTGGCTCTGCCATGAGATAAGTGTCACCTTAAATTCATTGACAGGAGCATCGAAAGCAAAGAAATTGAGCCACAAGCATGTCAATAGGAAGCCATACGTCTAGCGAACATTCGCCCAGGCGTACCGTCCAACATCATGCAAGCATCCGATGCTGACCGGCTTGGACTGTCCTCCATCTGACAGCTCTGTCCAAAGGCGAAGGTCTGTGCTCTGCTCAATTTCCCTCGACCCTTCAGTCGACCTAGTCCTCGCTCGCAAGCACTTTCGTGCGCTGCGTCGTCCATGAGCACATAGTTCTGTGGATAACAGCGTGACCTGTGGTTTGAGAAGAAGGCGCTGTAACCACCGTCGAGGATGTAAACCTCAGGGTATGACAGCTTAGGATACTGGGATGCGTTGACAGCACGGTCTTGCTTACGTATAAATGAAGCCCTGTTTATCTAGTCAGCACAAGACATCAATTGCAATTGGTTGACCGACATCAATGGAGCACGATGATTCGAGTATTCGCAATGGAATATCACTAGAGTGTTTGGCTGGACGTTTGTGAACAGATCCTTTGCCAACTTCTCCTTGTCGTTGTAATTTAACGCCCCTTGAATATGGCCGCCATCATACTCGTACTCAAATCGACAATCAACAATCAGCGTCTTCTCGAACTGGTCGTTGTACTTTCCGTCCAGGACATTGATCATCGTATCATGGGTGATACGCGGTAGACTACCGTGCTCAGGTCTGTCACCATCCGGGATGAAATGTGGTAGCTTCAAGCAAGGGACCTCGTCTACGTCCATGATGGATTGAAGCCCACTCGGCACGTACTGTTTCTCTTGCTTCATCACGTCCTCTGGATGCTCAAACATGCTCAAGGATCTGCGAAACTGCTTCCTAGGCCGAGGCATCGAGGTCACTGAACGCTTGACTTGGATATTAATTGGCGACCCATTGCCTCGAGCTAATATGCTCGCGCCTGCGAAGAGATGGCGAGGCCGCGGAGGGCAGTCGATCGAGCTGTCAAAGGGGTTTTTCTCTTGGGGTGGAGATGCTTTGAAGCACTCGTCCAACGATGATGTGGAGATGCTCGTGGTCAAGCCGTTGCCACCTGCACCAAATTTAAACGGCGGCAGCTGTTCCTGTGGTTTGTTATTTGGCACGTTCGTCGTCGACGCAGGTCTACTCCGTGCAAATGCAGGCCTTAGATAAGCCGATCGCTTCCGTCTAATCTCAGGTCAGCAGGAAAAATCGTCTAGTTCACGTGAGCAAAAGCATACTCCAGAGGTCGAACAGGTGGAGCCTGTAGAAAATTGGATGCCGTGACTTCGCATGAGGATATCATGTCTTCGTCTGGGCTTGGCTCTGGAGTTGGAGATTGCACTTGTATATCTTGAATGAAGGAGAAAGGTGGTTTGTGTGGCAGGGGAGAAATGTCCATCGAGTCCCCTGCGTAACCAGGAGAGGAGGAGGGTATCGGCGGTGTGGTAACACCTTCCCATGATGGCTTGATTGGTGGAGTCGTTGCACCTTCTACCGAGCCGCTTGTGTTAGACAAGGACTCTGCCATGGTGGAGTAGCGCACACACGAGCTTACCTCGATTGATTTCGGCAGTAAATAGACCAGAGGTAAATAAAGACCTGCGCGGTGTGGGCAACTGCGGGCTGCATGTACGTTAGACTAACTGTAGCGCCTCGCATAGTGCATGTGATAAAAACGAACGTATCACACACCTTTGATCAATGTGGAAGTTCTGAGACAGATCTGCCGCCAAACTTGCCGTCGGAGAGGACCCTCGAACACCGGTTTTCAGCGTGAAGTAGTCGGAGGAGTGTTTTTTCATGCTCAAGTCACGAAAGTTGAAGTTGGGCTTTCCAAAAGGGTTATGGCGTGGACGCGGCACATTTGTGATATCTCGTCCAAATCCGAAGGGTCGAGGCGGGGGCTGCATGGCCGCCAGAGGCGACGAGAACTCCATGCTGGCGTCTTGATTACTTATGTCCGGGCCCAATTGATGACGGGTCCAGCGGCTGTAAGCGATACTGTTGCTCTAGAAGATGTGTGACTGTAGGGAACGGGGGTATAAGGGCTGCGATCTTGGGTGACGATAAGCATGCAAGACGACCAAACTGCAGAGTCAAGGGTTAGCAAGCGAGGTGACAAAGGGCGACAATGCGGGCACAGAAGCTCCAGGGGACTGACTGAAGATCTCAACAGCTGCTGGTATGGCAATATTCCATGGATGGCGGGAGATATCCTCGTACAGAGTGCACTTCTTCAGCGACAGCTGCGGGATAGCGAGCGAACGAGACCGGGGGAGGGAAGAGGCTCTGCGTGCTTCCCTTGGTGGGATAAAGACCGAAGGCACCTCCTGGGGACGGAAGAGGTAGGAATGAGAGACGATGGCCGCGAGCAGATGGCGACGACGAGGTGGATGAAGCAGGAGCAGGAGGGCTGCTCTGCGTTGAAGAAGCAGAGGAAGCAGAGCAAGCGGATGCAGCAGAGCCTGCTGGTTGCCCAGAGTAACAAAGGCGAGTCTCAGCAAGCCGGGCTGCGCAGACGCCTTGGTGTGGGGCGGGAGGTGGATGGGGGGCGTTCGCTGTTTGCTGGGAGCGCGGGCAGCCTTTAGCGCCAGCTTTTTTTTTCAGCGGCCAGCTTGCGCTCCAGCTGGGCCGGGACGCGCTGCGATACGGTACGGTACGATACGGCTGGTACAGCACGATACGGCTGGTACAGTACGATACGGCCAGGACGGAGCCGCTCTGTTTTGTACGGCCGGCAGCTGGATGCCGGATCAGGCGGGCAGCACCGCGATGCGTCCCGTCCAAAGCGAAGGGAACAGTCAGGACGACCACCAATGCTGCTGCTGCTGTCTTTGCTATCTGTGCTGCGGAAAAAAAAACGCCTAATCGGCACTGCTTGCTGCTCTGTACCACCTTCGTCGTCATTGGCGGTCTTGCTTCCGTCTTCTTTGTCACGCCGGGAACGCGCTGTGACGCACTAGCAGGTCCTTCACCACGGACATGGGGGCCGCACCGTGCTGCACTGGCAGCAGCGCCACCGACTCAGGCCCATGGCGACAAAGACGACGACTGTGGTGATGATGACTGCCACTGTTGTTGGCACATCGTCATCATGATTAGTATTTTCATTACCATGACCAGGCAAACGGGCAAATCTTCTCTTCCAACCCTCCGCACCAAACCTCCAGCTCCAGCCTCGTCAGCGCCATGGATCCTCAGCGTTTTTTTGTTGCTTGGGCACCGGCTTCGCACAGGGCAGGCCTTGCACCGCGGCGTCGGCTACCCGTGTAAGTGTTTGACAAATGCTTACCTCTGGCGTGGTCGCTACGTGGGCGACAACACACAAAACGCGTGTCCGAGCAATCAGGCAACTCTGTCTGCATGTCCCTCATCCAGCTTTCATCATCTCATTCTTCATCTTGCAAACCGCTCTTTTCGCCAGCCTGGAATTGTCCCTCATCAAGCATTCGACCTTGTCGTCATCCATTCAATTTGCCGAACTAGCTCAGCGCCAGCAAGGCACGTCCCGATTCAGTTTGGTCACTGGCGAGAAAGGGCTCCTAATCAGCATCGCTATTCGCTAGTCCACGTCTTCCACGCGACAAGCTCATCAAACAGGACAGTGACCATGCCCTAATCGGCCTCGCTACATCGCATCGCTATCGATCAGCTGTCTCACAGATCAGGCGTTGCACACTACACACGCAGGGATGACCGCGGATGGCATCATTGCCTCTCGTGCCACTCCGAACCGCTGTGAGATCATCCGCAAGGACAAACCCAGTTGCTTGCCTTGGTTGACGATCAGACGCTGACCGTGTCGCTGACCACTTGGATCGAGCCGGACTCTGCACATCGAAGGATGCAGACGACGCTTGACATCATAGCATTGAACAGTAAACCGGTTCGATCAAACATGTTTGCACGCGTGCATGAACATGCCCATGTTTTACAATGCAGCTACAGCAACATTGGGTTGCTTTCCTTTTTTTGCTTGTGTTCTGTGTGGCCCCCGCCTTCTACCGTTCAAATCTCTGTAGGCGCTGCCTTTGCCGAACAGCTGTCAAGCCATGATCTTCATCGATAAGAAGCGAGCCGCGAGGGGAAATCCTTCAGCTGACCGGTCTCGCCGACGCGTCCAAGCATTTGTTTAGCGGAATGATGGGTGCCAGCAAGGGGAAAACATCAGCGCGGCAACGTCAACCAGCCTGTTGGACAAGAGCGAACCTACCCCTCTTGCGAGCGTGCCCCGCAAACGAGCTGCCTCTCGGAATCACACCTTTGAGTTGCAACAGGCCGTTGTAGACGCTGCGGCCGGGTGGGCAATCTAAAGCCGGCGCGAGGCTGTTTCACGTCCGTCGCCTACGCGCCGGTTCACGCGAGCTGTATTTGCCAAGACAAAGTAAACAAAACGAAAGGTGCGCGCCAGCCCGTGATCGCAGACCCGAAATGCGGCCGCTGATTCGTCGCCCAGGCCGGTCCAAACATCGCCCTATTTTCGTCTCAACGTTTATCTCGCTATCGCTCCATTTTAAAGTTACGATCTAGGTTGAAAAGTCGGTGAGCTTCGTACAAGGATCCTTCCACGAGATCGTGCAAAAGAAGCAAAGAAAACGACAATAATGAAAACCACAATAGAAACTCTCTGCCCGTGAGCTCTGTGTTCTGCGACTTGAGCGTAAGCCCTGGACCCATCAGCCTCCCTTCCCTCCCCCTAACTTTTCCAGCTGAGGAAAAGCCTCCCGGCCAGAGATACCCCATTGTGGGTGGAGCCTTGTTAGAGCGGGTACGATGCAGGGTGCTGCAACAAAACTAGGACAAAAACTTTGCGTTCGCTGCGGAGAAAGGCTCCTAATCTGGGACGTCTCTGATTGTCACGAGCCCTCGACGAGATACCTGAGTCGACGTGAACTGATTAGGTAGGATTTTCAGCTGGATGCTGTTCGTGGTTTAAAGTTCGTGCACAACGTCAGGAATACGTGTGTTCGACGCGAACGTGACGGAGTACAAGCCTAGAAGTCTTAAGAGTATATCGACACTTTGGCTTTCAAGCTGGGCTTTACTAGACATTATCGGTCACGTCAAGAGTTCATGCTGAGCTACACAAGCCGCTGTCAACAATGCCACCCTTGAGCAGATCGGGGCCAGAAAGACTACCCACCTTGCATTCGCTTGGCGAGACTGTCCGGACCGATGAGCCTCAAAGCAAGTCAAGCAAGGTACGGATCAATTCTCGCAAATGAATGTATAGCCCTTCGCTTGTTCAATTAGGACATCAATCCATCTTACGGGAACAGTCTTGAAACCTGTCCCTGAAGAGCGAGGCTATTTAATTATTTGGGTTTGAGCTAAAATGACAGTCAACCTGTTTGATGCCTCTGGCTGTATCGTGTCAACATGGACAAATTCAACCCAACGCCTTACGTCTGCTTCCCGTACTTGCTGTCCCACAGCTCGCGGAAGAGTTCTTTGTCTACGGCAAACTCCTCCAGAAAGTCTCTCTCGATTTCATGTCCCCTCCTGCCCACAAGTACTAGGCTGTGCAGCGGCTTTCCCAGGTCGGCCTGACACAGCTGGCCTAGAGTGCCTGCCACTATCTGCATGTCCTCACTGCCAACACGGCTCACCCCAACTGCTAGTGCGTCTTTGCCACATACTCCACCTTTCAGCTCGTCCTCCACCTCTACCATCTGCTTCGCACACTCTGCTACAGTCATAAACCGCGGAGGCAGGTACTTCATCCTACCTGTCCTGGCCAGCAGGTCAAGGTCTGGTTCTTTGACCTTGATGTCAAGTAGGATCAGAGTGTGTAGTCCGATAGAAGTGTTTTCTTGGAGGCGAGGATACCATGACGTGGGTCGCCAATTGTCCGTAAACCATACCATTGAGATGGTTTGCCCGAAATTGTAAAGAGACAGTCCTGTGGCACCGATGCCCGTCAAGATAGAGGCATTTGGCAGGGTACGCGTTGGTATGGACTGCTGGCGGGCACGTAGAGACAGATCGGTGTGAGTGGTTGCTCTAGCGCTACATCAGCAACAATGTGGTAGAAAGTAGCATGAAAGTTGCACACCCAAACGGATCGCCTACCACAAGAAAAGCTACGTCGACTTTATCCGCATCCTTTAGTATATCGTCGGATTGGGATTCGACCATCTCCCTGTCCGCGAGAATGATGTCTCTCCCGTAGAAGGCCTCCTACTGCACGCTGATCAGCTCACTTCTGCCGAAAAAAAGACGATGTCCTCTCAGTACCAGTTCACCTTTGCCCACCAGCAAAACCGCCGTGTACGATTCGAGGTAGACACGGTCCGCTTTCTTGACGACTTCAAGACCAGCCACGCTGATATCCTTTTCGGACGCCAGACCGAGACCTATAAAGTACAGCATTTTTTGTTTCCGTGAGCTTCAATGCGCTTCGTGTAGGGTCGTCGGCGCGCATGTAAGCAAGTTTTTTTGTACGAATTTTCGAGTCGGCGAAAGTGGGGGTCGTGGTTGCATGGTGGGGCACAGGAAAGCGTTGACACGACTGTGGGACAAAAATGCAAGAGGCCTCAGTCCAGCTCATCGCCTCCAATCCATATTCGCAGCAGCCGTCCAGTTTGGCTCGGGCGGGAAATGCGGAAATGCGTTTCTTATCAGATCTTCCCTCTGCTTCTTGAGGGAGCCTGGTGGCGAAGCGCCACGTCGTGCAAGCTCGAAGTGAGTGCAGCGTTTCCGTATAAAGAATTTGGGAGGCTCTTTAATGGGGATATATCGGTCTACATGAACTTGATGTTCTTCGAAAGTGAGCGGCGGATCGTTGTTTTTGAGTGTTCGAAATCATCATGTATTCACTCAAGTCTAAGCAAAGCTTCCCATCGACCTGGTCGAGGATATCTTTTTTGTTCCTCGACATTCATCTTTGACGGAGCTTGGATTACTTAGCTGATTCATCAACCCTCCAAAGACTTATTTGTCTCATATCTCGCCGTTCGCTGCATTCTCTGATCATATCGCCTTTACGTGGGCTTCGATGAGCTGTCAGCTTTAAGGCATGTTCCCAAGTTTCGAGCAACAGCAGAATATCTCAGCTGTGGGCCAGATTGCTCTTCAGCTCGTTTCGACGCCATCGTGTGCACATTGATCTGCGAGATCAAAAACGACATAAAGGCCTGTCTTCCACGACACCACATCGAAACTGTCAGTCGCCCCATTTTGATTGTCGATGAATTCTTTCATCGTCCCCCTGCCGCGAATTGGGGATCGATCAAGACAATGAAAGTACATCAATCCGCATAAGTATGATGTACCTTCTCTGGATCAATCTCCTTTGCAGTGCATGTTCGCGAAATTTCTCCGACTTTAGATCAGGTGTCTCATGAAACAAACAACTACCTTCGCTATTATTGTCCCAAGCCGTCAAAAGCAATATTGTTCACCATTCGGGATCCTTTCGCTCATACTCAGAATTCATCACTAATAACCATTCTCCTTTAGCTATAACACATCGGCAGTCTTGGATGGTGGTGGCTACTGAACATATGGCAGATAGAGAAGCGCCGATGAGCTCTGTTGTTGCTGAAGGGTGATATGGCGGGGCAAAGCAGCGGTATGCAAATCTCGCAAGCGCACGAAAGAATCAAATTGTCCGTGGTCAGGGGAGCAACTTCCTAGCAGTGACAGTACACATTGGGGAAAATTTGTCCACAGTGGTCAAAAAGTCTGCGAATGTGCTGCAAGAGGCGGCGAAGAAGGGTAACATAGTAACAATATTATGTCCATGCTTTAAGCAAGAGGGCTTCATTGGTTGGGGGGCGCGACAACAACGCAATCTCAAACTTGAATCCACAGAGAGGGTCAGAGAACCTCAGAATAGGCGGCATACCGTTTCAATTTAAAAAAATATATATAAAATGAATATATTTCGAGTTAGGAACATGTCGAATGAGACGTAGGAATTCGGAATTGCCTAGCCTCCGGAAGGGACCGGCGACACTCGAAAAAAGAACGTCGTGAAGTGAATGCCTTTTCTCGGGACATCTCATTTCAATTGTTGTGAATTTTTTTTTTATTTTGGTACTTAAAGAGAAGAGTGAAAGGATTTCTAGAGAAACGGCAAGAATTGCAGGCATCCAAGCCTGTGTCTACGACATTGATAGATCCTTACGTGTCATCTTGTATTCAAACTTGGGATAAAAAAAAAGCTTTCACGTATTTTTGCTGTTGTCAAGTTGCTGGTCATTCTTCTCCTTGGGAGATAAATTACAAGAGTTCACATATCAAAAACCAACAAGGCGAGGAATGTCCCACTACTAGGTTGTACCGTTGCATTGACACGGCCACAGCACAATACTCTACCAATGACTCCATCAACCAGTCAGATGAAACACGCCATTATCACTGCTTGGGAAGAACCGCCAAAGTTCGTTGATACAGCAGCTCCTCAACTAGATCCGGTCGACGATAAAGTGCTGATCCGGGTAGAAGCAGCTGCGGCTCATCAGCTCGTGCGGCTCCGGGCATCTGGAAAGCATTACTCGGTAAAGACGCTGCCTCACGTTCCTGGTGTTGACGGGGTCGGGACCACACCGGACGGCCAAAATGTCTACTTCTTCACGTTTGCGCCGGCCCCGGGCTCCTTTGCAGAGTTCGTTCGCGTGCCAAAAGGCAATGTGACGCCTTTGCCTGACGGGCTAGATAAGATTCAAGTTGCTGCATTGGTTAATCCGGTAATGTCCTCGTGGATGGCACTAAGAAGGCGCACGTTTTGCCGACCTCCCAATTTCACAGTGTTGATACTTGGAGCGACCTCTACGTCTGGCAGGTTGGCAATATCAGTCGCGCGTGCTCTAGGTGCAGGAAGAGTAATTGGTTGCGCCAGAAACGAGGAATCTCTCGCAAGACTGGGACTTGATCAGGCGATACGCTTGCGCGAGCCTGTCACCGAGACTGATTTTTCAGACTTGCAAGATGTTGATGTTGTCCTTGACTACGTGTACGGTCAAGCCGCCGCGCACTTACTTTCCACGATCAAGTGTACCCGTCGTGTACAATTCATACAGATCGGTAGCCTCTCTGGTCCAACCATCGATCTTCCAGCACACACAATCAGATCGAAAAACATTTCGCTTATTGGGTCGGGAATAGGAAGTTGGGCAGATGAAGAACTAAGGGAGGAGCTTCCTGATCTTTTGCAAGCCATGACAAAGTTTGAAACTGTCACGTTGAACGTGGTTCCACTGAGCGAGATCGAACGCCATTGGAGTGAGGGCAAGGACAGAACAGTGTTCACAATGTAGCACGAGGCAAATTTTAACTTAGGAGAGTTGCAACCACGGTGTCGTTACCATCGTGGCTGGCGAGCATTCCTTTGTAGTCATAACCGTAGGGACTTCTAAATCGAGCGTCGACTCTGAATATTATGTGTTTGGTGTAACTTCGTGTATATAGGGTTGAATATGGTATTTTCTATGACCTCCAAGCTGTTGAATTCTCCCGTTTAAACCAGTTTTGCCTGTTTGGAGTGGAAGTCCAGACACTGTTCGTTGCGCGCTGTGAGCAAGGCTTAGCATGACTGGGTATATGTCAGCACGATAGGCCCAAGCGTTCAGAGCCTAGTGCATCATTGACGCTTGTGAACTAAATCTTTTGAAGACAACTCTTCTTTGCGCCGCAAGTAAATCGCCAACAGTTGACGCTCTTTCTTTAGCTGATCGGGGGCCACGACCTCCGCGCCTCTTACTTCAAGATGTCTGGGCGAAAGGATTTCCTGTCCATGCCCGCCCCCGAGAACTATGTGGCAGGTCTCGGGCGTGGTGCGACTGGTTTTACAACGCGTTCGGACTTGGGTCCTGCGAGGGAGGGACCCAGCGAGGAGCAGCTGAAGGAAGCCCTTGCTAAACGAGCTAAGCAACTAGAACTGGGCACGCCAACTGCGTATGGCGTTACGGAAAAGAATGATGAAGACGACGACGACGATCGTTTTAGAGACCCGGACGATGACCAGGGCTTGTTTGCTGGAGGCCTATACGACAAAGATGATGACGAGGCGGACAGGATTTACCAAGCTGTTGATGAGCGCATGGAAAGAAGGAGAAAAGCTCAGAGGTTAGTAAAATCTTCCACAACTTGGGCCCAGGATCATGCGAGAAGCTCTATGCGAATATGGCGAAACAAGGCTGCACAAGAATCTCGCATGATCCCGTACCTGATCGTCTACGCTCTTGTGAAACACAGCGTTTATCAGTACTCGTACAGATTGCCGACTTGATACCGTCTAGGGAGGCCCGCGAGAAACGAGAGCGCGAAGAATACGAAGCGAAGAACCCAAAAATATCCCAGCAATTTGCAGACGCAAAGCGTGCGTTATCCACTATCTCAGAAGAGGAATGGGCAAATTTACCCGAGGTTGGTGATCTGACTGGACGCAATAAACGAGCGAGGACGAGTCGGATGCAGCGGTTTTATGCTGTTCCAGATAGCGTTCTGGCGGCTCAGAGAGATGCTGGCCAAATGGACACAAGTATTGATGCGCGGGAAAGTTTACCAGCCAACGGAGTCGCGAATGGAGATGCAGCGGATGGCACCGTCACCAATTTCGCGCAGATCGGTGCAGCAAGAGAAAAACAGTTATCCCTCCGACTCGAGCAGGCCGAGAAAGCCGGTACTGAGACAATGGGTGGCACATCAACAAGTATAGATCCGAAAGGCTATCTGACTAGCCTGGCCACCTCCGAAGTGAAGGCCACCGAGCTGAACCTGGGCGATATCTCAAGAACGCGTCTCCTTCTTGAGTCCGTCACCAATAGCAACCCTACACACGCACCAGGCTGGATATCAGCAGCTCGCCTAGAAGAACACGCTGGAAAGCATGGTGCTGCCCGCAGCAAGATCATGCAAGGATGTCAGAGGTGCCCGAAGAGTGAAGACGTATGGCTCGAGGCTATTCGACTTCACATGGAGGGCAATAACCGCAATGCTAAAGTAATAGCAGCAGATGCCATCAAGGAAAACCCGCGGAGTATCAAGTTGTGGATTGCAGCGTCCGAGCTTGAAACCGAGCCAAACTCACGGAAGAAAGTTCTACGAAAGGCCATTGATAACAATCCGAAGTCCGTTCAGCTGTGGAAAGCTGCGGCTAATTTGGAAGAGCCGAAGGATGCTATGCTTATGCTTGCGAAAGCGACGCAATTTGTACCTTCAAGTGTTGATTTGTGGCTTGCCTATGCAAGATTATGCACCAAAGAGCAAGCCGAACAAGTTCTCAATCAAGCACGTCGCGCTATACCAACGTCTCATGAAATTTGGGTGGCAGCTACGCGTCTCCAGGAGCAGGGAGGCAATTTTGATTTGGCCAGGAAGGTCATGAGCCGTGGTATCAAGGCCTTGGCGAAAGAATCAGCTATGCTTAAACGAGAAGAATGGATTGCAGAGGCCGAGAAGGTGGAGGCGGAAGGCGCTGTGGTCACATGCCAAGCTATCATTGAGAATACACTTGGCTGGGGTCTTGATGAGGATGACGATCGTAAGGATATCTGGATGGACGATGCAAAGGAGAGTGAAAATCGTGGGAGGTATCATACAGCTCGTGCTATTTACGCATACGCATTGCGTGTTTTTGCCAACAAAGCGTCGATATGGAAGGCCGCATCTGAATTGGAACGAAGGGCGGGCACGACCGAGTCACTCATCAACCTCTTGGAAAAGGCTGTGGAAGCATGTCCTAAGAGCGATGATTTGTGGCTGTCATTGGCGAGAGAGAAGTGGCAAGGTGGGGACATTGACGGCGCCCGACTTGTACTTGGACGTGCTTTCAAGCAAAACGCGAGCGAAAGTATTTGGCTTGCAGCGGTTAAGCTGGAGGCTGACGCTGGGTTCAAGGACAAAGCGCAGGCTCTACTTGCGCAAGCGCGACAGGCAGCTAGTACTGATCGCATTTGGTACAAGAGCGTGGCTTTTGAACGACAACAAGGTCGTGATGACGAGGCTCTCGACCTTGTTAACCAAGGTCTGCAAATATTCCCCGGTAATGCCAAGCTGTGGATGCAGAAGGGACAGATTTATGAGGCCAAGGGTAACATTCCAAAGGCCCGTGAGGCGTATAACGCAGGCACTCGGGCATCTCCGAAATCGTCACCCCTCTGGATACTTGCGGCAAGACTGGAAGAGAAGCAAGGTATACTTGTCAAAGCACGCTCAATACTTGACCGTGCTCGTCTTGCCATCCCGAAAAATGACGTTCTCTGGACCGAATCGGTACGCCTCGAGCGCCGGAACAATAATATCAACGCAGCGCAAAATCTCATGGCTAGGGCCCAACAAGAGCTTCCTAAATCCGCACTTCTCTGGTCGGAGCGTATTATGCACCTTGAGTCACGTACGGCGCGAAAAGCACGTGCTATTGAAGCAGCGAGGCTCGTGGGTGACGATAAGTTCTTGTTTATAACATTTTCACGTATCTTCTGGGCCGAGCGGAAGCTGGATAAGGCGGTGACATGGTTCGAGAAAGCGATTATTGTGGATCCGGACTGGGGAGATAGCTGGGCTTGGTACTATAAGTTCCTAATACAGCATGGCACTGAGGAGAAGAAGGCAGAAGTATTGGCACAGTGTGCTAAAGCGGCACCAAGGCATGGAGAAGTGTGGCAGAGAATTGCGAAAGATCCGGCCAACAACGGGCTGAAGGTAGAAGATATATTGATGAGGGCGGTAAAGGAAATTGATAAGGAATAATTGTGGATGTGTAACTAAGACAGTTGCCCGTAGAACATGACTATTCTGAAATGAACAAACAAGGCTCCGCGATTGTGGAAACCAAGCCGAAGGAAGGAAACTCCTCACCCCCACCCCCAAACAAAGTGCGGATCCTTTATTCCTACCTAGATATTGACGAGATGAACGTTCAAACTTCCAACCGACGCCAACCTTAACCTTCAGATTCAGCATTCAAGCCATGACATCCTCACCGCCAGTCGTTCATGGCGTGGACGTCACGCCATCGACTCAATGTGCGCACTGGCACTCGTCGCTCGACATCATCGCCATCAAGCACGCCTGCTGCCGAAAATTTTACGCCTGCATCGGCTGCCACGACGCGTGCGAAGACCACCGCTCGGCCGTCTGGCTCAAGACGCAGCGGGACGAGCGAGCGGTGCTGTGTGGACGCTGCCGCCACGTGCTTCGCGTCGACGAGTATCTCGCCTGCGGCAGCCGCTGCGTGAGGTGCAACGCCGCGTTCAACCCGGGTTGCAAGAACCACTGGAGCATGTACTTTGAGATGGAGCGCGAGCCAACCCAATCCCTCCCTCCCGACTGTTCGACTCCGGGGAGGGAGGGAGGGTGCTGAATCTGACTCCTTTCAGAGCCCACGGCTGTCCTTTTGACGTCGAGGCACTTCGCGCGGCGATGTGAAAGTTCTGGCTCGTTCAAAGAAGAAGGGATAAAAGGAATAAAAACACCAAAAATAAAGATTTCGCAGCCTTTGAGGCGCCAATCGCCTAGCGGGAAGCAAGGCCGTCGTCCATCTCTCGGACGAGCAAGCACAGAAACTTGGAGGTAGAAAAAGGAAACGAAAAAAAAATAAAGAAAAGAGAAATATCGAGTATCCAGGGAACATTTCAGATTCTTTTTTTTTCTACTTTCTATTCGAGCTCATGCGAGGAAGAGTTGTCGTGGCGCGACTGAGGTTTAGGCGAGGATCTTGTTCACGCCGCCGTATGAGTCCAACTCGGGAGGATGGTAAGTGCAAGGGCAAAAGGCAAACACGATTCAACGCCCGGAAGAGAAGACTCCACAATAGGGATAGTAAAAATAAAGGGGGTTGAAAACCGAGAGACCAATCAAAAGGCACATAAGAGCACATCCAGTCTCGAAATATGAGGATGAAGCAGGGAAAAAAAAAGCAAAGTCCATGTATTTTCCTTCATGGCGCTATCCAAGAAACGCAAGTGTAGCAACTCGATCGCTAGTCTGGGCCGTAAAGAAAAAGAGGAAGAAGACGAAGACCCCAAGATACACCTTAAGATAGACAGGACAGCTGTGACGCATGTACAAAAACATATGACATATTCTGCCATAGTCGTCTTTCCCCAGAGCAAAGAAGATGAGAACACCGATGCGCGAGATATATGGGGGGATAAAAAACCGCATAGTGAGGGTTCGATGAGACAGCACCCGCAAACAAAACCCCGAGCTGAGATGCGTGCTCTAATGATGCCCTTCATCACGGACACCACGTAACACCACGAAACAAGTGTGAAGTATAGGCAGAAGGCCAAACTCGCTCTGCCCAAAAGAAAATAGCATCGATAGGGTCAGCAACGACATCAAACACATACAACGCCCATGATGATAGATGTTCGTACATCGGACCTCGTCCTTTTCTCCCGTATTTTTGATTTTGGAAACCATCCGCGAATAGCACCCATATTCGCTTTTTGTGTTTAATTTTTTTTTTCTAGATTCTCCCGTCATCAAGTCTGCGTCACCCGAAACCGCCCCATTCTTCTCACCGTTGCTCGTTCACTTCCGCCCCCGATGACCTTAGGGGCGTGGAGAAAAGAAATAAAAATAAAGATTCGGATGTGGATATCGTGTTTAGAGAAAGAGAAGTATTCCACGGAGTCCTTCAGAAGTGTGTAGCTAACCAGTATGTCGGCAATTCAAGGTTAGGCAGAGGAAGGTAGAAGCAGATGATGGGAAGTAAGTATCTGGTTGTAATACAAAACCTTTCGTAAGGGTATAGATATCCTCGTCGAATCGCTAGCTGTGCCTCTCTCTTTACATTCGTTCGTTTCGTTGCGCGCGATCTAGAACTATAACGTGTGCGTGCATGTGTGCGAGAAATCGTCGCCATCAGGCAATGACCCACTCACTCCCCCTTTTGATGAACTTGTCCAGTAGCATGGTGAGGTCGGTCAGGACGAAGCGGCAGATGTAAAAGCCGAAAAATTCGCTGGCATGCCGAGTGGACAGCTCGAGGCCCACGTGTGTCTGTGATGAGTGCTTGAGTCCAGGATCCTCTACTTGTCTTGCGACTTGGTCTGGATTTTTGAATTAGCCTCCTGATAATATGGAGTTTCTGAGTTTAGAGTGGCGGAGCTGAGGTGCCAAACGCAGAGGGAAAAAAAGGAGCGAAAAAAAACTCACCTATGATCTGTACCGCATCGCAAAGTCGCGCGAGACTCTCCATGTAGCTTGCGTGCGGCCCAGACACCTCCAACCGGCTCACATCCCTCTTCGCAAACCTGGGGTTCGCAAGATTCGTCATCGGCAGCGTGCTCAGGGTCAGCGCATCTTTCGAGGCGCCCGGATCCCTAACGCCAGTCGTGATGCCGCTGCTGCTCGGGGTAAGCGTTACTGCGGATGACTTTGAGCGCAGCTTGCGCATGCTGGACAGGAAGCTCTTCCCCTGGCTAACAGCGCGGGAGCCACTGCTTGAAGTCGACGTCACGTCAGAAGGGCTGACGACTTCGCCTGACAACGAGGGTGCATCCTTGAACAGGGACTGGATGCCTTGGACGCTGACGTCGCTGCCCAACTTCTTGGACAAGTTGCTTTGCACCTGGTCTAGTACCAACTCAAACTGCTGCATCTCCTCGAGCACGGCCTCAGCATCGAGCGAGTCAACCTTGTGAAGCTTCAGCAGGCCCGCAGTGAGCAAGTCGCAGTTGGCAATCTTTTCCTCCATGGCTTTGATCTTCACCCCCTTGACGCGCCAGACGTCACGAGGGACGAAAAGTTTGGTGGACAGGTAGCCGCCTCTGGGGTGGGCGATCGTCTGGTAGAAGCATCGCATCAGCCAGTACGGACGCAACAGGTGGCTCTCCGGACAGGGCTCGAGGGGTATTGGTGCGTTGGCGGCCATCGGATTTGGCGAACCTGGCACATAGGGTGAGTGTAGATCACTCTCAAAGAGATTGACGTTCGACGCCGAGCGCGACAGGTTCTCCCCAAATGAAGGAAGCCCGGGAGTGGGCGGCACGTTCGTATCCTTGTACAGAAGGTTCTTACGGCTGTTGTTGGAGAAGTTGGTGAAGCTCGTACTGAGAGGTGTGCTGGCACTTCCGACATCCGAGCCGTCTGGAGAAGAGACGGACACATTGCGCGTCTTCAAGCTGATTGACGATTTGTTCTTCTTCAGCGCGACGGGCTTTTCTTTGTTGCCTGGCGACCGACTCTCGCCACTACCGCTCAGTCCCAAGCCAGGTGCCGGCGTCGTCGGCGTGGGAATGGCGTCGCGAGCCCCTTGGCTGTCCTGTGCTCTCGATACTGGGGACGATTTCGTAATCAACGTCGTTGGTGGTTGCGGCGGAAGCGTGTCCGGGAACAGTTGCGTGTCGGACTTGGCGGTCAGCGGTTTCGCGCTCTGCGCATCGTCAAGGTGCACCGTCGTCGGCGGGGCTGTGGGCGGCGGCTGTGGCAGCGACTTCTTGGGTGGCACGTTCGTCTCGATCTTGAGCTGCTTGGCGTTTTGCCCAGACATGCGTCGGCTGCGCACACCCATGCCAGCGGTGGCGCTGTTGTTTGCGTTCGGCGTGGGCAGCGGACCACCAAATGTGGTTTGCCCCGCTGACATCAGCGCCAATGAGTCCCGAACCGTGGTGCTCTCCTCGCTCAGCCGGGGCAACTCCTGCACAGGTTTCGGCGGTGATGAACCGATGTCGACAGTTGACTCACTGACGGTCGATAGGCTCGACGCGGTCGCGGCCTTGCTGCTCGACATAGACGAGTGGTACGTGCTCGCACCGGAGTACTCGCTCGAGTCCGATTGGCGAGGCGGGTTAGGCTTGGACTTCAGACCAAAATCAAAGCCAAAGTCCTTCTGAATCTCCTCCAGGATGCGCTCCTCCTCCAGATCATCGTCGGACAGACGGTATAGGTCCCTGCTGATACGGGAGCTGAACTGCCCTTCTTTGGTCAGCTGCTTGGTGCGCGCGTGCGCCTGCTGTATGATTTGTGAGCGGTCGCTCAGGCGCTTCCGCTCCGTGTCGACCATCTGCTTGACTGGCTCCGACAGCACTGCGTCCTTGTAGTCGAGCGTTGGTTCGTCCTCGTAGTCGAACGGCTCCATGCCATCCGCATACGCAGCCTCGACAGCTGCGTCGAGGGCGGCATCAAATTCAGCTTCTGTGTCGCCGCTTGGAACACGAACGTGCTTTCGGTTGATTGCGCCGTCCCGCAAAGAATGTACCGACATGTCGTCTGAGGAGCCGGCTGACTCGTCTATGGTGTCAAGCCATGATATTGAGTTTCCGCTGTTCACGCGAGAATGCTCTGTCACGGCGACCGTGTCCGCGGCTGGCTGAAGCTTTTCAATGGTGGCCTGACTGTCTGATTGCGACGTCTGCAAGCGTCGCGGCGAGAGCGGTGGCGGGATATAACTCGGGTCCATAGGTGATCCTACAGTTAACAGTAGCTCTGTCGACTGAAATGTCGCCGGCTGCAACCTTTCATTCTGCGTCGTCTGTGGCCGAAGCGGGAGACCGTTCGTCACCGGCTGTGGCTGTTTCTGCGGCTCCTCAATCTTTGGAGGCTGAGACATGACGGAAGTCTCTGTTCGAGTGCTTTGCTGCGAGGCGATCGTGTTGGCGCTCATCCGTGCAAGGCCTGAACTCTGTTCCTGCCGGGGCTCCGGTTCCAATGATCGGTGAGACTGAGGAGTGTCGTGTGCCGACACGGATGCCGACAGCGACTCATCGCTCATCGGACGCGCGGGCAGGTTTTTACCGCTGGCCTGTGCAGCCTCGCGACTGATCTGATGCAGTTCTTGTATTCGGTTTGTGTAGGTCGTTCGCTGTTCAATTAAGAAAAAAAACCTCGCTGTTAGCATGTCTGCGCTGCATCTACAATATGAACTGATCCAAATTGAAATCACTTACAATGGCATCCAGTTTCCTCCTGTCATCTTCGCCAGCGCTCCGTACGAGTACCTGGCCCAGCAATCTACACGCGTCGTCGTATGCCTCGATTGCACCCTCAAAATTTTGCGCATTATCTAGCAGTACGGCGGTGTGCGCCTTCTGCAGCGCTTTCGACAACATCGTCTTCTTATCCTGCTCCCTGCGGTCCCTGCTCCTGCCACCATCTGCGCCGTCGAAGTCAGACATCCTATTCCTGTCCGAGCCTGGCTCGTTGGCGTTGGCGGCTGCATAACTGCGGTATGGGGCAGACGAGTCTTGCGGTTGCGCGATCCGGTTGGCAGACGATATCGACCGGGCCCTGCTGCCAGACATGTCGACCGAATGGTTGCCTTTCGGGAGGTGGTGGTGCTGCTGCTCCAGCAGCCCTCCAAGGCCTCTACCTACTCGTCCGCTCGCAGCGACGGCAGAGACACCGGTGGGACGCTGATCCTTTGGAGGAGGGGGCGGGGGGGCTTGATTCTCCAGAGATGAGACTGGGGGAAGTGGAGATGGCGGCAGCGGTGGTAGCGGCGATTCCTGCTGTGACAGGTACGGACTGGTCCGAGGCGAGGTAACAGTGAGGGTGCTGTCACTGCCAGCGCTTCTCTCAGAAGAGCGCAGGCTCAGGCTGTCCTGCGACCGCGACGACGCGCCTATGTTCGCCCAGCGCGAGTATCGTGACTCGACGCTCAGACCCAGACCTTGCACTCGAGAGGCAGGGCTGACGCTGTCACTGGCGAAATGAGGCTCTTTACCGCGATCTGCGATCCGCGGGCTGCGAGCCGGAGATGCAAAGGCCGGTTTCGATTGGTGATGTGTCGGTGTTTCACGTGCGGATGGGAGGTCCGTTGACAGACTGGGTAGCAATGCACCACCGCTGATGGTGGAGATGTCCACGTCGACTACGTAAGGCGGGGGGGAGGGTGTCCGATGCTGGTTAAGGACGAGTGTGGGCGAGGTTGACGTATTCGTGACGGCCGTTGCTGTGGACGAGGCGGACGAGGAGGTGTGGTGATGTCGCGGACTAGCGCGCCGAGTCTCGTTCCTGCCGTCCGCTTCTCTCTGCTGCCTTTGTTCTGCGCCCAGGCTCCCGCTGCTGGTCAAACCTTTTCCTGCGACTCCGGAATCCCGTGCGATAGTGCCATTCGTGGTGCCTGGGAGGTCAATGCGATCCGTGGGCGGTCGCGTTGTGAGGAGATGCTGGTTGAGGCTGAGGGCGGCCGATGCGCCGAAGCTTGTACTGCGACGCCTGGTCGATGCAGGAGAAGCAGAATTCGGGTGCCAGACCCAGGTGCCCGTGTCCGGCTGGCACTGCAGCGAGTAGCCAGAAGGCGGCGGGGGTACTGCGACAGAAAGCGCGGCGGCCTCGGGTGAAGACGAAGCAGAAGCCGCACTGGTAGGAGGAGCGAAAGGAGGAAGGGGGTTGTGGTTGCGAGGGTGGTTGTGCCGGGACGTGGATTCGCCCTTTGTCCTGTGCAGGAGGGCCGAGGCTGCAGCGGCCAGGGACAGGCTGGATCGCCGGCGCCTGTGGTCGTTCTTGTCGCGGCGATGAAGGGGAGATTGGGCAGAGGAGAGGGAGGTAGGGAACGAGGCAGAGGACGACGAAGACGACGACGAGGTGTCGTTGAAGTTGGAGGTGTGGGTGTGGTTCGAAGCAGCGGTAACAGCGGACGTGCTTGGTGGTGTGGAGGCCAGGGTGGTGTGGGCGGGTGCATGGCGCAAAGGGGCTGTGGTAGGGGCGACGGTAGCGGCCACGGTAGGGGCGACGGCACTACTGGGAGCAGCAGCGGCTGCTGCAGAAGGGCCCGTCGTCATTGGGTGGGCTCCTGATGCCAGGGCCATACCGGCGTCCGTCGGCGGGTGTTGCGTGAGAAGGGCCACTGCGACGCTTACCGACCCCCTCCCTTACCGCTGGGCGCACTTTAGCACCACCCCCCGCTGGGCAGAACCCAGCGCAGAGCCGACAAGAGCGGGTTTCAAGAAGAACGGGCGTCTTGCTGATCAGCGCCCCCCAGTTTGGAATAGCGCCTGGAGGGAACCCACCAGATCGGCGCCGACATCACCTGTTTGCGCACTCCTGTCGTCCTTCTCAGTTAGCTTCTTGTCATCACAATCACCAGCCCTGGCCGGCTAGCTGGGACGACAGTGTACGCGCGTGCGAGCTGTTGTTCTCTGGGCGGAGTGGTTGCCCGCAGGTGCGTTTGTGTGAGTGTGTGTGTGTGTGTGTGTGTGCGTATGTGTATGTGTTGGTGTGCGGGTGGGTGGGTGCCGGGCACAGCGCAGAAGTATGTGGTCGAGTGCACGGAGGGCTAACAGGCGAAGAGCAAGAAAAAGGATGAGGAGCTCGAGGAGGAGCGAGTGAAGGAGCAGACGGAAATAGACGACTACGTGCCAACAACGAAGGGAGAAGAGAGAAAAAGTAACGGCAATGCAGCGCAGGGTCGTGTGTGTGCGCGCGTGTGTGTATTATGTGGATGTGAAGGTTGTTTTGCGCGCGCGTCCTGTCCGCCTCCCTCTCCCCCGTCCCAACCATCGGCGGGCGTTCTGTTCCTCTGGCACTCTCCGGCCGTTCGGTCACGTCTTCCTTTCGTAGAATTTACCAGTATTGTCGTTGTTTGCCCTTTTCTAGAAGGGGGAGGGTGTCCTGCAGGGCTGTGCCAAATTTTCAAGGGGAACCGCCCGTCTTGGTGTTAGCGGAATGGACAGAGCAGCCTATGACGGGCGCAGCTGGCGCGGGACGAGTGGCAGCAGAACGGAGTTCCAGGCACCACCACCACAGGGCGCCGCTTCCACCAGCACGACATCATCACGACGACCACCATTACCGTTCTCACTTCCTGTGTATTATTACCACGAGCCCAAGCCCGCCGAAAAGCCACGATCGATACGAACAGTCAAATCTCCAAGCATCCTGGCTACCCGACAAGTTCCGTTCGCACGCCCTGGACTCGAAACTGCACTTGTTTTCATTCCTTTGCCTTTGACGCCTACTGTTCATGTACGGAGTACCCTGCACCGCACGCATCTTGGGGTCGTTTGACGCTGGCACGGCAATCCGCAAAACACATTCTCGCAGACGGGCAGATGACATCCTGCGTGCCTTACTTGATTGCGCCGCTGGGACGGTCCACATAGACAAAGCGCGTCTCCGCCGCAAAGGCAGGAGCATGATTTCGCTGGCAGGCCGAAAAAAGCAGCAAGGACAGAAAAAAAAGAAGGAGAGCGGAAAAAAAAACACCATTTCCAGCAGTGTGGGGCCAGGCACCGCGCTCAGCTGCATTGCAGATGCACCTCAGCCGGTGCACCGCACTACTTGTACTAAACCACGCACGCCCGCCAGCCCGGTTCCAAGCCTCGCACACGTTTCGCTGCTCCCAAATGGTGTAGTCTTCCCAGCGCTCCAGCTGCCGTTCTCCGTCTTGACGAGTCGCAAGAAAAGATAACAGAAAGAGAGCAAATACGGAAAGGCCAAGGGGCGTAAAAAAAACACAAAAAAAAAAAAAAAAGAAAATGGACCTGATGTATACCACGCGACAGACAGTCCAGAAACGAAGGTGCTGCAGGTGACTTGACCAGAAGAGCAAACAACCCCCGTTCTCCTTCGAGGCAGCTCACGCTGGGTCCTCGACCACCTCGACCTCGTCTCGTCTCGTCTCGTATGGTCTCGCTTGTTTGCGCCTCGCTGATTCGCGCTCCCAGAGCAGTTGCTCCTAACGAGACACCAGCACGCCTCAAGCAAAAGCCTTCGGGCCACCTTTCTTTTCTTTTCTCCGATACCGTCTCCACTTCTCCACCACCGCGACTGGCAAAAAGAAAAGTAGATGACGAGCGGTAGGAGAGGAGGAAGAAGGGATTCGAGTTAAAAATATCTTTAGAGCCTAGTAACTTCCTACCGAACGATTCTGTCTGTCCGTCTGCACGCCCACGATAGTTCTCTCCCCGTCTACCCCAGAAATATCCCCTCCGCCCCCTGCACCGTTGCCGAGTAGGACTGTAGAGAGGAGGACACACTTCACGCTGCGCACGCGTGGACGGGTGCTGGTTCGTGGTGCCCAAACGGTATAGGAGCCTGCGCCAGGGTGGACAGACAGCTAGGAAGGGGAGCTACAACTGCCTGGGGTTTTTTCGTCCGTAGACATGGATAGCGACGAGGACGTCGTCGGCGCCCCTAATTGTTGATTAAAAAAGAAAACCGACGACTTCCCTACTACCTATTGCGCATTCACCCCCCCCCCCCCCCCATCCATTCGCACGCTTAGATCCGTTCTGGGGCCTGATGGTTGAGCACGCCTACTGACATGAGTGCCGCCGTGTCATGGGCATCTGTTCGCGCATGCCCGTTAATCTTCATGTACTACTACTACCATTGCCTACCGTTGCTGCTGCTGCCGCTCCTCCTGTCGATTCTCCTGGTTCCAGGACAAGGCGCGTTCTCGGCGCTGCCTGTCCCTCCTGCCCGTGATCCACGCCTTCGTCATCAGGTCAGCTGGGCTTTCCGCCACGCGAGACGTGGGCGCCACCGCGACAACCAGTCTGGTCCGCTACGGAAACTCGGCGCTGTGATTCATACCAATCGCCCGCGTGTGTCTTCTTACACGTCTGGCCGGCGTTCGCTCGGCCCAAAACCGCGACGTGTCGAGAAAGACTTGCACATGCAACGCGACACGACTCGCCCGTATGGACGCATCCACAAGCACACGCACACTTACAAAACCATGGCGTGTGGGATCGCGAAGACGGTCCGCGGATGCCGCCAGATCGCCAGGCGCGTCGGGTAGCCCTGGGGCCAGGACTGCTGTGTGTGCAGTGTGCAGTGTGCAGCGTGCAGCAGTAGTAGCAGCAGCAAATCCCCCCCAGCTCTTGTCCTCTGTTGACTCGTGCGAAGGCTTCGAGCACAGGTCAGACGCACAGTGCGCGGCCGGATGGCGTGCACTTCAATAACGCACACGACGAGGATGCACCGCAAGGATCGTCTCCTTATCGATTAAAACAAAAGCGAAGAACCCCAGGCCCTTGCACGCCAAACCCTTTTGTCAACACGTGCGTCCGAGCCTCGTCCTTCACCTCTTGGTCGAGGCATATCCGACGTTTCAGACTTTCGCACCTGAACAAAGATCTGAAGCAAGAAAGGTTCAAAGCGACGCAAGCGTTCGAGCGAAAGCACGGCAAAGAGGCGCATGGGTGGCGAAATGTACGTGTGTGTGTGTGTGTTTTTACCCTCGTTCGTAAGGAGATGAGGCTCGTCCCATCATCCATCTGGACCTCGACGCGTGTCTCGCAACCCGCAAAAAAAAGCGTTTGCATTCGCTCCTCGCCCGGAAGAAGCCTCCATGACGACACCAAAAGGCCGCAAGCCGCGATCGCGAACGGGAGAAAGCAGATGACGGGCAAGGTAACTTCGGCTCTGAACGCTCCCGACACGCATTACTGCATCCTGAAAATTTATGTCTATTTTTTTTGCCTTTAAAAAAAAAGCGTGAAAGGGCGGAAATCTGGGGGCTTTTTGAAGCGTTGATGTGCGTCATAGGCCCCGCCAAGCTGACGCACATCATCAAAACGCGACGAGCGGGGCACATGCACACCGCGCGCGCGCTCGCTGTGAATGTGTGTCCGTAAATGTGAGTGCTCGATGTGAGTGCTCGGCGTGAGCTAAGCGGCCTGGAGTGCACCGGAAGAGGCGAAGTGAACGGAGTCGGACGGCTCGAGGTTGTGCTTGAACGTAGACACACATGCGAGCCATTATTTCCCATCTTTGTTTCGCGCCGTGACGAAAGCAGCGAGTTGGTCGGACGGAGCCCCCGTCCGCGCGCGTTGCGGTCGAGTTCCAACAGAGCAGCCTTTTGACCTTTCTGCGCGAGACAGCCCGGATCGGGCGCTGGACGCGCTGGTGGATGCGTTCGTGTCGAAAGACGTCATGTACGACGCGGCTAGGCAAGGCAACGCCAGACTAGAACGACACATTCCCTTGGTGATCCAGGGTTCTGCAGTTCCAACGCTGAAAATCGGCGAGGGACGACAGGAAAGAGGAGCCGGACGGATGAGGAATGAAGGGGGCGGCGGTGCTGAGTATCGGGATTGGGAATTGGAACGGATCTGGTCACAGCCCTGCACAAGTGCAGGCGTTCTGATATTCCCCTTTTCACGCCACGAGTAAGTGACCTGCGTGCGGTCTTCCAAATTTCTGAGCGTACCAAACTTCATACCCCTCGTTTGCCAAAATATGTGTATCTAAAGCTTTTTTCTTTCGGTTGACATGGAAAGGCTGACGCAGAGGGATTCTCTTGGTCGATCTACGTGCGTGCGTGCATACGTTCTATGCTGGACCTCGCTCCGCTGTGCTGTGGTCCAAAGAAGCAAACCCTCTCGCCCCTTTTCCACCCCAAAATACGTACATTTGCTCGTGCCACTGCCTTTCATAAGGCAGATGAGTACTAGAAAGACCGATCATTTCCCCCACCTAAGGCATCTGACTGCAGCCACCACCTCTAAATACAAGTACATAGTTCTGCAATTTCCCTGCACAGCCTGGAAAGGGGTCACGTTGGTCATGCGTCATGGCTTTCAATGCCCAAAGCCAGAAGCACACTGAACACGAACGGTGGCCCATCTGTTGCAGCAATACGAGCAGCACGAGTCCACCCTGTAGGTTTCCTCTCTCTCTCTCTCTCTCTCTCTCTCTCTCTCTCTCTCTCTCTCTCTCTCTCTTTCTCTCTCTCTTAGCTGGGGAGAAAACAACTAAGTCACGACATGCCGCGAGTGTGCTGCACAGCTCATTCATCCATCATAATGTCCTCATCCAACCCACCCGTCTCATCCAACGGTTCACCTGTCGTCGCCATCCCCTGATCGCCTTCCTTGTTCTTCATTCGTCTCCGCAAGGCCTCCACGTATTCCTTCGTAAGAGTTAACCTGCGGTCACTCATCTTGACATACTCTGCCATGGCATTGGTACGCTGAGTCTGAGCTAGTAGCTCAGCATGGTACTGCTTTTCGCTCTTGGCCAAAGGTCCTGTGGCTTGGTTCGAGTAGAAGCGTAGCACGGCGCCCGAGTCCGGGCTGGAATCAAGATCGATGGAGGCGTTAAGAGCGCCTTCGGAGACCATTTCTTCAACGAAGGCATGTAGAGTGTCAGGCGGGATGGAAAGCCAAGACGAGACTGTGGTGAGGGGAACTGCAGAATATATGTCTCGCATGCTAAGGATATGGAAGCGAGGAAGGCGAGAGACGAGTAGTTGGATCAGACCTAAATTGCCATCCTTTCGTAAATCTTAGCATATGAAATTGAAAAGTACAATCGCCTTTGATCCTTGAGCATCCACGTACCTCGTGCCAAATCTCGTTGCCGGCCGCAATCTCGGCATTCAAACGAGCCGCATGTCCCGACTGAAAGACCTCGACCACGGTGTCGTATGCCCTCGATATCGACTTGACGTTTCGCAAAACTGTTTGGTTCGTAGCCTTCGGAGCCTCAAGCAGCTGGGAACCAAGAAAGAGAGATTAGCAAATCGCATTTCCAATGACATGCGCAGATCCGGGCGAACCACAAGGACTCACCGTGCCTTTTATGATACAGCCAACCAGGACCCACTTTTTGTATGCTTCCACCTGGAATATCGATGGCGAGCCTCCAGAGGGCGATATGATGACGCACTCTAGGTACAACCTCGCATCCTCCCACCGCTGAAGGCCGATGAGAATCATGCCGCCTAGGAGGAAAAACTCGTGCACGTCGTACGTGGTCAGCTTGTCCGACAAGCCAGAAGCCTCGGTAATGTACGCGCTGCTGTCCTGGTGGGTTGAGCACGGATACTGGCCCTCTATCGCCGTGAATTTGGGCGAGGGAAAGCTGTGGATCGTGGCCTGCAGCACGGGTAGGGCCTCGTGGTACATGCGCTGGGCAAGGCATATTCGCAGGAGCTTGAGGTGAGTGGACGTGAGGGTGCCCGAGGACGGGTCCAAGCGAAAGATGGCCGCGACGAGCGGGTTGACGATCTGTTGGGTCTGTTGAAGTGTTCGCACACAAACACCGGTCAGCGCACTCTGTCCGTGAACGTTTCTGGCTTGCCGAGCGAGGAAGCAGGTCGACCCACCATGCCCAGCTGCGCTGCGAGATTGAGCGCGAATTCAACCGTGTCTCTGAACAGCATCCCCACGTATCTCATCTGCACGCCGTCGAATACCTGCATGAACCCCGATATCAGACTCAGAATGTGTCGCGCTTCTTCCGGGCTTTGAGGCTTCGCGTTCAGGAAGGCCTTGTAGCGAAGCGATAGGATGAACAGGTACGAGATACTGTTAACGCCCGGGTCGAGCACCTGCAACAAGTCCTGCTGGCCGTCCGCCTTGAGGATTTTGACCGGGTCTGTCTTCGACAAGCTGTCGATGAAGGATTTGATGCGGGAGTGGTATTGATCCGGCGACAGAGTGCCCTCTGGAGGGAACTCTAAGAGATGCGAGGCTATTGCTGCCATTGCCTCGGAAGAAACGCGAGGAAGAACGGCCGTAGTAGCGAACGGTTGTTTGTTTGTTGGTTGACGGCGATTTCGAGGGTTAGAGCTACTCTAGGGTGCTGACGAGCTAGGCTACCTCAAGGCTGAGGGCAGTCGAACCCCGCGTATGGATTAACGCCTAAGGCTTCAAGTCCACCAGACGCAAGGCTGGGCAATATCATCCATCTTCGGTTATAGTGTACGAACAAAAAAAAAAGGGACCTGGATTACAAGCTGCTACTACATATAAAGCCATGGCACAGGTATCGGACACTTTCTATGGCTCATGTCTACTGCTGCCAGCATGTGCCCAGCAAAACAAACCCTTTCATCCATCAACTCAACCGTCATCCCCAAGAAGTTGGCAGCCTTGTGCAATTTTAAAACGTCTCGCTCGAAATTTAAGGCAATGAAAGACGCATCGCCAACATGGATAAAAATCTTCGCTCTATGTCTCACGTCCGTTCACTCTGCTTCGAGTGTGGCTCCATCTTTTGCCTCGTCGGTTCGACAAAATAGAGACGGTCGACACCTGCTGAAGACAATGGCGTTGATATGGGATCGGCTGCGGCGAATCGCCGGCTCAGATCCGGTCACTTGCACGTTCACATCGTCTTCAATTCGAAAGATGCCTCCACTTGAACATCAATACTGCTTCGTAGCGTCTGGTGCACTGCTACACAGTGAAGAAAAAAAGATTGCTAGAGTGAACACTGAAATGACACTATTCGAGACAGTCTATAAAGTTTTGATCGTTCATTCGTTGCATTACTCGTTGCATCATGCGGGTCATGCCCCAGACATACACGCACGCACACACACATATATATATGCATACACTAGGTCCAGACCTTCTACAACAAGGCAAGCAACAACGCAGCGTGCCGAGATAAATGACCAAGCTCAGGCTTTCTCTGTCTATCCTCGTGATCCAAGCTTTGGAAAGGTGGGGCCGCATGGAGGACAAGGTCATAGCAATAGAAGATATATATCCACGCGGCCCGATGCTGTCTAAAATTCTTTCTGTTGCGGATCGTCCTCCCAGTTCACAACGCACATTCAATATTCCCTCGCGGAACGCCATGCAGTGAAAAAGCAAGTGATGTAAGAGTCAAAGCCAGACAACGGTGATTAGCACGGTGCCTCGGATTTCGATGCGCGAGTGCGCCCATGAGATGAGAAAAGGAATGAAGACATGTACACAGCGAAGTTGACCAACGCCTTCTCATATGAACGCGCCGCCGCTTGGCCCTCCGCTCTTCTCGTCCTGACCCGAAGTCTCTGTCCCGCCTCTCGGCCTCGTCCTCGTCAGGCTCTCGTTTGTGGTTCTTCTCTCCCTCGGCCCAGGCTGCTCTGTCGCCGGGGGATCGCTCATATAAAGTGGTCGACGGGTCTGCTGGACGTCCACGAAACTGCCAACCTCAATGGCGCGTGGAGATGAGCCATCCGATGTGACCTGCCAGTCGTCTTCTTCTTCATATTCAGGTGGGGACTCGGATCGCACTCGCGCCAGCTGGGAGGACGAGTCACCTTTGACGAGCCCTAGCCTCTCCTCTTCGGTACCACCCTTGTTACCATTGCGTGAGGCACCACGCGTAATGAAAGACAGTCCACCTCGCGAAACAGGCCGTGCGTCGTCATGTGACGAAGATGTTTGCCGGCGCGGGTGCAGCACATTCTGAAAGCTGAACTGTCGCTTTGCGCTGCCAGGCGTGATAGGTCTTCCGTGAGGCGGCGGCGCTGGCGGATCCAGGACGCCGGGTCTCGAATCTGGACGACGCAGTGCCGGGTCTGAAGCCCACTGCACGTGCGTTGTGCCGGGCGACTTGTACGACGTGTCAGTCTCAGAATGAGAGATGAAGCCGGGCGGGAATCCTTGACTCATGTACTGTGGCCTGGGATGCACAATGCCGTCGTCAAAAGTGGAGTCGCCCGTCTTCACGGGGCTGAGTGGATGCGATTCCGCGGTGGGTGTAGGAGGCAGGGCCTTGGAGCTGCGATTTCTCCGAATGAAGTTTGAAAAGAAGCCAGGGTGCATGCTCGCGTCATCGGGATGCTGACTCTGGTGCTCCTCGTCCTCCAGGTCTGGGAATTTGCTCATGCCCAGCGGCGGGTGCACCGTCCTTGTATTCCTCCGGCCTGGCGTCCCGGGAGCGGTGATGACCGATCCGCTCCTTGAGCTGCGTATCGTCGTGCGTCTCCTACGGATGCCGTCAAATTCGATTTGCTCGTTCTCGCCGATTGGTAGCATGTTGAGGTGCTCTTCCCGTAACTTTTTCGCCTCTTGCAATTCCTTTTGCGTGCGTGCTCTGCTAATGCTTCGGATGATCGCGCTGCCGCCTCGAATTGCGTCGGCGCGAGGCTCGTACTCTGGCTCCTCTTGCTCGGCCACGGTGCGCATCTGGTCAAGGTCGCCTGCAAAGACGGCTGCATCTGGAACGTCTTTGGCGGACTTGGACATCTGTAGCAGAACGACGCCTGCGCAGATCTCTAGAAAACCCAGTACTACAGTCAGAATCTGGATAGCTGTGCCGTTGAATCCTCGGTAGAGCACGGCCGAGGTCACAATGGTAGCGCTCGTGAAGTACACATAGTACGTGGGCGTAACAAGGGCTGCGTTGTAAATGTTCAGAGCTTTCTACTCGTCGTTAGCCGGGTTTTTGCAGAATAAAGCCTGCGCAGGCGGGCACTTACATTTAAGAATATGACTTCGGTAACCAGCGTCGCGATGACAAAGACTAACAACACATACGTAAACCACTTGTTGAATTGGGCCTCTCCCTTCGCCTGGGCCGTAATTGCGGCGCCGATACCTTGAATACACGACACGCTCAGCCCGCCAATCAGGCTGCACACGGTCAGGTAGACAAGCATGCTTTTCTTGCCGTATCGGGGTCCGACCCACAGCGCTACAAAAGCGCAGCCGACAATGATGACACCCATAAAGCTCAGGAAGCCTGGTGCAATAACGAGGCGCTGCATGTCTTGTATGTCGGTAACGGAGGGCTGCTCCGGCGCGTTGGCTGCGATGACCACAGAGCCGAGGATGCACAGGAAGCAGCCTACCTTGCCTACAAAGCTAAGACGCTCCTTGAGGAAGATGCTGGACAAGATGGCAGTAATGACGACGGAGAGTGCTCCAAGCGGTGTGACCAGGATGGCGTCGGCGAACAGGTACGCGGCAAAGTTGCATATCTCGCCCAAAATCATAAGCGTCATTCCCGACCACCACCAAAAATTCTTCAGGTAACCATAGCCCTCGCCTGCCTCCTCGTTGTATTTCTCGTTGGCCTTGAGGAGCCCATGCTTCTTCAGGACAAAGGACACTCCAATGAATAGACCGGAGGAGATGGCAAGCACGAGTCCGATGATCTTGTACGACGTAGGCTTACTTTGCGTGGAGCTGTCTGAGCCGGTGGAGTTGGCGCGAGCGTACAGCTCATGGCCGAGAACCAATGCATCCCCGACTGCGTTCATAACTGCCGCCGCTTCCACAAGATGGATGTGCTTGCACTTCGCGGGTGTAGAAGCCGGGTGAGGGTGCCCGTGGCAAGAGAACCAGAGAGGGTCCACACAACGACGCCTTGTCGGCGAGTATTTGGCGGCGAGGAAGTGAAAGGCCGAACGATAGAGAGGAGCGCTTCGACCGGAGAGGTGTGGTTGCAAGCGCCCAGTCAGCGCAAGCCAAACGGTTGGAGCGCGGAGAGTATCGTCGGCGGAAGGCTAAAAGGATCGGGCGTATTGTGATGCAAGCACACCAGCATCCCTTCTAACCCGGCTAGGGCCAAGACGTCAAGTCAAAGAAAAGGGCGTGTGTACGAAATAGTCGTGAGAGCACAGCGAGAGGAGGAGAACGTTGGCTTCGGCAGGCTGTTGTCTCGAAGGGAGCAGGGTGGCAAGCTGAAGAGAGGACAAAACGAGATAGGACAGATCGGACGCCGGGGTAGTCGGTCTTGTGCAAATGTGCGAAGAGTGGCGATCTGTTGGACACGCACGTCGACTGTTCAAGGTGAGACGGTTGGTGTGTTGGAGGAGGCTGAGCAGCAGGATCACTGCTTCGTGCTTCGCGCGCTTGACTTGACGCTTGCTTGGATGCAGAGGCCTTGCAGCAGCGACAGCGCCGGACAGGGTCCAATGGGCTGCACTCTTATCTCTTGAGCAGCAGTCGGGCTGCAGCTGTCGTCGATATCGGCTGTGTTTGAAAACGGGCGTGTGGTAGGCCGTGAATGTTTGCGACTCTGGTGGGATAAGGGGGCTTGATAGGACTACAAGGACGACGAGGACGGAAGAGTGTTTGGCGGGTGGCCAATGAGGTAGGATGAGCGGCCACGGGAGACGAGCTGAAGAGACCGCAAGGAGGCAACGGCAATGTTTACTACTGCGACCACGGTGTGGGACCCCGGAGAAATCGAGGGGGCAACGACCGCGGCCTGAATCTTGGGACGTTTCCGGGAGCCAGCGTTTCTGTTTTGGATTTCGAGAGGTCGGAAGAACGACGAAGACCACGACGAGGACTGTTCGAAGCGAGGGCGGAGCAGACCGACGGAGGAGGCCGCAAGGAGGGTGAGGTAATGATGCAGCGCTTTGCGACGATCTTCTGCACTTTTTTCTCTTCGTGTTCCTTGAGCTGGCCGAGTTGCATTGAAAATAGCAGGATCTCGGGCAAGCCACGGCATCACTGGCGGGGGGGCGGGCGAGCAGGAAGAGGCTGGGGCGAGGGGCCAGGAGCCGCGGGTGGTTGGCCAGAACCAGCCCAAGTCGCGGGCGTCGCTTGCGCGTTCGAGAACCCGCAGCCGCTGAGCCACCCGCCCGCCCAGGCAGGTGATCGCCCAGCCAGGCGCGACGGGGCGCTAACTTTTCTGCGCTCCTCCGCACAGTCCTGCGGTGCTCCGTAGTGCTGAAGGCCAAACACCCCCAGTACGTCGCCATTGCTCGCGTCCGCTTCTTGCGAGTAGCGCAGGGGCATGGCCGTAAGGCATGATGCCATCATCGCCATCAAGCTGCCGGCCGTACACAAAACATGTGTGCGGACAGGCCGACTGCCACCCTAATGGCATCCTTTGCGCAAGAAAGATGAACCAAAGGTTGGCCGCTTCAAACGAAACCATCGCCTGCGACAGTGCGTCCGCACAGGCATCGTTTGGTCGAGAACGGCACGTACAAGTAGGCCGATTCTTCGTGTCCGGCGTCTGCGGCATGAGGCTTCTGCTTCTCAGTGTTTGTACAAGGGGGGATCATGAACGGAGTGCCCCCCCCCCTACAAACTAAGCCACCAGGCTAGCCGGATTGAGGGGATATCATACAAATTTCCTAGCGTTCTCCAAATTCTTGTATCCTGAACCATCACCACCTTACCACCGTCTATTATTTTCTTACCTCTATCAATTTCTTATTATCTTGCTTAATCTACCTGCCTAGGCATTATGCCGAACCTTAAGAGGATCAGAGATCAGCCTAAAACAGAAGGCGGTGTACGACAACGCCTCGCCTATCGTCAACGGATTGAGATGATTACCTTGCATACCTTCAATAACTGGTCTTATACAGAGATTTCAAATGCCCTTAAGATAAGCCGATCAACTGTACGTAAGGTGATCGCCACCGCATCAACGCCAGAGAAGCCTTAAGGTAGGCCACCTATGCTCACCACCCCTATCCGCCATTGTCTTATTGAACGAGCAACCCTTGACGCCTATCATAGGTGGCTTAAGTACGAGGAGGTCGCCAAGATTGAAGGTATAAGTGCTTGCAGGCGTACCTTAACTGCAGCATTCAAAAAAGAGCAGTACCACCGTCGGATAGGCACTGAGAAGCCGTCTCTGACGCCGAAGCATATGCAGGATCACTTGGCCTAGGCCTATTACTACCTTACCTGGACCGATGAGCAATAGGCGAGGGTTATATAAACTGATAAGTGTTCTATTAAGTACGGCTATAATATAGGCACTGTATATATTACTTGGCGGGTAGAAGAAAAGTACGATCTATCTTGCTGCGTACCTAAGTTTTAAGGGTACTCAGCCTGCATGATCTGGGGTGCAATTGTAGGTAGCTAACAAGGCCCTATACTGGTTTTTGATAAGGCCTGGGGTAAGATTAATAGTAACATCTATAGAGATTATATAGTACCTCTTATCTACCAGTTTAAAGCACACCGTCGTGCCTACCTGGGGCCTGGATGCCCATCTATCCTAATAGAAGATAGTGCATCGATTTACACCGCCAAAGCTACCCAGGCCTTGCATGCCCAATTGGGTGGCCTAGGCCTTCTGATAATGAGATGGCCTGCAAACTCTCCTGACCTAAACCCTATAGAAAACATTTGGAGGCTGCTTAAGTACAGAGAGTCTCAGCGATTCCCTCATACTGAGGATCAGGTACGCCAGTACGTACAGGAAGAATGGCATAAGATCAGTGCCTTTGATATAGCCAAATATACCAGTACTACGAAGGCCAGATGTGAGGCAGTGATTGCAGCAGCAGGTGGTCATACCAAGTGGTGAGGGGAATGTAACTAGTTTCCTAATAAATTACTAGAGAAGCTGTAATTATCCCCAGAAAGTGCCTAGCCTAGTGGCTTAGTTTGCAAGGGGGGGGCACTCCGTTCATGAATCCCCCTTGTACGTGTACGGAGCTTGGCAAAAGCTTAACCAGCTGGCGCGCACACAGCAGAGGCTGCGGTCAAATATGTCAAAACGTGTGACTGGCCCGCCCCACCAGCCGCGTCGACCTGACCCTGGAGCAACCACATCTGGTCGAGTACACAACACAGCCAGTGTCCAGCAAATCGACGCCTTCAGGCTGGTCACGTTGGCCACGCGGCGCCCCCGCTCACACCCGTGCGTACGTGAGCTCGACTAAATGAATGCTCCATACTCGTCCTCTTCTCCTGAGCTCGAGAAGTAATTGTATGTACGGTTCCCGGGGCGAGGGCGCTGCACTAAACGACAAGAGAAGACCATAGAGCGAACCGAACCAGCCCTCAGTAGAGCGGCTCCGGCGGCTGAGATGGAGGTACACACCGTCAACGGGCATACTGGCGACTACCATGCGCCCAATGGCACGTCTCCGCACCCCAAGACCCGCGCATCTCCGCCGTCCTCTCCGCCCTCGTCCATATACTCCGCCGCGAGCATCGACGAGATCCACGCCGCGCTCGCTGAGCTCGGCCGCCACGAGGCCAGTGTGACCGCCCGGCTGGATGCTCTCGTCGCATCGCAGAATGAGCTGTCGCGCGAGCTGGGCCGATTGGATCTCCTGCGCGCCAACCTGGGCTCCCAAGCTGTTGCCGCACGCGCCATCTCGCAGAGCATGCTGTCCACGGCGGCGAACACGGCCCAGCGCATCTCCAGTGCCGTCAAGCGCCTAGATACCGAACAGGCCAACGTCAAGGCCACGCTGGACGTCGTCGAGCAGGTTGCCGAGCTGAAGGCATGTGTACTAGGCGTGCACGGGTCCATGGGTGCGCCGCAGGACTGGGAGACGGCCGCGAGTTACTTGCATCGAGCATCGCTGATACCTGCTGAAGTGGTAGACGGCAGCTTTGCTGAGGAGATCGTGCCGACTACCGAGGTGCCCGACCCACCGCGGGTGACTCTCGATGCCGCCGCAGAGTCGCTGTGCGGCTTGTTCCTACGTGAGTTTGAGAAGGCGACCAAGGACGGAGATGGCGCCCGCGTCACGCGCTTCTTCAAGCTGTTCCCGCTGATCGGCCGATCCGATGTTGGTCTCGACGCGTATGGCAAGTATGTGTGCCAAGGCGTTGCCGCCAGGGCCAGGGCTACACTTCACGCCGGCACAGGCGCCAACCAGCGGCGCGAAGCATTGTTCTACGCGACCGCGCTGACCAAGCTGTTTGAGCATATCGCGCAGATCGTTGAGGGACACCAACCGCTCGTCGAACAGCACTACGGTCAGGGAAGGATGATTAAGGTCGTGGAGCGCCTTCAAGCGGAAGCCGACGTTCAGGGCGGTATCATCCTTGACACGTGGACCGACGAAAGGGCTGTGAACCGCAAACTCATGGACGTCAAGTCATATCCGTACTCCTTTTTAGTCCAGAGCTTTGCACAGGCGCAGAAACCGACCGCAACATTCCGCGCCGAGTCACCTTTCAAACGAGACGGAACGCCCTCCGGACGCCCAAGTGAGGACGAGGGCGTCGATATGAAGGAAATTGATAGCTTGCTTGGCGAGTCGGCCATCATGCTCGGACGCTGGGCACTGTACACTAGGTTCCTGGCTTCCAAGGCGCCTGTACGTTGCTCGCCCTCGAAACATATATTGAGGTGCGCATGAATAGATGATGGCGCAGAAGCTGACAGCAATATACAGTCTACCGGCCTCGATGGCAGCAACGATGGCAGCACAGCGTCGAGCAGCGATCATGTTCACCTCACCCTCCCAACTTACATCGCGGAGAGCAACTTGAACAAAAAGATCTCCAACCTTCTCATCGATCCTTTCAACCTCATGAGCACCTTTTTCTTCAGACGGTCCGTCGAAAAAGCGTTTCAGCTGGCCGAGACACCTCCTGATCTGACACTCAATATGAACAAGCCCATCACCTCGAATGCACCCTTTATCACGTCCGCCGTAGACGACGTTATGTACATGGTAAACCAAGTTCTTCAACGATCCCTGGCAACCTCGCAACGCGCCATTGTTGGCAGCGTCGTGCCCACAGTGAGTCAAGTGCTAGGAAGTGACTTTATTGGCATGCTCCAGCGCAAGATGCGCGATGAGTACTATCCGAAAGCCGCCATCCAAGGTGCTCTCCCACCAGAAGAAAAGATCGTCCAGTTTGTTGTCCTGATCAACAGCCTGGATGTAACTATTGAGTACCTCAAACGTATCGTAGACACGCATCTCGGTCAGACAACCGGGCCGACTAGGGTGGATGGCCACTCCACAACCGACACTGAAAGAGCAATAGAGCACTTCCGTTCTATGTTCCCCTTTGGCAACGATGCCGTCTTCGTGGTCAATACTCTGATCAATATGCAGAACTCTGTCACGACGAAGGCGAACCAGCTGTTGACTGACGGTGTCGAAGTCACATTCCATCAGGTGCTCAAGCCGCGCGTGCGACCCATTCTTGCAGACGCCTTCAGGGATGTAGATTACAGTGCGACCAGCATGTCCGATAACGATGATTACGATGACGTGGATAACGACGGTAGCGCAGAGGACATTGTGTCCAAGCGATTCACGACCTCATGGAACACACTCACCCGTCCACTTAGACGGCTGATGACCAAGACTGCGTGGGATAAGCTGCAGGCACACACATTGCCTTATCTAGCATCCAGCCTGGAGCGGCGACTGTGGTCCATGAACGGACGCCTCAGCGAGCTTGGCGCCACACGGTTGGAGCGGGATCTCAGCGGTATCATCTCTGTAGCCTGTGGCGAGGGCAAGTATGAGCTAAGGGACCACTTTCAGAAGTGTCAACAGATTGTCATGATCGCGGGAATGGAGGAAGAAGAGTGGGACGAGATTAACGCAGGCGGTATCGAGGAGGAGGAAAGTCCCGTCTTGTGGGTCCTGAGCAGGGAGGAAAGGACGAAGGCTAGAAATTTGCTCTTGCGCGAGAGGTGATTTTCAGTTCTTTGCAGTTAACCTACGTCTCAGGCAGAATAAAAGAAGAATGAATAAACCCGCAAAAATAAAATCAGACGTGACGCTTCTTCACACTCCAGATTCGCCAAGTGACGAGCCTACACGATGGCAGTGCTTCATATCGATTATGATGTTACGCACACTAGTATCCGCAAACAGGTGAACATTTGCTTGGCGGCTATCGCGTTTATATCACGTGATCTCGCGGCTAAGCATTCATCTCATGGATTGAAGACAACAATTACATCGTCCATCGCAACACACACTCTCACGATCCAATGGCTCGAAAAGCCATCGCAAAAGATGTCATCGTCAAGCTGATCGTCGGCGCGGGGCAAGCCTCGCCGTCCCCGCCCGTCGGTCCAGCACTTGGTTCCAAGGGCGTCAAGTCCATGGACTTTTGCAGTACGTCCCATCACCGTTTCACCTTCCCCTTCGCCCTTCTCTCCCAGCCTTTTCCAAGCCTTACCCATTGTGCAACTTGACTAACGCACGGACGACGCAGAGGAGTTCAACGCTCGAACGGCAAACTACATCGTAGGCACGCCGATTCCCGCTCGCGTCACAGTCCGTCCGGACCGCTCATTCACGTTTGAGCTGCGCAGCCCGCCCACGGCGCATCTGCTAATGACAGCGGCGGGCGCGAAGGTGGTCAAGAATAAGGTCCGCGGTGCGGGCAACACGCCCGGTCCACACAATAACAGAGAGGGCCAGACGGGCAAAGGTCCGGTCAACAACCAGTCCGGCAACGCCGGCGTGGGACACGTAGGCACGGTTACCCTCAAGCATGTATACGAGATCGCGAAGATCAAGCAGTCGGAGGATCGCTTGAGTGGGTTAAGTCTGAAGGGGCTGGTCAAGAGCGTGATTGCGCAGGCGGGCAGCATGGGCATCGCCGTGGTGCCTTAGAGATAGGATGGACGGTGAGGAGGCTAGGGAAAAAGCGGGAGGGATTCGTTGGCATGCGAGCGCATCTTCTTTCTCATGTTGGAACACCAGATCTTCGACAAAAGCATTTCAGCGGCGCAATGAGGGTGGGAGGAAAAGATGGAAGATTAGAAAAGTCGGCACGAGCATTTTGCCTACGTGTGTTTGCCTTGATGACCCCCAAGGAAGAAGGGCACTATTGTACATTATACATGTTGTACACTAACCACTTTCCACGACGTGAAATACCACTCTCTCCATCAGGCCAGCAGGCCAGCGACCTGTCCCTCGCTCAGCCGTCTTCTCACATCTCCCTCCTGCACGCCCAGCTCGTGCTTGTGGCTCCGAACCTCCAGCTTCCGCGGCTTCCTCCGCGCCGGCGTCGTCTCCGCCCTTCCAACGACGGCCGGCTTCGTCGGCACGGGCGTCGTTTGGATTCTCGACGTGAGGCGCACACCCTCGACGGCTCTCGCGATCGACATGCTATATCCGCCGAACCACTCGCTCCACGATCCAGATCCGTCGCCCTCCCGCTGCCTCCGAGGCGGTAGCGACGACGACGACGACGCCGCCGCCCCAAGCGCCCGCGCGTGCTCGAAATCGCTGATGAACGACCGCGCAACGTTCTGCGCCGACCTGATGCCCCGGCCGATCGCGTCCAGGTCCTCGCTCGACACGTCCACCGGCAGCGGGATGCGGTAGCTGCCCGTCAGCGTGATCGCGCGGCCGAGCGGGCGCGGACGCCGCACCTCGACGCCCGGGTCTTGCAGGCGCGGTATCTCCTCCGCGCCGTCGTCGTCCGCGCCCCTGCCTGGGCCTGGCCTTGAGGGGCTCTCCTCCCTCGCCCGAAGGCTTAGCAGCTCGCTCTGCGCGGCGTCCAGCTCTCTTTGTAGTCTTCGCAGCTCGTCTCGCGCGTGTGACGCGAGCGCCGCGTCCTCCGCCGCCCTTGCTTCGGCCGCCTCCTCCGCCGGCGGCGTGGACGCGCGCTGGCCCTTCTGATGCCGCTGTCTGCGCCGCGCGGACTTCGGCGGGCCTTGTGGCCGCAGCAGGATCTCTCGCACCTGCTGCTCGATCTCGTAGACTTTGCTCTTCAGCGCCTGCACTTCGACGACGATGGCGAACTCGCTCGTTGCCGTTGACGCCTGCTGTGCCGACGTGGGCTCCGCCTCGTGCTTACCGCCGTTCCTCTTCGGCCTCCGCTTTCTCCTTCCGCTTCGTGAACTAGCAGTCGCAGCTCCCGTGGCGTCCTCGTTGATCTCCTCCGGTAAATCTACCCCGCCAGCCTCAGATTCGCCGGCCTCGCTCGCTTTATCGGGCGCCGCTGAACGCGACGGCTCGTCTTTGCGTTCCTTTGACGCGGGCATGAGGATCGTGACGAGCAGTTACTCATTGTCTCCTCAATGATGGCGTGCACTCAAGTTGCGGGCGCCTGAAGGGGAACTTGGATGTGGAGCTGCATGCACATCCTTGTCTGAGCTTGCCAGGTTTTTTATTTGGCAGCGTGCACGTCGTATCAACAAGAGGCTTCGAATACTGCACAAAACGTAATCAGGGCAAGAAAAGATAGATCAATGAAAAGAGGTGGACGTGGATGATCTGCGCGTGTACACACTGTGTTGTTTACTTGTACTGCTATCCTAGTTTTTCTTTAACATTTTTCCAGTCGATTAGTGACTTGTCATAACAACTATGCTATGATCCATTACCCGATATATCATGCTTCCTTCTTACAAATGAGATAGATCAAAACGCCGACGCTATGCCTATACAAAGCTGGCACATCCCTGCGCGCCCGACATGAGTGCCTACAGTTGATAATGATGATAGATATGATAGGAATTCTAAAGGTCCGTATCGATTCAGAGGATGAACAGACTGGCAACCATGCCAAATGCGAGCAGAGCTGCTGGGTATATAGATGACCTGCGCGCCGAATATGCGAAAGAAGCTGTTTGTACAGGAACCGCCAGCGTGGATGACGTCGACGTGGCCTGGGGAACGGTTGAGAAGGTTGTCTCATGGACGACAGCAGTCGACGATGGGGCAGAGGTGTCGTACGCCAATGTCGACGGGAGAGCGCTGGTGTCAGACACTTGCGGGGTTAGATAAGAATAAGTGTAAGAATAACCTGGTGAGATGGGCGGTTTCCAGCTCTCGGCGTAGGAGGTGGACTGGTATGCAGGGGTTGAAATTGGGATGGAATCCCACGTAAGAGTCCGAGCAGTGATCATCATGGTGGGGTATGCTTCTTCAGAGCCAACCTGCGAGGAGGATGCCTGCGGCAAAGGCTGCACAAATGAGGTAGATGAGACGTCTGGGTACGGAGACTGTTCGTGCAGTGTTAGCGCATCTTGTTTGCTTGTTTTCTTTGTTTTTTGGGGGACGGGGAATGCGTCTTACTCACAGGAGCCGAACTCGGCGGCACGACCTTGCCTGAGCTGGTGACCGTCCAACCGCTGGGAAGGCCTGGATAATTTGTATACGTCGCAGTCTCGGTCGACAAAGTAGACGCAAGAGGAACCCAGGGGTAGACGGAAGGTGTTGAATAAGTAGAGTCGGAGCGATGGGTGCCTTCGAAGGGTATTGGCTGGCCAGTCGACACGGATGTGACGGCTGGTGCGGCTGAATCTGTCCCTGAGCCAGCGCCAGAATAGACGCTACCGCCGACCGCCTTAATGTCCTGCCAATCTCCACTCGTGCCAACATACTCGTATTGAGTGCCGGTGGAATAGTCTTCCACCGTGATTGACTTCACTTGCATCGTGTACGGCCCCGCAGAATAGTCTGTGTATCCGCCAGCCCACTCGATCGTGCCTTGCGAGTTAGAAGGATCACCACCGCTCCACGCTCCCATCTTGACTTGCATCGGCGTCTGAGGGTACTGGCCTGGCTCCGCAGCGGAAGCCGTAAGCACGCGCACCGTCTGCCCGCTAATCTGCCAGACAATCTGCTCCGAAGTCCACTCGACCGTGTAGGTTATGAAACCATCCTGATTGCCCGGGTTCGACTGGAATGCGCCACGGTTATAGCTCCCTGTGATGCCTTTTCCAAAGTAGTTGGTCTGCACTTGGTTGCCGTCCTTCCCAAGCCACTCCCAGTCGATCTCGTCGAGACAGTCGCTCTGAAGCACCACGCTACTCACGATACCAGTGCCCGGCGCGGCCTTTAGCGTCACCGACACTTTGCCGAACATGATGTACCATTTCGACGTGAGTTGCGGAGAGTCGCCAGATTTTGCAACGGTGAAGGACACCCCGTTGGAGTCGTAGGTTGGGTTGCCTTGTGGCGTGAAGCTATCTGACGCACCGCTGGTGAAGTCAATGTTCACCGTCCGGCCTAGCGCAGAGTCTGCAGGGCATCCTCCTTGTGTGAGCGGGTTGCAATTTGTGTATGTCTGTGCTGCTGATGGCACGGTTTGCAGCAGAAAACTTGCGGCACCAAGTATCCTCCATATCGAAGGAGCCATGGCAGGCATGTGTGTGAAGAGGAAACGATAGCAGAGGCGGGATGAGGGCGTTTACTCGTACGAAAACGCAGTAGGAGGGTAAGAGTATAGACAGGGTGTTTCGAGGTCGAGTTGGTACAGGTGAACAAGGGAAAGTGAGCAGTCGATAGTGAAGGCAGCACATAAATGTATTGTGTCGGGCTGCGGATAGCCACATCTTTTTCAACATGGATGACTTCATACGTCACAATCGTCACCAAAGCGTCTACGGTGTTCCCAGTAATCGATTTGTTGTCTCGCCATGAGTGGTTGTGGTGTTTTTGCGGGTGGTTGGAGAGGCCGGGATGGTAGCCATCGAATTTTGCCTTCCAAGACCGCGACAGCCATCGTCGCCACAGTCCTCCAGCGATGCCAAGTGCTCAATTGCGGTCGTAGGCTATCCGTACCAGCGTACTCTTTGTGCACAGCATGTACGATCCGTGTGCAGAGCAGGACATCGCTTGGTGGTGTTGCAATCCGGATTTACGCTCAACGAGCGAAGTAGCGCAGGCGGTGGCTGGCAGGGGTTCATCAGCCTTACTGTGAGCACGTGCCATGGGTGGCTTTGGAGCAGTCCAGACCCTTGCATTAGCAGAGCTGCCGTCGCGAATCGACTCCGATGCTACGAATAATTTTACTAGCATGACTCCCATAGCCACAAGGTCACCTGCCTTCACGAACACAAGCTTACAGCTGAACGCAAAAAGAAATTCATCATGTCGCTGACGAACGCCTCGCCTCTGGATGCCGCAAGAGCCGCTCGTCTCGCTTCGCGGAAATTGGCCATTCTTCCATCCTCTGCGCGGAACGATGCCTTGACCGCCATTCACGATGCTTTGGCGAAGGCAAAGGAAGAAATCTTGAACGCAAACGCTCGTGACCTCCAGGCAGCGGTGAAGGCCGCTGAGCACGGGGAGCTGAGTCAGAGTCTTGTCAAGAGACTGGACCTGTCGAAGAAGGGCAAATATGAAGACATGCTGCAAGGCATTCTGGATGTGCGCCAGCTTGACGATCCTAGTATGTGTGGATCTATTCCCAGATACGCCCGGACATTAAGAAGCCCACGTGCTAACTTAGCGCTCTTGCAACAGTCGGTCAGGTTGACAAGCGGACACTGCTTGACGACGGCCTCGTTCTGGAGCGCAAGTCGTCGCCCATTGGCGTGCTGTTGATTATTTTTGAGGCCCGCCCAGAAGTCATTGCCAACATAGCCTCGTTAGCAATCAAGTCTGGCAACGCGGCCATTCTGAAGGGTGGGAAGGAGTCAACAGAGTCCTTCAAAGCAATCTCGACTGTGATCTCGAATGCACTGGCCTCCACGGAGGTTCCCAATGATGCACTGCAGCTCGTAACGACTCGAGACGCAATCAAGCCGCTGCTGGAACTGGATCAGTATATCGACCTTGTGATCCCACGTGGCGGAAATGAACTTGTAAGAAGCGTCAAGAAGGGAACCCAGATTCCGGTTCTTGGTCATGCGGATGGGTTGTGCACGATGTATCTCAGGGCAGACGCCCCGTCAGACATGGCTGTCAAGGTCATCCTCGACGCCAAGCTAAGTTACCCGGCCGCGTGTAACGCCCTAGAGACCTTGCTTGTAGATGAAGATGCGCTTTCAACAACTCTGCCACAGGTAGCATCCGCGTTGTTGAGCAAAGGAGTAGCTTTGCGATGTGATGCCGCCTCAAAATCGGCGCTGCAGGCTAAACTTGACAAGCATGACTCGGCTCTGCTACAGGATGCGACTGAAGAAGACTACAAGACGGAGTTCTTGGATCTCATTCTCGCCATCAAGACCATTCCCAAGTCCACACCGCAAGAAGCAGTAGACGCGGCCATCGCACACATCAACGAGTATTCTTCTCATCACACCGACGCCATACTAACGCAAGATGAGGCCATCGCTCGTCATTTTCAAGACGCGGTCGACAGCGCAGGCGTCTTCTGGAACACAAGTACGCGAATGGCAGACGGCCAGCGTTTCGGGTTCGGAACCGAAGTGGGGATCAGTACGAACAAGATTCACGCTCGTGGACCCGTCGGGCTGGAAGGCTTGTGCATCTACAGATGGAGAATAGACGGCAATGGGCAGGTGTCGGCGGAATACGGCTCAGGAGGGAAGCAATGGAAGCATCAGAAACTGCCAGCTGGCGATGCCGAGAGATACGCGGCGAATGATGCGGAGCTTGAGGTTCTACGACAGTTTAGGGCGAAGCAGCGTGGGCTGGCAAACGGTGCTCATTGAGCGGATGCAAGGGGAAGGGTTCTCAAGGTCATATGTAGCACCAAAAGTCAACTGCATGGTCTTCTTACCGCATACGGGTTTTCTGGGAGTAATTCTGGCGCGCTATTACCCCAGATTTTCTGGGTGGCGTGCATATCCAACAGCCTGCCCCGGGCAATCGTCATCAAAAAATCAGAATTTGCAGTGCCCAGCGTAGCATCGGGAAATGGCATACGGCCCCGACGACGCGGGACGAAAGCTGCTTATGCAAAACGCAATGACGGACGAGGAAAAAAATTCTGCCATTCGAGCGTGATGGAGCCAGAAACGTAATACCGTCATAGCGTGTCCTCGCCATTGAGCGGCGATTCGTCACAAGGGGATGGCCCAACCACAGATCACGCATGGCCTCAGCGAACGGGAGCGTGTGCTGCGCCTTACAGGCACTATGAATAATTCGACACAGGGGGCCCCTCAGCAGGTGACTACTCGGCGTCTCGGGCTTCTGTATCAGGCACAGCGACCTAACAAGCAATGATGCTCACGAGGGGTGCGCCGACGCCAGCCGTAGCCGCTAACGGAGACGCTGGGATACGGGGCGTCGGGATGGGGACGCTGGACGCTGGATGCTGGACGCAGAGCGTGTGGGCAAAAGCATATATAGCGAACCATGTGAACGACGACGAAACACGACGCAAATTCTTCTCGTCTCCGAGAGTCCTACACAGAGGCAGTTCGCACTCCACTCCGCCAGCCATATCGCATCCACACATACCGCGTGAGGCTCGCTCGCACACCCTCGTCTCGTACAAGTGCCAGACACGACGAGCCTTGCTTTTCTTTCGCCGCTTGGGCTCATCGATCTGCGCATCGCAGAGTCTCAGGAACAAGGTCCAGATCCGACCGACGTCATTGGCGCTCCCGGACTGTGAGTCTGCACCTCCGTCTGCACGTCGCGGCCGGCGCAGCAAACCACCAAAAATCCTCCAGCCGCAAAGAATCGGTGAGCAAATCCCCCCCAGCTTATCGCAATCGCCGTCTTTTGCGTCGAGCAGCCGGCCGGCCGCTGAAACAGGAGCGCCCAGCGGATCCAATTGGTGCTCATGGCTGGTCCTCTTCCGTGTCTGCTGCGCGCACACACAGCCTTGGGCAACAAAAGCCTGTTGGATGCCAGGGTCTTCTCTGCGCCTGGCTGGTCGACCTCGCTGGATCAGTCCAGTGCTCCCGGGCAATTGACGGCTGATTCCCTTGGTATCATTGATCTATGACTTGTCTGCGTTTCGTAACGTGAAGCTTATCTCGAGCTCCATTGCTGTCCGCGTTTGCTCCGCTTGTCGACACGCACGCACATGTCATCACACACCGCATTGCCTTTCCATGACTTCTAACCTTACTCCCAGTGTTTATTAGGTGAAATCACCACGCCCACTGTGTGCGCAGCACATCTTCCCGCAACCTTGAGCACGTAGGAAATATGGCGGGCCAACAGCCCCTCGAACAGATCGGCACCTTGCCAGACCGTAAGTTCCCAGCTGTTCCAGCAAGATTTGTGCAGCCTCAAGCACAATGGGAGAGGGTCGCATCCTTCCAGCGGCAGAAGGAGCACTTTTGAGTCTCACGACGCTAACAGAAGCCAGGAACGCTGAGCGTAAATGGCTTCAACGGTCAAACCAACGGCTCCGCGCCTCACAATAAGATTCTCGAGCAGGTGATTCGCACACCTGGTCGAGAGCCTTCTCCTCAGCCCACTCATCTCACTGTCCCTGGTAGCGGAACCCACACTCCCCGCATACTGACCGATCGAGGTTCGGGATATGAGGCACCCAAGTTTGAGGGCAAGAATGAGCAGAAAGAAAAAGTCATGGACCTCCTCGAGGCAAAGGGCTTCATCCCAGAGGATCTCATCGAAGACGAGGCCAATTGGTTCTACAACGAGATGGGAATCGACGACTCGTATTTCCAGACCGAGAGCGTCGAAGCCATTGCAAACAACATGCTCTCTCTGTACGCTAGCAAAGTTGCTGCATATGCGCGACAGAGTGGAGAACCAGAAGTCAAGCTGCAGAAGGAGCACAGTGATCACGCTCTCTACATCGACACCAGCAAGCCTGGTATCACGGTCACAGATGGTACGCTCTACGAGCAGAGGATTGACACCAAGTACCTGAACGGTTCGAATCCTCAGCGCGCGTATCGCCTCGAGTCTTTCCGTGCATCCAACACGGGTGCTAACCAAGAGATGTCGTTACGCTGCTACTTTTTGTATCTCTGCGAGTTTGCCAATCCAAATCCGCCGGAAGGAGAGACAAGACTCGATATTGTGGGCGCCAAGAGCTTCCTTCAAAAAGCCTCCAAGAACACGAAGGAGATCTACCAAGAGATTTTGGACCAAGTCGTTCTGCGGACTGGTCCAGTCATCGAATATTTTGATATTGAAGGCACTGATGAGAAGCGCCTGGTCGTTGCGTACAAGCAAGGCACAGCCCTTGGCTTTTTCAGCGCCCTGAGCGATCTTTACCATTGGTATGGTATGACTTCGACGCGTAAGTACGTCGAGCAGTTCTCGAACGGATACACCGTCATGAGTCTGTACTTGAAGCCCGTGCCAAATCATCCTCGTCTGATGCCCTCGAATCAGGCGATTCGACAAATTGTCAAGGAGGTTTCACTACTGTACTGCATCCCGCAGAACAAGTTCCAGCACCACTTCATCTCCACCAAGAGCAATCTCCAGGAGACTATATACGCTCATTGCGTCTGGGTATTCGTCACCCATTTCCTCAACCGTTTGGGCACCGAATATCATGCCTTAGCTGACATTCTGGACCCGAACGACAGTTCTCACCAGGAGCTGCTGAGCTCGTTGAAGAAGCGCCTGCGTTCGGAGACCTTCACCACGGAATACATTTTCGAGATCATTAACCAATATCCGGATCTAGTTCATGCTTTGTACCTGAAGTTCGCTCAGACGCATTATCCCGAGATCCCGAGCATCAATGACGATTTCTTGCCGACGTTGAGCTACCTGCGTCTGAAGATCGACAGGATCCTGACGGATGAGGAGATGAAGAAGACGATCGAAGAGACTGTTGTCAACGAGCATCACCTGATTGTGATGCGGTCCTTCCAAATCTTCAATAAGGCAGTGCTGAAGACGAATTTCTTCACCCCGACCAAGGTCGCTGTCAGCTTCCGCCTTGACCCTAGCTTTTTGCCAAAGAACGAGTACCCTCAACCACTGTACGGCATGTTCCTCGTGATCGGCTCCGAATTCCGCGGCTTCCATCTCCGTTTCCGAGATATTGCCCGTGGCGGCATTCGCATCGTCAAGTCCAGGAGCAAGGAAGCCTACAACATTAACGCTCGGTCGATCTTCGATGAGAACTACAATTTGGCGAACACCCAGCAAAGGAAGAACAAGGACATTCCGGAAGGTGGCTCCAAGGGCGTCATTCTCCTGGATCCGCGACATCAAGATAAGACGCGCGGCGCCTTCGAGAAGTACATTGACAGCATCTTAGATCTCCTCCTGAAAGCAGCATCTCCTGGTATCAAAGATCCCATCGTGGACTTGTACGGAAAGGAAGAGATTTTGTTCATGGGTCCTGATGAGAACACAGCTGATCTAGTTGATTGGGCCACCGCACACGCTCGCCAACGAGGCGCCCCATGGTGGAAGTCATTCTTCACCGGAAAGAGCCCCAAGCTTGGCGGTATTCCACACGATAAGTACGGCATGACTACTCTATCTGTTCGCCAATATGTCGAGGGCATCTACAGGAAACTGCAGCTTGACCCTAGCAAAATCCGGAAGCTGCAGACAGGTGGACCGGACGGTGATCTTGGCTCTAACGAGATCTTACTTGGCAACGAAAGCTACTACGCTATCGTTGATGGCTCTGGTGTTCTTGTCGATCCCCACGGCATAGATCGGGAGGAGCTACTTCGCCTTGCCAAGAGTCGTGTCATGATCTCGCAGTTCGACACTTCTAAGCTCTCAAAGGACGGATATCGTGTGCTCGTTGATGAAACCAATGTGAAGCTACCCAATGGAGAAATCGTCCACAATGGAACGACTTTCCGTAACACGTTCCACCTTCGAAAACCGGAGTACGATATATTTGTGCCCTGTGGAGGTCGTCCAGAGTCTATTGACCTAAGCACGGCTGGCAAACTCATCGATGCAGATGGCAGATCATTGGTGCCATATATTGTTGAAGGCGCCAATCTGTTCCTCACGCAAGATGCCAAGCTACGTCTCGAGAAGGCTGGCTGTATTCTGTACAAGGATGCCTCTGCTAACAAGGGTGGTGTCACTTCCTCCTCTCTCGAGGTGCTTGCAGCGCTTGCCCTAGACGATCAGACCTTCATTGAACACATGTAAGTTGAATTCCTTGTATGAAAAATCCAGGGATGTCTAACAACAAGATAGGTGCATGAAGGAGGATGGTACCATACCACAGTTCTACCAGGATTACGTCAAGGAGGTGCAGAGGGTGATCAAGGAGAATGCCACTCTAGAATTTGAAGCTATCTGGAGAGAACACGAAGCAACTGGTGAACCACGATCAATTCTGAGTGACACACTTTCGGTGGCTATCACCAAGATGGACGAAGAACTCCAAAAGTCTGAGTTGTGGGACGACGTCACTTTCAGACATTACATTCTGAGCGAGGCACTTCCAAACCTTCTGCTCGAGAAGATTGGTTTGGAAACCATTCTCAAGAGGGTACGTGTCACTGCTATCATGGAGAGGCGCGCAAAATAGACTGTGACATTGTTTCATCGTTGAAGAAGTCCGCTGACCAGATATCACAGGTACCCGACAACTATCTACGGGCCATCTTTGGCAGCTATCTCGCTTCTCGTTTTATCTACAAGTGCGGCATTCACGCTAGCCAGTTCGCCTTCTTCTCCTAGTACGTCATACCCAGTTTGAAGTCGTGGTTTTTTGAACCGATCACTAACCATCTCGTACAGTATGAATGATCGTATGATGAAGGCCAGGGGTCAACACAAATAATGAATTGTAAAGGATGCAATGAGACTAGGTGGTCCTTATCTTTCTGTAGATTTTTGGCTGATATTTAATGACATCTTATACCGCGATTTACTAGACACGGTATTGTGCTCAGGCACAGGCGGATTCTATGGCATAGAAAAAAATATAGGTCCTTAAAAAACACCCTTTTGGGTAAATTCAAGTATCGCTGATCACATACATGTCCTATAGATACATCGTGAACATACCTTCGCTGAAATTATGCGCTCTGAACTGAAGTAAAGGACGGATTACTAAGCAAATGCCAAGAATGTTCCCTTAGCAATCTTCTCTCATTAATTTTCCCCTTAAAAAGCTCAGCGGATCTCGTCTTCACGCTCAACGAGCATAACAAGAAGAGCGTGTGACGAGATGAACGCATTGACTCAATTGTCAAACTTTGCTAACAATGCCGGTCTGTGACATCGATCCACGTGAACAAATATACTTTCAAAGCTAATACGGTCTTAAGTCGCGGTTGAAAAGACGCTTCGGTTGGCACAGGCAGCCACTTTGATTGGTGCGAATGTTCATGAAAACTACATCACTTCCTACGTGACAGCCAGGGATCAATTCAACATTTGTACGTCTACTCAGATAATGGCTCAACTAGCAGCCAACGTCCCATAGTCTAGCATTTTTTTATGTATTTTTTTTTCACAGAGCTGACGGTGTCGAAAGCGCGTCGATATCTTCGAATTTTCAAATGGATCGATAGCTTCAACGACGTCTTTGACTCAATGTCCGGCTCGAAGCCCGGCGTGGTGAAACTTCTCGAAAGTTCGAAGTCGACCTTTCTCGGCCTTTATTTCCTGCTGGAGATGATCACGCTCGGCGACGCGATGGGCGTGACGCAGCTAGAGCTGGGCCCCTTCTTAGTGACACAGGCCAGCAGGTTCTGGTTTTATGCACTGCTGTTCAGTATCCTCCAAGGCATCTGGGAGGGCTTGTTCGTGCCGGACGCTCAGCAGAAACTGGCCGCCAAGAAGGCGAAACGAGGTGGAAAGGGGTCTGCTGAGAAGGCGGTTACCCAGAGCACTCGGCAGGGGCTGCCTTACAAGCAACTGGTTATTGATGGTTGTGACCTCATCATCCCTGGCTCTGCGCTCCATTGGATTCCTGCTTCGCAACTCGCGGTTGGGACTGCAATGACTGTCAGTACGTTGCTGCAGCTGAGCGACATTTGGCCAAAGACACAGGCGCAGGCTGCGTCCACTTCAGCACAGAAAAAGCAAGCCTAAGTTCTTTAATCTCTCGTGGCGGAAAACACCGCCTCAAGCTGTTCTTGGGAGATATCAGCGCCCCCCATGTTCAGAGGCTGGATAAGAAAAGAGACGGTCCTGAATGGAACCAGCATCAGAAGGGTTGCCCTCCCAGGAACTGGCAAGTGCCCGCCAAAGATCACTTCACGTGGCCTTATCATTATAGATCTCGGAACGGATCAATAGAACAGTCTGGAAATTATGCACAGTCTTGGTTGCGTTTTTAGATAAGAGCAAGTTCAGCTAGGCCATATGGCTCTCTCTTTTCTTTGGGTGCGTCCAGCTTCAAAGGCAGATCGGTTTATCAAACGTTATCGAAATTTCAGTGCCACAAAGCCTCTCGAAAATGGCCTTGTTCATTCTATCCCAATTCAGAAATCAAGTCACCGCTTGCACTAGCTTCATCTCTGCCCTCAATTCGTGTTCAATGAAGTCGTTCGACTTTGTAAGTGCCTCATTTTTTTTAACAGCCGTGCAGGGTATTCTTCTAGATAACAAACCTCCACATTGTAAGAACAGCAAAGAAAATAAAGATGGTGAAGGTATTTACGTGCTACATGGGTTGGTAGCGTCCATAGCATAGATGCGGACGCGAAAGCTTGTTCTGATTTTCCATACGAAAGTCGAGTAAGCATTCCAAATGGGATACCAGACACTGCGGAGGAGGATGGTCTTGCGTTCATGAATGGCTCACGATAGAGCCCTGATGACGGTATAAGGGAGAAGAACCGAAGATATCACGACCGTATCGGAAACACACTCGAAGAATTCAGGTTCCCCATCAGCACAAGTTCAAACAGGCTACCAACACTGGGTTCAACATTCGTCGTGCTGGCGAGCAGTAAAGGCATTGAGATTCAATCGTCCAATTGCAAGCTGTTCGAGTGTGGCGGTGTTTGTTATTCTTGCCTCGTTCGCCGTCAAATACGTCGGACCAACATGAACAATTTCATTCAAAAGATACGAGCGTTTCACTATGCAATCTGTGGACGTCGTTCACCTTTACACGCACTTAACTCATCTTATGCTCTAGAGACTTCGGTATTGCACTTTCATGAATACTACGTAACACCTCGATGGCATCTAATGTGCGGTAATCGATAATGATTCAGATCCAGGCTTACGCGCGAATGAGTTATTTCTTTTTAATTTTTGAAGAAACTCTTTTCTCAAAGCAGAAGCAACGTATTCGTTGGCTGGCACGGCGAGATGATACTTTGAATTAAGGATTATCAGCAAAGCGAATGGCCCAGCTAGCTTGAGAGCAGCTACAGACCAGGAGACTCGCGAGAGAGCCAGCTGTGATTTAAGTTTGGACGAGCCCTGCAGTCGCTATGCGGGTGCTGAGCCGCAGAAAAATTTTTGCCTCGCGGATTGGCTGTGCTTGCGTGTCAGATTAGGCCACGGGTGAGGTCGAGTCGCTTTGAATCCTGGCTATAAAACGTGCAGAATAGCATAGAACGGCCGTCATGCTTCCCCACGATGCGTGAGCGTCCATCGGCTATTCAAGGCAAGTTGCATTGTCGGTGTGTCGTCGTTCGTCCGGATCCAAACTCGACAGATCCCTGTTGCGGCTCGACTGATCTTGCACTTAGCGGAAACCTCAACACCAGGCTTGGCCAGTATATCCCCTAAAAGCAGGAACAGCCTATCCTCAAGGCATCACAAGAACACCAGTTTACGTAAAGCCCACCATGGCTGCGATATCGAGTCGGGGGGCGGCAAAATCTTCAAAAAGGCCAGCACCCGCCATTTGCTTCTGTTGTTCCTTCAACAGTCGATTTCTTGGTACGCTTGCACCATCTCTCTTTCCGCTCCCGGAGTTTCAAAAGATATTAATCGTCCTCGACGTCACAGCTTCACCACCCGATTCCCAATCATATCAACAATGACTTCAGCGCCGACATTGCAGCCGAAGTTCTTGCCTTCCCGCAACCAGCTCGGGCTGGTGGCCGTGGGTTTCAATGGCGGTCAGGTTCGTAGAGAAGTGCACTTTACTGAACAGACGGATTGACTCGTGGTATAGATGAAATCAGGCGTCGAAGCCGCTCCAATGGCGCTTATCGAGGCCGGACTAATCGACCAACTGAAGCAAGATCTCGAATATGAAGTCTCGTTTGATGGTGAAGTGCACTATTACAATGAGATACTACCCGCAGAAGACCCAGAATACCGCAACATGAAGAAGCCAAGATCAGTGAGCGCGGTAACGAAGCAATTGAGCAAACAAGTCTACGACCACGCTCTCGCAGGCAAGTTCGTGCTTACTCTTGGCGGTGACCACTCGATTGCGATTGGCACAATATCAGGCACTGCAAAAGCAACAAGAGAGCGACTGGGCAGAGACATTGCTGTCATATGGGTAGATGCGCATGCCGACATAAACACACCGGAAACGTCGGGAAGCGGCAACATTCATGGCATGCCCGTGGCATTTTTGACCGGTTTGGCAAAGGGAGACAGCGACGATATCTTCGGCTGGATACAGGACGACCAAAGAATCAGCGTCAAGAAGTTAGTCTACATTGGCTTGAGGGATGTGGATCGGGGTGAGAAGAAGATACTTAAGGACCACGGCATAAAGGCATTCTCAATGCACGACATCGACCGGTATGTCTACTTGGCACGACACTCACTGGCAAAACATAAAATGCTAACATTGCTCACCAGATATGGCATTGGAAAAGTAATGGACATGGCCCTTGGATGGATCGGTAGCGATACACCTATTCATCTGTCATTTGATATCGACGCTCTAGATCCCCAGTGGGCGCCATCGACAGGAACGGCTGTCAGAGGCGGCCTCACGTTGCGCGAAGGAGACTTCATCGCTGAATGTGTCGCTGAGACCGGCAGCTTAATTGCCCTCGATCTTGTTGAGGTCAATCCAAGTTTGGAGACTCAAGGCGCTCACGAAACCATTCGAGCTGGCTGCTCTATTGTGCGCTGTGCGCTTGGTGACACACTACTCTAAGTCTACCCCGAAATAAAAGCAGTAAACGTTGTGATTAGTTGACTGAATCTGAATGGGGAGTTGTTGGTGTGGCTGGAGTAGGCTAGAGCAAGGTAGACCAGTCATAGACGGTTCGCCCTTCGTATTCAAGAATTAATAGCGAATTTGCACCGGAATGTTTTTGCAATCTCCGTACTTTACTTTGCAAGCACGGGTCATTTAGGAATCGTTTTATTAATCCATTTCGTCGCCAATGCTCTAATGAGAAAAAATGATTTGCCATGTGATGTCATTCCCTGAGCTTCCGAATTCAGTCTCTGCTCTTGATTACAAGGGTGAGAGAGATAAAGAACCAACTGTAAAGGACGGGGAAAATCTAATATTGCTTCACGTCATCTTTATCTTCTGAATGGGCAACATATTACCTCTTATCTCTTTAAAAGGCACATGGATATAGCTGTGCGACGATCGCCAACGAGACGTTGGCCTACTAGCGTCTTTGAGCTACTCGGAGCTGCTCCGAGAGCCTCAACTACCTACGCGTTTCTGCGCGTCAATCACCAGTATCGACGACAGATCACCATAGATCAGCTAAACAACCAAAAGAAAGGTAAGGCAAACATTCAAAGTAAATTGAACTAGTTTCTGAAAATTGATCAGGACGTGAACGCGTGGTCATTCTTGGATCTGGTAGGCTATTTTCCCTATCGTTACTGTTCACGAGTGCTAAGAAAACCCACAGGCTGGGCTGGCTTCACGGTTGCTCGCAGGCTTGACCCCAAGAAATTCCAGGCTGTGATCGTATCGCCACGTTCTTATTTCGCTTTCACTCCTCTTCTGGCGTCGTGTAGCGTTGGCACGCTTGAATTCCGAACCGCCCTCGAACCTGTCCGAAGTCGTCGCTTGAAGGCAGATTTCTTACAGGGCTGGGCCGAAAAGCTAGATCTAGTGGGAAAGAAAGTGACCATCGAGGAGGCGGCGGATGATCCCAAGCAAGGTCTCGGTCCTACTGAGCGAACCATCGACACAGGTAGAGACCCCGGCCAGCTGAGAAGGGAAGGCAAACTCTTTGACCTTGCGTATGACAAGCTTGTAATTGCCGTGGGCTGCTACAGCCAAACCTTTGGCACACCAGGTGTCAAAGAGAATGCTTACTTTTTGAAGGATGTTGGGGATGCCAGGAAGATCAGAAAGAGGTTGCTTGACTGCTTTGAGACTGCAGCTTTGCCCACGACTAGCGAGAAGATGCGGAAAATCCTCTTAAATTTTGCAGTGGTCGGTGGGGGGCGTGCGTATTCGCGTCTAACTCTTATATAACGCACGCTGACTGGACGCAGCAACCGGCATTGAGTTCTCGGCAGAGCTTCATGATTTGGTCACGGAAGATATGGCCAGGCTGTATCCTGATCTTATCAAGTACTTCAGGATAACTGTGTATGATCTCGCGCCAAAGGTCCTTGCCATGTTCGACGAAAGTCTGGCAAAGTATGCCATGGAACATTTCAAGCGCGAGGGTATTCACATTAGAACATCTCATCATGTGCAAGAATTGCGTGTTGGCCCCCCGGTAGCTGAAAATGCAGAGGCTGGCTCTGATTCGGATGGCAAGCTGTGTTATACCTTGAAGACCGAGGAAGAAGGCGAGATTGGAGTTGGGATGTGCGTTTGGTCTACAGGTTTGATGATGAACCCGTTCGTGCAAAAGCAATCCGATATCTTACATGGCATACCACAAGATGGCGTTGACTTGACCCACGTCGATCTGAGAGATGCTGATAAGCTGGATTGGATACTGAAGAAACACCCACGTACCGGTGGTCTTGTCACAGATAGGCGTCTTAGGCTTGTTCTTCAGCCTAAGGAGCGGCTGGAAGAGGATTCGCGAGTAAACGAGGAAACGTCTCGAGCAGTAATTCGAGATGTATACGCGTTGGGCGATTGTGCTACAATTGAAAACACGATGTTTCCCGCGACAGCCCAGGTTGCTTCGCAAAAGGCTGAATGGCTGGCGAAACGGCTCAACAAAGGCGACATTGACAAACACTCTTTCCAGTTCAAGAACCTGGGAGTCATGGCATACCTCGGAAACTGGAATGCAGCCTTTCAGCCCGGAAGTGGTGGTGAAATCTCCGGCAGGGTAGCTTTCTTGATCTGGAGAGGTGCGTACCTCACGAAATCTGTCAGTCTACGGAACAAGATTCTGATTCCAACATATTGTGAGTTCGTTCCCTGCGGTCCCTAAAAAAATACATTGTAACCATTATAGGGTTTCTCAACTGGCTATTCGGCAGAGATGTGTCACGATTTTGAACCGGAATATCGGGGAAGAATCCACTTTTGCGGCTGCCCACATGGGGTCTGCGGCTGCAGTCTTATATCCTATTTGATGCGGTTCGAGGTAGCCTCGTTTACCCTTAAGTTAAACTGTGCTGCGAACACAACAAGGATAAAGCAATATTGGGTTCTCCAGGGTCGTTTTTTTCTCTTTACTTTCCACCATCTATACTCCGCTGGAACTATTATTGGCCCAGATGTCCAATACCCATAAGGGTATGGAAGCAGCAGCAAGGATGGGCAGTTCGTGGAACACCATTCCCATTTGCCACGTCGGCCAATCAGTCTGCACCACGAGGTCGCAAAGCTGCAGGCGCCTTACCTTTCAACTGTGATATCATGCCATCTCAACTTCCGCATGCATGAATGTAACGAGGCCTTTTTCTGTCACAGTAATTTCCGTTCCACAACATTCGTCCCCGCGTAACCCTGGCTAGGCTAGCTGCAGCAGCCGGGAGGCAAAAAGCTGTCGAAATATGTGTCGACAACGAAGCATTGCTTCAACACCATACGTAGCCTGACGTTCAATTGACCAGATCGTGTGCCTATAATGGTACGTATCCATTCTTGTGGGATGGTCGAAACCGATCGGCCGCGTGCTAACGAGTCTATGACTCCCCAGGGTGTTGCGGATGAGCTAAAAGAGAGAGCGAATGCATTTGTGTCGGGTGTCTCCACTCCAGCCGGTCCCGGAAACTTTCTTGATTCGCATGCAAGCGCTCAGAAGACGTCTCGACCTGCATTTAAGCACTGTGGAATATCAATCTCGGACCAATCAAGCCAGTCTGGCGGGTCGGGAAGCGAGGAAGAGTGTGATTATTCACGAGATCATTCATCGACGCCACGCTACTCGGCTCTCAATTCAAGCTCACATTATATAACACCAAACCAGCCGCGGGCGGACATACCTGACGACAATCACAACGTACATGGGGTGGACGAACCCATTTTAGCGTCCATCAAGGAAGCATCCGACGACGACATCCCACCCCAGCCTTTTCCACGCAGCGTTGCGGATAATTCTAAACGATCTGTCGAGCGACACTCGATATCGTCGAGTAGCGGCCGACGCTATGTGAGCAGCAGCAGCTCTCTTTCTCGGAGTCGGCCTTCCAACCTTCAACAACAGCTTAGCTCGCCGCCCAATGTTTCTCTGCAATCCCTCATATCAAGCCTGACGACCTCCAGTGGCTCTAGTGGTAACTCTACCGTTACGCAAAAATCATACGATAAGCGTTCTATTCGGCGGAAACGACCCGAAAAGAATAGACGATCGAAAAGCGACGACGTACTAGAACGGCGTACAAATCGTTCGCGGAAAGAAACTTCTCAAGGAAACAAGACAAAAACGCCGCACGGGAAGAGCAAGTCACCTTCGAAGATCAAGATGGAAGAAGAAGAAGGACCAATCAAGGCGAATATGTCCAGGCCCGGCTCAAGCGCAAGCCGTGGTTCGAGGAAGGATTCCATCTTCTCACCTCCAACCCCTTCAAGTAGACGTTCTTCAATATCTAAGTCTAGAGCAAGCAGTCGTAATGAATCAAGTGCACAGTGGAAACGACAAGACACGCTCAATTTTGATTCTGGTATATCCGTCACCAGCAGTCCGGAAGCGAGTGCTCCTTCGAAAGTGCTCGAGGATGAGACCGTTGATCACGATGATTCTGCTTTCGATTCGTCCGACGAGGCAAGCGGCAGCGATGCAGAGGCCGAGGAGCCACATGAATCGCCATTGCCTTTCATGGCACCGTCGCCCTCGGAGAACTTCTCATTTACCCAAACTCAAGCTCTGCCTGACGCTGACCCATATGTACAACGGTTACAAGAGCAAGAGGCAGCCATGCAGCATCACATTCTCCATAGCCCACAACCAAAAAGGACGATCAGACCGAAGGTCAGTTCTTCGTTTCACCCTAGCCCAGTTTTACCGTTGTACGATCACCACGCAACCAGTGCCGTGCCGGCCGGACATCCAATCTCTTCCTCGTCATCCAGCATACCCCATGGAGACCCGACGTACTTCCAAGCCTATTATGAAACTCACGACCAGCATCTTCGCCCGTCGGGAAACCATTTTCAAGTTGATACACAGAGAACCACGATTGCTGGCTACGAGATGCTTGCAAAGAAGCTCTCTGAATCGTCCGATAGGGATCCATCAGCAGTTAAGCCGCTGTACCGCAGGTTTGAAGAGCTGAATCACCGAGTGCTGCTACATCTGCAAGACGAAATTTCAGAGCTTGAGGAAGAGTTGCGCGCACTCGACGAAGTGATTGCACAGATGTCATCACTCCCCGATGACACGATTCACCCGGCCTCAAGACGGATCGAGGCTCGATATGGGTCCGAAGTGCACTTTCGACGAACACAGATTTTGGGCAAGATATTTCTCAAGCTGCAGCAATACAGTAAGAAGCTACTCCAACCCCCCACCCCCCCGGGCTTAAATTTTTTTTTTAGAGAAGCTAAGAGACCATATTAGATCAAGGGCTGACAACTTATTCTGACGCAAAAAACAAGTATACGCCCGCAGGTGAGTCGGATATCACCGCATACCGAGCTTGGATGGCCGAACACGTACCCATAGAGCCAAACGAAGGAAAATATTTGGACCGCGGCGATGATCTTATGTTTCCTGGAAAGCAACCAGCTGAGCAGGCCAAGTCGCCAACCAACCACGCGACCTATTCGTCGGAGCTAACACTGCTTATGACGATGGATCTCATCATGTTGGCGACACTACTGATAGCGTTTAGCATCGTCCCTGGGCCCGTGGCGAAAATTCTACTTGGAGGAGTTCTGTTGTGCTGCCTCGCCGGCACACTGTGGTTTTCCAAGGATAAAAGCATTGGTCTACGGAGTAAAAAGGACGCATAGCGCGGCTCTATCGGCCCCTTCTACTTTTGGCTTTTCTTTTACCAACTTCTTTTTTTTTCCCTTTCACCGCCTTTGATTTTGGTCTTGTTTTACTAAGCGTGGATGTGATTCAATACTCTTATCATGTGCTTTGCTGGGCTTAGAATGTTATGCCCGCCCTCTTGTTTAAGATTGTGACGAGACGACGGATTAGGTCCTGTACGATTGGTTGCATGGGCGGATGAGAAATGTACTCCTAATATATACCCTTAGCGAACGAAGCGAAAATCGTTGCGTCGTTGCGGCCGTTGAAGAGCCAAAAAAAAATACTCTGTTTGGAAGCTACTTGGCCACCGAGACTTTGCGAGTACGTTTCGACAGACTTTCCGTGGCTCCGTGAACCCGCATCACCGCCGCCGGGTTGAAGCTTGTTCCTCCTAGTCGGGTAACCCTTGCAATGGAGACCTTTCGATTTTAGCTACCGCTGTCATGTCCACGTGCGGTGCGGTGGCGCAAACGTCGGTGTGGTCTCTGCTGCTCTCTGGTGATGACACATTCGTAGTGCGCAAAGATTGGTGATTTTGTACAACGGAGCGCAGCGGGGGAATGGGTTTGTTGTCGCTCGTCATTTAGAAAAAAAAAAAAAAATCTTTTCGTGCTCGGCTAAGCGAGGCCATTTGTTACGGGAAAAGATCTGCACGACGCTCAGAATGTACGGGCTGACTCTTCAACAGGAGCAAACGACTGACGAGGGCATTCTTTCAATTGAGCAATGACTATGGCCTGTGACATGACGACGCTGGACGGCGTATTGTTGAGCTAGACGCAACGTCCCGGCCGGATGGGTGCGGAAGCCGTTTTCAGCTTAGATGAGGAGAATAGAGTTGGACAAGGCACGTAAGTTCACTGTTTAAAGACTCACCACAGCAACGGCGGACCTATCATCGAAAGACGCGCACCTACAATCCTTTCCGACGTGCACTGGCTCTGACTCGACTCCTTGGATTGAACTCACGACTCGTGCAACATCATTGGTGACTGGGCCAACGAGCTGCCGTGTCGCCCGCCGGCTTGGGATCTGTCGAACAGTAAATGGGTTGACCCCGAACAATCGACGTTGGGCAACGCGACGGTTGAAAGAACAGGATCGCCGGGACGACTTGAGTCTCCGAATGCAGCAGAGTTCCAGAAGGATGAGATCGGCGAGCCTCATTGACGGCCTAGCTCGCCACGGGAGCGCCATTTTATCTTGGACCACCGTACATGGATCTGGGGTGTATGAGTTGCAGATTAAGGGTCTCTTCTTTTCGTTTTTAAAAGTATAGAGAGAGAGAGAGAGAGAGAGAGAGAGAGAGAGAGAGAGAGAGAGAGAGAGAGAGAGAGAGAGAGGAAAGAGCGGGGAAAGGCTGAGATGAAGACAAAGAGAGCCTGTACCGGATTCGAAATAAAGCGTTTGTTAGAGCTAGGCTTAACCGATTGTGCTCGATGGTGCTTTCGAGGTGGCCGAAACGCGAACGCTCCACGAGCACGCGAATCCAAATAGAAGATCTTTGCCGAGCAGCCCAGGATCGGCCGCGGAGCTTGCTTGGTAAGACGGTGTCTCTCTTGACTCGGCATGATGGCGATACGACGCGGCGACGATTCCACCGTTGTTATCTCGCCAGGACAGGTTTTGCTCGGGGGGGGTTTGCTTCGAAGCAGCCGGACGGGTCTTGGTCACCCTGGTCGCCAAGCTGATCTCAAGCCAGGACGGCCGGCCACCGATCGAATGGGATTCGAAAAGGAGTAGCGTCGTGCACGTCCTGCAAAACGTCGGTGACGCAACAGAGAAAAAGGAGCAGCCCTGCGGGTGTCGTTTTTTTCCTTTCGTCGTTTTCTTGGCCCAGCAACCGTCGTTCGGTTCAGTTCGCTCCCCGCTGCTAGGACTGGCCGAGCCAGTTGTGATTCTAACCACAAAAGCGGAGCAGAAGAGTGCGTTCGCTCCTCAGCGGTGCCGGATGTCGAACACGCAAAAAAAAAAAAAAATTTAAAAAAGATAAGCGTCCCCCTTGATCGGCGTCTCGCAAAGAAACGATCGACCACGGCAAGGCAACCTTTCACATACCCGTCTGTGCCATCGGTAGAGTCGGGTGTTTGGAAAGAAGAGGCCAAGACGTGAGATGATCGTCCGCTCTTATTCCCTTTCCCGTTCAGGATCGATCACGCACGCCCGTTCCCCACAACGCCTCTTTTTTGATTGCTTTTCTTTACCTCGCGTAGTTTTAATTCTCTTTTTTCTTTTTTCTTTTTTTTTTTAGGAAGGGAGGGGGGAGTCAGATCTTCCGAACTCCGTGTGATGTGCGTACAAGTATGTTTACATGTGTGGCGGCAGCCATCCATCGGCCAGACGCTTTTTGACTAGGCGCCCTTTTTTCGTCTTCCGATCCCCCATTGTTCCATTTTGTTATCACCATTGCCGTTGTTGATAAGTAAATTCAGCTCTCTCTTTCTTTCTCCGAACGGGCGATGCCCACGGTAGGGGTTGGTGCTGAGCTTCCGGACGCTAAGTTATCATCATCTTGCTATCTTTTGCTCAAAAGAAGAAGAAGAAGAAAGCGACAAGTTTTTTGGGTCACTAGGTACCAATATAGATGCACGCATGTGATCAAGCAATGGTCGAATTACAGGCGTGGCCTGTTCAAACACGGAGCTCGACGAGGGAGAGGCCGGGGTAGCGAGATTGGTAATAGACGTGGCGAATAATAGGGACAGACAAGACGCATGGTAGGAGTAGTTATAAGAGTAGTAGTGTTCGACAGCTTTTGACGACGATGTGTCGGTTTTTCCGGTAGCAGCAACAGCGGCGATGGTAGCAATAGTAGCGCTCACGAGATAATCGAGGATGCAGTTACCATTTTCTTTTTTCAATGTATTTCTTTCTTTTGATATGGCAAAGCGGGTGCGAAAACGCTACGCTGTATTGGTACGAGGTATTAGTGGTGCTCCATAGCTGGAACGGGAAAGGGGGAAAAGCCCGCCACGAACAGGGAGCAGAAAAGCGGCTACGGGGCAAGCAAACAATGCTTTTTGCCGGTGGGCTGCAGGACACTTGTAGCGCAGAGAAGATGGGGCTGAACCAAAAGGAATATGCTGGGGATACATCCCCAGGTATTTAGTTTGCAGCTCTACAAGTATTTTCCTGTAGCCGTCACAGCTCAGTGCCGTAGTTGCAGTAGCAGCAGTTGTTGTTGTTGTCGCAGCATAAAGATAGCCGTCAAAGGAGATGTAGCAGCAGCAGAAGCGGGCATCACCATTGTAATCATTGTCAATTCGATGGCAGCTCAGTCATGGCCCGAGCACTCGAGTCCTTTATTTTGAGTTTTTTAATGCAATTCATCGGATAAAAAATTTCCAAATTTGTTGGATAAGAATTGGATAAAATGGGCGTCGACGCGGCGACAGCCGTGTCGCAAAGAGGAAGGAGGAAGACGAGAAAAAAAAAGGATTCTAACCGCGTGGCGTCCGGAGAAAGCCAACGAGCACAGAAGACGGATGAACCTCATCGAGCCGTGCACAGGCACATCTTATGTGTACGCGAACATGTACGCAAAGCGTAATGGACAGGCGAGGGCTGTTCGGGGCCTCGCGTGGGCGGGCGGAGCAGCTCGAAGAGCAGCAGCATGTCCGGGCCGCACACAGGAGGAGCAGTAGCCGTTCAGTAGCAGGACTAAGTCATCGTAGAAGCGCTCGAGGTGCTACACAACGCACACAGGTCATGTCCATTCGAGGAGCGGCACCTGTTGTAGGTGCGCGGCGGGTCGCGGTCTGGACCAGCCATAGCGTGTCTCTTATCTGCAAAGCGGCAGTCTTGCCATCATCAACGCGCGCGCACACCTGCCGGGCTTCTTGGGTTGTGACCAGTCGTCGTACACACGTCCTGGAGCGCACATGGAGTTGCAGTCGTGCTGCGGCTGGAGTGCGCACGCGTACCTGAACCACGGCGACGGCGACGGCCTTGGCTTCCTTCACGGGCTAACGCGGGAGGGGGGAGGCAAAAGCGACGTCTTGTGACTTGCGCGCTGGGTCGCTGGGAGGGGATGGCGATGATTGTTGTCGAGTTCCGCTCGCTATCGGTCGCTGATGCTGGTCGGCAAGCTCTTGTGCCTGGGACTTTTCCTTATCTGGTGGCTCTCGATCCACCGGACGGACCGGCTGTGCGCACACCATCTCGCATGTGGTGGATGCATGCCACTCCTGTCGCTTCCTGTGCTGGCGCTGGTGGTGCGGCGACCCAGGGGAGAGACCTTGAAGCGCGCCCCACCCATTGCACTCGCTCATCGTCAGCCCGCCAGGCCGGTGCCAGTGCCCGAGCCAGTGCCGCCGTTGTCGCAGGGCAGCGGTAGCAGGCGTGTTCAGAGGACCTGAAGCTGTGTAACGACTTGGTGGAGGTGGTGGAGGTGGTGGAGGTGGTGACGGTGGTGATGGTGGTGACGGTGGTGATGGTGGTGACGGTGGTGATGGTGGTGACGGTGGTGGTGCTGCTTCCTGGGCGGCGGGACTGCTGGCGAGACAGAAGAAGCCGACAGAGCAGACATGGCGGACGCTGCGTGCGACGACGTCGTGACCTGTCCTGCACCTCGTCCAGTCTTCTCATCTCTGCGCTTCGCCCTCAGCGTCTCTGTTCGCCTCTGCCGTGCCCGTCCCCGTGCCCGTCGCCCCCTCTCGTCTTCCTCCTCCCCCGGCATCCAACCCCGTCCTGGCCTGACCCGGCTTGACTTTCTTGCCTCGCTCCCCCCCGTCGCCGTCGCTTTGCTGTCCTGATCCGCTCCATGCGCGCCATCGCCGCCCAGAGCAGAACAGGGAACTCTCGATAGATAGCCACGGCCAAGTCCGTCACGACTGCGCTGCCGCTCCCGGCGCAGACGCGCGCTGTCCGCCGCCGTCCGGCCAGTGCCGCCGCTCCGTCTGCGTCGGTTGTGTGCTTCAAGATTGCTGGGTCCCCCTCGTACATTCCTGACGGTTTGTGAAACCGCTCGAAACGGACCAGTCCAGCGCGAAGAGACACGTACAGGCGCAACTCAGAGCCCGCTCGCTCGCCGCCCATCCGGCTGGTGCGCACTGGCGCATGGCGTGGCGGCCGGCCACCAGAGCGCCGCCAGCCTCGCGCGCCTCGCCCTTCTTCAGCCTGCACCTCCCCCCCATTCCAGGGCCCCCCTCCAGCACGCAGGCACAGGACTCGTCGCGGCGCCGTTCCCTCGATCCTCCCGCAATTAGACCCCGTTCGCAGACACGGCCAACGCCCGTCTCCTCCTCCATTCTTCTGCGTCTTGTCCTTGTCCTCCATCCACGCTCTCCTTCTCTCCCTTCCTCCCACCTCTCCCCCCCTCCGCCCATACAACCACGCTTGATTGTGCCGCCTTCCACGCCTTCTTGCTGCCTCGCTGCTGCATCCGCCCACCCACATCCAACCCTCGCGCCTTCACCGAGTAATCCAACCCCAAAAAGGGCACCGCGCAACCTCAACTCGCCCCGAGCACTCCGTGCCGCCCTTGCTCGCCATCCACCCCCCCCCAATCCGCCTTCGCCTGCTTGGGCGTGACCAGACCAGAGTTCGCTCTTGAGCTCGCATCTGCACCTGAATTTGCACACGCCGGCCTGGCTCGCAAACCCCCCTTTGTCAAGCGTTGGCCAAACAAAATAAAATTGCGCGCCGCACCGGCCAGCTCCTTACACCCCAACGCTGCGAATCTTGTATGGCCGTACGTCGCAATTGGCACCGTTTCACCGGTTCCTGACTGTACCACCGAAACATACCATAACCCAGCCGACGGAAAGAGAAGAGAGGCGTCGACCGAGTCTTTGTTCGGCCTGCGCTGCGTTTGGCGCCCGCCCCCCGACCTGCTTGATCGCCTGCCAAACGCTCCCCGGCCGTTTTTGTACCTCCCACCTACCGCTCACGTCCTCGCGCCTGCAAAACGCAAGTATACACTCCTGCACGCCCACACCCGCACTTGCGACCGCCTGCGCGCAAACACGCACCCTGTCCTGCTACTGCTGTAGCAAGCCTTTGGAAAAGGACCAGCAGCCAAGGGGACCCCTCCCCGCCAAAAGGAATCGCACCCCAGCCCGTCCCGGCGAACAATCCCTCCGTATCGGCTGGCCGAGGCAGGTCTCTCGGTGTCACATCGCTGCGCGACGTGATCCCTAGCCGAGAGAAGCCATCTAAAATACCTACACGATAATGTCTGTCGCTATGCTCCAGGCTCCCTCCCGGGCATCCACCAGCAGTTCGTCCTCCTTCATACAGGTCAGCAGACAGAACACAATGTCGAGCCACGATGGGCGCTCCGTGCGCCAAAGCAAGCGCTATTCCATGTCCGCCCTTTACTTGTCCTTGAGCGCAAAGGAGAAGGAGCTGGAGATTGAAGATGACTTGGCCAAAGGTGACTTAAACCCCTCTCCTTCCACAGCACGAGAAGCGCCTTCAAACGAGCGTCCGCTAACCGCCTCCCCAATCTCACAGCTCAAAAGGCTCTCCGCGAACTCAAAGCCAAGATCTCGTCGCAGTCGAAGAAGAACTTTGTGTTGGAAAAGGACGTGCGTTACCTCGACTCACGGATAGCGCTGCTCATTCAGAATCGCATGGCGCTAGAGGAGCGTGAGGAGATGGCGAGCCACATGGAAGACGGGGCTGAGGTCCAGGAGGGCAGTTTCCCCAACGACGAGAAGACGCAGCGGTATGGCAACCTGCTGTTTCTCCTTCAGTCCGAACCCCGCCACATTGCACATCTTTGCAGGCTGGTTTCCATGGCGGAGATCGACGCGCTGTTGCAGACCGTCATGTTCACCATCTACGGGAACCAGTACGAGAGCCGAGAAGAGCATCTGCTTTTGACCATGTTTCAGGTATGTGTGTGTGTGTGTGTTTTGCCTCAATTTATTTATTTAATTTTTTTTTTCCTTTGACGCCGTGGGTCACGCGTTTGCTGACCACCTCTCGCAGTCCGTCCTCACCTATCAATTCGACAACACCCCCGAATATTCCTCGCTACTGCGCGCAAACACACCTGTCTCGCGCATGATGACCACCTACACCCGAAGAGGGCCCGGTCAGAGCTACCTCAAGGTCGTGCTTGCCGATCGCATCAATGCGCTCGTTGAGCTCAAGGACCTGGATCTGGAAATCAACCCCCTCAAAGTCTACGAGCGCATGATCACCGACATCGAGATGAGGGACGGATCGCTACCTCCAGATCTACCCAAGAGCGTGACCGCCGAGGAGGCCGCTGAGAATGTTTCTGTTCAGCAGATCATCGAGCCTCGGGTGAAGATGCTCATGGACATTGGCAACAGCTTCCTCGACACGATCATCCAGGGACTTGAGGAGACCCCTTACGGCATCCGCTGGATATGCAAACAGATTCGCAGCTTGTCCAAGCGGAAATATCCAGACGCGCAGGACCACACCATCTGCACACTCATCGGTGGCTTCTTCTTCCTGCGCTTCATCAACCCTGCCATCGTCACGCCGCGATCGTACATGCTGATCGAGCAGAATCCTGGAGAGAACGCACGAAGGACACTCACGTATATCGCAAAGATGCTGCAGAACCTGGCGAACAAACCGTCGTACGCGAAAGAGCCGTACATGATCAAGTTGCAGCCCTTCATCAACAGAAACAAGGACCGCATCAACAAGTTCCTGCTTGACCTCGGTGAGGTGCAGGATTTCTACGAAAGTCTGGAGATGGACAACTACATCGCGCTTTCGAAGCGTGACTTGGAACTGTCCATCACCTTGAACGAGATCTACGCCACGCACGCGCTGCTTGAGAAGCACCATGCCGAGCTGGCAAAGGACGAGTCGGGGCATCTGAGTCAACTTTTGTACGAGCTCGGGAGCGCACCGGCGCAGCTGCCCAGGAAGGACAACAGAACGGTCAATCTGCCACTGTTCAGCAAGTGGGAGACGCCCGTGGACGACATAACCTCTGCCCTGGACATCACGCAAGAGGAAGTATTCTTTATGGAGGCGAAGTCGACTTTCGTCATGATCATGCGATCGCTTCCTCAGGGCACGCCTGTAACACGGAGACCGTTGCGCTTGGAACGCGTCGCCCAGGCGGCAGCCACGACCAAGAACGACACCGTCATGGTCAAGAAGGGCATCCGAGCATTGGAATTGCTCAGTCAGTTGCAGGAAATGGGCGTCTTGGACAAGGACGATCACTATGCCCTGCTCCGCGACGAGGTGGAGCAGGAACTCGTTCATCTTGGCAGCATGAAAGAAAAGGTGCTCGAGGAGACAAAAAAGCTGGAGGAGGTGTACCGCACGATCCGCGATCACAACGCCTACCTCGTCTCGCAGCTCGAGACGTACAAGAGCTATCTGCACAACGTGCGCAGCCAAGCCGAGGGCAAGAACCGCAAGCAGACCAAGCAACAGGTCCTTGGGCCATACAAGTTCACGCATCAGCAGTTAGAGAAGGAGGGCGTCATCCAAAAGAGCAACGTTCCGGAGAATCGGAGGGCAAATATCTTTTTCAACTTCACAAGTCCCTTGCCTGGTACCTTTGTCATCTCGCTGCATTACAAGGGTAAGGTCAAATTCGTCTCTTTTTTTCTCCCCCTCCTCTTATGGATTTTTAATTCCTTTTTCCTTATCTTTTCTTCTTTTATCTTTTCGCTAACCATCTGTCTTCTCGTTCAGGACGCAACCGAGGGCTTCTAGAACTCGACCTGAAGCTTGACGATCTGCTTGAGATGCAGAAAGACAACCAGGAGGATCTCGATCTCGAATACGTGCAGTTCAACGTCACCAAAGTACTGAACCTGCTCAACAAACGATTTGCACGGAAGAAGGGTTGGTGAGGTGATCATCTGTTGGCTTCGGTCCCAGCTCGGTCATTTCAACGGCCAGGTCGAGCGTGAGATTATCTGAAAGCCGAACTGCATTTGGTGCTCATCGAACACGCAAAGGCCCGGAAGAACATGATCTCCCTTTTCATTTTCCTTTCTCTCCGACCCTCCGTGACTTGATTCTCCGGACTAGCTATGGTTTTGTTTCGATCTTTTGCTGTATGAGGATACCCTTTTGGACCATGTTTTTGGTCAGATGCCAAACATACCGGGCGTTTGCTTATATGTGTATCGGGACTGTGGCAGAATAATTTACTCCCACCATTTCTCTTCTTCACCAGAAGTTTATTTTAACCTCAAGCGGAGCAATGTTTGGAGAAAAGTGTATCCTTTTTGTTTGTTTTATGTGCGTATGAGGGAGAGAGAGAGAGAGAGAGAGAGAGAGAGAGACGGTGAGAGGGAGGTGGCAAGTCCACTGCTCCCAGGCTAATCCTTCTCCTTTGATGGTTTTCCTGACACCTTTCAAGCACTCGTTTTTATGATCTAGCGGGGACGAACGAATATAACGCTCTGGGGCTTAGCGGCGGTGGCGGCTATCTATACATTTTTGTAGTATAAGATCGAGATCTAGTCGAGAACGATCGCATTTGTTTTCATCAGCGCCCTGGCGCTTCTCGGCGCGGAGCACATCACTTGTTTTGCCCATTCCAGATCTTTTCTCGGGACGTCGGCAGAGAGCGCTGTTGTTTGGGAACACGCGTGGTTACGAACTCAGAAGAGGGTCTTTTCCGAGAAACCCCTTTCCATCGCAGTTCAAGAGTTCGCGTTACCAGAGCCCACGAGGAGTTGGCCGCCGTTTCCGAGTTGCCTCCAGCCATTTCTCCGGCATTTTTTTCCAACCCCAGCGCCAACCACGCTCACCCATGCTCCTCCCTCCGTCGTTCCAAAGCGGTCCAGAAGCTTTTTCTGCGCGATTGCGATCAGGTCTTTGACCGGAAAACCGTCTCGTCACAACGAGCGACTGTGCGCCAACATCTGGCATCCTACGTTCCCCCCAAGGGTCGCATTCGAGGGCGTCAAGCTCGATACGTGACTGGCACCGCCTTTTCCCCTTTGGAGAAGCGGGGTGTGTGTTCCTTCTGCCACGTTTGCGTTGCTGCGCTGGTCGGTTCCTCTTATCGACACAAGTACACCTCGGCCCTTGAACGGACTTGAGCGTTCAAAACGAGGGGAGGGGGAAAGGCATTCGGAATTTCCTTAAATTTTCTTTTTTTTTTTGAACTTTGAACTGTCTCTTCAGCGAGAATCTCGCGGAGAGAAAAAAAAAACATGGAAAGGGGTGGGGAAAGAATCGTGTTCGAGTCCTCGTTCCAGAGTCGACGTCCAAATTTTCTTCCCCCCTTTTTTTACTCTTCGTCGAGGTCTTCCCACCACGAATGGAAATCGAGTCGTAGCTGAGATGCAAAACACAAAACAACTGCGGACAACGTGCCCATGTCCCTGGGCTTTCGTCTGCGAGATCTCGCAAGCGAATTTTGAACGCCGTTATGCGGGGCCGGGGTAATGTGAAGCTTTCCAATGGACGGAGCCTTCCTGCATGCCTGTGATGGCTGCCCACTTCTGGACCGGCTTGCATCATGCACAAAGTTTGGTCCTTTGGGAACCCTCGTGTCTTTTGCTGAATGTGCCACGAGCGCCTGCCCTCCCCCCGGAAAACAAGAAAAAGAAAAATAAATCTCAAGTGTCGATTGTCAGGCAACCGAAGAGGCCAGAGCTGGAGTGCGAACTAGATGTGGGATTGAGATGCATTCGAACGGTTTTTGTACGGGACCGTACAACGTAGCAAAGATTGAACGTTGTACATCGGGCACCGCAAAGAAATCGGAAAAACTTCATTTCCATCTACGATGTCTTTATTTACATGCTGCAAGTGTGGCGACGGGCCGCAATTGGAGGAGAACAGTCCCGCGTGCACTGAGTGTAGTCATGAACGATGTCAACGGTGCGAGATCAGGTCGTCGAAACTGACCCTAAGCTTGAAAGCCGCTGACTCAAGGCGTCGTCGCGACGCGAAGAAGCAAGCGCCCGATGTGACGCCATGTAAGCTCATGATGAGGCTAAAACTCTCAGGACCTCTACGCTAATCTTATCCCAATTTCAAGCGTCTGAGAGCGGGAGAACAAGGCCACACGCTTCCAGAAGCTCTCTTGTGGCCCACGAGTCCAGCACAGGGTCTGAATCTCTCCCTCACAACTCCGGAGGCGAGGGCGGAATTGCAAATTTCGATCCGCACGCGAGCCAAGGTTTAGGTGGTCCAGCAAATCCTGTGCAAGAGCACAATCGTTTTGGATTGGTCGCCGATTCGCGAAGTGTCCGGGCGAAACAGTCTTCAAGGCCAGACGAACAGCTGTTGCGCGTGCATCAAACGAGCTATACGTCCGGGCTATCCCGAATTGCAACCGCGAGCATCCAGAATGCTGCCGCGCTCGTGAATGGTGGACATGGACGCTCTGCTGAAGCTGGTCTTCAGATCGCCAAGGCACACAGCAGGCGTGGGAGCGTTGAGAAGTCCGATCAACGCCGACGCAGGGCGCAGAAGAGACAGTTGCACCATAAAGGGCGCTGGCAACCTCGACTTTTTGCCTGCCCATATTTAAAATATAATCCGAAGGGACCGCACCGTAGCCTGAGGTGCTGGGGCCCTGGGTGGAAATCTGTGGCCCGACTAAAGTAGGGGTCACTGATAGTGGACGAGAATAGCTGATCTTGAGCTGACTCCCGAGTTTAGAACGGACCATCTGTATCCTCACCATCACCCTGAGCCTGAGAACCAGCATGTCCAGTCTGCGGGTCAAGTTCACGAGAACATGGCCGTCGCGCATGAGTGGGATTGCATGAGCGACGAGATGTTTGAGAAGCTGCACCGTCGTTGGCAGGCCCAAGACCAAAGTGATCAGCAGAACGAAAACTCGGAGGAGGCGAAGTGGAATGAGGTTTGGCAAATACTCTTTCCCGGTCAGAAGCCTCCGTCACCGTGTACGTGTTCCCCTGTTCCTTTCTCAATCTTTTGTTGACTTTCATGCCAATCACTCCACTCATCGTACCCTTCGGCCCTTCTCAAGATTTTCCCGCTCACCTGTTAGCAGATTACGATCTTGTTTTGCCAGATGATAGAGAAGCAGAACTGGTCCGGGCCCAGACTCTCGAGTTGTATAAAGAGCTCGACCGATTGTTTGTGACGAAGTTGCCGGAGTTGATGCGCCAACGGATGTCTCAAGAGTTCGGATTATCACCCACGGCAAGCGAGCCGATCGCAACCGTGGCCCACGAGCTCATCCAGCAGCTGCGCGTGAGCTGTCTTGGAGATCTTGTACAGCCACAAATGCAAGCCTGCTCTGAGGCGGCCAGTCCAACGGCGCATGACCCTTCCCTTTCGCTAACGTCGCCCAGCGCGTGTACGCTTCTGACAACAGGCTCGCTCCAAGAAAATCCTGGGACAGCCAGCGGTACCTTGCGAAGCCCTTTGTGTCCAACCTCCTACGATCCAGCTGAGATGGACGCATTTGCATTTGGCCCGATTGAAAATATCGTCGCTTTCGAAAACAATCACGTTCGGCAGGCACCATACGGACCTCTTGATGCTCATTCGCAAATCCCTGTGAACGACTACGGCGGGGGGGTTTTTGGACTCCAAGATATATCCATTCAAGGCTCGACGCTCTGGTACGGCTTTGGAGAAGGGGAAGGCCAAGTCGGCAATTTCTTGATCGACAATTATCGTGGCTCATCTTGATTAGTGCATGGCTCTCTGGGGCCACCCTTTGGCGTCTCGATCATCTATGCCGCCCTGCGACCGCCTTCGCAGATCCGTTGGTCGTACGCCTCGATGGTTCGTAGCATTCGCTGAAGCCTCTCGTCGACTACGTCTGCGCTCTTGCCGCCTTCTCCGTCATCTGGAAGCATCAATAGCCGATCTGAAAGGTTGGTGACGTCTTGAAGGAAGCACAAAAGCATGCCTCCCTTAACATGCACTCCCTCTTGACCTCCTATCGAGTCCGTCCTCGAACCTGGGGTCCATTTCTGGGTCTTGTCCGGCCGCAGGACACAGCTTTTCGACCCAATGCACTACGTTAGCTACAACACTTTGAACTTTCATCATGCGTTCCAACCTCTGGTTCATAGGGCTACCGTGCTGCTTGCACTTTAACGTCATCGTTCCACAGTCCCGACGAAATGTTGATCTTTGCGTATTCTGAGGGATGGAAGGTAATTTGGAAACTATTCATGAAATGATCACGGGCTTTTTGAAGGGCAAAGGAAGGAAAGAAAGAGGAGAGGCGGGCTCAAGATCCTTTTGGATATCTTAGTATGTTCTGGGTTAGAGAACGAATGCTAACGAACCACTGTGCTATTGAATCAAGAGTTTGGAAAACTCCATTTTTATCTTGTTTCATAGTTTGAAAAAAGTAAATACCTGGAAAACAGGTACGCTAAAGAAGAGCTAAGGTCCTGATTTTATTGATTTCTGTAGAGAGGGTTGGGATGTCGTGGGATGAAATGTCATGGGAAGTAGAAAATGGCGAATGATCCCCGTGAAGAGTATGTATCAAGGAGACTGCATTGGGATGCTAGCCAATGATATCCTGAACAAATGCCACATACTGGCTGTCGTATGCAAGGCAAAATAAGGAATTGATCATCGCAAGCCCAAAAGTTAAAGTCTACAAATGTATTGATCCCATTGGGCATTCTTGGTTTTGTGAGAGGCCATTCGCATAAGTAGAAAGCGCCAGCACAAGTGTAGCTGGAGATAAATTCACTGGGCCAAAGAGTCGGCTAGCGGAATGGACTCCTCTGTAAGTGAGTCAGACTAGTTTAGACTCCGCCTGGATTTGGGCGAGTGACAATACGTGGTCGGGATCCCACGTGCTGTAACTTGGGCAGCAACAGAGCTTGACTTTCAACTGCCTCATTGCCTTCACACTGGATAAGTAAGCTTTCTTTTCCGCGTCCGGTGTCTGCGCTCGTCAGGCTCTGCGCCAACATGTCTTGCTCTCTCACTCCTTCTTTATCTCTCTCACTCCGCTCTATTCGGCCACTCTTTCCCCCTTCTATTGGAATGGAATGCTCGACAGCGTCATCGTGAGAAAAGAATAGGAAAGGCTGAGCGGTGAAAGCGAAGGGAAAAGAATGTAAAATATTCTCAATGCCGTCCAATCAAATGTGCAGGGAATGAGCCACATATCAGATCTCGATTCTGTGCGGGAGCTGAAGACTTTCATTCGAGGCTAATCTCTCACCAACTGGACCAAGTCTCAAACATGGAGTTGGCGACAGATAACTTGCAGGCAGCTTCCAAACCGGAGTCGGTCTTGCGACCTAGAACTTGCCTCCGAGGCTTTTGGAGTAGGAGGCAACCTGTTCGACGTTGTCTTCTCTGTGGGCGTCCGGTCGCCAAAAAAAAAAAAAAAAAAAAAAAAAAAAAAAAAAACAAGATTTCCGTGCCAGCATCATGGGCATCATGGGCATCATGGATCTAATGATCTGGTCAAAGGAAAGGCGTGACGGAGCTACGATATAGCCTCGCCGCCTGTACATCACACCAGCGCCCAGGAGGGAATTGGGAAGCTACCAACCCCGGGTTGGGAAACCTGTTCGAGGTGAAATCTATCCAGCTGGCCCCCATTCCCGGCGGTCTCTCCGCGAGCCAGGGGGCTGGAAGGGTGCGGAGCAACTAGGAAGGATTCCATTTGCATTAAGACGTCGGGGGGGGTGGTAATGATCAACGTTGAAATGACGCTGCTCCATAACCATTCTCTTTTTCATGACGGGCAACCTGCGTCCGGTTAAAGACTGCCACATACCCATTGGTGTTGTTGCAAACAGGGATTTTCTCATCGTCTATCCCGACACTTTCCTCACTCTCCCCAGCCCTTTAGAATTCTCCAATAGGAAGAACACAACCTGAAGTTGTGAAGAGACAATCCGAGACATTGTAGTTGGCCTCTACTTAGGCGTCGGATAGGCGTCGGATAGGCGTCGGATAGGCGTCGGATAGGCGTCGGATAGGCGTAGGATATGGGTGGATGCCATCTTTGGCTTTTCGTTCCATTCAAAAAGCAACAAGGAGTAGGAACTGTCCAATGGAATTGAGAAGATGGTCGTGAGAAAAGAAAACTGGGGCTGGTCCAAGGGCTTTCGCGACATGTTCTGCAATAACTACGACGAATGCATACGAGAACATTTCGGCAGCCATAAACGAGCGATGTGCACGATCCGCGAAGAGCAAAAGGCTTAGCTCTCGAAATAACCTCTCCTTGTACGGGCTGGGAGGATATCAAGAATTAATCGTATTAGGTATCTGACTGCACTGATGCCAGCCGAGTTCCCCTTACTCGAGCTGTTCGTGCAAACAGAAACTCCTCACGGTGGGTTTTTTGGAGCCAGCGTAAGGTGGTTCTTACCCCGGGCTTCTCGGATCTTCCTCGCTTATGCAGACCTGTGGAGATTCCTGGGCCGCCCTCATGCAGACGTCTTTTCCCCAATCTGAGCTAAGGGACGCATAAGTCGACCCTGAACATGACAATGGGTTTCTGGATCGCGGTTCCGGTCACCGAAGCCTCTGATCATCCTACACAAGGCTATGGACTTGATGGCTACTGCGCCTAAGACAATAGACCTTGATCTCGGAGATATCTTCGAACACGGATGCATAGTTTGCGAGCGTCGGCTAACGCACAGCGAACTCTGGCTGCAACTTCCAAACACGCCAAGTTTGCGCTAATGCACTGTCGACACTCAGCAGCGTGAGTCGAAGACCGCTCCTTCAGGCTTAGAAGAGTAATTTACCACATCGTCAGCAAAGGCTTGGCTTGGCTATATTTCCTAGCTCTTCATGTATTCAAGAAGGGCGTTCTTGAGCTTTAATGAACCCGTGAAACATGGCTTGTAAAGTGGCTGCAATTGGATCTTCATCTTTTCAAATTTCGAAAATAGGGCTGCTGGAAGACGTGTGATTGGTGCCTGGCCGTCCCAAAAGTGTGGTTGACAAGCCCACTAGCAAAAGCGGTGGTGCGTGATAAGCATGTGAGTTGTGAAGTTCGCTTAGATATGCCGAGGAGTCTTGCGACCACAGCAAACGGCATGTCTTTTGCGGGCCCGCGCGGAGGGTCAAGACCGTCGGAGCGACAAACATCGCCTCAGCCACTCGCCCAACTTCCAGTTTTGAGTGAACCATTTGTGCCGGACGTCTGAGCCGGGGCAGAAATGTTCTTCGCAAAGTGTTTTTTTGTAGTATGGGGAGATGTCAATCGCGGCAGTCCGTGCACATGGGCGCACCCGAAAACTCAGCCCAAAGCAAGGTCCTCCCCTTAATCATGATTCCAGGTGTTCCATGTTCATGCGGGGGAAGCGGAGATCCTGTGCGCCTCGTTCGCTCGAGTGTGATCTGAATCAGGTTGATGCAAGGAACCGACTACGCGAATTACTTGTCGCGGGACCCATCTTTACCACGTTCGGCTGCTTGTGACTTGTGGGGTTGGGGCGACGGTGCATATCAACGCAGGGCGTCCCCTTCGATAAGTTTGATGCAGAGAATAATTTCGTCGTCCTGCGTGTCAGCTGGCAACCGCGATGACAACTGTTAGACCTGCTCCCTGTTGAGTAGATGCCTTCCATTCCCTACCGCCACGAAAAGTAGAGACAAACCTTCGACGTGTTCGCGTTACCGAGGGCTCTCCAAAAGTCGCTTTTGTAAGTGAGATGGCTTCTGTGGCAAGATCGAGCGACGAGGTCTATTTCACCGCTTATCGGATCCCGTTCTCGGTGATGGTGAAATGGCCGATTTCCCAGCTGGTCAACCCGCCAACAAGGCATTGGTACGTGCCGTTCGCGGCGGTGCTCCAGGTTCTCGCGACTTCGGCCGTCGTTGCCAGGCTTTGGGTTCGGGTCCGCATGCGCATCGGTGGCTTCGGCGCAGACGACCTGTTCATCATATTCGGTTGGGTATGATACCTCACCCTCGATGCCGGTATCAACCCGTCGCTGACCAAACGTCGCAGCTGTTTGCCTCTGGCTTCGTGGGTCTTCACAGCGTCCGGTTTGTGATTGCGTTAACACCTGTGCGCAGTGCGGCGTGAGCATGTACGGCATCCTCATGGGCGGCCTCGACCGCCACGTGTGGGATATCTGGTCCGCCTTTCCTCAAGTCGCCGGCAGAGGCGGCGTCGCAGGTTGGGCTATGCAGCTCATCTTCCTTTGCAGCCTGAGCTGCACAAAGACGAGCGTTCTGCTCTTTTTCCTGCGCCTCCTGGATCGCAGGTACCATCGCAGACTGTACCGCACCACCATCGGCGGAATAGGATTCATCTTCGTCAGCTGGCTTGCCTTCACGCTTGTCCTCGTCTTCGACTGTGAACCGATCGAAGCAGTGTACAAGAGCATGGATGTGACTTGGCCTAAGAAGTACACGTGCATGCCAAGAGAGCCGTCTGACGTCCTGAATGGGATCACAAGTATTTTCACCGACATCTATTCGTGCGTCATACCCGCTCTCACGGTGCATAAACTTCACATGAAAAGCTCGCGCAAGGTCCTGCCCTACGCTGTGCTTTGCTGTGGAATCGTTGTTGTCGGCGCAGGAGTAGGGAGGACTTTCTACATGGCGAAGATGTACACTGACAGCAGAAGAGACATCTCGTGTGAGTAGTCATTTTATCTTTTTTTTTTCTTTCTCATGCGACTGCGCATGCGTGCTCGATGTGCTGATTCGAGAGTGACTCTAGGGGTCGGTTACGACTTGACGGTTTGGAGTAGTCTCGAGCTCTATCTAGCACTCATATGTGCCTGCGCTCCAGGGATAAAATCCTTGGTCTCGTCTGTCAGCACTAATATGGGTTCGAAGCTGGATTCGCAAGCGCACGGCAGTTGCTCAAAATTTAATGAAAGCATAGGCGAGGATAGAAAACGGCTCAATTCGGATGTGCAAGGTGTGGAAAAGTACGAGGACATTCAGTTAGAGTATATTACACAAAAATGCTGATATTACGACGATGGCAATTACGATTCGATCGTCTGCATCTAGCGGACATGGTCATGTCAGCATTGACGAATTCTCTGAAAAGAATGAGGCCAATTCATTCATGCTTCATGCCCTTGTGACACAAAGTAGATGCGGCGCCGCCTATGAAAATTCGTATTCTTGTCCGATGATCTTGATTTGGGAGGATAGGACAGACACGTGACTTGTTCACAGATCGTGAATCGAGGATACATCGAAATTAATGCGTAATGCCGTTGCTGATGTGAAGGGACACGTTCATCGTTCCCTACGAGGGGTGTCTGCGACGTCAGCGCACATCGCAAAGCAGATCTTGTTTTGGGAAAGGCATTTGCCTCGTGACTTCGGATTTGCTCGTTCAGCTCTCCGAGCTTGGAGTTGGGGCTTGGGAGCGAAATGGGACCAACAACTACGTCATCGGAGGTCTCTCCGCTAGCAAAGCTGCGCTAGAAGTACAGCGTGCGACCGTCAGCGTCCTAAGCGCCATTGCACAATAGCAGCCCGCTGTTTGCTACGCCAGGCAGCTGAGCATTTGTTAGTGGAGGTAATGCAAATTTCCTTGACCCATGCCCGTCGACCAACGTTCTGCTCAAAGTTGCATTCATACTGAGCAGAGCCGATGGTGGTAAGGGATGCTACTCTGCTGCCGCGGAATGGCGGAAAAGTAAGCTCATCGGCAATGAACGAATTACTTTGTGGGGAATAGATGATCTTTTCCTCGAGATACGTATTTCTTACACACGCCAACTTCTTCACGCACGGATTGTAGGGGTGTCCAAGAACAAATGAAAATAGCGCCACAGAATCATGATGGATCCGGGCGCAGTGTGGTGTCAGAAGCAGATACTTTGAGGCAAGTTGGCTATGCAAGAGCCGGAAAAGCGGTCGAGGCCTGGCTTTCGCTTGTGGTGGGCTTCCTCGCCCTGGCTGATGAGCTTTCGTTGTAGCGAAGGGGGGGAGTGAGGATCCATGGCGATCGTCGATGACAGAAAGCTAGAATGTTCCTTTTCGAACATTTGCCAGCCGACTGTCCGAGATGGTGTCAAACACTCGCACGGAGCGATGACGGCATTGGTGTCTGTGTAGACCGCCCCTTCCTTGGTTTTGTGCTCATTACGATGCGAAGCGAAGGTTGAGCGTCATCGGGGCTGAGGAAATGAAAGAAGGGAGAAACTGCAAACGCAGGATGACGGACGTCCGAATCACGCCAGATCACCGATGCACGATTGGACAGGTCCGTTGCGAAAGCCGGTCCGTGAGGTTGATGGCGATGCTATCCCTGTAAAAAGAAAAGGAACGACAAAAGGTCGCACGCAGACTTCATGGGCATGTGGATCCACGACACAGGATGGGGCGAAGGGAAGTCGAACATGGACAAAGCTGATGATGCTGCGTGCGGGTGCCGCAAAGAGTTTGAGAGAGCCTCTACCGCTGCTCGACAAGGTAAGAAACGGCAGTAGTCCGTCCGCTACTTGGACTAAGCCGGTTTGTGACGCAAGCTAAGGAGGGCGCAGAGATCGGCGTGCGGGAAGCCATCGCACTTTTTCCTCTTCTGTCCGCGGTACCTGGGGCCGCAGGGCGCATCTCTGGAGGGTTTCTTCGACTGCGGTCTGTTTGGCAGCGTGGTTGAGACGGTGGCGAGAACGCGATGAAGGGCTTGAAATTTGAGAACCGGTAGCGTTTTCCACTTTCCGAGATTTGGGTGCTGGGTTGGGACCGCTACGATCGAGAGACAGAAAGGCGGCGACGTGGGCTGGTCTCGACGAGTGAGCGCATCGGCGATGACAGCGGTCGGATCATGATTCGCGCGGGCGTGGAGTCGTTCCCAGCAGGCCAAAACTGGTTAGCGTGGCACGCTGCATCGAGATGCGTCGCGTAAGTTATTGTAATAAATCCCGCTTATGTCATCACTCGACAGGTTTGGCTTTCTAGACCGCGAATTAGCACCGTGCGGTGGAGAGCTGGGACGTCGTGGAAGGGCGGCTTTCGGGGGCGGCAGTGCATTTTGGACCCAAGCATGCATCGTCCGAGAGAACTTTGCGCTCAAGACGGCTCGACTCGTCCCGTGTTGTCGCGCAACGCGGGCAATGGAACGTTCAGGAGGCGTGGGACGCAGTGCAAAGAGAGATCTGGGTCCGTCCGTGCCTGGACGCGCACGACGTGCATTATATACACCTTGCCGTTGTCTAGAACGCAGAGCGACAACGCCCCTCTTGTGACACATCGCAAAAAGGCGGGCGGAGAGGTCCTCAGCCTTGTGGCGGTGCGTGGGCCACGGCGGTATTGTAAGAATCGCCGCACAGGGTTAGACGCACGGAAGCGTCCAGCTGGCGCGTGGTCCCTGCGTGCTGCAGGAGCCACGGCCGTTGAACAGGTCTCGGAGCCGTCAAGGGAGGCGTCGAGAAGGAGCGATCGAATGGGCCGATCCTCAGACCCTGGCCGCGTCTTCAAGATCGCAACTACAGCAGAGGTCGACCACAGCTCCGGCAACAGGCAAAAAAAATGGCAATGATGAAACTGCTGTCCGCCGTCAAGAGGCGACACTCCACTTTCGAATTCCTCCAACAAATCCTCAGTTTTAAAATCATCACGAAACACTGCCATTGTGCACAAACGATGCCGCGCGCATGCTCATCTGTCCATCGCTTCGGATCGTGAGCGACCACAAATCGATCCTGCACTTCGACGTCATACCCGAGGAGCACACTTCCTCCAAGTCGCCGCCATTTCCCACAGCTGTAGAGCCCAGATTCCGCTGAGCGCCGTACGAAAAGATAGCCGCACTGTACGCGTTCGCCAGCCAGCCTTGTGATCGCCCGATTGCAACCCGCTCCAGGGTGCCGGGAATGGCTCTGCTCGCCAGTGTGTAGACGCTCGCAGTGCCGGCATCAAACAAGAAAATCATGGACGAAGACGATCCTGGACCTTCAAAGCAAAAGTCGATCGACACGCCGCCGGCGCGCTCGACGCTGACAACTCACCCGCGCAGGCCGCCCGCACACAGATCCGTTTCTCTAAAGCACTCCTCACGTGGAAACAGCCCCCAGTCGGACGAAGAGCAGCCTCCATTTCCTTTGGTCAATAGCGAGGCACGAGGAAGAACGCCAGTAAGCAATCGTGCCAATCTTGACTCATGTTTGTCCTCGATACCCGTTGCGCCCGACAAGAATACGAGCTCGGGCGAAAGCAGCAATGCCGAAAAGTGGTTTGAGAAGTCGAACAACAACGTGCGAACGGGATCTGCCGAGCTCATGGATAGTATGTTTTTTATTCAGAAGCTTTCCCTTTGTGATTGCAGAGCTGCGTCAGAGAAGAGCGAAAAAGGCTAACCATCGAGAATCAAAACAGACGACCCACCATTCTTCCTACCAAATTCGTCCTCCGAGACCTCCCCTGACGCTCTGGAACGCGAACGAGCGAATCAGCAGTCCGTGGATAGCTTGCCCCGTCGTACAGGGCTGACGCGCCTTGGACCGTCTACATCAACTTCAGAGGATTTCCGAAGCGTGATCGATGATCTGACGATCCAAAACAAGAAATTGAAAAGGAGGCTCAAGAAGTACGAGAAGCTGCATGATGCGCACCTCAACGCGGACAAGCTGTTCGAAATCCGTGTTCATGGACTGCCTCCACACAAGAAACAAGAGCTTGAAGAAACGCTGCGCAAGTTTGCTGCGGGATTGGAAGGTGTGACGCAGACGAGCTCGTCAGGCCAAGGTTCATCCGAACACCAGCAGACATCTCTACCGCCAAGCATGGAACAGCAGTTAACAGCGGGATCGTCGCTGGGAAACGTAGACTCCGCATACGCTTCGGCTTCAGGCCAGATATCCTCGGCGCAAGGTAGCAATCCCGTGACGAAGAAAGAGCCTAGCTTAAGACCAGCCATGTCTACTTCACAGCAGCGAGACATACAAAGTTATCTCTCCGATATACCTCAGGGCTTGTTGCCTAAACCTATTGCGATGACGGAGAAATCGAAGAAGAAATTAATCGTGCGCCGGCTGGAACAGATCTTTGCGGGTAAAGGAGCGTCAAAAGACGGTCATCAGCAGCCCATGCAACAGGAAGAAATATCTCAATCGGCAGCTCGTGCTGATCGCTCTGAATCCGAAGCGAAAGGACATCCATTGGGAAGAGAGGGAGCTCGTGAGGCCCGCATCATGCATCACCCTAAAAGACGACCACTGCAGCATGAAGCGGTACCTAAAGTCGAAGAGACGCAATCCGAGCCTCATTTTTCAAAGGTTTCCGAGAGTGCAACAGAGGAGGATAACGGAGAGGACTCGCCAGATCAGCGGCCGACGCGTCCACTTGATCTCGACCCAGAACGAGCACAGATACCAGAGGAGAATATAAAATATCTGCGGCATCTCGGCTTCTCTCCATTGGAGGCCGGCTCGGAGAAACCCTTAGTCGACGGTCATGGATACATGTACCTAAATGTGCTGGTCAATATGGCGCAGCTTCACACGCTCAACGTTACACCAGAATTTATCAGGAAGGCGCTTGAGCAGTACAGCAAGAAGCTCGAATTGTCCGCTGATGGGAGAAAGGTGCGGTGGAAAGGCGGTAGTGAGCTTACGCGAACAAGTAGTGATGGCTCACCGGACGAAAACAGTAATGCCTCAGGCCAGCCAGCATCGCATATTGACAAGAGGACGAAGAGCTTTTTGGCCAGCGGAAGCGGAGATGGATCGAGTACGTCTCTTTCAAAATCTGCCGTCCCATCAAAAGAAAAGAAACGATCGGCGTATGTCCCCCTGCTCTTTCATCAGAGCGTGGATGACAACAGTGACGATGATTTAAGTGAGTGGTCCTCGGCTCAAGATGATGTGGTTGCCGTTGAATCATCTGGCCTTACCAGTTCGGGGGTACGCACTACATCATCTAAGAAGAAACAGGTCGCCAATGGACCCATTATCTTCTACAGCAAAGCTCCTTTCGTAACAGATCTAAGTGGTGATTCGCGAGGGGCCAATGTCAACACTGCCAACATCCAGGAAGACTCTTCATATCCAGTCCACGCTGTTGGCATTTCCAGATCACCGGAACGATATGAATATGAAGAAAGCAAAGGCCCATTGTCACAACCACAAGCCGCGCTTGTAGCGTCGGATATGGAGGTGGATGGGACAACAAGCGAGGAATCCGTGCGTGGGCTTTCCAAGCCGGCGTCCGTGAAAGGACCTGGATCTTCCACTGACGAGAGTCCTGATCCAATAGGTCTAGCAGCATCCGGTGTCGGTGGAGTACTGCCATCAGATAACTTCGCACTCAACATTAAGAGCAGGCATCACCTCGTCCGCGAGCTTGGCTCTGATGCCAATACCAAAAACTATCATCCACACATACGCGCCCTCCTCGCTGAGAGGGCTGGATCTACTTCTAGTGCGGCACAATCTCGCGCTACAGATGCGAAGATCCTCAAAAACAGGCGAAAGGACCTTCCCCCGTCGGAGCTGCCGCCACCGTCGTACTTCCCTATCTCTTCTCCTGATGAAGACGAAGATGATGATTACTCAGCCTCTAGCGAAGAAGAAGCGGATGGACTTTCAGATTCACCAATTTACACCGATCTTCACCTACCGGTAGCTGTACCGAAAGTCTTCAAAGCTCTTGAGCGCACCACTTCTAATCCCGGCACTGCGCATGACGCGATAGATGGTAGCGAAGATCAAGACATTGGTGATTTTAGTGAGTTAGAGAGCTCTGAATCGATCGATATGCTTGCCCACGCACGTTTGACCAACCCGGATCTCGTCATGCTTGCCGAACGAGAGTACGATGCAGAGATTGCCGAGAGGCTTGCTGAGGACATCCCTGCCGGAAGCTCTGCCGCAACAGCCGGTGGAGGGAGCGGGTTCAACAGCCCGATCACACCCGACAACATGAACGTGGATGGCATTGATATGAGCAGCCAAAATGTGAGACGTACATCTAGTAAGGGCGCTGAAGAAATAGGTGAAGCCTCGCAGCCGCGGCGTGAGTCTCTGAAGAGAGCAAGGCCTTCGGATGGTGAGATGAGCCAGGCAAGGCAATCGAAGAGTCCAAAACTGGGCTAGTAATGGTGTGCCTTTTATGGGAATTTTCTTGTATGTCTCAGCCAAACTGACTGGCGCTGAGTTTTTTGAATCCCTCACTTTTCTTTTGGCATCGATAACTCTCGGAAGTTGGGTTTCATTTGGAGTTGGTTGCACTAGCACTGCTTCCCTTGTTCGAGCTTTGATCCTTTGATACCCCTCTAACTATTCTGCGTTCAAAATTAATGGTCATAACGTATTAACGTCTGGTGTTGTTGGATCTGCCACAACGCTTCGAGTATGTCAATGTTAAGATATCTGGTTACTTCGAAGGGTGATTTGATTCGCAGAGTGGATGAAATGCAAGAATAAATCAAGTCTGGTACATGAGAAGTGCAAAATATTTCCCGGCTTCGGATTCCTTGCTCGTTGATGATTTGAAATGCTGGGTATATCTGACCGTCAAAAGAGCCTGCTCCAACCCTACCAACGCCACATAGAGTGAGTGCAGTTAATAAGCGTTTGGAATTCGATCAAGTACGACATCATGATCTCAGCCTCTGTTCTTCGACGTACGCAGCCACGCCCCTCGCTCTTTGCAGTTTTGCAACCGACTCTGTAAGTTCCGTTCTCAGCCTCACAAGCGCATCGATGCTCTGCCCATACGCCGCCTGTACTTCATCCCACCTTTTGAAGCCACCCACGTCCAATTCCACGCCTTCCTCGCCATCCTTTTCCCTCGCGCCGTCCAAGGCCGCCTCGAACGACTCTTCCTCGGCCGTCCACCGCGCCTTCACGTTCTCCGCCGCTTTCGCGGGCGCGTCCCTTCGCAGGCCGGTGACCTTGAGCGTCAGCCTTTCCTTCTCCACCTCGAGCGTGCGTATCTTCTCCGCCAACTTCACATCGAGCGGTTCGAACTCTGCGTCGGATTCGCCTACGTGTTAGCACGTGGGCCTGCGGATCCCGTTTGCCTCACACAACCCTCTCCGCCTCACGCGCACGACAAAGACGGCCCAGGTTTTTTTTTATTTTTGGAAGGAAAATAGGAGGTGGGAGAGGGCGTTTGGGCTTCGACTCACCATCCGTCGCCTCCTTGCTGTTCTCCGCGTCCATGTCGACGCCGTTGCACGTCACGTTCCACCGCACGCCTTCCCACGTCTTCTCCACGAACGCTTGCACCAGCTCCTCCACCCGCCTCCTCATCCCGTCGTCCTCTCCGTCCGTGGGCGCCGCAGACGGTGGGAACGCGGCGTCGATCTTCTCCCGCGCGGCGCGCTGCGTCTGCGCCTGCAGATACGCGAGGTCGCTGGGGGACTGCAGGTCGATTTTGCGAAATTCCGAGGCCGTCAGGCGGGACGGCGCCGCGGTCGCCATCGCGGTTCGTGTCGGCTCTGAGGGTCGAGGCTGGCTTCTTCTCACTGAAATTCTCTCGTCTCTGGCCCTCGCGTTGTACGCGTTCGAAGCGGTTGTGCTGATTCAAGCTGTTTGTTTGTCGGCTGTGTTTACACAATTGCGGAGAACGTCGCGCTTTAGAATAGCAGGGGTGCGCATCGTCTTGGCATTCCCCTTCTCTCGTCGAAGCCTTGCCCGCAAGGCTGAGTTCTTTGAACTACAACAAAAACACGCACGCTAGAGCATCTGTCCCACCTTGAGTCCTCAAGGTCTTTGTCACTGCCTTTTTAATGCGGTAAATGCTAGATATTCGCGGGCCCCCAGTCTCGCTTTCGCCTTCGATTTTCTATCCATCCATTACGTCAACAGTCTAGACTGTGAAGCTGCTTGAGGATACGTCTGGCTCGCTCGTTTAAGAGCGCTGGACGTATCACCACCTTATCGACTCTTGTAAGTGAGAATATCGTGGTAACTTGTAGGTAAAAGGATGAGGTATTGACAAGATGGAAGATTCTGATCTTTGAATGGCACAAGATCTAGGCTCACGGTTCTTTTTGTATCTGTTTGCTATGCAGATTTGAGGCCTTGTCTTCTCTTGCAAGAGCCTTTTATTGGAAGTTTCTTAGATATATCGCGAGGGCCTTCCATCTTTCATGCCTCTTTTTCTGCACGCTGAATGCTGGAATCGCTTGGTAAGGTAGTAAAGCGAGGTAGAAAAACAGAACAGTAGGGACTCTGCAAATTTCAGCGTCTTATTACATTTCGATTGAGATATGGTAAGGATGCTAAAGCGCGAAGGATATTACATCTCAAGAGCCTAAATCAAGTCTCTACGTGGACAACTCAAGAAAAAGCACTATAAGCACAAAACTGTTCCGAGAAAAATAACAACGCCATTCTTCCTCGTGGGCATGCATTGCCTGTTGCAAGCGGGATATATCTATGAGAAGCCATGCCTTTCGTTTAAAAATAAATCCGTTCACATCTAAACGCCAGTTGTGAGAGAAAGAAGATCCTCTCATCGTCCAATATATCCAGTCAAGTGGGTCGCAGCACTCGTTTTCCGATCCGATTTATGACCGAGTAGCGATTGCTCACTGGGGAAGGAATGCAGCAGCCTCCTCGTCAGTGAGAACGATGTCCTTCACGGGCTCTTGTCGGCGCTCGAGAGGCTCGAACTCGTGGTCGAGATAGGAAGGGAGGAAGAGCTCTGTCGGGCACAGCCTTAGCAACGGATCGCTATCGTTGTGTTCTGCAAGCCAGGCATACCTTGGTTCCAATCAAAGCCTTGGGACGTTTTGATGCATGTGATCTGGTTGCCTCTGTTAGCGAGCCGCAAAGAGAATGTCCCGGCTAAGAGTTCATACCAATCTTGGACTGTCCTCAGAGCCGATGTCGACAATCGTATATTCCGACTTTGCAAGGGACTCGCCTGGCCAGATCGTTAGCTGCCGCAGGACGTTGTGCAGCAGGATGTAGAAGCCGCTTACTCAAGAAGCTGCTCGTCCTCCGCCTCGCTCTATCCGTCTGAGTGAGCGACACCGGACTCGGCACTGTAGCGGCCACGGCCGAAGAGCCAGTACCCACAGGGCTTTTGCCCAAGCTCCTTGGGCTCGTGGCTCCGCAATCATATGAGCTGCGAGCGCTGCTGCTGCTCATCATAGACTCGCTAATGGCGGGTGATTCAGCCGCCTGCGGCTCCGGGCGTTCTCCGTGCGAATCGTTGCGGAAGTGCTGCTTTCTCTTGCGCTTCGGGATCGCAATCGCAGAGCTACCAGGCTGCGACGGCATGATGGACGTGGATGTGCTGGTTTAATGCGACGGGCGTGGTGCGAGTGCGAGGTGTGTTGGGTGCTGCTCCGTGATCCGGCGGGGAGATGCGGGAGTGAGGCTTGATAACGAGGGCGATGACGATCACACGATGCTAGCTCGAGCCCGCAGTGAAGAATACTCGATCCGACGCGTGGTGCTGGTCCCGAGAGGAGCAAAAGTGGGATTTCAAGGGCAATGCGGCAGTGGTGAAGCAAGACGACAAGTCGGACGAAGACGGTGTTGGGAGTGAGGACTTGCAGCAGCACGGCGCTGGCGAACGTGGGACGAAGATGTTGAGTCAAAGCATCGAGTCGTGGCTGCCGAGCAGGGTCCATTCACGGTTCTCGTGGGGAAGCACCGCAGCGATGAATCAGGCACGCTGAACCGCTCTGCACTTTGCACTCCACTTCCTGCGCACATAGGACGCCCGAAGCCAGCGCCAGCGGGCCATGATGCCGGCTTCTGACGCACAGGCGGGACTCTGCACAATCTAACTGGTCCAGGTCAGCCCTCTGGCTCGCTACCAGCCTGGGACTTGTCCCAGAATGGCAAACTGAGGGGGTTTGCAGCCTTGCCCGTGCTGGACACGCCGAGCAACGACGCCGCCCGTGAGCCTTTTCGAAGAGAGCCAACAAGAAGACGAGTCGATCCCTCCAAGCGGCAGATGAAAAAGACGTCTGCGTGTTACCGCGAGGCCGTCTGCTTTTCGAGAGCGGCCTTTGTGGGCCTCCTGATGCTGCTGAGACAAAAGAGTGAGGCGTCAAGGTGGCCAAGTCGGTGCCGGTTGTACCTTGAGGGCCCACCGTCCCACATTCCAGCGGACGAATCGAGCGAGCGTTGTCTGGACATTCCAGACTTGGGGCCAGACAAGCACGCGGAACTTCGACTTAAAAGATCCGGGCGTCGTCGTCGTCGGCGACGGGTTTTGATCTCAGTGTGATTCCGACATAAAACCGACTGTATCGAGACCCAGATTCCACCACTTCGAGCTAGCGTCCGCCACGTGGATTCCTTGCTTGCAACACCCATACCTTGATGGATATGTTGCACAGAATCCTACACGTTTGCTAGTGGATCCGCCGCTTTTCAGTCGTTCGGGTGCCATCTCCGCACGTTTCACCGCCGGTTCGGTAGAAAGAGAAGGACCAACTCCCATCGAGCGGAAATGGTCGCTGAGCAACCAATGCTAGAGTTCACACACATACACACATTTCGCCGATATCTACCAGCACAATGCAAAGACAATTAGCGCTTTTCTCATTTACAGAACTACCGAATTGCGCAATGTCCGTGATGCGTCCCCAAGCGAGAGACGATCAGTCCTCCACCCTCTTCAGCGTCACCTTCAAATGCCCAAACGTAGCCACGACAAATGCATCATGCCAATCCATATCCCTATCCGTCATCTCCGGAGCCTTCTGCACAGAAAACTTCCTAAACAGGTACGCAAATCCGTAAAACAGCTCTGCGTACGCCAGGTTCTGGCCAATGCAGTTTCTGCTGCCTCTCGAAAAAGCTATGAAGTGCTTCTCAGCATCGGCGGCGTTTTCCTCGCCTATCCAGCGCTCCGGATCGAATTTGGACGCATTCCGGAAAAACGGTTCGTGTTGGTGGTAGACGTAGCAAGACATGGACAGCATCGTGCCTTCGGGTATGTGCTGTCCGCATATTGTCACCCCGCCGGGTGGAGTCTGGCGAGGGATCTTGCCAGGAACACCGTATGAGAGACGAATAGATTCTTTGACAATTGCACGCTAAACATGCGGGTTACAAAAAGTGCGTGAATAGACTAGTGTTTATAGTGCGTTGTGCACTTACCAGATATTCAATCTTCTCTAACGCCGCCCAGTCGAGGTTAATGTCGTTAGGGTCTGGTATCGCCTCCTTGAGCACCGTCTGCAGTTTCTGCATAAGCTCTGGTTGCTGGATCATGTTCCAAGTGCCGGTGATAAACGCATGCGCGGTGGTGTCTGTGCCTGCGGTGAACATTACCAAGGCATCGGCCCCCAAGTCCTCGAGGCTCAGAACCGGATGGCCCTTCTCAGGCTTAGGGTGTAAAGCTGTTTGGAAAATGGATGGCGACATTTTATCTTCGGACTCGCGCTTTAGCTCCAAGACTCGGGCGCGGCAACCGTCGAGAAGTGCGAGAGCAGATGCCATGGGCGGATCGGTGATCCACGACCGTGGCAAAGCGCCGATGATTTTGACAATGGTGCCCATGAGGTTAGGGAAGTACCAGCCGCGGGCGGCGTTCTTAAAGAAATCCTCGATATCACAACTTTGTCCATGGTCAGAAAGTTTTGCTGGCTTCAAGGCCTGGCAGCTTACATCATGGGGAACTTGAAGTCCTCGTAATCTAGAGCACCAAATGGCCTGTCGTATGTGTAACGCATAAGCGTGTCTGCCGTTAGACACCTAAAACCTAAGCTCAAATCGACCACTTTTCCAGCCTTGCATGCGTCGTCGAGCTTGCTTAAGAACTTTCCTAGATGCTCGCGGATCATGTACTCCATCTTAACCACGTTCGCCTTGGAAAAGTAGGGTACGTACAGATCCCTGTGTACCTTACCATCCCTTACCGTGAGCTTGTTGAAAAAACTGCCTTTTGTAAACGGAAAGCTGTAGATGGCTGGATCGCGATTGAACTTAGTCCCGACTTTAAACACCTGATTGTAGGCGTCTAGATCACGGATGTGCAGATGGTTCGGCTCTATGCGAATGATCGGGCCGTACATGTCGTGCCATTGTGCAAAGTTCTTCGAATATGAAGTCTCCAGCGGCATGTCCCAGCTCATAGCATAGAGACTGCTCACGCCAGCTAGGGGGGGGCCAGGAAACTTTGCTAAGGGGTGCAAGGTTACTCTATAGATGCATCTCACGATTACAAAGACGATGCCTATGGCCGCAGCCTGAGACATGAAAGTGACGAGGGACAAGTCAGTCGCCATGACGATTGCAAAACGGCTAGCAAGTTGGTGAACAGGAGACGAAGTCCTTATCGGTGACACGTATGTGTCGTCTTATATTGCCGCCTACATTGCAGACGTACAGCTTCCTCATGCTAGGTTACAGTCTGCCTCTCGCAGGTATGCGGAAAGTCTCGCAGCTATCCGCCCCGCCATCTCGGGACTTCCATGTCTCGTTGTGCACCTCGCATACTGGAGGGTCAGCACGGCTTCGGAGCGAAGCGAACCGTTGAGCCAATCGCCGCGGCGGAATCGCTCTTTAGCGCGTGTCAATCAGCCTTGTCGAGACATGCCCCACAAACCAGGTAAGTTGACAATGATTTCGCAATCTCTGCGACATGCTTGTCGCGGAACGGCAAGAGTTCGAAAGTGGTCGCCGACCTCTTTGATGCCCATATGGATCTCGCCTAGCGCCTTTGTCCACGCATAAATTCGACGGCCCCACTCAGACTAATAAATGACCACTTCGTCCGTCCACTGTTGTCCTGCGTCTTTCGCTTTCTTGTTGTTCGACCTGCCCATCATCCACGCTCATTCATCATACAAAATGCCTCGTTGAAGATGCTTGTATAGCGCTTTTGTGGCGGTCGCTTGCTCTTTTGTCTGACTCTTCTGCTGGAGCAGGCTCATGAGCGCAATCACTGGTTTCCGGTACTTCACGGAACGTAGCTTGGGCAGGTCTTGCAAGCTATTGTATAGCTGGAACCAACGCTCCTCTTGGGGGGACTGCGAGGCTTCATCGAGCAGATTTATTGTGTCCTTTGCGATCTGAAACAAAGAGGCCAAGTTCAGAGTTGTGTCAACATCCGCCTTCTTTATGGCACTTCGACCATCAGCTACCCAAGAGCGAAGGAAAGCGTTTGCTCGCACCAGCGCAAGTGGGACTTGGCCTGCTGATCGACAAAGATTGCCCAAGCACGCGATAAGCGCGTGTTCTGCGTCGTCAACGGAGTCGTAGGGGTCTGCGGTGGGAGCTTTATCCCATTCGAGATCCGCGATCGAGGATGGGTCCGGCGCGATCTGGCAGTAACTTAAAGCCTCTGTGACAATGCCGTCAACGGCCTCGATAATGTCGAGAACCTCAGGAGGGGCTTTCTCGTCTTTGCTTCTCCATTCGTCGATTATTTTTCGAGCGGATTGAATCTGCTCGGCGGGAGCAGTCGTCAGCACGAGTCACGTATCACGGCTACAGGTTCATGTGTTAAAACGAAAATTCGACGACTTACGTGCAGGACGATGAGCTCGGTGTTGTCGCGCAGGCTGTCGAAATAGAACATGCCCAAGCAGTTCAGTAGAATGTGGTCGATTGTTGGTCGCGTGTGCACCGTCTTGGACAGTGCTTGTTGGTAGTGATACATGATTCGGCGCTCGATTCTCGGGATCGTGGTTGGGCACGTTAGGAGTTCATCTTGCAGGGCGGTGGCAACAAGAACGTGCTTGACCGGCTCCAATCTATGTGCGGCTCGAGGAAGCATTTCCATCCAGAAAGCATACCGCGAATGATCGTATTTCGCAACCATTCGTCCGGAGCGTCGCAGATAGAATTGCATCGATCTTGCTTCGTCGGGAGTGAAGGTCTGCGTCGAGGGAGAAGGGCGGAGCTCCAGCACGTCAGCATCCTCAGCATTGTTCCCAGAATTCCTGCGTTCTTCCTTGACGTTCTGGCGTTTCGATGCTGACGGCTCAAAGATCCAGGCCTTGGGCACGGCGTAGCCATCGCACTGGTAGTCGGAATTGAGGCATTTCAGACACTTGGGCTTTGTCTCGTCGCACTTGACGCGTCGCTTCTTGCACGTGAGACAGCCTGTTCGAACCTTGGGTGCATATCTCTTCTGCCGTTTCTGTTCAGGCTGTGTCGCTGAGCCCGTCTTGGGCACGAGCGTCGAACTTGTCACAGGCGGAAGGACGACTTCCAGCAGCCGTCCATCAGAGGCAGCTTCGCCCGTCACGTTGCTCATAACTCGGGGAACAACACGTGGAACGGCCATGATGTACGGCAATGGATCTGGTGGAGGCCAACGTGGAGGCTAGTACGCATATTCGGAAAATGATCTATGGCTGATTGATTATTAGGGAAGGTTTCATGATGCGGCATCTGTTGAGACGACAACGTGCGACAGACGCCCTATGCGAGAAGGTCACTGTCTTCACCCGCAAATAGGGCTGCGCTAGTTTCAAGAGTCGAGCTGTTGCTTATGTCAGCGCAGATCTGTCTCCATTTCATCAGCGACGTGACTGTATCGTGCGGGAGTCTTCGCCAGTCAGCGGCGCATTTGACAAGCGGGTGGCGCCCGGCCCTGGTTTCATCCCTTGTGATTCGGCTTTGCCCATGCTCGGTTCCGTCGTTGTTGCCGCCGTCAAGGGCGTCTTCCTTGCGCTATGCTCCAGGCGGTCTCTCGCTTATGCGAAGCCCGCAGTCTTCCTTTCCCATTGGTCGCTGGCTTTTGTCCGTTGCGTCTCTCCCGCACATTGCCAGCCGTCCGCATGCAAGTCGTGTGTCTTCCCTTGGCGCACGACGCACGGCATGTCCATCAACGACGCGGCTCCGAAGCAGAGTCGGGAATTGCTCGAAATAGGCAGATGCATGAGGCGAAAGTTGTACGTTGCATTGGAGTGCAAACCAGTTCCTACTCGTCTTCATAATTGGGAGCGAACAGCGCCTCGAGCTTGGCTCTGTGCGGCAGTTGGGCGCTTTTGGGTCGTCTCGCAGCTGTTTTGATGCCTCCTCATGGTTGGCTTTCAACTTCATCGAGGCGTGCTATGTGGATCGTTTGGACCTGACTTTTGGTAGCGATCCATCCGCACTCCTCCCGCGCTGAGTGCCGTCTCCCGCCCGAAAGCGCAGATGAGATGAGCCGCCTCGTCATCCGTATCGAAGCGGAGTAGAGGCTGTGTTTGTCATCAACAATGAGGTTTCGTATACGTCAGCTGCGTCGCGCGACGAGCGGCTTCCGTGTTGAGAGCACGCTCCCCACATGCGCAATTGCCTTGGCCAGACGCAGACCGCTTCCGTGCTGGACAGAAGACGCTTTGTTCCGAGCGCACGAGCAGTTGGGAGCAAACAGTGGCCATGCCTGTTGCATCGCTCCACGCTTCTATCCGTCGTCGTTGCTTTGCTTGCATCGCGTTAGCCCGTGGTTATCCAGGTCGAGGCGGTCGGGGTACTCAGCTACGATATTGCTCTCACAGTGCACACAGTGATGGTCGACAGCAAAGACGACGTCGGTGAAGTGGCGTCGGTTTTGATCGCTGCAGAAGCCGTCGCGTGCGTTCTCGAAAGGAACAACAAGTCGCAAGGCTGGGTCACATTACTATATCTGCAAGCAACTGGACTTTGATCGATGACAATTGCAGTCAGAGATGGGCCTTTGTTTCGGTAGTAGTGGGAGCATCGTGATCCGCAGTGTTGAAGGTCTCCGCTGTCGTCACACTTGCTGTGGAGACGTTGGATCGGGTGAAATTCGTAGCTACGCCTTCATGGACTCTCTTGTTTCGACAGCGGCGGGGACAGTTGAAGACGTTGGTTCTGTCGGGATGTGCATGAAACTCGAAAGGAAAGAAGTGGCTCATTGGTCATTCAAGGGATCAGTAGTAGGGCCAACAGCGACGCGAAGAGGATCGATATGTGTGCATGTTGAATGTAATGACAAAGCAGTACGGGTCTAGTTCAAGATTCGCATCTACGTTTTGACACTTTGCTTCTCCTTCAAGTTTCCTGGTCAATCTCACCATCTTGCAGCCACCAACCAAAGTCTTTACGTGGGGAAATGAAAAGAATGATTAACCAGATAGATTAGTGTATCGGGCATCAGCTTCCAAGCGCTGCAAAACCGAGCGACGAACCGGCTCGTTGTGACCGAACAGGACAGGTATCACTCAACGAAGACACTAGAACCTAGTCTCGAGAACGCTAGACCTCGACGCGGACTTCGAGCCGCAGTTCGATTTCAAGCCGGTAGGACATCCTCACAGTTCAGTAAAAGCACGGTGCGATTCGACTTCTAGTTTTCATGCGTTGCTCACACATAATGGTGGAGATGTCTTCGCTCCTTATGACAATTTCGCGTTCAAATTGGAGACCGCCTGGCACGCTCCGAGCAATATTGCGTCCTAAGCAATCTTAAATAACAGCCCTGACGTTCCCATCTGTCGAAGCATCCGATACGGACGGAAATGAGAGCACGAAATACGTTCCTGATAAGGGCTGCTTAAGCGACACACTGATGACAGCTCTAAATTTCATTCTTGCTATCGAAGCAAAACGTGCTCTTTGTCCGCAGATTGCAGAAGGTACCCAGTAGCCCACAAAGTAAGAAGACCCGATTCTCTTACGCTAAATCCCAAACCCAGAATGCATCCACCATTTTGGCAACACGAAAGCGGAAGAGGAAGACTGAAAGAGATCGGAGCCGGAACGCCGAACGACAACGGATCAGAAGAACAGGCACAAGTCAAGACAGCACAAGCTCGCGCAGAGGCCCGCACACAAACCTGTTGCTACCGCGCCGCCGCTGCCTCCTCTGTCGTTTCCGAAATAGCCTTGCGGCTGCTGATAATACATGCCACCTTGTGGGTAGTACCCCTGCGGAGGATAGCCCTGGGGAGGATAGCCCTGCTGAGGGCCGTAGTAACCTTGATTTGACTGGCCGTAGTAATCTTGCGCTTGGCCCTGATAGTATGGTTGTTGATTGTTTCCGTACGAGGCTGGACCAGCGTCGTAGTGAACCGGTGCGGGTTGCGAAGGATACGAAGGTGGCGGCCCTTGAGGTGGATCCTAAGAAAGCGGTCAATATGTTGACCGCACGTTTGGACAGCTGCGATGAATAAGATAACCTACATATTTGCTTGCCATGGTTGCCGATGGAAAGCCGCTGGTGTTGTGAGATGGCCGAGACGTTGGAGAGCCGACGATCGACTGTCGCAGAAGTGAAATGCGGAGTAGAAATCGTAGGATCCCCGCTGTGCAGAAGGCAGATTTTAGGCCCACAGTAGACGCTCACGGCAGTGCAAGGCCTGAACGGTTCGCGCTTGCGAACTGCAGAGTCTTAAAGATGAGTAGGAAGTGCACATGCAGGCGGCGCGAGCGGCAAAGCGTGCGAGAATGCAGTCATGGGGGTGCTGATTCGTACGCTGGTGTGGCTGTGTAAAACCACTTCACACACCCATCTGTAACGTGTGTGACCTCCGTTTTCTTTTTCGTTTCTCTTCGCCACCAATCTCGCTCGACATGGCCGCCGGCTGGATCCCTCGAATTGTCCGCTCCTGCAATTGACCAACGATGTGGTGAGCTCCGGCCGTGGCCAACTGTCGATGATGCGCGATGCTCTTCGAGCAGTGACCCGGCGCGCGGCAAGGATCATCTCTCCGGCCTTCTTCGATGCACGCCTGAGCTTATTTGCTGACCAATAAGGATTGTCACGTCTCTTTTCCACCAACGATCGCCAGCTCGCTGTCATCTACCCGCCTGGTTCCGGGGTCTTTGTCGCGTGCGGTGCGGGTTGCGTGTCGATGCAGTCAGGTTGAGGGTTCTATTAGCTGGACATGCGGTAATGTCGGTGGTATCTTGTGGTCATGCTTCCATGCGTTCGCAGTGCATACCTCAACTCACCCTGGCACGGTACGATCCTGTGCCTAGCCCTGGCATCTCGAGAGCAGATAGTTGCGCCTATGAAGGGATTTGTGCACACTTGGTCTGGAAGCGCTTGATCCTACCTCCTGTCAGGGACCGTACTAGGCGAGCAGCCGCATGAACTTGCCCCTTGAAAGTCCACATCATCCAGCTAAGTCACGTGATATAGACCACTTGCATCACAACCACCACTGTACCGCTGAATGAGGTAATCGTCAATTTTTTAAAAAAGTACCAAGAGCATGGGAAAAGACTTATAAGGACATTTTGATTTTTTTTTGCATTATCCATGTGTCTTGATTTTTTTTGGACGCAACAGGGGTCTAGTTCTAGGAAACGTCTACTAATCAGGATCAGGAGGTGGAGGCAGTTCGATCCGGCCCGTTAGTGAAGCGACATCACATAACATATAATGCGCACACGAGTCCCACGATCAATCTGCACCAACCCGATCAACTACCTCGCTGTTTGGATTGCACTGATATATGAGCTAAACCTTGATTCATCCTGTGAGTCCGGTTCTTGCAGAATGATCTGCAAGACTTCCCTTGCTGGAGGTTTCCTCGTGTGCCCTGCACAATAGTTGCATCCTTCTTCAGCCATCCTCGCGGAAGTGATCGAACGAGGCCCTGGGCGCGTCGGTTTTACGATCGTTCCTGAATTCCTTGTCCACCTGATTGCAAGCCTTAGCAGCAAAATTTGAGGAAGTCTCCCAAAGCACGTTTGACGTGTTCCGGGAACGTGACTTGGCTACAGCTGAGCCTCAGGGCGCTTTCATGTCAGATGTAATGCTTTGAGCCCGGCCGCCACTTCTTCAGCTTTGCAAGGCGCGCAAACTCGGACTCAACAGAGACATTGTGGTTTGGTGTGAAACAATGAGCGGGCAAGGCCACAGTAATCTCCACTCGTCTATTCTCCACGTGACACATTTGCGAGAAAATGAGGGAGCAAATAAGGGCCTGAAGGAAAAGGAAAAATTTGATTTACTGGAAGCATAGATTAAGTAGTGTACATATGCCCTTGATGAGGAATTCACTGAACTCCAGGGCCGGAGCGAAATAGCAGCGTCGGCACATAACCGGATTCCTGCGCAAGGAAAATAAGCTCAAAGAGGTGGATTACTATAATTACTTTCGGATGCTGCCCGGCCCACATTCAAATCGTACTCGTCGTATCGTACGCGTGAGAGGAATCCCTTAGAATCTTCATCAATACTCCCAAAATGCATCTATGCAAATAGCCAGAAACTCATAATTAAACTTGTCATGAGGGCAAAGAAGCTTCCGCGACTAACGCTCAAGCTCGCTGCGCCGCTGCCATGGATTCCTAATTCCTCGTCCTGTAGACCAAATGTAACGTTCTGCGGGATGGTCTGGTTCCAGCATTGTCCGCCCACGACATCGAGATTTTTCAAATCATCAGGCACCTTGAAAAACATGTACTTGTTCTGTGGGATTCCTTTGAATCCAGACGTGTCGTAGGGGAACTTGTCGCCGGAATCCGTCGCGCTGGTGTTACGCAAGAAGATGCACTGCACCTGATCCGGTCTGTCCGTCGCAAGCTGAGGATAATCCCTCATGACATCCGAATTGGAAGTGTCAGCGACAAGGATGAATTTGCGGGTTGGGAACGTGTCGAAGATCTTGTCAAGCAGGAACTTGCGGATGCTGAGTGTGGCGTCGACATTGCTAAAGTTGAGCGGTCTTGTGTCGAATGAGCCGCCTGGATATGTCTTGTAGATAAAGTCCATGTAGTTTCTGGTAACCTGTTCTGGCGTCGTGGTTAAATAATGGAAGTGTATGTTTGGAATGCTGCGGCTCCAATTCGCGTAAATATCAGGCATGTTTTCCCACTGCACGTACGGCCTGGCAAACGAGTTGAGAAGGCCTTCCTTGGGCTCGTAGATTTTCGTGATGCGTAAGATGTCGTCTATGTCGCTAACGACCGTGAAGCCTGTAGGTGGCACAAGATAGGCCGTCGCATTTCCCAAATCAGAGCCATTGGCGTACACATTCAGACGCTGTATTTCTTGCGTCGCATTCCCGGCCATGAGATTGCCCTGCTGGATTGGCATAAACACATCGAAATCACCCTCGCCTGTCGTGGGGTACGGCAAGGTCAGGTTCTGGGTGCCTCCTGGTGCTTGAACGGCACCTCCTCCACCGGGCTCGCCGCTAGAGCCTGCTGACGGAGCGGGTTCAAGGTTAAGGGTGACAGTCTCATTGCCTTGTTGCACTACAAAGATCTCTGCAGTCAGGTTGCGGGCCTGTGCTTGCTGGTCCGCAGGAAGATCTTGAATGCTTGTGCCGATCAAGAAAACGTTCGCCAACTCATTGAGCTTGTCGATCGATGTGTTCGGTTGCTTGTACACATTGCCGTGGAAGCGCACGTTCCAACCTTGATCGGTCCAATTTCCGTAAGGAGGCAAGTTGAGAACGTTTGTTGGAAGAGCAGCCAGTTGGCTGCTGTCGATACCAAGTGAACTCTGGACTGCTTCGCCGCTGGGGAAATTCTGGAAGAAGTTGGGGACACCTGTCTCTCGGGATCAGATTCATCACCAAAGCCAGGGAAGACGATACGTACCAGATGCCACATACGACGGGATGTCCGAGCCTAAGACGCTGAGGACGGACTTGACGTCGCCTTCGAGATCGCTCAAGATGTTTCTGCGGTCATAGGCGTATGTTCTGGTAGGAAGCTGAGGAACGCGAAAGGGCGTAATCTCAGGATGAGCCTCTGCGACGGGATCGGGAGCGGGCAATGCGTCAGCGAACGGAGTTAGGCCCGCTAGGACTGCAGCCAAGGATAACGAGAGTCTTGACGGTGCCATGCTTTCGGGCGAGAGTCTTGGCACGCTCAAAGAAGGGAGAGAAAGCTGTGTTCACAAGTGGGGAAGTGGCAGAAAAGCACACGCAGTGCCATGTGTATGTGTATATATATGCATTGACGGAGGAAGGAAGGCAAGAAATGACGGCGTTGCTTGGCAGGCCAGAGCCAAGGTGGCTGAAGCCTTGAATTAATCAAGGTGTCGCATGTTGGATCGTGGATGTTGGAGACTTCTGCAGCGTGACGTCATGTCGCTCGTTCTGAGTGACTCCGTCCTCCAAGCTTTGCTCCCGCACGTCGCGAGCCTCAAGCCGGCACGTGCGGGCCTTGGCGTTGGTGCTTCGGTGCTTGGCTGTCTTGGCACCGCCCCGTCCTTGTTTTGCCTCTGCTCGTCCTGCTCGAGCCTCCAGCAGCAGCGTGACGGAAAGCGGCCACGTCCTCCCTCAGCCTGGTCACGTCCTCGTGCACGCCCATTTGCTTTGTCAGACGCCGGCGATCGGTCCTCATACCAGTACCCGTCAAATCGGTGCTGAAGAAATAAAAACGGAGCCCTGGCCGAACACGCCTGACCAGCAAACCCTGTCTTTCACAAGGCTGAAACTTCGAGATGAACACAGGCGTCGAAATCTTTCCCTGCTCATCCTTCCGTCTCTTTTGCGGAATTCATCTGCAAGGCTTGTGCATGAACACGTTCCATTTGTGTTAAGATACAAACACGCCCGATATCCGACTTCCGCAGTGGGTTCGTGCTTTACGTGCACAGACTCCTCCCGTGGCCCGTCTCCTGGTTTTCTTTCACGTGCGCTCATCAAGCAGAGGGCTAGTAAGCACTGGAAAATGCTGAATCCGCAGACGGCAATTTATTCATTTGTGGCCTTGACGGAGGAGTAAAGCCTGAATCTATATTTGCCAAGCTGTGCGAAAACAAACAAAGAGAGCCGCGCACGTGCTTTGCAAACGGTCACTTGGCTGTCGTCCCGTCCATGTTGTAACACCTCGCTGTGAGTTCAAATCGGATCAAGATAGTCCTTTTTCGTACGCGCCAACAAGATTCCTTTTTTTTTTTACTCGAACACACGATAGCTACAAAAAGGACTCTGACTGATCCTGAATCCTTCATCGCCGTACCACCACGCGAGCAGGGCAGGTTTGGACGAGAGCGATTGTTTCTAGACAAACCGAAGGACAGACGAGCGTCTCGAAAAGCTGCAAACCCTCTCCGGCGTAAGAATTCAGTGGAACCTATCTGCAGACGTGAATTGATCATTACGGCGTCCAAGCTCCAGCTAGCCTCGCAGTGACCCAATTGACGTGGCCATTCTCAACCTTCCCTCAAAGATTCACAAGTCACGACGGGTCTACACTCGGCAAACCTTCTTCGCTCGTCAATTCCACGCGCAGAACATGACATTACGGAGATGTTCTCGCGGATCATGGGCCAAAAGTTCTACAACAGATCTTGGTGCTGCAAATGTGGTGCGTGGCATACCAGCATCGACCTGCAGCGATGCTACTGCATATTCTGCTCGCACAGGGTGTGCGGCAAGTGCGAAGTCGAGCTTGTGCTGCACGGGCAGTGGAGGAGACTCAGGAGAGAGGAATGCGAGGATGTCGCCGTGAACAAGGAATGACCTTCACGTTATCTGCAAGTCAGATGAGCCAGCGGATTGTCGTGAATGCGAATTTGAGCTCACATCATTTCACAGGTCGTCCGATTGAAAGCCTCCAAAAAAAAAGAAATAAAAAACCAAGGACCAAGGAAACATATTTACGGCACTGTATGGTACATGATGGGTATCGAGGCCGTGGTTACCCTCACAAAAGAAGAAAAAACGCCAACCCGGATGCAATAAAGAAAGGGGCTGTGGCACTACAGCCGCTCAGCGCCGTACAACGCACTGTATCCCTTATTCCTCTTTACGACCGCGCATTCGCGGTACACACCGACACACATGACCACGACGAGTAAAAGCATAATCATTAATGCCAACATTCTCATTGTATCGAACGACGAATCCGGCCCAAACAGGCCGGCGTATTCCGAAGGCTGTTTTTGGCGGCTTGGAAGGAACTCAGTGTCCTGTATTGCCTGGTCAGCAAGCCCGGACGGTGCCTGTAAACAAAAAGCTTGATCCGCTTCTACATACCCATGTGCCATTTGGAGGGCCGCCGGTCGAGAGACTCGGTGGTCGATCCTCGGGTCTTGTACCCCACTTGCTTTCCTCGGGCCCAAGGGTGAGCTCCAGTACACCACCGTCGAGGAAGAACCCATGGTCGATCCAACTTTTTCTGTACGGCCGTCCATTTAATGTGGCCTTTTGAATATAAATATTGCGGTATTCGGCGTCAAAATTCACGTTGCGGATGGTTGCAGTATTGCCCGTCTCCGGGTTCCGAATGGATACCTCCCTGAAGTAAGGCGGCGTAATGAAGTATACGTTTTGTCCTGCATTTGGAAAGACTCCCATCATGATGAAACTCGCGAATGCTCCCATTGCTCCCGAGTCATCGTTTCCGGGAATGCCTACGAGCGTGTTGTTGAATTGCGAAGGAACGTAGTAGTGTGCGCGCTTGGCTGAAAGACCCGGTCGGCCCACATAATGGTACAAGAAGGGCGTCAAAAAAGCTTGCTCGTCACCCATGTAGAGGAGGCCCGATTCGTGCACGAAGTCGAGGCGCTCTACGAAATGCTCTTCTGTGCCCAGCTCAGTCACGAGTCCGGCAATATCTCCGGGGACGTAGAGTGTGTAAAGCCAACAACTTCCTTCGTACGTCTCGTGTCCGTTCATCGTCAGGTAACATGCGTCCGGCTCGAGAAGAGGTGAGCAAAGCAGGGGATCTTGATATGCCCAGCTGGAGTTGAAGAACTTCGGCTGCAAAACGCCCAAGAAGCCACTATCCTTGCCGTCGATGGTCGTTGCCTGGTCATCACGCAAGAGATTCTTCCAGTTGCTCGAACGGTTCATGTACTTTTCGTAATCCGTCGCGTTGGCAAGCGTGGCTGCCATCTGAGCCACGCAAAAATCGTTGTATGCATACTCAACCGTGCGAGAGACGCTTCGTGTGTGAGGGCCAAATCCCTTGTTGTCCTGGTCGTCAATCGGGATATACCCTTTGGTTTTCCAGCTCGTCATGCCCCCTCGGCCTCCAAGATCCCATCTACTCGGCTCGACCTCTGCATCTTGGACGACTGCGGCGTATCCATCAGTCCAGTTGATGCCCCCGTTCAGGCCCTTGAGATACGAGTCGGCGAGGACGACGTCCGCGTTTGATCCTCCCTGCGACCAGCCTTTGCAAAGAGACATTCTGCAGTCGGGCATGTGGCCCTCGTGGCGCCATATATCGATGAGCGAGCGTACCATGAGAGACTGCGATTGTGGGTCGAGCATTGCGAGCAACGGATGCTGCGCGCGGAACGAGTCCCATATGCAGTAGAAAGAATCATAGTACGGTTCGTCGCTCGTCCACAAGTAGTTTTCACCCGTGTAGTCTTGCGGCGAGATGAAGTTGCGGTAGATGCCGCTCCAAAACACGGTCCTCGTGTCGTCGCTGACTCCATCGTCCTCGCTGATTGCGATGACGTCCAGCTTGTCGTGCCATGCCTGCTCGGCCGCCTTCAGAGTCTTGTCGAAGTCGAAATCGGGAATTTCTGTCTGTGCACTACGGCAGGCTTGTTCCACATCCATAAAGCTGACGCCAATTCGCGCGAGAATCTGTCTATCCTCGTTGTCGGGAGCATTGAACCAGGTGTAGCCGCCAACGGGATGAAATGCTGAGCTGAACTCTCCATCTTCTCCATAGTACCCAATGCCGCCACTCGAGTTCCATCCGCCAACTTCACGGATGGTTGCCCCCTTGAAGTCGGCGCAGAAGTGAAGTCGATAGTAACCGGTGCCGAAACTAGGAATAAACCGAGCTTGGCCGGTCAGACGGCCCGTGGTGGCATCCAGCCAAAGACGCCTGTCCGAGGCCGAATGGGACAGGTCAGACAGTTCGGCGAGAATGACGGGGCTCAGTTTTGAGTCTTCAATGCCCTGCGGCGTCTCCGGAAAGGTGAAGCGATACAAAGCCGTATGGTTGCTGACCGTCATTTCGGCTTTGATTCCAGACTCCAGAGACAGCGCGAAGTAGCCTGGCCGAGCTTGGACCGAGCCATCGATTTGTTTTATGGACCGATCATGCTCGGTGAAGTTGCATCGCGCAATGTCGTCTCCAGGGCAGCCGGCATGCGGAAAGATTGGAAAGTTGCCCAGCGAGGTCACACCTCCGGTTCCCGAGTCGTGCATGTGAGAGAAGCCTCTGATTTTGGACCCGTCCGAGCCGTATCCAGCTTGGTTCTCTCCGTTGACGTCGGCGACGGCCTTCGCCATCGAAAATGGCAACGTTGCACCTGCGAAGACATGGCCTGCCAAGTCTGCCGTTAGCCGCGGCTCGTATAGGAGAGATTTTCAGCATTCCCACCGCCGTGAACCGTCCCGATCAAGGGATTTACGAACTGAGCGCCGTTCGTCGCGAGGACCAACGCCGCGCTCTGGCTGAGGCATAGCAGTTTCAGTGCCCCTAGCAGCCCCATTGTGCACGCAGTGTGAAGTTCGAGGTCATGTCGGACCTCCTTGGACGATGTCTCTCGTATTGAGTCTCCTTCTTTGAGCCTTGGCTCGAACCAGGAGATTGACGATCAGCCAATCAGACTTCCGTGGCGCTCCTGGGGTCTCCGACGCTTACTATTCTTGGCCGGCCTAATCCAAACCTTATTTCAGCTGTACAAACAATGGGCCAAAGAGCTGCCTCTTGGACGCCACTCTCTCTGGTTTTGATGCGTCGAATTTTGCACAAACGACATCTCGACATCTGAGCATGTCATCGAGCTGCGAACGGTGCTCACCACGACTCTTCGTCGACGCTATGGGTGCAGACTTCACACGACACAAACTGCTCAAGCTTGCCAAGAGCTCTGCTTCCGCCATCGTATCTACATAATGAATGGGTAAAAAGAACCCCAACCCCCTTTCTGTGCTATTATGACGCTTTCGGCTTGAGGCTTTGCAATGGAGACTGATACCGTAACAGTTCAGAATGACAGTCGCTCAATTCAAAGTCGATGACACGCTTCACCTGTCTTTGAGTCATTCTTCGACCGAAACGACAAATTCTAATGAGAGCCCTTCAGATTTCAAAGGAAACGTGTTTGGGTTCAACTTGGACCAGGTTTGATAACTTCGAAGTACAAAACATGGTGTATATTGATGACTACCTGTGTTTGGTGATTCTGCCCCGTGTGTTGTTTAAATCTCTTTGTAGGTGACTTTTGCTTTCTGTTCCTGTATACCAGCCATTTGAATCTTCAAGATCAGAGACGCCACAATACTATGCGACATCCTTAACTTCCGATTTCTCGTCTCGTCTGAGCGTCGTTGCAATCTTATTAGTCAACAAGTGGTCAACATTCGGTAGCAGCAGAGCACAGATAACACAAATGCCACTAAAGGCCAGTGTGGTTAGGAACACCGTGTGGTATGCAGATGCATTGGCGTTCTTGTAAGCGTCCCTTCCCGTTGTAATGATGTTCGAATTCACACCTGGTATGTCATTCAACGACGTACTTCCGAGCGACAATGCCTGAATGAACTGTGCAGCGCTGGAAGAGGGCAAGCCAGCAGCCTCTACTGCGGAAGTAACTCGCGGTGCGACCTTCTTAGCTAGTTCGTTATTCAGAATAACCGTGTAGATCGTGGAGGCAATGGATGCGATCAGAAACCTAATGGCTCCGGCAATGCCGCTTGCTGTACCAAGCTCGTCCTGTCGCTTTGCAGTCAAAGTCAAGGTGGTGATGGCGAGAGATTCAGCCCAGCCTACGAAAAAAACGCCGAGGGCAACGAAAGCGCACGCGCGATTTTTATCGTCCGGACCACATGTCGCCACACCTATGGAGTGTCAGTCAATTTCTCATTCCGACGGTCTTGCAAAACTGACATGCGAAGAACAATCCGCCCAAGAAGACGGATACAGTTATCTGCCACTTGATGTGCATGATGGTTTTCGCAGCAAAACCGCCAACAATCTCACCGATAACTATGAGAAGACCAACAATGCTGGACATCCAAGCAGCGCCAATCGGACTGGTTGCATCCGCGTAGAGAATATTGACAGCGCTTGGCCACACTGCTCAACAAATTAATTGGTTGCACAAGACGTCAAAAGCTTGGCATACCTATGGCGAAGGCATAGTACATTGACGCGCCGATTCCTGAGATAAGAGTGGCACAGATCCAGCCACGGTTATCAAAGACGTACATGGGCACCAAGGGTTCCTCTAATTTCATGAAGGTTTCCCATAGGACGAAAACGATAAGAGAAACAGCCCCAACAACGATTGTAGCCACTACGTGGCTGGAGTTCCACGCATATCTACGAAGCAGTTAGCATGACAGACTTATAACCGCTAAACCTATTGTTGCAGTGCAACAACTCACAATTGACCTCCCCAGTTCAATCCCATCAGCAGTATCAACTGAGCTGGTCAGTCAAGGCTAGTGGAGCTGTTGCAAACAATCTTACCAAGCCACCGGTATACAGAATCGTTCCAACATAGTCAAATTTTCGAATGTAGTCAAAGATTTTTGCATTCCCATGCTTCATGTGAAAGTTCGGAGGAAAATAAAAAAATACCCAGCAGGCCAGCGCCACGGCATTAACTGCGATAAGAAGATAATAGCATCCTGCTTATGTTAGCCGTCACCATGTAACCACGCTTAGATACACACCTCTCCAGCCAACAGCAGGCTGATATTTGACGAATGCAGTCGCAACAACAGGAGCGATTCCAGAGCCAGGTATTTGAGATACGTAAACTGCAGCATTTCCAGCCAGACGGTAGCGCATTGGTACGAGTTCGCCCATGACCTGACCAGGTTAGTATCCAGTTCAAGCTGTTGTGGTCTCCGTCGGTTAGGCTTACGAAGTAGTAGCTCAACTGCGTCGAGGCGCCAATGCCAATCAAGGTCATGCCTCCAATGAGCTCTGGAACAGACATTGCTCGAGAGCAGACGATGCTGCCGACGAGCGCAACAAGAGCGCCACCAATGAACATGTAACGACGGCCAAAGATGTCTGAGATGCGACCGACCAGTGTAATACACACGGCAGATGTCAGCGTGTACACAAGCGCCACCCATGCAATGTTCGGATCAGGACCGATGTCGTTGTTGATGAGGGTAAGGATCGGTGCGGCATACGCGAAGCCTGAGACGCCAGCGAATAGTCCAAGACAGATGGCGGTCATCGATCCTAGGAAGAAGCTCGACCTGAAGTACCCAGGCTTGAGGGTTGTCTCATCGGCTTCAAAGCCTGTGACATCGCTAGCACTGTCGTACTGCGGACTGTGCCTGTTGGTGGTCTCTACATGTTGGTTTCGATCCTCTGCCTTTATGTCGTCCATTCTATTGGTCTTGAGAGAATTACAAGAAAATTGTAAGGTATCTTGGATGTCTTACTGAAGTCAAGATTTAAAGCAACATGAAAGTGATTCTAGGACATGATGAAAACGATCGGCACCGCTGCAGGCGATTCCCCGGATTTTTATTCCCGCTGACAGTTCTACATTTCGGGGGTGAATTGAAAATCCCATGGGGGGCTATTTGATGATCAGCAACGCTTGAGAGCTGAATCATTAGCGAATTGGCTAACAGTCTTTTGCTAGGCAATGTGGAATGGGGCTAGTTTTTTGACGTGATCGGAAGTGTTTATCCATGTGCCAAAAGGCAAGAGACATCATCCACCAGCCAAAGGACCGAAGAACCGCAACGTCGTATTCGGGAACATAAGAACGGAATGTCTGAAATGGATCTCTGGATAGATAAAAATGCTTCTAATGATGTTTGAACGAAAAGGAGAATTAAGCTGCTGCTGGACCGAAGTACTAAGGTCCAAAAAACAGCAAAGCCAAGTCATGATCATGAAGAACGAAGATTTGTTCCACAAGCAGCAGTAAACTAGAGTTCAGGAGCTGTCTGAGCCATTCATGCATTAGACAAGTCCATAGTTCCAATTCAGGCCAAAAAACAGCGCTAGTGATTTGTGGTTTGGGACTACAATAACTCTCTGATTAAGTTCCGCAAAGCGAGCTTTGCTTCTCAAGTGTTTTCCCACTCCAGATTCCAGAGACGCGTAAGCAGGAAAACGAGGACCGTCGCCGTGAGCCTCGAAAAAGGATAGCCAGCATCTCATTACTCAGCTTTCGCTTCCGGAATCCGTCGCGCCGCAAACTTCGAAGGCCATCAAGCGGACGAATCCGTAAGTGGGCCGCGCGAACGGTATTCCAAGGGGCGGCGGTGCCGGTTCTGCGCTCCTTGGGACCAGGTGAGGCGTATTCTGACCTAAGAGTGAATCTGGAGTTCCTTCACGACGCTGGCGAACGCGTGCAGGTATCACCTACTTGAAAGGAAAAAGGGATTACAATCAGTCATAGACACAATGAGAAGAGCTCCTTGTCCGTTTGAGTTTGGCGGGTGAGAACTTGACAGGCAGGCCGCAAGTGCTGCGCCAATATATTCTCGGCAGCGGCCGCGCCTAGCTGTGACATGTGTTTTTGACCTGTCTCAAGATACGACCGCACAAGTTCCATCAAAATTGAGGAAAACGGGAAAAGAAATTTAACACCCAGGTAAGGGGGGTGGTGCTGGAAGTGGCAATGTGAATCCCAAACTTGGTCTCGCGAATTGGACCTCGTCTCAATTGTTAGCACGAGCAAGTGTCTCGAAGTGAAAGTCTAAGAATATGTTGATTTTCCCTGGCATTCGCCACGATGTTTCCATTCATAACCCATTCAAACCGATGACTAGTCTCACTCGGTACACGTTGATCAATGTCCAAGCGTAGACACAAGACAGGCTGTCCTTGTGCAACGAAATGTGATGGCGCTACTGCGCGATGTTTTACTCCACGCGTTAGGGTCTGGGGACCAGAAAAGAAAAAAGAAAATTCTCCGATTGAGCACTTTGCCAGATGAGTTGCGGATTATCATGGACCTCTGGATAAAGCCGTTGCCGCTTCTGCAGGATGAATTGCTAAAAAATACGCGCAGTAGTATGGTAGGAAAGACACAGTGCAGTGCATCTGCCGCCACCCAGGTAGGCAAAAAGAGAGCCGCCCGCCCCCATGCAATTCTTCAGCATCAAGCCTTTATGTTTTGCGTTTGCATATGAAAGCAAACCTGGACGATTTTCTGAAATGCTTACGACGATCTAGGCAGGATCTCCGATCTGGGAGCGTTGGCTAGCTGAAAGTTGGTAACCATTGGCACAGATCTCACGGTCGCGGACGTCTCCTAAGCACGCAAAGTAGGGAGCTCGCAACGTACGACTTTCTGCGGAAAAGACAGCAGCCTTCCTAATGGTCAGAACTAGCGGTGAACGAGATCGGCTCATTTTTCTCGACTGATATATCGGCCAAAAAGATTTTTTTTTTTTTTTGTTTGAGATCTCTGGGAAGTACAAGTGGGCCCGTTGGTTGAGGTTTTCTGCGACACAGTGTTGAGCACGAGATACGATGTCTTCCGACCACGTCTGATCCAACCATGGGGTCGTATACGCTAGATAATCGAGGTCAACGGCCGTGCTACCGGTGCTACTCCACTGATGAATGCTGAAGATCAATGATCAGTTTGAGAAGTTCAAAGCATTTGGAACGGATTGGGAAGCACCCTTGCCTTCATGGTAGAGTGTTTTCGTTTTCACCCAATCGCAGCTCCAAGTCGCCCCATCACGGGTAAACTGGGCGGCCTTTGATTCCGCTTCCCCCAGCACCCCCCGATAACGGGCGAAGACGTGGTCGCTCTGTATTGGCTGACAGCGCAAATTCCGTCAACCCCACCAGGAAAAGTCAAATGTGTGAAATGGCCAGCGTGATGACAAGAGGGTGGGAAACCAATATATTCAGGTGTGGCTGGCGAGCAAGGAATCCAGAGTCGTCGTTTTCCATCACCTGGAACCCGGCGAAGGGTGGTCGATCACGATGATTGCCGCCCTCTTGTGAATTCTGGCGAATCCCCGAAGAAGCGAAGCCTGGGCCGGCTGAGGCTGCTCTGCATGCGTTCCCGACATGGAACGGTAAACCATGGGAGTTCGACGCGGGGATGTATCTGCAAGCTGCGAGAAGCCGCTTCTCTGCTGTCGGAACCTCACCAATCACTGGGGAACATCGTCTTGTCCCGGCAGATGCAGGAACGGTTGACAGATCTCCCGTGATTCCCGCCGCGGACTGTGCATATTGCACACAAACCACTCCATTTTGGATCACAGACCCGAATCTGGAAGATGCTGCGATTGCCTCACACTTTCTGCATATGACTTTCTCAGATAGAAGATGCTTGAAGCGTGGAGTGCGTACTTGTAGAAAGGTGACGTCTGAAAGCGCGTGATTTGATGAGAGTGGTCAGCGTCACGAGTCGCACAATGCAACAGTTCTGAGCATCAACAACTTGGAAGCCATCCCAGCAAGGTGGAACGATCTCACCTTCATACGGATGAGACATGGAAAGGTGGTCTATCAGCTGCATCAGAGGAAGGTGGTCCATGTAAAATCGACTGAACAATGCGAAAGCATCCAGCGCCGGAGCGTGTTCCTATCCCCGAAAATCGTGAACATCTACATTTTGTCCCTAGCACTGTCGCCAAACAGCACTACTCCTCAGTCGCAGTGAAACTTGTCGTCAGAAAGCACGATGGCAGTCCAACAGCGACCTTCCTCCTGGCAGCCGAGAGGATGCGTCGAGTCAAGCTCTTGGCAAAGTCGGATGCTTCAAAATCGACGTGACGAATGCCTCGCGGTCTCCTTATGAGACGACACAGTGAATAAAAAGGACAAGCAGAAAGGCCGCGTAACCCCAATCGTCTGCCACGACGGCGCGCAGGAGTGGACAGCGCACAACTGAGGAGATGTAGGTGACAAGGGAGCGCAAGCCATGTGACCACGGGTAAACGCTTCTCTAACTCACGACGAAACTTCTGCTTACAAGCCTGTGGACATTGCAACAGTTGGCAGGCTTGGGGGACTGCCCTAGAAACGTTTGATACCCTTGAGCGTGTACGACAGAAAGGCATCAGCTCGGCGAAGAAAGCGTTCCCAGCTGGGTGCTCGCAAGGCGCTGTCGGCGACGCACAGCACGACGTGTTCCGGGCAAACATGCTAAGGCGAGACCCAAGGGAGGATCACAAAACACAGACCAGAACGTAGAACGTGTCGACGAAAACAGGATACGCAGTTTGGAAACTGCAGGAACCACGGACGCAGAGTCATTGGGGTGCAGGCCGTTCTGTTCTCGGGGGAGGGCAGTTTCGAGAAAGGCGAAGGAAACAGGCCGGACTCCGCGCGATTGATAGCCCTGCATCGCAACGCGCCTCGCTGATCTGCTGCAAGATGAGCAGTTGGCGATGCCGAACACGTTCCTTGCCTTAGCAGCGTTTCTAGTTTGGCTCGCAGGGCACGAGAGGACGAGGACGGAGACGAGGACGAGGACGAGGACGAGGACGAGGAACAGGCGGAAGATGCGCGACGGGCCACGAACGCCGTGACTGTCGCGTCGCTGTGAATGTGGCCATCCACGGATTGGCGAAACGAGCAGGCGAAGAAAAAACTGATCATCCGTGTTCCCCGCCCTTTGCGATGGCTCTCCGTCGTTGGATTCTGACGACGTCCGCCAGAGTCTGGCGCAAAGTCACGCCGAGGGCCCAACACGGTCTAGGCTGACAGCACAGCAACGCACACCGCAAGAATCAGCCAACCACTATGCGGCGTCGGCTCCAGTGCCGTGGTACAAAGCGTCGACACCTTTCGGTACTTCTCGCGAAGTGCCACGGGCCCTGGCCGGCCTCGCCAGCTGAGCGTCCAGTCGAGGCTGGTGGCCGGGCCGGGAAGCGCACTGAGAGGGCTGTCGCAGCGGACGTGGGAACGAAGAAGCGAGAGCCAGACGAGGCCGGCGTGTCCACGTAGCAGCGGGCTTTTGCGATTTGTTTCAAACGGCACTGGATGGGGTTGCGAGTTATCGATAGTGTGCGTGCGTGCGTCGGTCGCGCGCCCGGAGCGTGTGCGAGAGAAAAAACCCTCAATCGATAACGGGAGGTGGAGCGTGGCGGCGCGCACACATGAATGGACGATCGGGGGCTTCCAAGCTCAGCATCATGCTCCTGCTCCTGCTCATGCTCATGCTCGCGCTCGCTCCTCTCGATCACGCTTAGGACGGCCCCAAAGTCGTCCCAGCCCAGGCCGGTTCGGTGCCGCGCCGGGCAAGGCCAGCCAGCTCTCCGCCGTCCAGCGAGACGGGAAGAAACGAAGGTTGTTTCGTGTGGCACCGCGTAGCACGACCCGGAGCGGACGGTGGTGTGCGACTGTTGGGCGTCTCCTACGCCGTCGCGTCCTCGAACCGCAGCGCGTCTTGTCTGACGCCTGCTTCTGCACTTTGCGCAATCGTCGATTGTTCACAGTATCGAAATCCGCGCGCAAACTGTGTATCGCCCACCCGGCCGTTGCTATCGGCAGACGCAGGGCATCTCTGGCAACCGCCCGTGCCCCAGCACGCCCCCGGAATGGACGACCAACTTTGCTTCTTGGAGCTGGGATCGGCGGCGAGGCGTAGCCAAATCACGTCCCGGCGTGCAAGCCACTGGCAGGCCTGAGACACTAGGCTACAGGGAACGACGTCTCGGACAGTCCATGAGGTTTGAACATCATCCAAGGCCTGCTTTTGGCATGGCCGGCCCACTCTGCTCTGATTCTCCGCCAGATCCTGCCTTCTCGACCTCTCAATCAGGCAAGGACTTTCGCTTGCAAGGGACGGGCAAAGGCAAACGATGTTGGCCCCAAACGACCCCCATTAGCTTGTAGCACTACTCTACAGGACCGCCAAAAATTGACCCAAGGTGGTCTGCCTATTCGTGTATCAGCAGCCGACGTAGATTGCACAATCCTTGCGGACCGAGCTGTCATCGACCAACGGACTGGTGGAGGTTGCTATAGCCGAAGCAGTGGGAAAGCGTCTGCCCAACGCGACGGAATAAATTTGAATTCGGCGTTATTGCTCCGAAGTTTTTTTTACTCACCCAGAGAGAGGGGGGGGGGGGGGCGCGGAAGGAAGGGGGAGGGAGGGGGCCGGTGGTGGGAGAGGAGGGTAACAGAGAACGAGGAAGAGAGGAGGGTGGCGCCTTCGTGCCGTTCCTTTCGGATTGAGCGCACATGGTTGCACTGAACGCAGAATCACGTCGACTTGGAGACAGGACGAAAGTGACGATGGAACAGGCGCGGAAGAAGAAGCCAGACATCAATCAGTCGATCCGTCAGTCAGGTCTCTGGGCCAGCCAGAAACAACGCACGGGGGGGTGCAAGGCGACGGTGATGAAGACGATTGAAGGTTTGATGAGCCGTCAGCGAAACAGATCGCAGAAGCGGCTCTTTGCGTATCGTGGCAGTCTGAACAGTGGCCATCCGGCCCCATGGCCCAGCATGCTGACCCGTTCGTGGCGTTCGACAGCTGTTCAGACGAGACGGAGGGATGAGGAAGCGGACGCTCAACAGATGGGCACGCTGGCTGGCCTGCCGCGATCACTCCTGCTCCTACTGCGATGACTTGCTGCCGCTCCCACTACCACCAGTACTCCTGCTGCTCCTCCGACTACGATACCATCGCGGGCACGGGCACGACCACGACCACGACCACCATGAACACGATCACGGCTCCCGCACGAGCACCTGTCGACCACTTGTCGGCCGCCTTTGGGGCCAGCAAGAGGCCATGCGCGCTTCCCAGCTGCTCACCACCCCGGACCATGCTGCTGCAGCCCAGACGCAAGTCAAAAGCCCGTGCGGGACTCTCATAGTTGTGCATGATTCGAGCAGCGACGCCACACCAACCCTCAAGTTGCACCCCGCCCGTGCCGATTAGCTGGGAGAATCGTTGACCAAAGCGTCTCTGGCTCGCGCCGGACTGCTGGCCTTTCCTTCGTGTTCGAATTCGTCTCTTTTCTGTTGGATGATGGAGCCCTCTCTTTTTTTTTTTCCCTCGCGACTTTCGCGGGCCAGCCAACGACTTCCTGGTCCAGCTACTGGCCTTCCATGCTCAGGTCAAGCCGCACCGATCTCCACCGGCCTTTTTAGGTGCATCCCGTCGTCTTGCATTTTGCCCCAAAGACCAGGCCAGTCCCGTACGCTCGCCGTACAGTACCTTTTGAATCGACTGGCCCTTCCTTTTTCTTTTCGCGCTTCTGCTGCTGCTACTTACTCCTCCTGCTGCTGCTGCTGCTGCTGCTGCTGCTGCTCGTACTAGCACTACCGCACTGCTGTATGTATGTATGCCCTTACCACACACTCGAGCCGTCCCGCACACGCATCTACATTCGCCGTGCCTCTGATGAGGCTTTCTCTTTGCTTGTCTCTCTGCCCGTTGTCTGAGGAAGAATATACCCACAAGCTAGCTGGCTGCAAAAAAGCTTCCTCCGAGCGCTGCTGTTCCCTTTTCCAACAAACCCGCAGCGCCTGGTGGACATACCACGCCGCGGCTTGTGCTCACCAGCTTTCTTGTCGGTCAGCAAGCATCCTTGCACGCACAAGTCTCTCCCCGAAGCCTAGAAAGCATCTCGCCAACCTGCACACGAGTTCACGGTCTGCGGTTTGGTGCGAACACTGAGCTGACTTTCTTTCCCCCTTCTCCTCAGAGAGAGCCACCGGCGCCGCCGTCGACTGCGCGCCCGCTAGGTCCAGACGAAGCAGAAAACGAGCATCCCACACTCCGGGTTCTGGATCGCCGTCCCTACCGTCTATCTGCTCAACATTCGCACGGCTCCGCTCGATCCTCCCACCATCAGTAGCCCGGCCGTTCACTCGCCGCCCTCGTCTATTCTGTGGTCCTTTTGTTGGTAGACGGCCTTTTCCCAAGTCCAGTCAAGCCAAAAGGTATGTGGGAAGCCCTTATGGTCTTATCGCCCGGGCGAATGGGTTATCCACGCCGTCAATTTTTTTTTTCTGTTTTTTGGCTTCACGATTTCATTACGTGGATGACCACCCACCACCCGCCATCGCCAGGCGTGTTTTTTTTTTTTTTTTCGATCTGCCAGCCTCCGGGGGGGCGTTTCTGTCGGGCCACAGCACGGCTTTCCGCACTCGCCTATCTGCGCCTGGCCAGCCGCTTTAGTGCCGGTCCAAGCAATTCCTAGCTCCCACATCCCAACCTCCTCTCCACTTCTAAACCTCTGCCTCTTCCCCTCCATTGCATTTGCGCCCACGTTTTCCGCGCAGCAATTGCACATCCTCCCTTGTATTTCACATACGTTCGACGCATGTTCGTGCATCTCCATCCAGCGCTCTGCGCATTTGCCTTGAACCTGCGCATCTAACCAAAACATCATCCCAGGTGTGTCTAGCCGTGTTCGACCTCAGTCACGCACAAGGCCGACACGATACTGTACACGGTGCTACGACGTTAACGACCCGTTACGACTCTCACCTACCTCAGCAACGTTGTGCCAGACTACTATCGCTGTCGACGCTTTTCTTAGGTCCGTCGTGTCGTCTTGTCCTGATTGTTCTGCCTTTGCCGCGCCTATCTGCAAATCACTTGCATATCAGAGCGCTGCGTCGAAACAATCACAGAAAAAGCAAAGTCTGGCCTGCTGAGCTTTGACGAAACATAGCCACTCCACGGCAGCGACATCGTCCAGCTGTATATTTCTTTCTCATTCTTTTCCTGGGCGAACGCCATAGCGCTCAGCGCGTCGACTAGTTGGGATCGTCTTCGTCCCGACCGAAGGCTAGTCCGCGTAACCGTTCATTCGTGCCACCACGTTCCGTCTCCCGGAGTCGTGGTAGAGCCGAGCATCACCACTGTTGAACTCTTGAACAAAAGATTCAACAGTCTCCGCAAGGAAGAAAAGCCTGGCGATCGCCCACGCCGGCTATTCGCAACTTCCCGCCTCGGACTCCGGTCTCCGTTTCCGTGAACGACGCAAAGCTGGAGCTCCCGTCGATATCGCAGGTCCACTCTCGAGGCCCGGTCGACGGATCGTGGTACGACAGCCAGTATTCGTCGCGACCGACTGCAGCAAAGACGAGCTCATCGGCCTCCTCATCGCCTCGAGGTGGGACCTACAGCAACTCTTCCGTGTATAACGGAAGCATTAGCTCGGCAACGTCATACACGCCGTCAACCACCGAGCCGAACGGATCACTGAAGACGCCGCCTCCCGAGCATACGCCTCAAGCTTACAACCGCGAGCACCAAAACTCGCCATACGTACATCAGCCGGGTTCGCAAGCATTCGGCTTTTCGAGTGAGTCGTACAACAGCATGAACCAGATTGGTCCGCATTCAGACGTTCATCAATCACATATGGCGACTGCATACCAGACCCCAGCAACTGGGCCTCCTGCCCCGCTTGGACACTACAACACGTATCAACCGACGCTTCTGCAACCAGGCCCGCAGACATATTCCTCAGCGCCTGCTCCTTATCAACAGCATCAGTATGCAAGCCAGCCCACTTACCCCGTCTCATCGTCCATGAGCAATGCTTTGGTGCCATCGCCAATGCCACTACCTGGTCAGTGAAGTTTCCCCCCACCCTTGGTACCGGTTCATTCCAATGTGTGTCTTGGGACTAACGGCCAGTAGCAATCTCCTCTGCTCCCAGCGGTGCATTGGCAGGGTCACAATACAACTCTGGCCACACATTTGACACCACTGGACAGATTGCACCTCCGGGCATGAAGCCGCGTGTAACCGCCACCCTTTGGGAAGACGAGGGCAGTCTTTGCTTTCAAGTAGAGGCAAAGGGTGTTTGTGTAGCGCGACGTGAAGGTAAGCGTGGCTCTTGAATCAACGCTTGTTCGTAGCTGATGATCCGTAGACAATCACATGATCAACGGAACAAAGCTGTTGAACGTGGCAGGCATGACTCGTGGTCGCAGAGACGGCATTCTCAAGAGCGAAAAGACGCGTCACGTAGTGAAGATTGGCCCAATGCACCTCAAAGGCGTCTGGATCCCATTCGACCGTGCCCTTGATTTCGCCAACAAGGAGAAGATCACCGAGCAGCTATATCCGCTGTTCGTCCATGATATCGGAGCTTTGCTGTATCACCCCTCGAACCAGCCGCGTCCAGGTCTAGGTAATTCGAGCGCTTTAGCAGCAGTTGACCGTCGACGATCTGATGCTCGCCTGCTAGGCGCCCCCCCTGTGACGAGTGCCCCACCACTTCATCATCATCACTCTATCAGCACCCCAATGTCACAACCTCACTCCATCGCCCCACATCCAGCCAGCGGTCGTCCTGGGCTCGACCGAGCCCACACGTTTCCAACACCGCCAACCAGTGCCTCAAGCAACTTCGGTGGTGTTGCGCAACACAATTCATATGGTGAGTGGAGTAATGGCCAGCCCCTGCAGATCGACACTGGCCTTAGCAATACCCGATCTGTGCCAACGACGCCAGCTTCCACTCCGCCGGGCATTCAGCAGTATCAGACGAGCCAGCCGTACGACAGCTCTCGTCAGATGTACACGGCTCCTTCGACGCAGTATCCCTCGCAGATGCGCCAGTTTGGTGGCCCATTGCCCAGCACCACGATCAAGTCGGACATGGCCCCGCCACCAAGAGCCGGCGAGGTTGAACATTCAACCGACGCCAAGCCTCAGGATGGTCACGACGATCACGGCGACCACGACTCAGCCTACACGCATGCGCAGGCAAGCTATGGGCCTACTCGTAGCACCTATAGTTACAACCCCAACGCACCCCCCGTCGCCCGCGTCGAAGAGGTAAGCTCTTCTCCTCACCAGAACGGTTCTGGTCGCGAGACACCACGGACAGCTTCCGATGCGCAGTGGCAGTCCGGCTATTCGGGGCAGCCGTCTCAACCACCCGCTGGAAACGTGTACAATCCAATCGAGTCGCGAGCAAATGGCGATGGCTATGTTGGATTCCCAAGCGCTTACGTGAATGGTGGCTCTATCCCGAGCTCCAAGCGTATTCGGGAAGTGGATGACGACGAGGAAGAAGCGCTGAAGCGACAGAAGACGGCACACCAAGACGGTGGACCAGTTGGCGGCAGCAGTCCGTTCAGAGGTGCACCAACGCAGAAGGTTCGCGGACGGTAACGTTTTGGAAAGCGGACGTCAATTGAAGCCCACGCGATGTTCACGAACATCATAGAAAAGACCCGGATGCATTCTTACACGTATATGACGCCACAAACCGAGCATCCTACTCAGCGCAAGCGCATCCTCGCTACTCGCGCGACCACGAGACATCACATTCCTTGACAAAATAGCCGGCCTTTTCTACTTTTCTATGTTCAGTTCAGGTCACGACGCTTATGACACTTCTCTATTATGACGGCTTCGCCTTTTTTTTTTTTTTTTTTTGGAAAACCTTACACCCCTTCTCTTATTCATGATGGATAACGAAGCTATCGCTTTCCCCTACGATCGCAATGAGGAGCCGTTATGTTCACGGACGCAACGGACTTTCACGCATGGCATACATTTTGGATGGCCTCCATAATGAAGGCTTGAATGCAGCGTTGCTTTTTACATTCACGAAACCTTCAGTGTATTTTCGATAATGGCTGCATGGAAGGAGCACGAAGAGCCCAAAGCTTTTTTTTTCTCTTTTTTTAAAAAAAGTAGCAAGCTTCGGGCTACTCGCAAAACCCATGCAAGATCTGTTTAGTCTTTCAAGCAGATTTAGAACCTCTGGTGCGAGGGGCTAGGTGCGACATGGGGAGAAAGAAAGAGAACTGGACCCTTTAGCAAGCGAACATATGATACCCGATTGCTGGACTGCTTCTCGCCGTTTCCCCCCATTAGCACGCAATGTCGACTTGCAATCCGGATCCTAATCGAATTTGCGTTTCAAAAGAACACTCCTTTGATCAATTTTGGTTTCATACTTGAGCGTTGGCAGAAAGTTTCTTCCTTTCCTACTGTTCTAAAGGAGGGGGCAGGGTTTTTTTTTCACTATTATTTGGACTGCAGGCTATGATAATTCTCGGCAAGATTCTGCAAAGAATTCTCGACGAGACAGAGGCGCCTTACGGATTGTGTGTATGGACGGTATGAAAGCTTGGGACATACGGAACAACTGTATTCGGTGTGCAGAAATCGACGATGCAAAACGAGGTTGTGGGGAAGATGACGAGTAGGGAACAGCACGCCGAAACCATGTTTGTGGGACGCATGACGGTGAAGATATGCCAGTTGAGCCTCATCTCATCTCTCGTCATGGATTTAATACCATTGATGTGGACCGTGTACCTACTTCGTTGAAAATGTTTTCTTTTTTTTATTTCTTGACGATAATGAAGATGTTTAAAAGCTTATACACAGCTCTCTCTCATACATTTCTTTCCCCTCCCCAAACCTCCATGATGCTTTTGGGTTCTCAAGTGAAAAAGGACTTTTAGTCACGAACAATCAAGTCCACATTTTTTTTCCACGTCACCTTGACAGACTCAGTCTCCTCCCCAATGATCTCATTCTGGTGGTCATGGCATCGGAGCCTAGGATTTTGGACTGTGCATCTGCATCTCCGGAGCGCCTGGGCCATGCGCGCTGCAAGATCTGCTCGCTGGGCCAGCGCTTGCACCACGGGATCGAGCTCTTCTGGGCCAGAATTCTCGCGGGGCAATCGAGATGGATCATGGGTTCGCGCATCGCGGCCGGAAGGCTCGACTCGTCCTGGGGATCGGTTGCGAGGTGAGCGAGGCCGTAGTGCGGCAGGAACTTTTCGGAGCGAAAGACGATCTCGACGGAGCGGGCCAGCTTGGAGGAGTAAAGCCGGTACGTCTTCTCGTCCGGGGTGCAGTTGGACATGGACGACTCGAGCGAGTCGGTCAGGCAGCGCCACTCGAAGTTCTGCTCGGTCCACGTCTCGCAGTCGGCCATGACGTCCTCGAAGATGGAGCCGCGCAGCATGCGGATCAGGCGCGGGCTGGGCATGTCGTGCAGCGTGGGCGTCGCGCTCTCGTAGTTCAGGATGCAGACGTGCCTGAGGCTGGGCATCGCGTACAGGGCCTGCTTGAGCCAGGCGCACAGGCTGGACTCGAGCACGCCGCCGTACACGGAGACGTGCGGCAGCGGGCGCGGCAGGTGCGAGAAGACGACCAGCGACGTCAACCGGAACCCGAGGCCGGCCAGGTCCGTGTCCAGGCGGGCGGACGCGTATCGGTCGTGCGGCATGCCGCGGGGAAGGCGAAGGGCCAAGTGTCGAATCGCCGCCCTGGCGTCGGGCGCGATCCGGGCCAGATGTCTTGCTCGAAAGTGCTCGGGGTTGGGCCAGTGCTCCGTGTGGATTCTGAACAGCGCCCTCTCGAATGCGACCTTGCTAGCCTCGTGGTAGAGCTGCCGACACGTTCTTAGGAGCGCAAGTGACTTGGCACCGCCGACGCTCCAGTCGCTGTACAACCATTCGAAGATCATGTCCCTCAGTTCGCGGGGCAGATCGAGAAGCGACGGTTTCGGCGACGGACGAGGCTGCTGATGGTCCACGTTCTGGAGTGCGGGCGCCCTGATCGAGCTGGACCGCTTCACGTCGCTCGGCATTTTTCGACGCGAAGACGGCTCGCCTCCAGAATCGGGCGCGGTCTCGAATCCAGCTTGCCTTCCGCTTCGTGACGGACTTTTGTGCAAAGACGGCGCTGACAGACTACTTGGTCTGCTGTCGGCAGTCGGCTCTGCATCTTCCCCGCCCTCCGCTCGCTCAGCGCTGGACTCCAGTTTTGATGACCCAAGACGTTGTCTCAGACGTACAAGAAGAGCAGGCTTGATCCTGTCCTGAGAGAGCATGTAGTCCAGTGTGTGACGAGGCACGATTGGATCCATCAGCAGCCTGAGATCGCAGTTGTAAATGTCAAAAATTGGAGTGCCAACTGTCCTCACTGCTGTTGCTGTTTCAGCATGTCACAGGACAATCCGTGTAAATCACATGACTTGTTCGTATGCAGTCTTTATTATACTTTCGCTGAACGGGTATGCATCTTGACAGCTGCAGCCCGCGCATTGACGGTCGCTTGGCAGCATTCGTCGAGAGGCATGTTCGAAGGTGTCACTGCCGCGCTCGTAAGAGCGCGGTGACGCTGGAGGATGCTCGCCTGGCATCGCATTCATGAGCATTTCGGTAGCACGCGGCTTAGGGAGCATGTGGCGGAGCGGCATCGATCAGAGTCCCGTCAAACATCCAAATTTTCTCGCATGCCGCAAGATCCTCGGGGGATTGCCAGCAGGGTGAAAAGCTGTCGCTGCTCAAGCCGCGAAGGCTGACTCTCCGGCGAGAAGACACGTGTTTGAAACGCTCGGCCGGTCCAAGGACAAACCGTGTGCGTTTGAGATCCTCGTCCAAGCTCTTTTGCGACTTGCGCGACCGCAGCCCCTCCGATGTGCAGACGAGCGGTCAAACGAAAATGAGCACGGCGTGATGCGGGTAGAGATGCTGTTGGGCGACGGCCGGCGAGCACGACTCAAGAGCGCTCGTTTCAGAAGCTGCGCATGCCACTCCCCCCCCCCCATATCCAAGACGTCGAAAGACGAAGACTCGGGACGGCAGGGCACCGCACGCCTCGGGAAACCCAGCAGAAAGTCATCAGCGAGTATGTCAACCCTGCCAGATGGTCTGGGACACCCATGAGGGGAGACGGGGAAAGGTAAACGAAGAAGCACGGACGCGAGCAAGGGAGCGACGGTCTTGTGCGATCGCGGCCTGTGCCGGCTGAGATTGACGCACAGTTTGCCATGTGGTGGCGCTCGGCTTGTCTTCTCAATGCGATCTCACTTGCATAATCGTCTCCACGCGAGATGGCGATAAGCCCGGGTGCCATCACGTGTGCTGGACGCCTTGAACTCTCAGCGGTCCCGCGTCGGTGGACGACCCGAACGACGGAAGACGGAAGGATGGCTGTCCATTCCTATTTGTCATTCATTGATTGAAAACGGAGAAGCGGACGGCCGAATGCTACCAGCGGATCGAGTGTGGCCTGGCCCAAGTCAACGGAGTCAAAAGGGCATCTCGCACACATGATCGAAGACGAAGAGCACCGGCTGGCGGTCAATAACCACATCTGATTCCATCGTGCATACAAGAATCTGCGATTTGCTTGCAGCAAAACTAACTCTACATACGTTAAAATTGCACGCATGCACAATGCCTCGTGGTCAGATCTGACGCCATCGTCCCGAGCGAAGCACTTAGCGGCAGAAAGATGCGCCCGTATTGATGGACGACGCTCTGTGCGCATCTTCCCGTGCGTGCGCGAAAAATGGTGATGTTGCCGACCCCCCTAGAACGCCTCGATAGCAGTGGTTTGGCTTGCCAGCCCCCGCCCCGGGTCAGCGTTTGCCTGTGGTGCAATATGACGAGAATTCAAGAGAGAAATTCCGACTCCCGTGAGTTGTGCGCTTAAACGCCCCGACCCGCCCGCCGAATGCACCAAAATAAGTATATGTAAAACAAAGTTTCCTGTCGCGAGCGCTCCGTGGACTTGAATTCTGGGGTACAGCTCGCTGTACCTCCATCGTGGTTGGCGTTAGCCTCAGTCGCAAGACGGAATAGAGCCGTCGTTGATCCTTCGTCCTCCCTCAGGGTGCCTGTTAAGCATAGCAATGACACGCCTCAATAAGGTCTGAAGCCGCGCATATGCCCTCCACGTCCTCCGCCACGATAGTTAGCACCAGGTCTTCCGGCATTCCTTGGTCCCGTAGGTGCGTTGGCGGGTGCAGTTGGCGCATTGGGAGGCGGATTGCCGCCCGGGTGGCCTGCGCCGACATCATGCTTCTGTCCTCCGCGGCGACCACGGCCTCCTCCGAAGCCAGCGCGACCGGCATGGTTGCTGCCACTCGGGCCAGTAGGGATCATGTTCGGTTGCGGCACGTCGTCGTACATGCCTTCCCAGCTCGTAGGGCCATACCCTCCCTGCTGCGACTGATATTGCGATTGCTGCATCCGAGCCATTTGCTGCTTCTCGTACTTTTGGCGTTCAAAATCCATCTGCTCTTGCGAGTTGAAGCCTTGTCCACCTTGGTTTCCAGGAGCTGCCTGCTGCATCATCTGATTTTGCATGCCTGCAGACATTGCGGGGCCTCCATTGGCCATCTGGGCCGTACCTCCAGGAGACATCATACCCTGCCGCTGTGCCATCATCATTTGCATCATGGCTGGATTCATGCCGCCCATCATGTTCGGCATCTGGCTTTGAGCAGCCATATTGCGTGCCATCATTGTCTGCATGTTTCGGAAGTACTCCTGCATCTTGAACCAGTAGGCCGCCATTTGCGCTTGGCTCATCCCATTCGTGTTCTGTGCTTGACCTTGACCTTGTTGGAATTGGTCTTGACCGTTACCATCAAATTGACCACCTTGATCGTTGCCGGCTCGGCCACCGCGCTTGCCAAACTTGCCGCCTGCACCGCTTTTGTCGTCGTGGACGTTACCTCTGGGCTCCGCACGTTTGACTTCAATCGGCTTGCCATGAATGGCAAGTGGCTGCTGAAGTGTCCTGTCAACAGCATCCTCACCATCGAAGGTCACAAAACCAAAGCCACGTGGGCGACCGGTGTCCTTGTCCATCATAAGTGTTGCATCAATAACGCGCCCGAACTTCATGAAGAACTCCTTGAATTGTTGCTCAGTACATTCCTGGCTTACACCGCCAACGAAAATCTTGGCTGTGCGTTCTTGTTCCTCGCGGGGGATAGCACGCTTAGGATCAATCTAAATAAATCGTAAGCTTGTTTCCGGCAGGAATACAGGTAAGCGTCTTCAAAATGATTTTGCGTGATACGTACAATCTTGCCATCCAGGTGGTGCTCTTTGACCATGACGATATTGACCGTCTTCGGATCTTTGAATGTCAGAAAACCGAACCCTCTAGAGCGGCCTGTAGCTCCGTCACGCATAACTGTGCATTCAACGACCTCTCCAAACTGCGAGAAATAGTCCTTGAGCGATTCTGAAATAATTCAATAAGTTAGTAGTCTGGAGGTGCGAAAGTGGAGTAAACCGGGGGACGGTGAAGCATGAACAAGGGGAGAGAGGCTCACGATCTGTTGTTTCCCAGTTCAAACCGCCGATGAACATTTTACTAAATACCAGTTATGTTAGCTCTACATAAACGAAGACCCTGTGGTGTCAAAAACACATCGGATTCAATTGAAAAGAAAAGATCAGTAGCTCTTTCGTTGAGCGGGCAACGGCCAGACGTAGACAACATGAAAAATCTCTACAACCCATGAGCCATGAAGCCATAGCACATGAATCATGAAGAAGGCGTGAAGATATCATGTTGCAGCATTCGATAGTCTCGGAGTGCTATCATGCTTTGAATGTTTCCTCGTAATACTGCATATATAGCAGAGGCTGCCAACAGAGTGTATAGACTTGTGGGCTGCATGCAGTCTAACCAATTCCGGTCCGTTACTTGAAGGCTCTGGAGTTTGCAAATGATGAATACCACTCAAGACCGTCGCATGGGAGTACCATTAGTCATCCCATTTATGCTCCTCTGGACAGGGTTTGGGTTTTATTCATTGGCAGCCATTTCCGTCGTACGTCAAATTCGCTGTGGTAACCCATGTCACTGCGCTGGATCGTACAACTCTTCCTCTTGAGCCTTCGCGCCGTCGGTGCAATTTGACTGCCAGACTGGCATCGGCATGGCCCCCTCCGTCTGACCTAGCAAGGATCTTTGGTTGATCCGTTTATATATTGCTCAAAACACAGGTGTTGCATATGAATCAACATTTTTCTAAATAGCCCGGCATTGTCTTGTAATGTCTATGCGATCTCAAGTGGCCAACGGGAGCTTGTCAGGGCCAAGATGTGCGGAAAGGCACAATATGGTTTCTCGATTTGATGATGTGCTTCTTCTTTCTCTATGGCTTTTGCTTCTCTGCTATCCGTTCTTGCTTCAGCTCGGCGCCCAGGGGTGCCATTGTCCGAGTGTGCTGCTGTTGCTCTATGAAGACTACAGTCTACGTAGGACCTGGTGACAGTATGTGACAGTAGTAGTAGCCGTAAGCTTTGCTTCGCAATATATCGAAGAGTGCGTGAGATATGTACTTTTTGCAATGTGTCATCAATGACAAACTTGCCGGTGATTGTTTCCTTTGAACCCTTTGCCGGAGCATATGCCCTGCTTCGTTGCCCAAAGCCATCAGTAGCCTCAGCATAGAACTCTTGTTCCATGGAAAAGTGAAAGTCCTCAACGAACGCAGCTCATAAGAACTAAATCTTCTTCATGAGAGCCCCTCATATTCAAGCCACGACCCGACAGTAAACAGCTTGATTGACTCCGTCTCGCTCATCCAGCTCACCGGGGTCAAACATTTCTTTTACTAGAGTATACGTCGCAGGTTCAAGGTTCCACCAGCTGATATGATCGATCGACAACACAATTGCGTCGAATAGGTCCGCTGTACAAGCGCATGACCAAAGCTTTTCCTGCAGCAACTCGACTACCATTCCGTGCAAGTTCCACACTTGAACGTAGCTAAACACTCATTGCCGCCAAGCTACTTTCCACTTCAAGCTTAGGAAGTGCGTACGCTCACCAAGATATTCCACGTCCTGGTTCAAATATGGGTCTCTAAGGTTGCTGCGACTGTCCGTTGTATTGCCCTCGACTCGGCTACTGGGTACAGAGAACTTAAGGGAGAAAAGGGGTAAAAGTACACAGATTGAGGGAAAAACTCACCCGTCCTCTTTCATGCCAATCGGTTCATGGGCATCTTCCTCATGGCCAACGCCATTAGAGCCCGCACCGTTGTTGTCGCCATCGGAACTGTTACTTCCATTATTCTGGGTGCTCGCATCGTTGTTCATTTGTGCTTCATTCGAAGGTTGTGGTATCGACTGCGAATTAGAGTCTGCGGGTTGGGCGACTGTTTGCGGTGGACCCGCGTCATTTACAGCAGGCTGTTCAGCTGGTGGTTGGGGTGCCGGCTCGTCATCGTCGTAGCTGGGCATTCGTATCAGTGGTTCTGTGTGGGTTGGTCGGAGGCCAAAAGGTGCTTACATGTCGGCGAAGATATCGTCATCGTTGTTCTCGAACTCACTCATGCTGGATCGTTCTCAGGGGCAGAGGGAAAAAGAACAATGAACTGACTCAGGTCAGAAGAGATTTGCACGAAAGTCCTTGAGAATAGCGCGCAACGTAAAGCAGCGCGAAGTTCCCTATTTCTGAGTAAGGACTGCCACTTGAGCAGTGGGCGTGCAAAGTTGCAGATGCTGAGCAATTTGATGCAAGACTGCGGGTTTCTCTTTAATGACGATGGATAGAGAGGAAAATGGTGGAGGTTGCCAGATGAATCAGCGAAGAAGTGCTCCCGTCACAGTTCATTGTTGGCGAGCGCATTTGCTCCTTTCTTTGCCGAAGTAGCAGCCTTAATGCCTAATGGAGTAAGGCACAAAACTCAAACCACCGACTTAACAGTCGGCGGAGACATCGAGCTTTGTTATGAGGGAGGGTTGTTCGCTCGTTGAAAAATGGCGAAGAAGGTCAATCAGCAGGTATTAATAGTCACAACCCCGATACAAACAATGTGCTAACTTGTGCATGGCCAGGAGATGGTGCAGGTCGGTTCGTAACCTTTTGACTGGGCATGCAACAATGCGGCCATTGTATCTTCAGATGACTAATTCTTAAACCTTCGGCGTTTGTACAGACCGCTCCGAGTATGTCATAACCTTTACGCAAGCGTATCGTTGGCTCTGGTCTCTGATTATACTCCCAGGTCTGCCTCACCGTTTTGGCGCTCCAATGCTACGAGCCCGACTAACAGGAACCATGAGAAGAAGGTGGTTGGTGCTGCATACTCGCATGCTGATATATTGAAATTCGACTCACTGTATGAAGACAATCAAAGCGTACTGGCTCGAGAAATATAGCTACTGACTTCCTGGTATAGTTCATTGTCTGGCAACGCACGGCCACGAACCCCGCCATCCCACTCCCAGAGTCGTGAAACTTCAGCAGCACCAAGTAAGACAAGTAACAAGTTCAGTTCACCTACTCCCCCAAGATCGTACACTTCCTTCATCCGGGACAGCCAGAAAGCATGGGAAACGAATGACGACGATGACGGCGACGACGACGAACTTACGTATGATGATGACGAAGATGAATTCGGTCTTCCCAGCATAGCTAGCATGCGCAGAAAGGACAAATTGTTAGAGGCAAAAAAGCGAAACGACCCTGGTGGAGGCAAACACGGAACATCGAGCAATGGCTTCGGCTCCTCGACTGACGGCCTGTGGAGGGTCAACACTGGAGACATTGCTGAAGAGCGTGGCATACCCACGTACCCTGTCGCCAAAAAATCAGAGGGAAAGACACTTCGCCCGCAGTATAAAGATATCCTGAGGGATCCTGCAAATTCTCTACATCTTATCAATCATCCCTCTTTGCCGCCAAATGCATCTCCCAAAGAGGTCGAGGCACATAATGCTCGCTTGTCTCGCATAAATAAATTTAAGCGTATACTGCAGACGAGCAATATATCATTACCAGACCTCAGGTCATGCGCTTGGTCAGGTATACCAACAGAGGTTAGAGCTATGGCTTGGCAATTGCTACTAGGATATCTACCTACCAGCAGTGAGCGCCGCGTCGCAGCTCTAGAGCGAAAACGAAAGGAATATCTCGACGGCGTACGGCAAGCCTTCGAACGAGGGACTCTGGGTAGCTCTGATCCCGTAGCTAGTGGTGTCGCTGGCTCTGCTGTTGTTGGCACAACTTCTTCGTCCACGAACCGAGGGCGCGGGCGAGGATTAGACGAAGCCATCTGGCATCAGATTAGCATCGACGTGCCACGTACTAATCCCCATTTGGAGCTGTATAGCTATGAAGCGACACAGCGCTCATTGGAGCGCATCCTCTATGTCTGGGCAATACGACATCCCGCCTCGGGATATGTTCAAGGCATAAATGACTTGGTCACACCATTCTGGCAGGTCTTCCTAGGCGCGTACATTACCGACCCTGATATCGAGTCCGGTATGGACCCAGGACAGCTTCCTAAACCTGTATTAGATGCAGTAGAGGCCGATTCCTTTTGGTGTTTGACCAAACTGCTTGATGGCATTCAGGATAATTACATCTTTGCACAGCCCGGAATTCAGCGGCAGGTCGCGGAGTTGAGGGACCTAACCACGCGCATTGACGAGGCGCTTGCCAAGCATCTGGAGAAAGAAGGTGTTGAGTTCATCCAATTCAGCTTTCGGTGGATGAACTGCCTTCTCATGAGAGAGATCAGTGTGAAGAACACGATTCGCATGTGGGACACGTACATGGTATGCCTTAACCGCTCCTTAATCTCGTACTAACCACAAAACTAACAAGTTTCATATTCTGTGTAGGCCGAAGACCGTGGCTTCTCTGATTTCCATCTTTATGTCTGTGCCGCGTTTTTGGTCAAATGGTCCGATCAGATCCTGAAGATGGATTTCCAAGAGATAATGATGTTCTTGCAATCCCTGCCAACCAAGCACTGGACCGAGAAGGATATCGAGCTGCTTCTTAGCGAGGCATTCATATGGCAGTCTCTTTTCCGAGGCAGCAGCGCTCATCTCAAGGGACAGTCCAGTGGAAGGCCGAGTTTAGGGGCAGGAACAGGAGGGGGAATGCTGGGCCCAGGTGGCTAAGCTTTGGGTTATAGGATACATAATAGACAGAGTTCCTTTGGGTACGTTTCTTTGGGGATATGATGCAACTTGAAATGCGCGTCCAGCGATTTCTCAAGCCGGCGAAGTCAATGGTCTTGAACAAGACATGAAGGAAATAGTGCTGCGTTAAAGCATGCAGGCGGCCCATTTGCGGGAGCATTAATTTTTTTTTTTCAACGTTTCGTCTATTTGACGCAAAATGAGCTTTGCATTGGCTTTATTAATTCCACTGTCTTGAAATATCTTTGCCATAGGCCAAGCCAAGGCCACTCCTCACTAGCCCTCTTTGTAAGGCTCGAAAGCGGAGCAGATTCCGTGCGAAACTCACGTCATTGACGGATCGGAGTGGATTCGCGATCGATGTCCGTACTGCACGTTTCTAGAGTCTTGTTCTGTGTTACAAATACAGCGACTCGTAATCACCAAGAATATGAATATCGCGCGCTTTTCTCTTCTCTCGTGATCTGGGCTATAAAAATTTCTCCATACAGGTCTATATCTATCTTCTTCTCTTCTCTTGCATTGCCACGGTAGTTTTATCACTTAACAACCATGGTGGATTCGGTCGTTGCCCCAAAGGGCATTCGTATCGCCATAGATGTAAGAAATCATCGAAGGTGTTACTTAAACTTGGGCTAATGCATGGACAAGCGTGGTGGGACTTTTACCGACTGTGTTGGCAATCCAGGAACTGGGAAGATGTCTGACGACGTGATAATAAAATTGCTCTCTGAGGACCCTCAAAATTACGAAGATGCACCTCTTGAAGGTATACGGCGACTGCTTTCGAAGTTCTCTGGAAAAGAGATTCCTCGCGGTCAGCCACTAGATACGTCAAAAATAGAGAGTATACGAATGGGGACTACTGTGGCAACCAATGCGCTCCTGGAGAGAAAGGGCGAAGACATTGCGATGGTGGTTACAAAAGGCTTCAAAGACTGTCTGGAAATTGGGAATCAGAGCCGACCAAACATTTTCGACTTGGCAATACGAAAGCCGGATGTATTGTACAAGAGAGTGGTCGAAGTAGACGAAAGGGTCACGTTAGAGGACTATGCGGAAGATCCAGAACGCACAAAATCGGATGCGCCATCGAGAGACAAGTCTGGAAACGATGACGAGCTTGTCATGGGCTTGTCGGGCGAAGCAGTACGAATTTTACAGAGGCCTAACGAAAATCGAATACGAGAGCAGCTCCAGGAGGTTTTTGACTCGGGTATCAAGAGCGTGGCTGTTTGTTTGATGCATGCATACACATATCCTGACCATGAAGCGCTTGTTGGGAAAATAGCAAAGGAAATTGGGTTCGAGCACGTGAGCTTATCCCACGAGTTAATGCCTATGATAAAGTTAGTGCCGCGAGCGACCTCTGCGTGTGCCGATGCATACCTCACTCCAGCAATCAAGAAATATATCTCAGGATTTCAGAAAGGATTTGAGGGAGGACTCGGCACCGAAAGTGTTAAACGTGAGAATGGTGGCAAGGGCGCTCGTTGTGAATTTATGCAATCAGATGGTGGATTAGTTGATGTCGACATCTTCTCGGGACTTCGAGCGATCCTCTCAGGACCTGCTGGAGGAGTGGTAGGTTACGCACTTACCTCGTATGACCCCGAAACCAAAATACCTGTCATTGGTTTTGATATGGGCGGCACTAGCACGGATGTCAGCCGCTATGGTCAAGGCCGATATGATCATGTTTTTGAGACGACAACTGCAGGTGTCACCATTCAGTCGCCACAACTTGATATCAATACAGTTGCGGCTGGCGGTGGATCAAGACTCTTTTGGCGCAATGGTCTCTTCGTTGTCGGCCCCGAGTCCGCCAGTGCTCATCCGGGCCCAGCATGCTACCGCAAAGGAGGTCCCCTTACAATTACAGACGCTAATCTCTTCCTTGGACGACTACTGCCGGATTTCTTTCCCAAGATATTTGGACCAAATGAAGACCAAGGGCTGGATGAGGAAGCAAGTAGGAGGCAATTTGAAGAGCTAGCCAAGAAAATCAACGAGGATATCACCAGCAGCGGGAAGGAGAAGGAGATGTCACTCGATGAAGTTGCATATGGTTTCATCAAGATTGCAAACGAAACTATGACAAGGCCAATCAGAAGTTTGACAGAAGCCCGTGGCCACGATACTAGCAAGCATCGTTTGGCAACTTTTGGTGGTGCTGGTGGACAGCATGCGGTTGCCATTGCGGAAGCGCTTGGAATTCGGCAAATCCTTGTGCACAGGTACAGCTCAGTCCTGTCAGCCTACGGAATGGCTCTCGCAGATGTGGTCGATGAAAGACAGGAGCCGGAATCAAAGGTATGGTCTAACGAAGATGATGTAAAGCAGTACTTGCAGAAGAAGATGGAGGACCTCAAGGAAAAATCACGGAACAGACTGCGCGACCAAGGGTTTGATGACGAGCAGATACACTTTGAAGAGTATCTCAACATGCGATATCGTGGGACGGAATCCGCTTTGATGGTCATCAAGCCGGACAAAGACGAGTTTAACGGAAATGAGTGGGCTTTTGGCGATGCATTTATCAAACAACATGAACAAGAGTTTGGTTTCACTTTGCCCGACCGGGACATTATTGTTGACGATGTCCGAGCTAGGGGAATTGGAAAGACTTTTCAAGGTTTAGAGAAGACAGTAGATCAACAGCTCAAGGAGGTCAAACCGAAAGATCTCAAAAAAGGAGAAAAAGTCTACAGAACCTCGCAAGTCTACTTTGAAGGTGGCAGACAAGAAACGCCGATTTACAAGCTTGAAGAGCTCTCCACAGGCGATCGAGTCTCCGGTCCTGCAATTATTGCTGATGGAACCCAGACCATTGTGGTCACACCCGGTGCGACAGCATTGATGATTGAGACACATGTCGTCATCAATATCGGCGAGGGTGAGATGCAAGACAAGAAGTTGACCACCAAAGACGTCGACCCTATCATGTTGAGCATATTTGCCCATCGTTTCATGGCGATCGCCGAGCAGATGGGTCGTGCGTTGCAGAAGACCAGCGTGAGCACAAATGTAAAAGAGAGACTAGACTACTCATGCGCACTGTTCGATGCCGAAGGCGGACTAGTTGCTAACGGTGAGCATATTTGACGTGTCACAGTCTAACAAGCTGACACTGCACAGCACCACATTTGCCAGTACATCTTGGCAGCATGTCCACATGCGTTCGCAAGCAAGCCGAAATATGGAAAGGAAGGCTCAAGAGAGGCGACGTCCTTGTATCGAACCATCCCATGTTTGGAGGCACACATCTGCCTGATATAACTGTCATCACTCCCGCGTTCAGTGGCGATAAGATTGTCTTCTACGTTGCATCAAGAGCGCATCACGCAGATATTGGCGGCATTTTACCTGGATCGATGCCGCCCATGTCTCGAGAGCTATATCAAGAAGGTGCCGCCATCAAATCTGAAAAGTTGGTATCCGAAGGCAAGTTCAACGAAAAACGTATTACAGAGCTTTTGTTCGACGAGCCCGCGCGGTGGCCAGGCTGTAGCGGTACCCGATGCTTGGCAGATAACATAAATGATTTGAAGGCTCAGGTGGCAGCAAATCAAAAAGGCATCAATCTTATTTCCACGCTTATCGAGGAGTATGGGGAGGAAGTTGTGCAATTTTACATGCATAGCATTCAAGATAATGCCGAGAGGAGCGTAAAAGAGCTACTAAAGGAAGTCAGCAAAAGGTTCGAGGGCCAGGACCTAACCGCAATCGACTACATGGACGACGGTAGTCCGATTAAACTGAAAATAAGCATCGACTCTGAGAAGGGAGAAGCAATTTTCGATTTTGACGGTACCGGTCCTGAGGTTTATGGTACGAAGCGTGAAGCTCTCAAAACAATTGTACAAAGCTAATGCATCTTAGGTAATACGAACGCTCCAGAGGCCGTGACGTACTCAGCTATCATCTATTGCCTGCGTTGCTTGATCAAAGAAGACATTCCCCTCAATCAAGGTTGTCTAAAGCCGATCCATGTTAAGATACCGAAACGGTCATTCTTATCACCTTCAGATAAGGCTGCTGTAGTAGGTGGAAATGTTTTGACATCTCAGCGGGTGACGGACGTTGTTCTCAAGGCCTTCAATGCTTGCGCTGCTTCTCAAGGTGACTGCAACAACCTTACCTTCGGCTTTGGTGGCAACCAGTCTGGAGGCGATGCTGTCAAAGGATTTGGATACTACGAGACAATCGCAGGAGGCTCAGGAGCAGGGCCCACATGGGATGGCACCAGTGGTGTGCATACTCATATGACAAACACAAGAATAACGGATGCCGAAGTATTCGAGCGTCGGTACCCGGTCATACTACGCGAATTCTCCTTGCGCGCAGGCTCAAGGGGAAGGGGTCAACACGACGGAGGAGATGGTGTAATTCGTGATATCGAGTTCCGAATACCGGTGAAAGTGAGTATTTTAAGCGAACGCAGGGTCTATCGTCCATACGGTCTTGATGGTGGAGAGGATGCCCAATGCGGGCTCAACCTTTGGGTTCGCAAGGTACCAAAGAGTGATAAATTTTCAGATGATGCACCTAGCGGCACTTCGACACCTAGTACGAATGGACAGAAGGAAAAAGGTTCTGGTGATGAGGAAGAACAGTATAGATACATCAACCTGGGAGGCAAGAACACAGCGGATATGCAACCGGGTGAACGTATCATCGTGATGACACCCGGAGGAGGTGGGTGGGGCAAGATCGGGGAGAAAAGCAAGGCCGTGAAGGAGAAGGATCCAAAGCATGCTTGGAGACAGGGAAGTGTTGCTATGAGACAGTCTGAAGCGGAGGCGTCAGCATAAAGCTCTCGTTTTTGGTGTGAACAACACGTGCGACATCTGCCTGGAAGAAGCTGCGAATAGAAGTATTGGATAAATTCAGACAGCACTTGGAATGACATATCCGGTTGGCCTTTGTACTATGATCGCGGCTGCGGTTGTGGCTGAGACTGATGCATACATTTCAACAGGGTAGAGTCCAATGTACTCGAAGCACCCCAAGGTGCTAAGCCTAGACTGATTGACCACCAAGCTCGCGCCTGAAATAGCATTACGAATTGCTTAGCTCAGGTCAAGCGCAAGCCCCAGCACCAGCCTTGTGGGAAAGATCTTTGCGTCTACATGTCCTCGACGGTTGAGAGGCTCCAAACCGCCGATTAGAACTAAAGGGCGTTTCATCCTTGTCAAACAAAGCGGCACAGAACAAGCAGCCTTTCTCTGTGGCCGTGCTCCAAATGAAACCTTGTGGACGCCCCCAACTTACATCCAGAACGGGAAATCGGAGAAGCCATGCAGAAATCCTCAGGAGGCACCGCTTATCTCGTCGGAGCAGTTGCGTTGCAATGGCATCCTTAAGAATGATGAATAATATCCTTAACGTGTTCTCGAGTGATCTATTTCTTTCGTTTCTGCTGTGTCCGCCTTTCAATTGTTTTTTGTGTGTCTTGCAAACTTCATCATGTACCAGCTCGTATCTAGTACGTCGACGCACGGTGGCCATGTTCATCGAGGCCGGAATGGCATAAACTGGAGAATTCCGTCGCTAATGGTTGCTTCTTTCCTTGCCGGTGGTATTTTCATCCTCGGGCATCATCTCTTTTATCAGTCGTTACATCATCAGGCGACAAGCAATGCTTTGTTTCAGCAACAGGTCAACATTGGCATCGGGACAGCGTTCGCATTCATCGTCAAGATGTTCTTAGTAATAGCCGTGAGCACCGGATATTGGCAGGTCTTTTGGTTGCACATGAAGAGACATGCCGTACCAGTGGAAAGGATCGATGCCATGAACGACATTTTGGAGAACGCTTTGCAGTTCTTGAGACTGAAGACTCTGGGACGGTTTCCGCTGTTGGGGTTCATTGCTGCAATAACATGGCTCTTACCACTGGCTGCCGTCGTCCCACCCGCCGCCCTGACGATTGAGCTGTCGCCAGTACCAGTTGAAACACAGCAGCAGATGAATATACCAGTACTCAATTTCAACACCGGTGAATACGCGCAAATTGCGCAGGGCGGTTCTGGAGCAGGACAAAGTAAGAATTTCGATGGAGCGAGATACAAAGTCAGCAGAATATCGAGTGCTGCCGCATTCTCAGGCAGACTGCAGCAATTCAGTCGTCCTGCAGCAAATTCTACCTTCGCAGTTACCTTCCACGGTCCGGCATTGCAATGCCAGAACCTTGCCGATGATTTGGCTGCGACGTTTACCACGAACATTAGTCATATCCTGGGCTGTGACATCACGGAGAAATACCCAGGCGACAATAAAGGGCTGCCCGCGTGCTTTGTTCAGCCCATGTACATGGCGTGGGCACCCAATGAAACGAACACAGTAGCTTTCTCTGGAGCGACTGGCCAAAGTCAAGAATCACCATGGATAGCAAACACAATCGGGCCCAGTGGAAGTGCAGAACCTGCGCAGTTTTATGTCGCGTCGCAGCCTAAAATCGAGGGCGGGGGAAACTGGACCTATGTTGGATGCCAGTTGTACAACGCGACGTACCATCTCAACGCCACATTTACCAGTGGAAATCAGCTTATCAATATAACACAGCGAGACATTGCGGAAGGCGTCTCCTACATAACGACTCTGGACATCATCGGCTCAGCGTCTGCAAATGGCACCGATCCACTAAGCGGTGAAGAGGCCTACGTCTTTACAAATTTAGAACATTTCGGGTATCAATCGCTCATGGACATGTTCGGGCATCTCATAGCCGGCCAAATAACCATCTATTCACGTAATGCGGCCGGCTCGTTCAACTTCAGCACGAGCTCGACGAGCGTGATGCAGACAGCCCTAGCTGACACAGTCGAGTTACGACCCATCTTCGAGCTCGCCCAGACCTGCAACAACGGTGTCACAAACTGCCTCAGTGACAACACTACCAACAAGAATCTCAATATCACCGCGCCAAAAAATGGAACACGCCTCCCACAGGCGTTGGAGGAGCTTTTCCAAAACATGACCCTCAGCCTCTTCAGCGACGACGTATTTCTTACGAAGAAGGCGGACTCTCCACAAGTCAACGTGATTCTCCGTTCCCCGCAGAATCGCTACGTGTATACGGCCTGGCGTTTGGTCGTTCCGTACATGGTTGGCCTCGGCCTCAGCGCCGTCGGACTCGCCTTCGGATTCTGGGCCTTGCTCGTCAACGGCGTGAGCTACAGCCAGAGCTTCTCTACCATCGTGCGCACCACGCGGTACGCGCACATGGACTCGGAAATCCAAGCAAAAGACGTCGTGGGCGCGGACCCCACGCCGACATACATCAAGAAGGCAAAGATTAACCTCAGCTCAATTAGAGAGAACTTGGAGATGAAAGGGAGTCACCATCGAGACGATGCGCTGAGCGAATGATAGGCAGAGAGACCTTTGTACATACGAGACACGAAGCTATTTTGCTATGCAAAACATATGAATGACCAACAAGAAATTATGAATTCAGCCACTCAGACCTAGACCTTGCAGTCGTGGACGTATCATACATTTCCCATCGCGCTTTTGTTCACTGTTCTCTGCGGACTAGCTTTTTCTATAACTCTGGTGAGGCTCGATTTCTCTCCTCTGAAATCTATGACTTCTAGCTCTCTGGAAACATTAGAAACACCCATCGTCTTGAGTGAGCCCATGGGAAATTCACTCCAGACTTCAATTCATGCGGAGTTGTGTGTGTTCCCGATCCTATGAACAAACAAGACAGGTCTTCCGCAAAGCTGAGCTTCTAGATTCCAATATGCAGCGACCGAGATATAATCAAAGATAGGATATGGGCAGCATTAAGAGCCAATGCTGTACCTTGAAATGCTATCTCTTTGCACATTCCTCCGCCATAATCTCTACAAACTTCTCAACCATATTGTCGCTCTTCTTGCTTCGTCCAATCGCTGTCAGAATATCTTTCACGCCAACACCGACCCGGTCCTTCCCTGTCTGTTCTGAGAGCCACTTGGGTATCGTTCGAATCGCCCGCTCGTCAAAAGCGCCGGAACCGGCCAAAACGGCAGCCAATTCTTGTCCATTAAGCACGTAAGGCATAGCTGTCTCTGTTGAGAATGCATTTAAAAGACCCAGTCGCGACAACACTCCACGCTCCGAAGTTGTGCACAAGATGAGTCGATTGCGACCCGGTGGAGGCAACTTGCGGATGAACGTTCTCAAAGTTTGTAGTACTGAGTTCGAGAAGCGCGGTCCGACTTCCACGTAGTCGATTATAGCCTCGATTTCATCGACAACGATAAGGGATGTTGTCGACTTGTCCGCATCTCGGAATACCTTATCGAGATAGCCAACCTTCTGGCTTTCGTTCATACCAACCATGTTGTTCGGTGTGATAAATTTCACAAAGGGGAAGCCGGCATCGAGCGCCAGCTTGGCTGCGATACCTGTCTTGCCCGTGCCAGGAGGACCATAGATCAAGGTGGAGAGAAGTTGCAAATCACCATCCTTAACAGCCTGGGCAGATAATGCACCCTCCTGTAGAATTCGACGAACAGTTTCGGAGAAAGTGAAGAAACCGCCGGAAAGTGCTTGATCTAGTTCTTCCTCAGCAACACCAAACAGCGGAACTACCTCCTTGTTGTCAAGTGCTCTTTGGAAGTCCTCCTAAAACAAAATGTAAGTCATCGTCTAAATGTTACACTCATTCTTTCATGGTGGCATTAAAGTTTGCTGGACCATGCAAATGACTGATCTAAGAAATAAACGGCGGAACCTACCATTTTAATGCGAATATCCGTGATATCTTCAGACAAACTAGCCATTGTGCCAACTTTAACATGACGGGTCTGCGCCCAGGACACCGCTGCACGGACTAATCCCGCTATTTCTGCACCAGAAAAGTTCTTCGTTGATTTGGCAAGCTGTAGCAAATCTACGTCGGGATCGAGGCGATTGCTAGCCCGAATTTTAGAGGTATGGATTTTCAAAATATCCACGCGTCCCTTTTCATCAGGCAGGCCGATCTCCAGATGGACTTCTAAACGACCCGGACGTAGCAACGCCTCGTCAATCATATCTTTCCGATTCGTCATGCCGATAAGAAGGATGTTGTTCAGAGCGTCAACGCCATCCATCTTCGAGAGGAGCTGATTGACGACTGAATCGCCGACGCCAGTTCCGCCGGTCCCGGAACCACGCTGTTTGCATACGGCATCTAGTTCATCGAAGATGATGACGTGAAGCTCCGACTCGTCTCCTTTCTCCTTGTACTCCTTTTCGGCATCGGCGAACAGTTTACGGATATTTTCCTCAGAAGCACCAACGTATTTATTGAGCACCTCAGGGCCGTTGACGATCTTTGGCTCTCTTGCATTGAGCATCTTACCAATCTGCCGCGCAATGAGAGTCTTTCCAGTGCCTGGTGGACCATAGAGCAAGAGACCCTTGACGTGAGTTGTACCAAGTTGCTCCATCAATCCTAGCGGCAGCAAACGAGATGCAAAGGCTTTGCGAAATATAGTCTCGAACTCCTTGTCCAGTCCACCAATGCCGAGACTTTCAAACTTAAAGTTCGGTGCAATTATGGATGTGCCTGCTGGCTTCTTCATTGACGCTATATGTGCGTTAGATTGTAAAGGTTGAATTTGAGAAAGGTATGGCAACCACGTACCTTTCAGTTTGATGCCCGAGCTAGGATCTTTATAAAAGTTGACCTGTGTTCTCTTCGTAACAATGCCTCTTGAATTCGGATCATCTGAGGCGGGTCGTGCAGCCTCCTTCTCCTGACTAAGATCTACGAGTTCAATATTCGATAGCGTAAGCTCTAGGGGAATATTGTTGACGTCCATGAGCAATATCTGGCCAGGAGCCAGGATCTGATTCTCGAAAGTATGTGTGAAGATGTCGTTTAGCATTTGCTGATCGTATGGTTGGTCCGTCGTCTTCTTCGCCAACTTAAACGCCAACTGGCAATCGACAGAGTAAATATAGCCGCTCTGCTCACCCTCGGTCATGGGCTCGTACCGCTCTACGTTCACAGTGTACCCAGGACCTAGGCCGATCCGCGCCCACGACCTCTGGTTGTCCGTAAATCCGATCATGCCTGGCGGACACTGCTGTATCGGTCGGGCTGTAAACACATATTGGCCATTTACTATGATATAGAGCTCCTGCTGATTGCCGAAATCGATCGGGCTTACAGAAACAAGATTGCTGAATGCGAAGCTGTTGCCGCCGTGCGACTTCTCCGGCTGTAGCTGCAACACCTGACCGCCTCGCATGGGCACGTTTTGTCGCTGGCCTGGCGCGGGTCCGCGACCGCCGACTGGGGTTCGTTGGGGTACTCCGTAGCCACCTCTTGGATCTTCATAGCCGCCCATGCGGGTGTCACCTCCACCATAGTTATTAGGCGGTTGTTGTTGCGGGCGTGAGTAATTCTGGTAACCGCCACCTGCGTCTCTCTGAGGTGGGGGGTTCGCACCCCCAGCGCCGAATCTATTGAACATGCTGGAAGCACTCCAAGGCACCGTCTGATCGTCTAATGAGTAGCTAAGAGTACCGCGTAATGTAAGTGGTGTCTATGGACTCGTCTTTCAGCCGTGTACAGATAGTGGTCAGAGGGATCTGACGTCGGAAAGCGCAACTGGAGGTCCAGAGGTAAGGACGTGGCGGCTGTGCTTAGTTGTGGACAGATTTCAGCCCGTGGGGCGTGCGTGTAGATGCCGCGGCTGGATCGAGCTAGAGCGAGTGGTTCGAACCAGAATGTAAGTTGGCATAACAGGACGTTGAGGACCTGTGGCTGCTCTCAAACACCAAACGCAGCCACTGACACTGTGCTGATGCGTGCGTCTGCCTCGAGCTTCGCTTCGCTCAGGGTCTCAGCCCTGCGCTAACCAAGTTTTGCGTTTGTGGAGCCTAGATCACGTGATATTTACCTTTGCCACTGTTCGATTTGTCGGACTGGCATCTATTCTGCGCGGAAACGCTGGAAGATTCTGACACAAACAAAATGTCTCATATTAAGCTGACAAGCGCCGACTTGCCCGGTCATTGCCATCTTGGCATCTCGCCAGCTTAAGTACTCCTGTGACTGATGCGCGATGTTAATTGAGATAACTATGTATGCTATGATCACGAGAACTGGTCGATTTCGACTCCCTGTTCTATTAAATTTGTAATCAGAGATTGATCGAAACCCATCGGGGATCAGCGTACCTGTCCACTTGCAAACGGGCTATTCGAACATGTGAGGATCACTCGCTTCGTTCTGCTCTTAGCCCCAATAGTCAGATAAACATGTAATACCCATGACACACAGCGAGAACGAGAAGAAATAAGCCTACGTTCTACTCGCGAACACATTGCGCTAACGTTAAGATGTATTTGCAATCGCTGCTGCGTCATTGGCTACGCTGGGAATAGCTCATCTTTGTAATTGCATCTCCAGTAGTGTTCAAAACTCCAGTTGTGGTAGTCCAATTTATGGGCAGTGCCAGCTGTTGCAGCTGTTTCCGTGGCTCGAGTAATATTGTCATGCAAAGAACCGGTCGTACTGATCGTAACGTGGATCGAATTACCACACCTCTGGCTTTGTTAGCCGCGAGAAAGACACGTCCGATCCCTGCGAAGCAAGCTTCCATGAAAGACATAAAATGAAACTGGCCTGGTTGGAATTGCAGGATATTCCCCACACAGGTGGGCAGGTAACGTTATGTCATGTCAATACGCCAGGCTCCGAAAGTGTCACGGGCGAAAGCGGAAGCTGCACTGCTGATTCGACAGGCAGTACGCCAACGACAGCGTTCTTTCTTTTGCGAACCTTGACTTTTCCACATGGGCTTGGGGTGGCTCATGCGACGGATGATCTCCAGTACAAAAACGTTTTGCCGGTTGTCTTGAAGGAGGCGTTAACATTGTTGACCCAATCACAGAAACCTGGAATTACGGCCAACAATATCCGGGGATCTCAAGAACGGCTTCAATCGGCCTCAACGTGTCGGTACGTATGTCTACTACACGGCAAAGGGCAGTCACTTTCCGACGACCCATATCCCTGCAGGATATCTTTTCGGCCTTGAAAATCACGCCCACACCGTGGCAGCGGGACTCATAGGGACATTACGGGATACGATTGATATTTTTTCATGTCCCAAATAACTGGAGAGTGTATGTAGCCCCAAAATCGGCAGAGGTGGATTGTCAGGGTAGACCTTGGCGGAAATGTGACGGCGATTGCTGCAACTCCAAACTTCCATACTGTTGCTGATCCGACTAGGTCCTTGAAGGCTTTGTGTGTCAACATGGGTAGCGGAGAGATAGCACTTGTCAAAGACACTTCGTCGAATCCGAAAGGATGGTAACGGTTCCATGGTAATGGAGTACTGCTCCTAAGAAAGCAAGTCGTTTAGGGGTAGCCCAAGGCACGCCTTTGATATAGTTCTACAGCGGCTGAACACACAACTTATTCTTCAAGCTCGTGCATGAAGTCGAATTCATCTCAGCTTTACGTAGAAGCATGACGCACGCTTCTGCAGCGACAGACTGACAGCTAACTGACATAGCCGAGTCAGGTTCCCGCTAGCGTCGTCTCTTCCTGCCTCACATGATCGAGATTCGTTGCGGGCTCCACGATGGTACTAGTGATGGACCGGGATATCTGTGCCTACCCGCGCGGGTCACAGTGCAGAGGAATCTTTCATCTTCAGCATCCCAGTAGCGATCCAGGATCGAAGCTCCAGAAAAGCAAGTAGAGACCGTGTCAAAGCTGGGTCGAGCAAAGGCTGAGAGGTCATGATTGCTTGTTGCGGGTGGCGCTGCGCATTCGAAGTAGGCATAGACGGCATTTGTGAGTCCGCTGGTCTAGGAGCCGAGAACGGAAGATAACGGCACTTACGAGCTTCGCGTCCGCAAATGGGTTGCTAGCCAGACCGTTTGTTCGTAACGATGTCAGAGTGAGAACCAGTCGCTGCGGTGTGACGAATCCGACGCTGCCATCGAATCAAAATGTGCATTCCATCGTTCAACCCAGTTTCTGGAGTAGCACAAAGTTCTCGCTTATATTGAGGGTTGATGCTCTCAGCGGAAGATTTTCTGATGCCTGGCTTCTGGCGATGTTGCTGCAATGCAGCCAAGACTCCACTCGACGTTGCCGCTGGCAGGGCTGGCAGACATCATCTGAGTTCTCCAACGTCTTTTTTTCTTCAAGTCGTCGTCGTCGCATCAGCCCTGCATCTGCCGCCGGACACTCGAGCGGAAACTGAAGAGAGTGCTCTCGCATTTCAGGCTCTGATGCCCTCTGATTCGCACCCTTTTTGCGTTGCCTGGCTAGCGATCACCGAGTTTTCCGGTCACCCAAATGCAGCGCTCCATCTGAGCAATGCCAACACATCATCAACCCCAACTCCAGACAGCATTAGATTCCTGCAACCCATGCACGTACATGGCCCAGCTGTACTTGCCGCTTTTATGTGAGCGCGTCTGTCCCTCATTTTAGGCTTAGGCTTGCCTCCTTCGGATCGTGCAGATGCCCAACGCTGCTTACACAGTCAAATCAGCAGCACCCAATATCGTTGTGTGCCGTCGAAAAGATGGATAGACGCCCCGCCCGCATCATAGTACAAACAGCTGATGAGACTACGCTGCGACTAGGTCTTTAGCTTCCTGTATGAGCTGGCCAATGGGCGGTTTGTCTAAGTAAGAACTACAAGGAATGTTCCATCGGCTTCGTCCCTAGTGTCCCAAGTTACATGACTCTGGCTCTGACTGAGAAGTTCCGGACCATCTCGAGGCCTAGTATGGACCAATGACTGGACACTGGCTATGCTTCTTATCACGGCATGAGGGGCTTGATCCTCAACGGCGGGGGAACATTGGAGTCAGCCGTACGTACAATGCCTGTCTCCATCAACGAAATGGTGATATCCCGTGTCTTGACAGCAGGGATTGTTTGTCTATAAAAGCGTGTGTTAGGTGGGTGGCACTCTTAGATTCCTATTCTCTATTCCGTCAAATCTCCGCCGCTTGCCATTGACTTGTTCTCTTGGTGAAATATCATTATCTACTATCCGTTGGTACCAATCAATATCATCCAAGACCACAACACTTTTATTCAGTCGACAGCCATATTCATTACATCGTAGCAAGTCGTCGTCATGTCTTCTCAATACGCCTCACAGTACTACGGCTACCAGCCTTCTCAGCCCATCAATATGCCACAAAAGCAAAGTTATCAGGCCGTCCCACAATACCCACACCAGGCCTACAGTCGAATGCCAGGCTCGCCACCAGAGGTTCCGGAGAGCGTTTCAACAGGGTCCGGTATTACTTCTTACGATCCATCTGCGGCTTCAAGCAGCTACGCCGGAAGTGCATCGGAATATGAATCCGCGTCTAACGGTGCCTCTTCGGTCGATTTGATGGACTACATGAATGAGCGCCTATCGAGTGTTTACAACCCAATGCCGCTGGATCGCAGTGTCGCTCAGCAAGCACAAACGTGAGTGCACGAGATTCCGGCACTTTTACGAGCGATGACTGATGCAATTGCGCAGATCTGGACAATTGAACGCCAAACAGCGAAAGCTGATGGAGTTACAAGCGCTCGCGCAAAGCCGTATGGCAGCGATGCAAGCGAATTTCGCGCAGGGCATCAAAGACGCAAAGGAAGTACAACGAGACCTGAAATGGACCCAAGAGCGAGTACAGTGAGTGTTGAAATCGCAGTTGATTCTCTGTCATTCATTCTGATTGAAAGCAGAGCGCTAAATCAGCGCGCGGCGCGCAAATACCCCGAGCAATACGCGGCGGCGCAGGAGCGCTACCCAGCGCCAGTCGATTATTAGGCCATGTCGCAACACACCCCAAAGCATCCTTCGATTCTGCACATGTATTTTCATATCTGTTTTGACGAATTGTGCTGCTGTGGATGAGTTGACGTTGATTTTGTATGTGACCGGATTCGCTCCGCACGGTCCACTTTCCTGTATCAGGCTGTTGTTCCTGCGCTAGGCCACGCCGTCAGTATCAGTCCTTGCTGCTTTTGCACGGGACGGGCCGTGCGAGTTCTACTGCGGCGACGGCGTGCTGGATCATGCACGAGGGGACGGGCCAGTAGCGGCTTTGCAGATAGGTGCAATAGGGTGGGTACGGCATTCTCAGAATAGGCGCCCGTGGCAGGTCTACGCGACTGTGTTGTCTCATCAAGTCGCCGATCGTATGCTTTAACGGTCCGCGAACATCGCATGATTCAGCGCGATGCGCTAGCTGCATCAATCTTACGCTCGTGGGACTACTGGTGGAGCCTTGGGGAGCAGCCTTATTCGCTGGCGTGCCATCTTGGGCGGTTCCTTTGTCATGAACGACACGATGTTACGGCCGACCTTTTCATAGATACCCGTAATTTACGTGTGATTTGAGATGCATAGTTGTGCCCACCAAGCAATCTTACTGGACACCAACAGCTGAACGTGTTGTTTCGTTGATTTTGCGACCAAGCTCTTTCTCGTAAAATATCTCAGGGCACAAGACCTATGAACCAGGTGGAGCTGAGACAAATGCTATATATCACGTGAATCTCTGCTCTTCTATTAGTCGTGTTCAACACTTAAAGCTGGCTAGTTCCACCCAACGCGTGCGTGAGCCGTGTAGTACTCAGTTTAGGATGCTAGGGTCATGTGGGCCAGATCGCGGTAACCCTCACAAAGACGATTGAAGTATCGAAATACGGTGCGATTTGATTCGTCCTCCAAAAATTACTTAGTCCGTAGCTTTTCGAGTGCTTCGGAGGGCTTTAAAAAGACCGAACTGCCCAGAGGACCGAGAGGAACTTGCTCCGGAGAGGAGAGGCATCGCTTATACCATTCTAAATTGATGACTGACAGTGGAACAATAGAAAATGCGTACGTCTGAGCATCAGTGTGATATATGACGGAGAATTTTCCAGCTTTTGAAAGTCGTGACGTTTTTCGGAGTGATAGAACCAGCTTCGCAATCGATAAGGGCAAGTCTCCATTTTGGTTCTGCTGCCTCTTGGCAAGAAACGTTCTCCAAAGTGAACGCGTCAAGACGTGCCTCCGTTTCCCGCAGCCCAGACATTCTCAGATCTCGCAGCGAACACTCGTGGCGTCTGAGTGCTGCAGAGATAGAGCATCCCTTTCTTGCGCCGATGATTTCCACCAACCTTTCACGACTGGTCTCGAAAACAATAGCAGAGACCGGGCAATATTTCCCCTATGTACTCTTGCGGCTGCAATACCGCCTCTCCATCCGTGGCCCATTTGGACTTCATTCTAAAGCCAGACGGTGAGGGCGTCGCTATCTAGCAGTTCTCGACCACCGTGGCAGCCTACGGTTCTCGCATTCCGTTTCCGAGATGGCGATCCTTCATCGGAGATTCCTTGATGCTTGCGCGAGCGTGGCTATGGACAAATAAGGGAGAATACTCGGTCCACACAAAAGTATCGTATTATGAGGGCGGTATTGGCTTGCCAGCCTCGAAGTCTTTGCCATTTGAAACTTTCGTTTTCAAAGAGACCGGTGATCAAATGAAGAGGTCGCGCTAGTTAAATGGAATTATAGCGCGCTTTCGCTAAGGACACGCCTAATCAACAGATTAAATGATGGTTTTGTTGTTCTTCGACTTGGATCTGCTGATATTTATAACTGATAAGCTTAGGGAAGTTGATGGACTCTCCCGCTTGATGAACAGGGAGAAACTGCTGTGATCGCAGAACACAGTGTATGAAGAAATGAGAGACAAGGCAATAGCATGATTTGTGCGCGGCTGCGATATGATCATTGATGTCATATAGCAATAAGGTACAACTAATTCAATTGTATGGGTATCATCCAACACTACAAGCTCGAGACAAAAGACTTCACTTTTAATCTCAACTTTGATCAGCCCAGCAACGCGAGAACCAAAATACTGGATGCCGTGAAGACTGCGGCCAGATTAGGCACAATGGAGGTCCCGGCAGAAGGATTTAGTGTCTTTTGAATCGTCGTGCTTCTCCCTCCAGGACAGAAGATCACCTCGAAGCCTGTCCCCAAAGGCGCTGTGAACGTCGAGCTGGCATCATCGAAGGCATAGCTGTAAGCATCAGGGCAGACTTTTTTGGCCTGGATGGCATAGTAGTTTGGGTGACATTTTTTGGCCGAGTCATAATTGTCTGTGCAGCAGTAGATGCTAACCTTGTATCGTTCGCAAGGTGACACGCAAGGATTGAACGCGGAACTTCCGCTTTCCGCCGCTTTAAGCTTCAGGTCGCTGGGACACCACTTTGAGACGTCATTTGTTGTTAATTTCGATTCGAAAGGGAGCGGAGTTCGTGATGAGGTATTTAAGAATTCCTGTCCGTTGGCGTACGGATCATAGGGCATTGATGCAAACCCCTGCACGCCACCGATACACGACGGGTTTGTGGTATTCGGCAAGGGCTGAAATGGGTTGTTGCCGTCTAGTATAACCTCAATGGCAAGAGGCAGGTTATAGCCATCGACTAGCGAGATGTCGTAATACGATTGATTTAGTCCTCCAGGGAGGTTGAATTCAGCCAGCGTGGATGCCTCGCCCTAAACACAAGCGATGATGAGCTGCAAATACTATTTCAGCAGTAGCGAGATAGGGAGATGAAAGACCAACATTGCCCGTACAGTTCAGTATTCCACCACAATCGCCCGTGAGACACCCACCGCTGCCTTTGTCATCAAACGTGCAGTTTGTACGACCCCACACTCTACCGTTCCAGTCTGTGCCTACAGTCAAGTTTCGGGATATCCCTGGCGCAAGCTGGAATCCAGACTCGCTTGGACCTGTACCTTCTTGGGTAACTATGGCGGGCCATATGTTGTCAGTGCATCGGTTCGTGACCATTAGTTCCACAGTGGTGGCCTGCACTGTGCAAGCAATTATCGTAGTAAGCAATATACGTGAGGCCATATTGACAGGCATACTTCTTCTAACAGCAAACAGGGCGAAAAATTTTTTTGACCTGTCAACATGCTCTTTAAAATGATTTCTCACGAGGCTCTTATTGTTCCTGCAGTAGTTCTTGGATGACGTTGCTGCGCGAGAAACAGGCTTTGTTCGAGAACGATTAGCGCCATAGGCACCGTTTATGGTAAAAGATCAACTGTGAAACAAACACAGCCTCTGGAAATCTTCTGCAGCCTGATGTAGTGAGAAAGCGATTCGACTGCACGTGGAGAAGGAAAACAGGACATGCTCCCTGTCTGGACTCCAACCACAGGCTACTCTTTAAGCCTCAATGCGTAAACACGTAGCGATGGACTTGTCACTCGCATAGACCGCTAACTCGTTTGTCACGCAGGCACCGCGGTGCACCATCTTACCGGCTCCGCAAACGCTTCCGGTTGCGGTGCACGCGTTTTGCTTATTTGCCCACCATTATGCGTGCTGATTCCAGACTTTAGTCTTGATCAATATCGTGTTGGCATCGACGGGCGGGTTGATGCCGATGCTCAAAGCACTGTTCAACCAGCTATCCGAAGGCGTTGGCATCGAATGGCGTACGATCGCGACGAGAGTTGCTTGTCTCGTTTCACAAAGGAAATTGAGTCTAGCAAAGGAGTGGTTCGTAGCGAGGGGGAGAAGTCGTTCTCCTGAAATCCCGTCAAACAGAGCGACGCAAGAAAAGTGGAGTCTCAAAGGAGCGCTCTCACTGGTTGCACGCGCCGTCGCCCGTTCCCGCCGCTCATCTCCAATTGTTCCATACACACGAAATGCATTGCACGGGGCGTGTATCTAGATCGTCCGTTTTACAGCCACGAAGATTGGCGTGTTCCGTATTGTTGCTTGTGTGCATTAAGCACCCTCGCTCATTTCGCATTCTAGCCCAGATCGGACCCAATCAATGCCCTAAGCACTGCACACTGCAGCTGCTCTTTGTGCTGCAAGAGGGCTCAATTATGGCTACTATCGCCTGGGTCAATGTCTTGGTATCATACCACGACCTCGTTGGAGACTTCGACATCTGCAAAATGTCCGGAACAAACCGCCGCGCGAAGGAAATGTTCTACACTGAAGAACGCGTTATCCTTCGTGCTGTCAAGGACTGATGGAGCTCTCACATCTTTGTCTTACTACATATCGGTGCTTTCCTCTCGGTCAGGAACATGATGCAGCTGTCGGTATAATCAGTTCATTCATTCCTGTTCACCTACCGCGCTTTCCCTCCCTTCTTCTCGTCTCTCGTTTGCTTGTTGTCGGGCTACTACCCGTCAACTGAATATACAACCTCCAGCTTTTCCATTCATTCATTTTGGTTTTCTTGAGTCGATTTGCCCGGTTTATCATGTACTTTTCAATTTCTCCAATCCTTCTTCTGTTACTAGTCAGCCTTGTGGCTGCTGAGAATTACATTGTGGTCGTAAAGCCTGGAAATGGCGGTGCAGTCGGCGGACTCATATCTTCGCTGCTTGGGAAAACCGTACCTGGCCTGCTCCAATTCACTTCCGGGTCGTTTGCAGGCTTCAAGGCAGATCTGACGCCGGCGCAAGTGGCACTTCTGCGAGCAAATTCAAACGTATGTGCATATCATCTGTACTGCTGGAGTCGGATCACCTGACGCTGATTTCACTTAAGGTGCAATACATCGAAAAAGACGGACAGCTAAGAACTTGGGGTGTGATTCACAGAGAGAATCATTCATTCAAGCGTACTGTCCTTACTCAATCACCTTCGACATGGGGACTCGAACGCATTTCACAAAAGACCAAGGCGTTGGCGCCATATCAATACGTCTATGATTCCACGGCTGGAGCAGGAACCTGCATCTATATTATTGACTCGGGAATCTATACCGCTCATAATGACTTTGGTGGCCGAGCGAGCTTCGTTCAAAACTTTGTCTCTTATGAAACTGGTGATGACTTGTCAGGTCACGGCACTGCCGTCGCCGCGGCGGCAGCAGGTACGAGCTATGGTGTTGCCAAACTTGCGAAAATCTTTTCGATCAAAGTATGCAATCAATCCGGGTCGTGCGACGTATCTGCCGTTGTCGCAGGCATCTCAGCGGCTACAAACAATGCTCAGTCCCAGCAATGTCCCAATGGCGTCGTCATCAATCTCTCTCTTGGAGGACCCTCAGCCGGCTGGCAGTCCGTCAAGGATGCCATTATTGCTGCTACGCAAGCCGGGGTCTTCGTTGTAGCAGCCGCTGGGAACGACCACGCAAACATGAACAATTATCTCCCGGCCTCAGCAGCCGGAGCCTGCGCCGTAGGCGCGACCGACCAGAACGACGCGATCTGGTCTTACTCCAACTACGGCTCAATGATGGCCGTCTTTGCTCCAGGTGTTGGCATCCAGACTGCTGGTCTGGGCAGCCCCAGTGCTTCAGTGACGGTCGACGGGACCAGCATGAGCGCGCCGTACGTAGCGGGACTCGGAGCATATTTGTGGGCCAAAAATGGAAAAGGTGCGGGCAGTGCGCCAGGCGTAGCACTATGCAACACTATAAAAACCACTGCCAATGCGAATGTAATAACAGGCAGTCTAGGGGGGAGCCCTAATCGCTTGGCGTACAATGGAATGTAATGACCCCGTAATTATTATATCTCGATGTAGATCAAATGTTTCGCGCAAGGCTGAGGAACGAAAGGAGAACCTATCATCGTGAAACACCTCCACAAGGCGCTATATAGCGGTTACTCTGGTGAAGGCAATATCTACATCATTATGATTCATCATGATGTCTTCTAACATTAACGTAGCCTACCCACTACTATGTTGTTTCCGTATGGCACTGCCTTACAAGTGTCTAACAGGCGTGAGCGCGTTTGGCTGTGTTATTACTGTCTAAAGTAAGGTCGGTGATGTGTCAAGTACTACTTTCACAAGGGCGAAATGCAATGTAATATGACAACGCACTTAGCCATATATCATGTTTCACCGGTGCATGTTCGGTTCCTTTGTTAGATGCTAAAGATATAGTTATTGTCGCAGCGCTGCGTTCGGCACGATTTTGTCTCAAGTCTTAAGTTGAAACCCGCACATACAGATCTTTGTACCAGATATGATGAGCACTTGCTCGAGGAGCATGCGGTGAATCAGTAGCGCACAAGGAGTACACTATCTGCTTCAACAAGTCCGGTTCCAGTAGTCGGCTGAAATCTGATGGTGTCGCGGTCCCGAGTCGTTTTCATTGATCGAACGTGGACACCGAAAGTCCGCACAAGCCAAGCGCCCCACCAAAACTTCAAAAGGTGTATCGTACATCAAATACTTGTTGCAACCACAATTTCGCATTTGTCGTCCGTACAGATGCTCCAGCATGGGAGAACAGCTGGACGGGTCCCCAAAAGTGGACCAGGTCGAATTAGAGCAGAGGTTGCTATCCAGCTCAACCAAGAAGCGCATCGCGACGCTGGAAAATATTCATCGTTCATTGGAGAAGGATGGTATGAGAAGTTTCCCACGTGGCATGCTCCGCACGAGACCGATGCTAATTTGTGCTGATTCCAAAGTTTATGATGAAAAGCAAGTGCAGACGCTACTGAACCTTCTCTTCGAAACGTATCCGTTGTACATCGATCGTAGGTCTCGCTACGCGGTACAAGACTGCATTGTTGCCGTGGCTGCAAGCTCGAAAGCGCCAAACTACCTGTCACAATTTGTAGAAGTGCTCAAGGCGGAGGCTGTGAAGCCAGCAATAGCTCCAGGAAACGCTTTTGTGCTCACCGAATGGTTCTCCATCCTCCTGGACCAGTTCGTACGGCAGCCACAACTATGGAAGAAGTGGGGTTTGGACATTGTCAAAGCAGACGCAAGTGCCCTCGAGATATGCATGGGCTCAGAGGCGCGCCCCAGCGTTAAACGTTCTGCCCTTGTGGTTACACGACGTGGCCTACGGCGGGTGCTGAGTAGCAGCATAGGATCGAAAGAGCTTGGAGCTATTGTGGGGGCTCTTACAGCGAAAAGCACGTCTCCTACAGCAAAATATGCTCCTATTTTGGGTGTCGTAGCTGGCGTATCGGCTCGGTTGCCCTCAGTAAAGGTTGCGTTTGAAGCGCTGAAGAAAGACTACAATGGGTACTTCATACGCGAAATTATTGGCTCAAGAACGGTATTACCCGGACACATCGCGAATGGCCTTTGTGACTATTTCGAGTGCTTTGTAACTTTGGACGATTTGCAGAACGAAATCATACCTTCTGTCGAGAAGGCAATGCTTCGCTCACCAGAGATTGTTCTCAATGATCTCATCTCGCCCATGGTCAAAGCACTTCCAGCGGATATCGACTTGAGCCTGATTCTTCAAAACAACCTCCTGAAACCGCTTTTGTCCAATGTCAAGTCGACAAACCCCTCAATCAAGTCTGGAGTCCTTCAGATCTTTCATGCTGTAGCGGCGAGGTCCCACGACGAAGTGGCATTAGGAAAAATAGCTGATGAGATCGCGAATCCGTTGAAGACGAATAAAGTACCATCTGCTGACCAGAAAGTGTTGCATGCAAAGATGCTTTCTGGGCTACCAAGATCTTCGAACGTGAGCAAGAAGATTCCCTCTGCCCTTGCAACGGTTGCGGGCAAAGAGCCCAACGAAGCCGCTCTCGATGCTGAATCACAGGCCATTGCATATCATCTGCAGTATTTACTTTCGCAAGGAACTCCTATCGAGGCAACGGTGCAAGACCTATTTGCGAAAGGAGTGGCTGATAAGAAGCCTACTGTAAGCAAGATATGGGCGTTACGATTTGCCGATCTGATATGGGGCTTGAAGACCATAGAAGGACCTAGTGTTGCCTTCGTGGTCGCAGTTCTGGCAAAGATGCTTGATGTTTACAATGCAGTCGTAGCGAATCCCCTCCCTGCAGCCCAGAGCGGTCTCGCCTCGGTGGCGAACGTTTTTGTTGCTTTGTGTCAGGAAAAATTGCATGATGTGAAGGACGACAAGTTAGCAGATCTACTCAAGAAAGCTGCTAACACAAAGCATGCACTGATCGCTGAACCAAAACCGTCGTTTCTGCTCAACTTCCGAGTCTATACCAAGCTAAGTACGGAGGAAGATCTCACGTGGGGCATTCGGGCACTAGCTTCTATGTCTGATGCCGTCGCCGAGAGCAAAGACATCGCAGTACAAGATGCGTGGTCTCAAGGCTTCCTTTACTTCATCACCGCCTCCGGAATACCACACAACGCGCGTAAACAGGCAGCTCGGACATTGTCAAGTTCATATCTTCGTGCGCCCGCAAAAGTTGGGTCCATAGTGGTCAATGGAATTTGGCAATGGCGACGGCATGTTGACTTGGCTGAGAAGGATACCGCTGCTCTAGCCGCCAAGACGGGGAATGATAACCTGAGAGAGGTGATACGATCAATATGCTTATCTCAAGATAGTGCGAAGTCACTTGGCGCAGACTCTTGTCCAGAATATCCATCGGTACTCCAAAATCAGCTCATAGACCTCCTTGTACTGTGTCACCCGCAGCTAGTGCCACGAATTTCGTGGATTGACACCTGTCTAGGTGTTGGGCAAGATCCGGGCAGACTGGTTGTAGAGAACCTAGACAAGTGCCTGGACGAGGTGATGAAAGTTACACAAGATTATGTTGGCGAAGATGCACCACGTGTCTATTCGGCTGCGTATGACGCTGCTGCAGATCTTGCTTTTGTAGCTCCTGACGCTGCGATACCAAAACTCGTCAAGCAGTTGGAGAACGATCTTGATTCTAAACAGCTCGCGAGCATTGGGTCGACGGAAGCTGCGATCTTTAGAACACCTGAAGGAACACCATATATTGATGTTCTTGCTAGCAAGAAGCATGAAGCGCCTCTCGATAAGACTGCAAAGGACTATGATATTCTCAAGTTTGAGGCCGAGTTGCGTGCTCAGATTGCGCAGAAGAAGGGCACCACCAAAAAATTGACTCCGGACGAGCAAGCAAAAGTCAAGGCGCAGCTGGAAAAGGAGTCAGCCATTCGAAAGGAAGTTGCTAAGATAGACAAGAAGCTGAGGCGTGGTATCGGCTTTATCCATTCACTAGCGACGACCTGGCCAACTGAAGCGGAGCTGTGGATTGTGCAAGCCGTTGACTTGCTCAGCGAGGTGATCGAAGCTGGCGCTGGCCTTGTTGTTGGCGACGCGGCAGCGATGGCTTATTTGGATTGCGCGGAGAGTGTTACGCAACGCTTAGGGGCGCTTCGAAAGTTCATTGGTGTCGCGACTCTACGTGCTATTGGGGTCACACAGCTGCCGCAGGAACTGTTGGTCGAGCCTCTACAAGAACTGATTACACGCGTACTATATCGTCTGAGGTTTCTTGGGGAACAGCGTCCATTTGACACGGTCACTTTGGCGTACATTCTACCTCTAGTTTTTCTGGTCTTGCAGAAAGGTGGTTACGCAGCAAAAGACAGCGAAGAGGCCGATGAGCAGCTTGTGCTTGCTCTTGAATTCGTCGCTTGCCATACAGAGGTCGCTGCAAATCCAAGATTGCCGAGGAAGAAACTTCTCAATTCTCTCATTACATCAATGCAGAGATACACACAGCATTACAAGCTGATTAAAGATTGCTTCTTGGACTACTGCCACAATCTAAATCCGACCATTACAGATGAGGAGATCGCAGTCATTCTCAGAGGTACAACTGTACCAGAAGTTCCAGTCAGAACAGCGATTCTACAGGCGATCGACGAGAAACTTGATCTGTCGGACATGGGCTTCTCGCAGGAGATCTGGTTGGCGTGCCATGACGATGTGCCTGAGAACGTTGAGCTTGCGCAGACCATTTGGGAAGAAAGCGAATTCAACGACGCCGCTGACACAGCTGTCAATACTTTACCCTATCTTGAATCCGAGGATCGTCAGTTGAAGAGAGCCGCAGCACGTGCTTTATCTGAAACAGTGTCCCACTTCATGGACAGTTTTGCCACTGTTCTTGAGAAACTTAAAAGTATCTACGTAGAAAAAGCGAGGCCACTGGTACCTGAACGAGACGAGTATGGCATGGTACGAAAGAAGGAAGTGAGGGATCCTTGGGAAGCCAGAAGCGGTGTTGCACTTGCCTTCAAGGAGCTCGCTCCAATTTTCAAAACGGATGAGTTGGTCGGCTTTATACGCTTTTTGGTTGACAATGGCCCTCTTGCTGATAGACACGATACCGTGCGAGACGAAATGATTGAAGCCGCTACGAGTATCATTTCCATCAAAGGTGGTACAAAAGTTGAGGAGCTTATGGAAATTTTTGAGAATGCGCTAGAAGGACCTGATCGAGGCACGGAAGGCGACAAGGTAAACGAAGCCGTCATCATCCTCTACGGCTCCCTTGCTCGACATCTAAAGACTGGTGATAAACGAGTACCAAAAGTCGTGCAGCGACTCTTGACGACTTTGAGCACGCCTTCTGAGACCGTTCAGTATGCAGTTGCTCTGTGCTTACCGCCTCTAGTACAAACATCATCCGAGCAAACCGGTGGCTATGTACAGCAAATGCTCGATGAGCTACTCAATTCGAAAAAATATGCCAATCGTCGCGGGGCTGCATATGGTTTGGCGGGTATCGTGAAAGGCAAGGGCATCTTTGTCCTTCGCGAGTTCAGGATTATGTCTACGCTTTCGGCTGCCGTTGAGAACAAAAAAGATGCTGGACAGCGACAAGGCGCCTTTCTTGCATACGAACTGCTTGCTTACATTCTTGGCCCTATCTTTGAGCCGTATGTGATCCAGATCGTTCCACATTTGCTCGCCGGATTTGGAGATGCGAATGCGGACGTCCGAGATGCTTGCTTAGATGCTGCTAAGACCTGCTTCTCCAACCTCAGCTCCTTTGGTGTTAAGCAGGTCCTCCCAACGTTGTTGGAAGGTCTAGACGAGTCGCAGTGGAGAAGCAAAAAGGGTGCCTGTGATTCTTTGGGTGCTATGGCATATCTCGATCCACAGCAGCTTGCCATCAGCTTACCGGAGATAATCCCACCTCTTACTACTGTTCTTACTGACAGTCATAAAGAGGTCCGATCAGCAGCTAATAAGGCGTTGCAGCGGTTTGGTGAAGTCATCAGTAATCCGGAGATAAAGAGCGTCGTCAACATCTTACTCAAGGCTCTCAGCGATCCTACCAAATATACGGAGGAAGCCCTCGATGCACTCATCAAGATCAACTTCATGCACTTCCTCGATGCACCTTCTCTCGCTCTTGTTGTGCGAATCCTCGAACGTGGACTCGGGGAGCGTTCGGCAACAAAACGAAAAGCCAGTCAAATCATCGGCAGTTTAGCACATCTCACAGAACGAAAGGACCTTATCGCTCATTTGCCAATCCTTGTTGCCGGTTTACGAGTGGCCATAGTCGATCCGGTCCCAACAACGCGGGCTACTGCATCAAAAGCCCTTGGCTCAACAATCGAGAAGCTTGGAGAAGACGCATTACCAGATCTCATTCCAAGTTTGATGAACACTCTCAAATCGGACACTGGTGCTGGAGACCGTCTGGGTTCTGCCCAGGCACTTTCGGAAGTCCTTGCCGGTCTGGGCACCCAACGGCTCGAGGAAACGTTGCCAACAATTCTCCAGAATGTTGCAAGCTCGAAACCTGCCGTGCGCGAAGGTTTCATGTCGTTGTTCATCTTCCTGCCAGCTTGCTTTGGAAACAGCTTCTCAAACTACCTCAACAAGATCATTCCACCTATTCTTACAGGTTTGGCAGACGACGTCGAGAGCATCCGCGAGACAGCTTTACGAGCGGGAAGATTACTCGTCAAAAATTTTGCTACGAGAGCTATCGACTTGTTGCTCCCTGAGCTTGAGCGTGGTCTCGCCGATGACAATTACCGTATTCGTCTCAGCTCTGTCGAACTCGTCGGTGATTTGCTCTTCAACCTCACGGGCATTTCTGCAAAGGCTGAACAGGACGATGCTGAAGAAGGGGCAGCTGAGGCTGGTCAATCTTTGCTTGATGTTCTCGGTGAAGAACGCAGAAACCGTGTGCTGTCAGCAATCTACATTTGCCGTTGCGATACTTCTGGCCTTGTTCGATCAGCGGCCATCACAGTCTGGAAGGCTCTTGTCGCTACACCTCGCACGCTCAAAGAGATTGTTCCTACGCTCATCCAACTCATCATCAGACGACTAGCAAGCTCGAACATGGAACAAAAGGAGATTGCTGGTAATGCTCTGGGAGAGCTTATCCGCAAAGCGGGAGACGGAGTCATGGCTACGCTTCTGCCAACCTTGGAAGAAGGTCTGCACTCAACAGATACGGACGCTAAGCAGGGTATCTGCATTGCTCTTCGTGAGCTCATCTCTAGTGCAAGCTCGGAGAGCTTGGAAGAACATGAGAAGAGGCTCATTAGCGTTGTTCGTACTGCGCTTGTTGACTCTAACAGCGATGTTCGTGAGGCGGCAGCTGAAGCTTTCGATTCACTGCAGAAGATCCTGGGCAAGAAAGCGGTTGACCAGGTTCTGCCCTATCTTCTCAATCTTCTACGTTCTGATGAAAACGCAGAGAACGCACTTGCAGCTCTCCTCACTCTGCTAAATGACAGCACAAGATCGAATATTATCTTGCCTAATCTGCTGCCAACTTTGCTAACTACTCCAATGACTGCGTTCAACGCGAAGGCCGTTGCAAGCTTGGCCGAAGTAGCAGGAGGTGCCATGACGAGGAGATTGCCCAACGTCTTAAACACGCTAATGGATAATATTGTGGCATGCAAAGATGAGGAACTTAAAGATGATCTGGAAGAAGCCTTTAATGGCGTGCTTCTCTCGATTGACGAGTACGACGGCTTGAATACAGCCATGGCAGTAATGCAACAGCTTGTCAAGAACCCTGATCATCGTAAGCGAGCGTGTGCTGACCTGCATCTTGCGAAGTTTTTCGAGGAGTGGGAAGGTGATATGTCGAGATACTATCCAGATATGATTCGATCCTTGCTCCTGTCGTTTGACGATTCAGACGTTGACGTTGTGAAGGCAGCGTGGACTGCACTGAACGCTTTGACGAACAAACGCTTAAAGAAAGAGGACATGGAAGGTCTTGTACACAGTACAAGACAGGTGCTTCAACAGGTCGGTGTGGCTGGGCACAACCTTAGGGGCTTCGAATTGCCGAAAGGCATCAACGCTATCCTGCCTATTTTCCTGCAAGGCTTGATGAACGGAACAAGCGAGCAGCGTACGCAAGCAGCGCTCGCTATCGCGGACATCATCGATCGCACGAGTCCGGATGCTCTCAAGCCGTTCGTGACCCAAATCACAGGTCCCTTGATTCGTGTCATATCCGAGAGAAGTGTCGAGGTGAAGAGTGCTATATTATACACGCTTAACGCTTTGTTGGAGAAGATTCCGACTTTTCTCAAGCCGTTCTTGCCTCAGCTGCAGAGGACTTTTGCGAAAGCCTTGGCGGATACAACGAGCGAGACGCTCAGGATCAGAGCGGCCAAGGCTCTCGGTACATTGATTACGCTCACACCTCGTGTGGACCCTCTTATTGCCGAGCTAGTTGCAGGAAGCAAGACCCAGGATGCCGGAGTTAGGGCAGCTATGTTCAAAGCGCTCTATGAAGTGGTTAGCAAAGCTGGCGCTAATATGAACGAGTCTAGCAGGACGGCGATACTAGGATTGATCGACACAGACACTGAAGGGGATGATTCAATGACGATTACCAATGCAAAGCTGCTTGGAGCACTGATCAAAGTATTACCCGAAGATGTAGCAGCAACCTTGATCAACAATCGTGTTCTTACTACTCACTTCAGCAAGCCCTCAATATTAAGCCTGAATGCCATTCTTGCGGAAAGCCCTGACAGTTTGGTGGCGGACTTCTGTGAGGAGACGGTTAAGGTGATATGTGCAGGAATCAAGGACAGTGTAAGTTCTTCCGGTGACGTTCGGCGAGATTTCATATTAATTACAATTCAAGAACCCCTCCATTTCCGAGAATGCCATTCTGGCTGCGGGCAAATACCTCCTCACTTCAAACAGCGATAAATCCTTCGAAGTCACGAAACCAATTTTTGAAGCACTTGCTTCTGTAATCCCTCCTGGCAATCCTTCTGACGTTAGACGGCTAGCACTGGTTGTTCTTCGTACTGTGGCGCGAAATTCCAATGAGCTTGTCCGCCCTCATCTTGCACTCCTCACACCGCCGATATTTGCATCTGTGCGCGACATGGTTATTCCGGTCAAGCTTGCTGCAGAGGCATGTTTCTTAGCACTATTTGACGTTGTCGAAGAAGAATCGAAGGTTTGGGAGAAGTATCTGGCAAGCAAAGAAGCTGAGGCGATACCGACAGGCCAGAAACGGATGATGCAGGATTACTTCAGGAGGGTTGTCATAAGACTGGCAGGCCAGGCCAAAGAGAGGAAGGAGGCGGAAGGTGGGGCAGGCGGGCTGGGTTTGAGTGGAGACGAAGTTGAAGATGAGAAGGAAGTCTGGAGCGTGGGAAGAGTCGATCTTGGAGAAGGGACATTCAGCGATGAGTGAGGCCGAAGGTCCTGACATTTATACATCATAGTGTCGATGCTTTGAGCAACCAAGCGGTGCTTGTCGAGCATTTCCCCCAGGCGTTATGGCCAGGAAAAATGAGACAAAATAGGATCATTGTGGACATGGTGAATACTAAGTTACTTGGCCACAAAAAAAGCCCGTTTTCGGCCGAACAGCGCACCTGTAAGATATTGTCTTTTGCCTTGAAATCTTGCTTAGCATCTTCTCAGAAGCTCACCGTAGGTGCAGCAAGTTTCCTTTTTTTTTTTTTTTTTATCGGATATTTGAAAATTGCATCGATTTAAAAGGCTAGAGTGACGGATGCATTGGCGCCAACTGGTTTCAAACGCCACGAGCGGCCGAGTGGCGATGGGGCTCTGTCGGGTACCAAAAAGACGAAAATTATGTAGCGTTGGGCCAAAAGGTCCTATACATCGGCGATGAGGCGTTCATTATCGTCTCGGTGTGCAAGCCGCCGTATTACAATCCAAAAAATAACGTCTCTTTGTGCGTTCTCATCGTTGGCGATATCGATAGACTCAACTACTCGCGTGACCAGCCTGTTCAGCCGCGCAACCAGTCTAATTGCCCAGTATTGATTCTAATTATTATTGTTCTTATAATAACGATGATTGTAGTTACGAGAAGAATGAGTGGCACAATGTTTGGAAGCTCTGGGAGTGATGCTGTAGAGGAAGGAAGCAATTTACTGTTGCTTAAATATAATCAAATGGAACTTTTATTCAATTGAGAGGGGAAAAAAAAAGGCAGATAGAACATCACCTTCACAAAATTCGCTTTACAAATCGAAGATACCGCATCTGAGCTGCTTCAAATCCACATGCATCTATCCTGCCAGCCGAACATGTCATGCTCGAGGCTGACGGTCATCTACGTTTCCAGCAGAGAGCAATCGTGAAAGACATCGGCAGTTACTCATGAAGTACCAGAGCGACAAACACACGGCCACCGCTTGCAGGGGCCCCCACATCAACGTCCTTTATCCAAGGCCCGTACGTTCCGGCTCTCTGCGTGGCATTATTTTGGACTGCTGAATTACGCGGCTCTGGGCCAGCAGCAACGCAGCGAGGAGAGCACCGGACGGAGATAGCGAGGATGGGCGAGGCAACCAAGAGAGTCAAGACATTCATCGAGTTTCCAGATCGAGGGACGGAGTCGGCCACGGTGTGCAATTGGAACGAGATCAATGAACAAAAGTTCATTTTATTTTTTTATTTTTCCTTTGACGTTTTAGTCTCTTCGCTATCTCTTTTTTTTCCTGTATTTGGCGCACGACGACTCGAGAAAGAAAAACGTTTGCCTCGCGCAGGACTTGAACGCTTGACCTGCGCTAGGGCGGAAGCTAGCCGCGCGCGACGCAAGCGCGTAGACGCCTTTTCTGCCTTGTGGCCTTGCATACTCCACTTCTGGTGCTTCTGTGCTTCCAGAGGGGGCATAACGCATAACGGTCGGTTTGAAGCGATATTAATCCACGTTGAGGAATCCCCATAGGAAAGGTACCTACAAGTGCTTCGGGGGGTGGGGGTGTTATGTATAAACCAGCGAGTCGCTGCCCAGATGTCGACATTGCCTGGTTTTCACGTGAGGGCATCACTGCCGGCCATGGCCGAGTTAACGGTGGTTAAACTAAAGTTAGACGAGGGTTTTAATGTAGAGAGCTGGTCCCTTAAGAGAAGAATGGCGACTGGGCTCGAAGGCCGTGGAATGCGTGGGTTTTCAGGCCATGCACAAGCCCAAACGTGCGCAGAACAATGAATCTGCGTGGCCAAAAGACTGTTGCTTGTCTCGCGTACAGTCTGAAAAATGCTAGGAAGCGAACAGGTTGTGCGTTTTATGGTAAAAGAGTAAAGTGTTTTTGATGATATATTATAAAGTGTGCAAACTGCGTTTCAACAAGCGTCGGGATAGCGTAGGTGATCCACAGCAACCCAGCTCGAGCACATCAAGCTAACCAATCTCGACAGTCAGTTGGGAGAGCGTAGCACTGAAGATGCTAAGGTCATGTGTTGTGCGTAATCACCTCCAAAGAATGTGGTTAGCTTCAAGCTAACATCCACCCAGCAATCCACATTCACGACAACCTTCATTTTTTTGGTCTTTTTGCTGTCCCTCAGTCTGTCCTTTTTTGCGAAGCAGAATCCACTGTACGATCCACCTGTCTTTCGTGCACAACGGACGCACTTCCGCCAATCAACTTACCTTCTTTTGTGCCTTGCATGCGCGCGGAGCTGGCACGTCGCTGGAAAAGTGAAACCCTCAGGGTGGTCTCTTTGAACGACTTAGTTGTAGACGGAAGGACGATGAATTTCTGAACAACGGATTTGAATCGTTGTCACCCTTTTTGTGCACGCTGTGACCCTGCTCATTGAGGTCAAGCTGAGAGAAAGCTGGCACTGCAATGCACAAGTCTGTAGGATCGCCCATTTTGTTACGCAAACGCCGTTTCCCTACAGCGGCCCGTCCAATCCATCCAAACTCGTTCACTGTTCGCAAGATGTGTTCCTGTAGTTGGAGGCACCATTCCACCTTGTGAATGCGTGTAATGTGCCTTCGCACCTGGACTGCGTAGAGCCTGCCAGACAGCCTTGCAGCCAACGCTACGAGCCGATGTTCACCATTTGGAGCTGGAAATCTTGTGTCCGAATGGACAGTGTTTTTCCAGTCATCCATCGATACGCTGTCAAACTGTACCTCTGTGCCGAGGATCCGTTCACTATAAAGTCGAAGTTTGTGATCGAACTTGCGACGGTGAACTACTGACTGACCATGGGGTACTCAGGTTAGGGAACGCCAAGGCTGATCTCATACTACCTCACCTCCAACGAGTCCTGCAAACAGCCAAGTGCGCCCGCGCAACCAGCGCATATCCTGCCAGGCGGCTGTCTAATATCATCATATATCTTCCTCGAGACTTTGATTCTCGAATTTGAGCGCACGACAACCCGTGGCACGATCGCACCCAGCTTCTCCACAGTTTGCGACACCCCCACACAATCTCCCCATCATCGACATTCGACACCTAGCATTAGAATCTTGGTTCTCGCGTTCTGTCCGTGGCTCCTAGCACTGGCTTCAAGTGCTAGGAGTGGCCTTTGAGCACGACCTCAGCGCAAAGGCGCCTCCCCTCCCCCCACATTGAACACGCTGCCGACAAAGCCTTCCCGCCATCACCCGATCTAGGACCAGCACCGGACATCATGACAAGTTTGTCGCGGACGGATTCGCTTGGTGGCGGTCCTCTCACACCGACCATGTCTTCCAAATCGCTGAATGGATCGCTTTCCGGCGGCATGAGATTAGGACGAGCCGGCCCGCCTAGGATAGACCTCGAGCCCATATATACACAGCTGAAGGCCGCCATAGGCGAGAACATGAATCTATACAGGGACAGCATTGGAGCGTATATGATGGGTATGTTTGCAGCCCCCTACGGCACTGGCTCTGGAGCAGAGGCAATCTCACGCCAGCGCGGCTTCGATTTTGGGACAGCTTACTAACGACTCTCGTCACCAGGTCGGCTAAATCAGGAAGAACTGTCCCTGCGAATAGATCCATTTATATACAGTAGCGCGTCCACAACCCATCTTCACAACCAACTGCTGGCAGGCATTTACGCAAACTCGATGCGCGAACCTCCAGAGACCGAAATCGCCCCCTTCGTCGCGGCACACGACAAGCCCACAACCACGTCTGGAAAACCCGCGTCTGGCGATGCGGCCGAGCAGCGCTTGAAATTGGAGATCATGGCCCTCCCGGCACGGGAGAGGCATCGACTGAAGCAGCTGGCTGACTCTGGATACGGCGGCGACGAGTTCCAGCGTATCATGAAGGAGGTGAAGGACAGAGGGGTGATCAAGCCGCCGGACGTGGTGCCTGCCGGTGCCGGCGGCTTCAACAAGACGAACTGGGAGCTGGAGATTAGCAAACGCTTTGAACTGCCTCTGTTCTCCGAGTCGAACGAGTTCCCGGACGCGGACATGGTGCAGAAGCGCATGGTGCCGATATGTTACCAGGAAGGCCTGGCAGGGGGCTGCAACGCAGGCTGCTCGGACCTGGTCAACATCGCGGCGGAAATGTTCGTCAAGCAGCTGCTGACGGAGTGCTTCCGGCGCGTGAGGTCCAACGGCGCAAACTACATACAGACGCACGCGTTCAAGAAGAAGCTCGAGCGCGAGGAGGAGCAGCTTCAGAGAGGCGTCATCAAGCGGGACAGCTTCGGCCTGCTACCGTGCGAGCAGGAGGTCGAGCGGCACCGGCCGCCGTTCGGCGTCGAGGATCTGCGCTTCGCGCTCAGCCTGGGCAACTCGTACATGGCGCAGAACAAGATCCTGACAGCCAAGATCTTCAATCGCGCTCTGCAGAGGCAGGAGGACAAGGAACTGGGCCGCAAGAGCAGATCGAGAACAAACGGCTTCGCTAATGGCGCGAGGGGTCTTGCTCACCACCCCAAGATGGAGAGGACCCAGCTGGACGACACGCTGGATGAGATCTTGGACGTCGCGTACTGATTCGTGAGGGAGACGCTTAAATGCCGTCTCTTTGATCTTTTTTTTTTTTTTTATCTTGGGGCATCATTTACGGGGGGTCTAACGTCGTCATCGGAACTGGCATTTGTTTTTATTTTATCCCCGATTCTTTTGAGGACCAAGAAGAGGGATTTGGCGTACGGACGGCGTTTGTGTTGGACGGACCGGACCAAAAAACGAGAAGGGGGGCTTGACTTTTCGTTTGTCTGTCTCTCTATAAGTTTCCCCCCCCCCCTTCTTCTTGTCTTTCCCCTGCGTGTTTGGTTATGGATCGATACCCCATGTGCTTTTTCTTGCTTCAGGCAGGACATTTCACGAGCGCGGGAATACAATATGCGGCATTATTCGGGGATCTCACGTGGGTCACGAGCATGGATGGAGCGTTGGCATTTCTTCAGGCGCTGCACAAGTTTCCTTTTCTCTATCCTCATCGTTTTTCTCTTTTCTTACTTTTGCCTCTTTTTTTTTTGGCTCTTGTAACGATACTGGCTCTATTGTAGCATCAGAACGGTAGCGACCAAAACGAAGCACTATGACATCGTTGCGAGATCCAAGCGAGCTGCTGGTGTCGGCGAGTCACTGCAGGACTCATGCCCGTCATGTAAATCGGTCTCCTTTTCCTTTTTCCTCTACTGCGGACGAAGACTTGCTGCCGGAATGGTGGGCTCCGTTCGCAGACCTCCACTTTTCAGCGGCCTTCTTCTCCCCATCAGACCCCCTCCACACCCTGCCGTCGAGATGCTTCAGGCACAGCGTCTCTCCCTCGCCAGGATAGTACAACCAAGTCGCGAATTTGGCCCACGCCTCCGGATCGTTCTTGATCAGTTCCCGCATCCTGTGGCCGATCGTGTCCTCGATGAAGGTAGACCGTCTGGTGGCATACCTGGAGGGGAAGACGCAGCGCAAGTAGTGCGCCGTGGAGGCTATGTGGGGCTTGTCGAACCAGAAGAAGAGGGGCGTGAGCGAGACCGGCTCAGCGCCCTCGAGACCATCCGAGTGAGGGCCGGCATGGAACACCTGCTTTAGCCGCTGGGTAAGCTGGCGGAAGGCGGCGAACCGCGTGTTGTCCGACTGAGCCGCGTAGTTGAGCAGGCGTACGGACGGAAGACATATGTATCTGACCGGGGCGACGTCGTCCGCGTCCCGCTCCCGCATGATGCTCAGCATCGAAGCGACGGGGATCGTCGTCGTGAGGCGCCAGTCGTGCTGGTGCACCCACACGTACCGCGTCGCCGCGAGCCTCAAGGCCGACCGCACCGCCAGGCTGAAGCCGAGACAGCGCGCCGGCTCGACGAACGTGACGCGGCCGTCGGCGGTCCGAAGCTGCACCAGCGGCACGGCGTTGGCCGGGTCGAAGGGCGAGCCGAACTCAGCCTCGCCGGCGGAGCGCTCGAGCGGCGACGCCCCGGCGCCGTCGCACCGACCGAACCGGCGCAGCACGAGGGCCTTGACGCTGGCGACGTACGCGGCGAAGGCGGCCGCCTGCTCCGCCGTCACGGCGCCCTTCTTCAGCCGCGCGCGCGCACACACCCGCTCGTACGAGTCGAACACGACGATCACCCGGCACCGCAGCAGGAGCGGGCAGTGCCGCGCAAAGGAGTCCAGCACGTCGGTCAGAAGCTCCGTCGACGGCGCGGACGGCACCGGCGACGTCGTGATGATGACGGTGAGGTGGTCAACCACCGCGCCGCTGGGAGATGGACCGGACATTCCACATGCTCGCACATGAGGGACGGCCTCAGGGGGATCACGACCTTGACGTTCGATCAATGTCGGACGAAATTCGAAGCAGCCTGGCCTGGAGGCCCTCTTTCCCGTCCTTTTTTACCTCTATTTCCTCTTCCCTTTGCGTTAACGGCGTGGATATATTTACCCTCTCCAATTATTTTTTTTTTTTTGGGAGTTGGTTTGCGTTGTTGCCTGAGGCAGTTCATTTTGACACTGTACGCATGATTCTGCTGTGCGTGTCAGTTCCAGCGCGAGCGTGAAAGTGAAGGAGCGTAAAATATTCTATGCCGTTGCGGCTCTCTGCCCCAGGTCTGCCTTATCGAGGCCTATCGCGTTCACGACATGTCCTAATTCGATCTCCAAAAGGCGGGCTAACTTTGTTCTCGTCATCTCCAACAGCTTCCCGAAGCTTTTCGCTCCCTGTACGAGTTCTCTATTCTTTCGTCCGGTCAAAAGTCTCGTCATTCTCGACATTGGGTTCATTCATGCGCGTGTTGGATGCGAAGTGCTTCGAGATGTAGTATGCGACCCTCTTTCTCTTAGGGTCAAGTGGCGATTCAACAAAGGATGGTGAAAATGGAGTTTCTAGATCTACGGAATCAGCGTCTTCCTCATCTTGCTCTGCGGATGTCCTTGAACCGTCGTGGGGTGTATATATGTGTACATATCAAACAACGCGTGAGGTAGTGAATTCACGAGCGTTGGAACTCAGCTACGAGGCCCAGCTTAAAAAAAAATTACACTCCACTGTCATCTGTTCTCCTAATCAGACGCACAGTAACCACTCCGCCGGTTGTAAAGCTGACTCTGACAATCCACGATCCCAGCGCCTCTTCTCCACCTTCCACTTTTGCCTTCTGCTGTGAGAAATGTACCACTGCTCGACATTTTTCCCTCGACTCGTCGATGAGTGCAATGACCTCATCGGTATCCACAGGCTTGCCACAGCCGAGCAGCTCAAATGCTTCACAGTCCGTCTCGTTTTCTTGGATGCGTATCCTGCCGTCATGACGGCCGAGCAGCCTGGCTAGATTTGTCTGGTATTGCAGAATCCACGCATCCTTGCATCGCTCGGCGGCCGCGTCATAACATGCGGAGAGAGCTAGCCAGCTTATAGAAAGAAAGCGAAGCTCTGAGCAGCTTGCAATCAGCTTGGGGGTTTCGAATATGTCATGGCCTTTCAGGGACAGGTAACGGATCGGGGCAGGGGACATGGTAAACCAATGGTCATCCAGCCGCAGTCTTTGAGGGAGTTGAGGCTTGCATAGTCGGTACAAGACGATGTGGTTGTGCTTCAAGAATATCGTCATGGCCTCGTCGCGGATCTGATGGCAAAGAAGCATGATGGACAAAAGCGTCCGAAAATATGTATTGCGCTTCTCGGGACTGAACTGGGACGTCGCATACCGGAACTTTGTGCGCGGCCGCACCAGAAGCAACGACCACAGGTGCGTGCGAAGCTCTAGCTCCCATCAACGACTCTGCTCTTCGGACGCACCGGCTTTTATCGCACGCACCTGGAGGCAGCCTTAGTAGAGGCGACGCGGAGTTGTCGAGCCAGGCTGTCCGATTGGGACTCATGTTCAGACGCTTGCGCTGCCGCTCCCAGAACCGCTGCTTTATTATTTCGACCTTGGCGCACTGCTGCTCGTCGAGAACCTTTCGAGGCCGGGCCTTTATGCACATGATAGCGCGCGCGCGGTGGTCTTGTAACGGAGCCCGTTTTGCTCAAGCTGCCCGAGCGAGGTGAGTCGGCTTATGGGCCAGCGTGATTCGGTGGCGAGTGTCGTCTTTTATGTCGACTGTCGAGTCGTAGAGCTGGAAGGCGACTCGGCTGAGGTCGGCCAGGCTCCCGTCCGAACGTGGTAGCTCTGGGCATTCGCTGCCTAGTTGCGGCGTGTATAACACGAGAAGGGCGGCGCACAGAGCCTTTGAATCCCATGACTGCCTGTCATGCCTATTTTCTCTTGGACTTTCTTAATTATGTACTTTGCGATGTACGGTCGCGCTTTGCGGAAGCCTTCGAAGATGTCTTTGCTTGTCCGTCGATCGACGTCGGAGGCGTTGATTGGTCTTTTTTGCGACCTCCAGGTTGGAGACTGGATCTATCTCTTTCATCGAAAGGCCACCACCGCAGATCTGCACCGTAAGGTTCTGAGCTGAGGCCCTAGGAAAATGTTCCTATCCCTAAGCAAGTGCTGGCTTTCTCGAGGATGAGGTCCTGGCCGTGTAGAACTAGCCCGTCATTTAAGCACTCACGTCGAAAATCACCACGGCTGCTGAATTTCGCATCAACGATCATCACGATCTGGCTATGCTGATCATATCACGTCCTGTCTTGCACATCTTTGTCCGCAGTTCAATACAAGCCATCTGCGCTTAGCGAAGCCGCGTCCTGCATGCGAGTTCTTTTGTCACAGCACGTGTGGAGTGCCTCCGCAGCTGAGGCGTAAAGTTGTGCCTCCCGGTGAGCAAGCTGTGCAACGCTTCAGCCGCGTACCGTTGCCGCTCTCTATTGATACTGAAAGTTGGCTTGAATCCACCTCATCATCACCATTGAGTTTATCTGCGCATTGTGTTGGGCGCCTGCATCATCGCACAGAAAACCGGTGATAACGCGTCGTCCACAACGAGCCTCTTGATGCACAACGAAAATGGTGCGCTCGTTCATGAATCCTTCCATACCAATCGTCTCCCCGATTACGCAGCAATATCGCACACTTGGCTGCCAGGCAAGGGTCAAGAGGTCGGTCCATTTCCAGGACCTGCAAGCGGGGACGGCGGAGCGAAAGCTCCGGCTGCGCAAAGATATGCTTTTGCGAGAGCCAGGCGACCGCAGACCGCCTGAAGTATCTCTGGATAGATACTTGCTGCACTATACAGGTCAAGCCACGACGAAAACGGCGCCCCCTTAACCGGCAGTATGTGCCGCATAAAACGCCGGAATTGGTCCCTTGTGACGATGGGCTAGCTGTACCAATACCAGCCTAATCAGTTAATTGCTCCGAACGGTTTATTATCAAAGCACAATTCAGCCTGACACAGCGTTGTCGTGTCTCTAGCAGGCTAATTCCTCAGCCCGTTTGCTGAGCTCCATAGCTGTTCTTCATGGAGAAGGCGCATCCGATCATGTAAACCGAACAACGGCATGAATTGAGTCCTTATCTCAACCGTACCTGATGATATTGCAGAAACACATATGGATGGCTTCTAGAGGAGTGTAGCTGATTACGACGAGCAGCTGTCAACAAAAAAGCAAAAACAGGCAGTCGTATGGCGTCGATAGATAGATGAACAACGCAGAAAGACGAACGTCGGCCAGCCACCGAAGGAGGATAGCCGTGGAACAAAGGACAGGACTAAAGCAGACAATCACTAATGAGGCCCTATAATTAAGGTTTCCACATGGCTGGAGAAGAACGATAGCTGCTGAAAATGGAGGACCCTCACGCGATTCGGTGGGCTACCATTTCCAGAACCGTACGGAATCTGGGTCCATGGGCGTGAAAACTTGGAAAAGTATGCCATGGATTGCATCCAACCCACTAATTACGACCCGCTCATGAAATCTTATAAATTGACCTGTATTTCTTGTGTGTTTTTGCTTTTTTTATTCTGTTGGAAATCGACATACAATATGGCAGGACGATGGTTCAACTGTGCACACCAAGACAAGAGGGTGAATGAGTTATCCATTTTGAGCGCCGTCTCTAGCAAAACACTGCGTACGTAGCTGACATCTCTTAGGTCCAAAATGGCACTCTTTACAATCACTTCCAATGCGTGTCTATTCCCGCCATACCATCTACAATCGAGAGCACCCAGCACCTGGCTCTCGAATACAGCTGTGACCGATGATGTGGATGTCCTCTGAGGTCGAATGCGTGCGAAATAACATCCTATAAAATATATGGCCCCTTGTTAGCAAAGCTAAGACAGGAGGAGCGTCAGGTATAAAGATGCTCATCATTGGCCTCAGAGAAATCTTCTTTGGCCTCAGATCGTAACAATATAAAACCGTCATCCTTAGACCG